GTACGTCGTCGACGTAGTTAGTAAGTTACGGTTAACGTTAGTAGTAACTTAGTTTGTTTAGTTAATATAACTTAAACTAACTCTATATAACTACTTTTTTTTTTTTNTTTTTTTTTTTTTTTTTTTTTTTTTTTTTTTTTTCTAACTACAAATTCTTTTTTCTTCATTTAGTATACACTATGTACAATATTCATTCTCATTATTTTTAGCAGCAATCTGAACGGTACTAATATCAATACATATTTCCAGTAGGATCTCTCCTGGAAGAAAAGGTAATTCGTTCACTTCCCTGAGTAGGTCCGTCGTAGCTTCCATACTGTAGACTATGAGTTCCTTCTCGAAGGACTCGTTGCTGCTGAGGCGAAAACGTGCGAGGCTTTTTTTCTGCCAATTTTGGTCCCAACCCTTGCACTTTTCCAGGAAATTTCTTTGCCGCATACCGAGAAAACGAGTGAATCGCTCTCAATACTTGTTCATCATTTCGACGCTCAAACAAGTCTGCCGTTTGAAACATATCTTGCGAAGGAACCCCCACAACTTGCTGAGCGTAATTGATGAATGTCGAGATATTCTCCATCTGTACAAAAGGCATGTTGGATTCTTTATAACGAATATTAGCTTGCAGTACTTCTTTGCAAATTCGACAGAGTAACGTTCCTGACCTTAATTGATCTAAGAAATCTTCATTCGCATTCAAAGAAATTTGTAATGTTTTTTCTATCCATTCACGAGCTTCTTGCTCTAATTGCTTCGACATTTTTTTCTCTTCCAAGTACGAAAATGTTTCCCTCACACTAAATGCTTTCGTCACTGGTTTTCCTTGAATATATAAAATCTTTACAAAAGTTCAATCTTATTGTAAAAGAGTTCGTTCTTTGGCTACAGTGATGGTAATTTACTCGTTGGTTCGTAAAAGTGATATGTTTGCCCAAGAGCTCAATGTATATCCCAAGTGCAAATTCGTTTTCATGGATAATCAGAATATGGATATATAGATCTCAGTATGAATATAAATATGAAAAAAAAAAAAAGAGACATTATAGAAATAAGAAAAAAAAAAAAAANGAAAAAAAAAAAAAAAAAATTAGCTTTGCTAAAAGCACCAAAAAAGAACTCCCAAGGCGAGACTCGAACTCGCAACCTTCTGATGACCTTCATAAGAGTCAGACGCTCTAAACCGATTGAGCTACCCGGGACTTTTCTATTTAGTACAAAGCATAAACCCTTTTTGTCTTGTCATTGAAAACTCGAAAATTGCTCTATCCTATAAATATCAACTCGCAAGCTTTCAGAATTTTCAGGCTTCTAAACGTCCCTTTTGTTGAGCACAATTATCTACTAGTCCTTTACTACATACTCGTCCCTCATGCCATTACCGTGTTACGATCAACTTCGGTGTGCTTCGACCCTACCATTGTAGAAAGAGGACACCACTACTTATTAACAAATGTAAACAGTTGTTAAAGAACGTCGTGGTTGTTTTCGGAATTTTTATTGTAAATTAAAAAGATATTTATCTTTTCTTGTAGCTGCTTCCACTTGGCACCGAAAAAGCTGAATTCGCTAGAATTTTCATCTTCTTCTTCAAAGAAATTATTTACCAAGAATCCTCCGTCCTTTTGTTGTTTGGTGGTTTTGGTATACATTCGTATAGGCATCTATTCTCTTGCTTGCTGATTCTTGTGAAGATATAGTTGTAAACGCTATGGTTTCTAGGAATTTATTGATGTAAATAGGTTCCTTTCGACGAGATTAAATCATTCAGCAAATACTCTTCTTTCTATTGCTCTTTACAATTTTTTCTTCTGTTTTGTAAGACTCTTGGGTCACTTTTGGTATCTGCGAATCAAGTTTGTTTTCCCAACTGTTTTAGTTTGTATTTTTTGTCTGCTTTTAATTTATAAGTATCGCTTTGATGTCAAAAAGCTATTTATCCTCTAGACCAGCTATAAGCTATTCCAAAGTCGCTGCAACGTACTCGTCTAGGGCACAGAAAAACCTTTCCGAATATCAGGATTGGGCATTTCAAACTCAGGGAAGCGTTAATTCGTTATCACCTAGTCCGGACTTCACAAAATTCGCAATTGCTGGTCGTGAACTGTTGGAAATACTGGCTCTTAACGCAAATCCTGTCCGACCACCTATTCGAATTAAAAACTTTTCATCTGGAAATGCTCAAGAAAAGAACACCTCCTGTAACGATGTTAAATGGGGAAACGATTTTTCCGAAAATTACCTGTTTACTTGCTCCCCTCTGGGTGACTTGAACGTTTGGGATATTGATTTGGGCCAGAATATTTCCAAATTTACTGAGCATTCAAGAGCCATTCATAGTATTGACGTTTCCAAGTTCCATTCTTCATACGTTTTAACCGCCTCGCAGGATGGCCTTACTAAATTATGGGATTTCCGTGAATCTCACTCTACTCAAACATTCAAAGGAAACTCGGAAGCTGCCAGAGACGTTGTGTTTTCTCCTTCTGAAAGCAATGAATTTGTTGTTGCGTACGATAATGGTACCGTTCAGAAATGGGATTTACGTTACAGTAAAAGTCCTTCACTAAAGCTTTCGGCACATAATGGTGTTGCACTATGCATAGATTATACTCCGAATGGCTCCCTGTTAGCTTCGTGTGGACGAGATAAATCAATCCGAATTTGGGATATCAACAATAATCAACGCAAAGCTATTTCTACCATAAATACGATCGCTCCTGTGAATCTTGTTCGCTGGGAGCCTGCTGAGGTAAACAATGCCACCTGTAGGCTGGCCAGCTCCTCTCTATTGGGTGATAATAGTATTAACGTCTGGGACATTCGACGGCCCTATGTTCCTCATCGCAGCCTCAATCATCATGAAAATAATGTAACAGCTTTGCAATGGATTTCGCCAAATGTTCTTTTATCATCCAGTCGTGATGGAGTCCTTTCGCAGTCTCGAGTAAATGATGCTAAAAGCTACATAGATATTATGCCTTCTTCCGCCGTATCCTGGTCTACGAATGGTTCGATTACTTTTTCTTCTAATAATTTGAAGAATCCCAACCTTCGTCCACCTGTAAACCGAACTTCCTCTCGTGAAAGTAATATAAGTTCTTTGAAAACTGCGCTGCAAGCGAAGCAGCCTATTCAAGAAACTCACTTGAAACAGACTCCAGCTAATTTTGAATTTTCTTACCCCGTAAAAAACCACCAGCTAGCCATAACTTCTATATTTCCTAATACCTCCCATCAGTTTGTCCAGCTTGCGAAATCATATCAGCTTTCAGGTGAAACCAATACTGCATGTCAACGAAATGCCAGACTTGCTTATCAATTAGGAGCTTATGAAGCACAGGCTATGTGGGACTTTTTATTCTTTTCTTCTCTCAACTTAAACCATAAGGAACGTTTCCTAGCAAAGGATGACTACGACTTTCCGTTCTCTGATGAGAGCCGATCTGTTTCAACGCAAAATAAATCAGAAAGGAGTCGGCGATCTTCATTTGAATCGGAAGGACTCTCTGATGATTACTTTGAATCATTACTCTCCAGCTCATCTCTCAGCTCATCAATATTGTCTGTGGATTATGAGGATAATCTAGATAAAGCTGTATCAAAAAGTATAAATCAAAGGTCGGACCATCCAACTTCTATGAGGTCTCGAAAAGATGGAAATCCGCCCTTTCAAGGAGGTAGAGGTAGTATCACCTCCTTGCATTTTTTTGATTCCATTGGTTCTAATGTCTCTGCCCATTCCCAGTACGATATGTCAAATTCTTTACATCAAGGTTCTGTAACGTCTGCTTCGATTAAATCTCGTGATCCTGCTTTTAGCCTTGGAAGTTTGTCTAGGCGTACTTCTTATTTCCATGATCAATTATCTTTGGTTGCTGAAGATGCTCCTCCTACAGATCTGGTGGATGTGGTGACTTCGTCTATTATACAATGCATCGACGAATCTGATGTACAAACTGGTGCCTCCGTGTACTTATTGTTTTCTGCGCTTCCTATCAACATTCCGCGTCCTCAATTGGATGATTTAATTGATAGTTATGTGGGTCTTTTGCGGCGTATGGGAATGTTCTGTGAAGCAGCATACATTGTTAAGCATTCCTCGCAAGTTGTAAAATATAAATATTCAGCAAATCGCGATCTGTCTTTTGGTCACAAGTCTAATCCAAAACCTTATAGGCAAAATGTCTCTTTTGATGGTGTAAATATTTATTCAAAGCTTGAGAGATGCTGTTTTTGTGAATTACCTTTGAATGGAGTTATCACTTCATGTTACGGTTGTGGTCATCTAGGGCATGAAAGTTGTTTAAGGGAATGGTTTTTTAATGATTCTACTGAAGAATGTTTAATATGTCCTGTTCCAGGTTGTGGACAAGTATGCTTTTAGAATTGATTGATACTTTATTTTTCGGTACTTGCTAGAAACAAATATATGACAAATTTAATTCAACAAAACGTAGATAATATTTCTAAAATCATAAAAATTAATCACCTAAATATTTTATACATTATCAACAGTTGTAGATTATCCTGTAGTTACTTTTTACTTTTCATTTCTCATTACCTTTGACAAGGACTCAGATAAACCCTAATTTACAATGTGCACCAAAAAGGTGTACAGCCTTCTTTTTAAGCGAATGCATCAGGCATGTCTTCTTCAAAATGATCGTTTCCTTCCATCTCAGTATGACTTATCACATGCGTAGGTCTATGTTCCAAAGCAAAGAATGACAATGGAACATCCAATTTCATGCTATAAGTCATATTACCGCTGAAACTTGCACCATTAAAGTTGTAATTCCACACATTCTCCTCAGGAGTTAAGAAGAAACCTTGAATTCTATCAGACAACAAAAGCTGGCACTTTTGACCCATCTCAGGGTTGAAGCCAACAGCCTCATCACTGTTAATATCCATATTGTTGCTACCCCAATTGACTCCTTCATCTGTAAGTCCATACGCTGCTAGTGAAATGGAACCAGGCACATAACTGACTGTCAACGTTATCGATTTTCCAGCCCAATCCTCATGACTGGAGCTTAGCTTTGCGTGAGTGGTTACATCGGCAGAAGATAAGTACGGTAACTCTGAGCTTTGAGTATGAACCCATCCTAAAGGCTCTAAATCACTTAAAGTTGGAAGCTGCAAATCCTCTGGAAGTCTGGATGGAATCTGTACATTTTTTATGCTACCCAATTGAGGAACCATTGCAATACAATGAATCTCCTTAATTTCTGGGTTATCAGAAGGACTTCTTCCGTATAGCATTCCGGCAACTTGCGTACGAAGATCTGAGATCATCACAAATTTTCGAAGTAGGTTTTGAGGCAAGACATAAGTGTAAGGAACAACTTCACTTATGTTATCAGAGTTGACATAGACATTCTTCGTTCGAAGATGAAGATTAGTAGAGGAAATAGCTCGGTTCCTCCATTCTGTTTTGCTAGAAAACTTCTCGTTTTCGTAGGCCGATGTCGTAGTAACAACCATTTCATCACCGTGAATGTTAGTTGTTTTAGTTGTCACAGCGGTAACCTGATCATTATCGCGACCTTGTTTTTCAATTTCAGCAATCTGTTGACGCTGCAATGAAGGCGCGGAGATTGCCATACCCAAAATAATGTCACGAACTTCAGAGTTAGTTAAACTAGCGACATTCACGTTGTTCTTCTTGGCATAATCTGCCAAAATTAAGTCTCGAAGCTGGGGTTCAACATCTAGCCATTGTTGGTCATCCAGACTAGGCCAAATATGATTTGCTTGCGTAATGATAGACTTGTCAGGACGTAGGATAAGTTTGGTCTTCTCAGTATTAACATTTAATGCCCTCAAAATCAAAATAAGACGAGAAAACGCAGTATAAGAAGATACAGATTGAAGCCAATCATCGTATAAATTGAAAAGTACCATTTGAGGTTCAGTGGCACGAAGAATTAAATCATTTATTCTCTCCAGCTTAATAATAGCTTGGAATGGAAGTTGAAGTTCGCTTCCTTTGATTGTTATATTTGGAAAATCTAGAAGATGTACCTCTAAGGGATCAAGCATACCCTTTCGTGTAACAATGATTTGTTTGGGCTGTTCTTCAACAGGTAATGAACGAATCAAAGCAGCGACCTCCTCAGCAGTCTTCCACTTAGCTAATTGACCAAGACGTTTTTGACCAGCCCATACAGATGTATGAATAACCTTCAAGAATAATTGACCAGTCCTTGGATTGAAAATAAAAATAGCTCCGTTAATAGGCTTTGTAGTCAAATTACCTTCGAAAGTCTTATGAATTGTTACACGGTATACATTAGTATCATCAACAAAGAGTTGTATCTGGTTGCTGAATAAGTCTGCGTAATTCGAAGAAGAAAGATATTGCTCCTGCGGCTCAGAAGCATAAAGTTGTAAGCCTTTGCGAATACGTTCACGTAAAACATAAAGAGCAGGATTTGCCTTCATGATCTTATTCATACTTTGTTGAATCAATGGCTTCATTCCGGGAATCCAATTACCATAAGCACTGTGCATGTTGTAACACAAATCGATACCAATCAAAACACCTGTCGGGGATGGATAAATACTTTGAGAATCTGTGCTATAATCTAAGAACTTCGCACGGGTGTATCTCTCAATATCATGGGAATCGTAGTCACCGAAACGAAGCTGCACATCTACCCAGTATTTATTTGTCGTTGAATTATCAAGGACGTCGCGATTATCGTTAAGAAGAGACGGGCGTGAAACGTTCCACTTATATGCAGCAAACAACAATATATCGGCACAAGAGCTATTCATTTTGTAACTCTTTCTCGGGTGAATTGTTTCTTTCTGAACAGTTTCTATTTGCAAAGATTCTAATTCTTGGTCAAATACTTGGCAAAGGTCCCAAACGACTGATTCATGGATTTTCTGCCAAAGATGAGATCGGAAAATTTGAATAAGGGAAATCTTCAACGTAGGAATCTTTCCATGCATCATAATACCAGTCAAATCCAATTGAACCTGAAAACCGACATACACATTGGCTCGGTTAATTGTTGGACTCCACCATAAAGTAAATCTTCGGTTAGGAATTTGGTTTAATCCTGAACGCTGAGCATTCGTTAGCTTTTTAAATTTCATTGACTCTTCGAAACCAGAAGCTTTTTCCCAAAATAGACCTTCCCATGAAGGAAAACCAGTTGCTTTGAACATTGTATGTTCTAAGATACCTTCAACACCACCGAGAGCTTGAATGACATCTACACGGTAGTTATTCAACTGCCATAGTTTTCCGTCATGACGCTGGCTTGTCCACCAAAAGGGATTGTTTTTAAGTAATTGATACTGTTTAAATTCAGTTCGAATACGCCAACCTTTGTCATATGCAAGGGTGTGTCTGTCCTTCTGGAAAAGAGTATTGATTCTTGGAATACCACGGTCCCATGAATCTTCTAAATCTTCTAGCGTCAATCTTCGATTCTGCTGCAAGGCTTCCTGTCTTTTCATTGCATATTCAGCCCATACGCGCTGAGAGTCTACGAATTCAGACTCCCAAGGCTGAATATAGCGATATAGATTAGGAATCAAATGTTCCCCATTCGTAGTCATACCGCTTCGGAAATGAGTAATACCAGTATCAGTTTGTTTGGACCAGCGTAAATCAGATTGTGGTATTAAAACATGACCCATTGAAAGCATGCCTAATCCACCAAGTTCTTTTGGTGAATAAAATACTGCTGGTGGAAAACGACTAGGCATTTTAGAGTTAAGGGAAATTTTCACCCGAGTCTGGACTTTTGACTCACATTTCACCAATACGTCTAACAATTCTGGAGTTGAAATTGCAGCCTCACGATAATAAGTCATTAAAGCGATTAAAGCCGTATTCCATTTGTTAGCAATTTTGGTAAATGTGGTCGAACCAGAAGACATAAGAATTTGACGGATACGATTACTGAATTTCTTTATATCTTCATCAGTGACGCGAATAAATGCCTGCGCTGTCCGTTCTTTAGTTAAATTATTGGACAAATTCCATACGCCATCTCTCAAAGTAAATTCCTCAATTTGTCGAACCTTAGGGAGTATTCGTATTTCAAAGCCAGCCATCGCGAATAATAAGTTGGGATTATCTTTGCTGTAAACACTTGGGAATGTATCTTCCCAGTCTAAGGTAGTCAAAGAACGAGGCAAACGATTGCGTATTTCCCAAAATACTGCACGGCCTAAATTAACATCATGCTTCATAAGGCGCATCCGAGCATCTCTTGGCCAACAATTTTTCTTTCCCTTTGAATAATTTACGACATTGCTGTTCGTAGGATCAGGATTTTCGTTCAAAAACCGTTGGATCAATTCACGAGCTTCGTCCGCACTAAATCTGAACATTATGTAAATACGATCAATATATCTTGTATATAAACGAATTGGATGCCTTGTCTCCGTAGCCTTATCTTTGAAATGTAAAAAGTCGTTAGGCAATTCAGGAGGCCCGGCAATTTCAGTAGCTCTTTGGAGGCCAAGAATGAGTAAGTCCAGCACAAGTCCATAAAATTGCCAGATGAAACTTGAAAATTGAAGTCCGCGGACTAGTCCGTATGAGTTAGTATGAGACATATCTTTGTAAGACAAAACAACATTGTTTTTAGCACTTGCATAGGATGCAAGATTAGTATCCATAAGTAATGACAGAAGTCGATTTAAAAGAGTTAAATCAACTTTTTGAAAAGCCTTTGATAAACTTGATTCCATTAATACATTACATTCACCATTTTCAGTTTCCCAAACATCACTTAAGTTATTGATACCCTGACACCACTTGTATACAAGGAGCGGAGGAGGTTCGGAGTCGCCAGGCTTGATCCAAGAAGGGAATAAATGACGACGGTCTGCCTCAAACCAAAGGTATTGGTCCAAGTATGCATCACAAATCTTTTCCATTGGATCGACAGAATATACTGGAATTAGATGCGAGTACATATCCATAAATTCAATGCCAACTTCTTTAAAAGTTCGCATTGTAAGTAACCGTCTTTTTATTTGGGACAACATTTCATGAGGATTGTCATAAGCTTGTTCAACTAATGCTAATTCCTCTCGTTGAGATTGATTTAAGCGACCTTTTACCGAATACGCCTCTTTAAGTCTTTCCAAAGCCAAAACTAAAAGTTTGGTATCATGTTTATATGATAATGGAGGAAAGGGAATCGGCTGAAAGCGACGGCTCTCCAACCAATGAACAACCGTGGTATAGATAGCAACAGCTTCATCAGCTGTAACGTAAGGACCATCTTTAAGATAATTGTGTTGTCTTTCCTGTTCAGCCTTCAACCATAATCTGGTCAATCTTCCTAAATTCTTCTTTGCTACTGTCTTGTCGACAGTTGCTCCACGGCGAATACGCTCACGATTAAAGTGAGCAACCGATGTCCACCAATCGGCTTTAGATTTTACATAGCGAAGGATCATGTTCTCAATAGGAGCTGGTAAGCCTGGAACTTTCCATGGAATGTTTGCTTTCCAGCATCTCCAAGCTTCACTCAAATGTTGTAAAATTGTCTTGCTTTTACCTTGACGAATGCCTTCAGGAATCATATCCAAAATATCATTCATAACAGCAGCTCTCAATTCCAAGTCTTGGTGAGAATCAACACGTTGCTTTGTAACTTGCTTAGCAACTCCGGTGGCATGACGACCTTCAAATTGCCTAGCAAGTAAATTACCCAACCAACGTTCTAACAGAGGAACGATGCCTCTCAAAAAGAAAAGCCATACACGCCAACTTGGAGCCCAGAATCCACACCCAGGTCCTTTACCAACAGGTCCAGTATTGAAACGATAATAGATTAAGTGCTTTAAATCCTTACAAGCTCGGATCTGTCTCATTAAGCGGTATTTATAACGGTACATACCAGTTAGTTGACCAATATGGTTGAAGGTGTAATGTAATCCATCAGCTAGCTGGTAAGCATCGATATTTCCCAAACGATACTGTACATGAGAATCTACGATCAACTTCGTAAGTCGAAGAATTTCACGCATCAAATGAAAAGCATTACCAAACCTCGACTTCTTTCTTTCCTTGGTGGTAAGGGTCTTAGTGGGTTTTAAATTACAGTTATAATCCAGATGCAAATAAGTAAGTCCCTTGCGGTGGATTAATAACTGAAGCATGTTGTAACCTTGACGACAAACCTGAAGACCAGCTTCAACCCAGTCGATCGTTGTGCTCTGGAAAAATTTTGTGTTTTTCAATTGCCTGAACAAATTTCTGTTTGTATGTGGCTTTGGATGAGGTGTATGAAGCTTATTCATAACATGCGACTTTAACAACTTTTGATAAGAAACACGGACTTTCACCGGTTGGTTCGGAGGGCAATGTTCCAAATACCATTGCTTTACCAGTGGTACGTCCTGTGCTCGTTTGGTATTACCAGAGCGTTTATTGAAAGGATGTGGAGCCCACCATAACGTCAATGCGCTAGCAGTATGTTCGAACTCCAAGTCTTCGTCAACGAAGAAAGGATCGAAAGGAACCTCAAGGTCTTCTTCATCATTAAGTGTTTCATCTTCATGTGAGACTGTAAGTTGTTGGGATCGTAACTGACGTGAGGTTATTGGATTAATTAATGGATCCCAAAAAAATGCAGGTAAATCTGGATCCTCTGGTGGAATGAATACATTCGTTGGCTGATGATATTCACTCAGTGCGACACTCCTAGCCCTCGAATTATACAAAAATGGGTAAGCTATTCTGTATTCGGTTCGAATCGGTTGTCTAATAATAAGTTTATAAATATCATTGAATTCATTCCAATCTTCAGTTTCTGGGGCTTCATCTTTATATAACGGTTCAAACTTGGGTCCACCAGGTATTGCCACATTCAAAGCTTTAGCAGTGAAAAAACTTTGATCATTAAACAAATAAAAATAATTATCATCTCTTAAATCACTCAAAAGTTGATAGGATAAACGATGCAAATTTGCCATTTGCGGCAGACTCAATCGCCATTTTCTGTAAGTAGGTCCATTAATATGAGGCGTATCCTCAAGAGCACGGGTATCATAAAACCAATCGTACACCGGTGCGTCTTCTTCTTCATCTAAGTCCATCCGCACGCCTTCCAAAGGTTCCAAGTCTAATAATTGATCAATTGAGAATGGTGGTTCCTCATCATCAAACGGAGGGAATCGTAAACGTTTAAAATTTTTCCTATCACGCTTTTCCCTTCTCATCATAACCCACATACTTCCCCATTGAGCTATATAATGTGGTTCAATTACGCGAGGACTTTCATTCACAAATGTGATGGCACCTGTAACATGGTATAAAACCCGTACATCTCTGTACTCTTCCCATGGCATTGGCATATTTTCAAGCAATTTTAAAACAGCATGAGGCAAATACTTCAGTGCACCCAAGTAGGAGCGCTTATCTGCACGAAATTTTTTAGATGCCATATCACCGCGTTCCTTCATAATTTTACGCAAGTGTTCAGGAGGAAGATCTGCCTTTTCTGTTTGAACAAATCCTTGCTTCCTTTTGGGTCCAAACTTGCTTTTTTGGGAAGCGCCCCATTTTCGGTTACGCTCACTTAGTTGCTTTTCTAAATTACCGCCAGGAGCTGGTACTTTTGGCTTTTTCTTTTTTACATATCCAGGAGGAGGTGGAGGAGGTTGATTTGGAGGCTCAAATCCAGGCGGAGGAGGTGGATTCCCCGGTGGTAACGACGCCATTTATGCAGGTTAATGTCAACTTTTCAGTGGCAGTAAAGTATTTTATGGTATGGTGTTTAGCATTTTGCGCACTGTACCGCGTTTCGTTAATCTACTTATAATTACGTTCTTGGTGTTCACGAGACTCGTTATTGCTGCGCTTGGTAATAATGCATAGTACGATACTCTAATACTGTAAATTGTATTTGAGGAAGTGAAGAAGAGAATAAATGGGCTACAATTGACTTAAATTTTTAAAAAAATGAAAAATTAAATTTCATTATGTTGAAATCCTAAATGCTATTGTAAATGAAAAAATGAGTATGTATATAAATACGTGAGATGTAATTGAACCATAAATAAAGCCATGAAATTCTGTGTTTGAAGTTTTGTGATTAGTATATAAACTCAGAACATCCTTCAAAAGTCTGATGATTATTGTTACGTTGATAAAATTTAAGCCTTCATGTCAAAATTATGAGTAGAACCGAGAAAAAATCAAATGCAAAAACATATTCGTGTTAAGTTTAAGCCTTCCATCCAAAACGTCTATAGTAAGCACTTTATTATATTGAGCTGAAAGAAGATCATCCAACTGAAGTACACATCTTGGGCTGGTAACATTAAATGCGTTGCTACTAGCTTCCAAAGTGAATTTCCCAATTTCGTCAGCGGAAATAGTGATATACAACTTATCGTGGTGAGGCATGCGAGACATTGAAACCAAAATACCTCGATCGTAAAGTTTAGTGGCAGTATATTTGAACGATCCGAAGCGAGGAACTCTACCAGACTTTCTCAATTCACGCATATGAAAGTACTGTTTTGAAAATGGTATGAGTTTCTTCTTTCCTTTCTTAGATTGTAGAGTTTCCATAGCTTGTTCAATATATTCGTTATAACTCTTGAGTTGCGAGTCTAGAAATGCTCGCTTTTCCTTCAAACTGACTAAGCTTTGACGACCAAAATCTAGTTCTCGCTGACGCTGGAGTCGACGCTTTGATTTATTACGAATATCCAGAGCGATAGAATTGACAATGTCTTGATAATTATTAGATCGGCTTGCAAAACCAAGGTTTTCTAACTCAAGAACATTAGATAATGCTAAGTATTTCAGTTCAGCAAAAGAGATAGACGAGAGCGCATCGTCAAACTCTTCAAACTTTTGGTTTCTTTCCGCTTCTGTAATTAGAAGCTCATGCCAGCTTTCCTCATCTTCATCAGTGACAGGTTTCACTAAAATATCCATGAGACTAGATCCGTTTTGTACTCTAATAATAAAGAAAATATAGCGCTTGGTTTGTACTATTAATGATCTTTCTTCGGCAACAGGGTCTTCCATAGTGCAAAATCGAGGGCTCAATTCTAGTTTAATATCCGTTTCAGTTTCCAAAAATTCATAGTCTTTAGGTGACATTGATTCTAATTCGTTTATCACAGCTCGTAGTGGATCATTTGGTGAATCAGTAGCAATTAAGTCTGAAGCGCGTGAGATCTGTGTATATATAGTAAGGATATCATCTCGTTTCATATAAATCACTGGCCTCTTGGTGCTGACTATATCTTCAAACCCATCAAATTCAAAGTAAGTCTCAGGATCGACCACATCAGTCAAATGCTCCAAAAAAATCATAATATCTTTTTTCGAAACTTCAATAAACTCTGACAGCGGCCTCAAAAAGCCTAACTTCCTTGATTCACAAGGTTCAACATTGAAAATTTCAGATAGGATGCTAGAAAAGCAATTAAGGTTTTTCCTTTGTAGGGCGTTGATGTGGTTTTCCACCAGTTTATAATTATCTGGTGAAACCAGTAGAGGCTTAATGTAGTTATCAAAAACGAAGCGTCCTATTATACCAAATATCCACTCTTTTTTTGCTGAAGGAAAGTTATGTTCTAGCGATAATTTGAGCTGAGAGGCCACATAGCAAAGAGAATAAGGAAAGCTTTCAATATTTCTAGACAACGCAATAATAAAAGATTGACATAACTTTCTTAGCTCCCGCAAGCGACCCACGTAGAGATTTCTTGTTGGGGAATGTTGCATAGCAATACTCAAGGCAACCTTGGGATTTTCTGAAAGGTCCTTTCGATTCGGATCAAATTGTTTCAACAGTGCTATAGGATTTATCTCAAAGTCCATTTTTTCATCATACACTAAAATTTTATGAATACGGCTAAGCATTGATTTCCAAAGCTTCGCATCTCTGATGTTTCCTAAGAGGCCCATTAACAATAATTTCCAAACTGAGTCATTAGCTAAAAGCTCTGTAGTGGTTTCAGTTTGGCTAACTTCCATGTTTAACACGCTTGTCATTAACCTTAAAAATAAGACCTCTTCGCGCCTGTTGGATGCATGTCCAAAAATTTGTAGAATTAAGTAGGTAATATGTCGCAATTGAATAAAATCGGGATTGCACTTCATTAAAATGTGCAAGTAATTTGTGATATAGATTTCGTTAGTTTGCAGCACATAGAAAAAGCATTGTAGAAGATCAAGGTAACGTCTGCTTGAGTTGTTAAGGGTTTTCATAGAACGAGAATTCGTTATGTAATCAGTGACCTGTTTTCCAGGTTTATACTTGCTATGATGTCTTAAAACATCATCTAGACTGATTTTATTTTTTACTAAAAGTGCAATTTTGACGTCCAGTTCATTGATATGCTCCTCAATTGTTTCATTCTCGCGGACGAGCTTTACAATTTCTTTCCGCATGTGTTCAATACAAACGTCTTCTTCAAAGTCAAAGTTATTATCATCCAACAGATGAACAAAGTTTTTGACGGTCATGACCGGAGGGTTTCTAGCGGTAGCTAGTTCACGATATGCAAGCCCTTCTTGTCGGCCCCGATAGACAGATTTTGCAATTATTGGGTTTTCCATCGTCTGGTGAAAGCTTTGTAATTTCCTCAAAAAGTTACTTCTTGCTAAGTAACCTCGAACTATGGATTGTATAGTTATCGTTTCATCCATAAAGGATTCTAATTGAATCTCGATGAAGTTTACATCGTCTCGAAGTAAAACTGCTCTAACAGAAGATTGCATGTAAAGGATATCTCTTGAATGCTTAACTAGATGAATATTCAGTTTTGCAACAGAAATCCTTGCTAAAAATCCTCGAAGGAAAGACTGTAATGTAGTAATAGAGACCTCACGAGAATGAAGTTTCTCCAACAGAGTTAAGTATCGGCGTTGAAATATAATTCTTCGACAAAGTGACTGTAACGAAAGAAGTGAAGGAGAGCAATATTCTAGCTGACTCAAGCGTTCGTTGATAATACTACGCAATAAGCATCCTCTCGATAAAGCTGATAAATTAGTAAAAGACAAAGAGTGGGATTCTAAAGATGACTTTAAAAGATTTATTTTTTTCCTAGAAAAGAGGCCTTTGCACATTGCATGAAACCAAGAAGGAAACTCATCCAGTTCTTTTAAGAGTTGTTGCCAGCGAGCACGAAACAAAGCACCACGTAAAATACTTTGAAATTGAACAAAAGAAGGTATATACTGATAAAGATTGTCCAGCATGTTTACAATCTGATGGCGGATTAGGTATCCTTGGGCAGATGATTGAATTAAAGTAAATGAATATTCTTTCTCTTGTAAACTTTTTAAGAAAGCAAAGTGTATCTTCCTGTAAAAACCTGCACGTATAATGGCTTGCACCTTTGGTACTGAACGTAAACTTTCATTTTTAAGTACTTTTTCTTTGTATTCAACTCGGACAAGATGTCCTCGGATTGTAGATTGAAGCGATACAGTCCACATGACCATTTCCTCATACGCATTCTCGTTGATTCTGTAATTTGAACGTGACAAATATCCTCTGATCATAGCCTGAAAAGTTTCAACGTGAGCACTTTGTTCAGCTAATGATTGTAATACATCGACCAGCTTGATTCTCGCGATTACGCCACGACAACATGCTTGAAGACCATTTAAAATATTATCCGGAACGGGAATACGTCCGTACGAATGGTAAGGGCTATGAAACGAAAACAGAGCATCTCGTCGCCTAGTGGGGGAAAATGTCGTAAAAAAAGGAGTTGGAGAATCGCGCAAAGTGGAAGTCAATGGCGGTTGAAGAAATGGGTCTTCAAATCCACTCAACTTTGGGGAAGAAATTAGTGAATCATTTGGTAGAGAGCTGTTTAGTGAAGGGAGAGAGGATTTAGTTCTTCTATGAGAAGCGATAGAGGAAAAAGGACTGGGCAAAGTTTCTTCCTTTGATTTTAATGGAGAAGTAATAGGGGAAGAATAAGCAGATCCCGAGTCAGATAAGTCTTGAGACCTAGCGCGCGAGTGCTTAAAAGATGGACTAGGGCTTCGGGTAGGAGACAGTGTAGGACTAGCACGAAGCATAAAGTCACTGTTTAAAGCTGTAAAATTAGGGAGCGTTGCATTTGATTGCTGCAGTCTTCTGACTATTTGGGCAATATCATCATCAGCGAAGTGCAAATCCTCGTTTATTCTTTCCAAGGGAGGAGCTAAATGTTGCATCGACAGGAAGAAAGAAAGAGCATGAATACAGTATATAACCTTTGGGAGATTTTTCCCTTCATAAATGTCAGTAAGCTCAAAGTGAAATATATCAGGGAGGTTGATGTCGTTTATAAAATCGAGAAATTTATTAATGTTGTCTGAATGGCGGAACTGTAGCTCACCAGAATCAAAAATTCGGAACCGTCTGTATGGTTGAAACCGTAAAACCAATTTTGCTAGCACCACGCCATTTCGTAAAGATTGTTCGAAAGTAAAGATGGGCCCCAAGTCAGTATCCAAGCATTTTTCAATCCAATTTTTAGCTTCCGTTACACGACATAAGTAATTTAAAGCTTGAATACTATCACGCTGTTTATCTTTCCATCGCATAGTTGAAGTTTTCATATTCTAACACAACCACTGTACGATTAGTCTTCATACAGTCTCTATTTCAACAAGATAAACAAAAACACTATCCAGCATTTACAATAGGTTATAAAATAGCAAATTCGGTAGTCGCTTCCGTTTGCGACGTAAATAAAGAATGTTGTTACTCTATGTGGTAGTGAAGATGGGGTGCAAGACAGATAGCTTGCAACAATGCGGTTGATTGAAAAGTCATTATATGGTATATACAAAGAAGAATTAATAGTTACATTTATCTTCATTATTTATAGGTAATTTTGACGCTACTTCTACATTTATTGAGTTGCTTATTCAGAAAGGTATAAGGGCGGAGGAGAAGCAATACTTAGTCTATTCACGAAATTTATTATTTAAAATGGTATGTATAAATCAGTGAGCTTAAGGTTTAACCTCATAACTACGACGGAACATGTCGTCAATGCCAGTAAGGTAATAGGTGCCAGAGCGAAGGCGATCAACGTTGCCTTGGGGAGTAATGTTCTTCTTCAAGTGGGCCTGGTGGCGAAGCTCAATAGCATTTTCGTATTCGACGGGGGTCATGGAATGACGGCCTTCAACATCGTTAACAAAATTGGCTTTGAGAGCAATGTCAGAAACGTCGCCCTTGACGACGAAAGAAAAGAAAGAAGAAGCCAAGCCGGAACCATAAGAGTAAGCACCAACACGCTTACCTTGAAGTTCGGCAGCTGGAACACGAGAAAGAAGGGAAGTAAGACAAGAGAAGACACTAGCGGTGTACATATTACCGCAATTAGTAGGAGCATAAATACTAGATTGAACACGCTGATTATAACGTTCCTTGGTAATAGCCATTAGGGTTTTTTCTAAAGTCTTATCGGTAAGAGTCTTGGCGGCAGGTAATGTATTAATAAGCTCACGAATATTTTCCAACTCCGCAATACCAGGTTGTTCAACATAGTCAGTGTAAAGAAGGCGAGCATAAGCTTTTTGGACTTGCTTACAGGTGGGAGCATGGAAGACGCAATAGTCGAAACGGTCGATGCCCAGTCCTTTCGATTTTCCATTTCTGGCAACATCACGAGCATTATAAGCAGCATAAGCTTCGTCTAAAGCTTTAACATAACATTCAAGAGAGAAATGACCATCAACGTAGGGGTATTCGCTGGCCAAATCAGGCTTGTAAAAGTCATAAGCATGTTGCATGTAAGTACCACGCAAGCCTGGTTCTAAAACAATAGGGGCATTGGGACCAACCCAAAGAGCAACACATCCGGCACCACCAGTAGGTCTAGCATTACCTTTGTCATACAAAGCAATGTCGCCAGCAACTACAATGGCATCCCGACCATCCCAGGCGGAAGATTCAATCCAGTCAACAGTGTTGAAAAGGGCATTCACACCACCGTAACAAGCATTGACGCAGTCAATGCCTTCAACATTGTGGTTATCACCCATGAGTTGCATCAAAACACTCTTGACAGACTTGGACTTGTCAATGAGTGTTTCGGTACCGACTTCTAAACGGCCAATCTTGTTTACATCAATTTGGTATCTTTGAATGAGTTGAGAAAGAGCGGTAAGGGCAAAAGAATAAATATCTTCGCGGTCGTCAACAAAAGCCATCTTGGTCAATCCGAGACCAACTGTATACTTTCCGGCGGAAACACCATCATGTGCTTCCAAAGCGGACTGTTCGACATACTGTTGTACAGGTTAATAATAGAATAATACGCAAGAACCGAGGGGTACACGATAGGAACCGAAAAGAAGTCAGGTTGGAAACGCGTAACACGCTTATTTTTTTGTGTAGAACACTTTTCGCTCTACCGCATGCTTTGCTTTCCTTAGAAAATTTTTTACCGATTTCCATTTTCACTACAAACCCCCAATAAGAAAATACTTACTTGATTAGGAGTATAAAGGAAGAGACCTTTGATACCGATATCCTTTCGATCAAAAGACATTTTTTTAGTTATAAGGTCGTTGTTAGACTTTCTCCTTAAAGACTCGATAGAAGGATGATTATTTATGAAGAATCCGCAGTTGTCTATGCGTTCGCAGAATGGAGAAGACAGAAACGCTTGGGTATAGTTAGGCCATAGCTGCCACCCCTTTTGTTTGCATATAACGAATGGTAACGAAGGCATACGCAGGCTCACTCGACTATTATGTAAATAAACAAAGCAGAATTAAAATAGGTAGGAAAAAAAGAATGGAATTATTTTAGTATGAATAACAGAAGGATAGACAGAATGTTTAGAGTGTGATTTACTGAACGGTAAAGAGTAAAGACAGTTGAAGATCCTTTTATAAACGTTTTATTTGTTATAGAAACCAAATCATTCAACCAGTTTCACATGCTCATCTCAAATATCTTTTCTAATAGAACCAACTATCCTATTTCGTTTGTTATCTCACAACTACAACGTTCATAAAACAAAAAAGAATTAATTTACAGAAAACTGTTGCTCATAAAAGTCAACCTTTCGCATTTTGATGACAGTTATAGAATCTGTATAGAGCATTAAGTATACAAACAAACAATGCGCTCCATTTCTACAAACAGTACATTAAATGATTTCATAAAAAAAAAAGACCGACAATAAACAAAGAATCCTATCAAGCCAAACCAATATGACGAAACTAAGCAATGCGATTTCGAGCTATAGACTTCAAGGATTGTATATGTGAATCATACAACTCCTGGTTTCTTTTGTCTTTTTATTCTGGAAGCAAGAACTCGAGAAAGTGGTAGTGGATTCTGCTAAACTACCGGTGTCAACAAAGAGAAAAATGTGTTTCAATACCTCAATCGTTCAATTCTTCCTACAATAAAACTTTCAGAATTAATTAAATGTATGAATATATTATTAACTATCTGTTTGTCCTTGTCTTGTGTTATTTCTTTGTTTATTCTTTTTCTTCAAATAGCTGTTAATGTGATATCTCTTTGATAATAAGATATCCGAGTAACATCTTCGAGTAACAGATCTCTGAATATATATCCTTCCCAGACACACGTATGAGTCCATCGATTCCTCTTCACGCCTTATAAAAGTGCAATTCTTGTTAGAAGGGCAATTGTGAGAGGAAAACATCTGAAAAATTCCTTAAACGTATATGAAGATTACTAAATAGAGTTCGTCTACGTGTCGAGTCTCGTAAGTCGAAAATTTTCAACAATTCACGAAAGACAGCGTTCTTTCTCATGGGTTAGAAATTTCTAACCATTGACTTTGACATTTAGTTCTTGAAACGTCACTGCGTTAAGTCTCCTTGCTTTTTCCTTTCGTTTTTCGTCATTCGTGTTTACATTCTTCCGTTCATTTTCGCCAATAATTGCTTCTTCACCTTTCGTTCGTTCTAAGGATTATTTATTTTATTACATTGTTATACCATCAATTTTTTAATTGTGTTCTCTTATATACCCACCCCTATTGTTCTTTCTCTGTTTTTACCCCACGTTTTACTTTCTTCCTCATATTCGTTTATAGCTTTATAAAGAAAGGTGTAAATTTCGAACATAAAGATTCCCTAAATATAACTAATTAAAGTCTCCGTTGGGAAGGAAGAGTCTTGTAGTCGGAATTGTTATTTGTTTACTTTTGATAAATACTACTTCCACCAAACGGTTTTTGATATTTTTAGAATCCTGCCCGAAAAGAGACAACCTTGTTTTAAATAATTCTTCTTTTATTGTTTATCTATTTTTATTATATTCCCTTATGGATTTAGGACGACAAAAATCTCCAAGCTTTGTCGACAATGAGGCATTCCCCCACGATGTTCAATCGAGCCATGAGAATCCTTTTGAAACTCCTTTAGAATTAGAATCAAGAGAGAAAGCCTCAAAAAAATCGGTTGATGTTGCAAATGTGGATGAGGGGGTAATCAACCCTGAACTTTCGCTATCTGGTCATCATGGATTTAATGATACTGTGGAATGCCAACCTGTAAGCAAACGAATTTGGGCTCTTGCTGCATCTGCAGGAATCGGTGGGCTTTTATTCGGATATGATACGGGCGTTATTTCTGGCGCTCTCGTCGTTATCGGAAATAGCCTAGGGAAAACTATAACCGACGGGGACAAAGAATACATCACATCATCTACCTCTCTAGGGGCTCTTATAGGTGGTATCACCGCCGGCGCCCTTGCTGACTTCCTTGGTAGAAAACCGGTAATTGCTATTGCTAGTATTATCGTCATTATTGGCTCTATAGTGCAGGTTACTGCCCATAGCTTATGGCACATGATTGGTGGCCGTTTTGTTATTGGTATTGGCGTCGGTCTAGCTTCCCTCATCGTCCCTCTGTACCTAAGTGAATTAGCACCATCTAAAATCCGTGGTCGTCTTGTGATCGTATATGTATTTCTGATTACCCTTGGTCAAGTTATTGCATACGGTATCGATACTGCTTTTGAGCACGTTAAACATGGTTGGCGCTGGATGGTAGGTCTTGCTATTGTTCCAGCTTTCTTTCAATTGGTGATTTTGGTGTGGCTTCCAGAGTCTCCTCGCCTTTTGATAAAAAAAGAAAAAGCTGAGAAAGCTTACAATACTTTAGCAAGTATTTATCCTACAGCTCATCCATATGAGATTCAAACTAAACTTCATCTTATTCAGGAGGGTGTTCGTGATCCTTTTTCTGGTACAAGATTGCAAAAGGTTATGAAGACATTGAAAGAACTCTATTTTGTACCTTCCAATTTTCGTGCTCTCATCCTTGCTTGCAGCTTACAAGCATTGCAACAGCTTTCTGGATTCAATTCTCTCATGTACTTTTCAAGTACTATCTTCCAAACTGTCGGATTCGATAATCCAACCGCAACTGGTCTTATTATAGCTGGAACCAATTTTGTTTTTACCATTGCTGCTTTCTCAGTGATTGATCGGTTTGGTCGTCGGCTACTATTGTTAGTTACTCTACTAGGTATGATTGCCGCACTCATAGTATGTGCAGTCGCTTTCCATTTCTTACCGAGAGACAAAAATGGAAATTTCTCAGCAGGGCAGAGCAATCCATGGGCTATTGTTATTTTAATTTCCATGATTGTTTATGTTGCGTCGTATGCTTCTGGTCTTGGCAATCTTCCTTGGCAGCAATCGGAGTTGTTCCCAATGTCTGTTCGTGGGTTAGGTACAGGTATGGCTACCGCGGTAAATTGGGCAAGTAACTTGGCAATCGGTGCTACTTTTTTGACCCTAATGAACAAAATCACTCCTACTGGCACGTTCGCATTATATGGTGGCCTTTGCGCTGCCGGCTGGGTTATGTCATATTTCTGCTATCCAGAATTTGCTGATTACACAATTGAAGAAATCAGTATTTTGTTGAAAGACGGCTTTGGCGTTAAGGAAAGTATGGAGCACCTGCGAAGGGTTCGTCAGGAACATGCTTGGTCTCGAGAGGACAACCAGACAAAAGCTTAGCTTTGGTTGTGACTTTAAATGATTTGTAAATATGAAGATTTGCCCATATGCCTTTGGGGTACTTTTTTTTTATCTGTTTTTATTTGTACAAGATATCCTTTTTTCTTGAATGTTTTCGCTTATTTTCTGTTTGATGAAAAATATGTTATGATCTACTCTTTTGTTTGTTCTGTGTGCGTATAGTTATGTGATTTTTATTGTTCGTATGAGACGTTTATATGACAATACCCATTTTCAGTATCTTAGCTAAATGAATATATTAATTCTATCGTTATGCAGGGTTTAATTCTTCAATGTAATTAGAAGGAAACAATCCTACAGGACCAACTGTAGGTTCAACAACACGACCCTTCCACCAGCCGTCTTTTTGTCGATTCAAGACAATTAGTACATCGCCTGATCGCATGCTAATTTCTGAAGAAAGTAGAGCTCTGTAGTTATACAATGCCCGAACTAATCAAAAAGTTAATAAATATCTGACTGAAAAGACATACCGTAAGCATAAATAGGAAATCCATCAGGCGTTATCAATGGATGTGTCGAAAAGTATTTCTTTAAACTATCGCTCTCCGACAGAACTGTCTTTGATGAAGGAAACCCAGAAGAAATGTGATTTTTATCAGAATTTTTATTGTTTATAGTTTCAGGATACAAATTATTACGAGAAGAGGAAGGTGAAGACATCAAAGGAAATTCCCAGCTACTGGTATTGGGCACTTGCGAAGCATTTACCCTTTCTTTTTTCGTATATGAAGAGGGAAATATATGTTTCCCCGGGTCGTTGACTGCATGAAAATCTTGCAGGTCTCTTTTGGCAGTATCTTTTAATGTTTCTGACGGAGTCATGTTCACTGGCAAAGGCATCTCTCTATTCTCAGGTATCGCAGACGACTTTTTTAAAGAGCTAAAGTGATTTAAATCTTTTGAAATAAGAGGGTTGAGACGTAACATCGTTAATGCCTCACTTAGTTTAGAAGTACGATTTTCTAGCTCAGCATACTCAATGTATGAAGGAGAGAGCGACCTATCCAGCTCAGGGCTGGCTTTGGAAGAATGAAGGGATAATAGTGAAGAAGAAGATGATGGCGACTTCTCTCGTTGCTGGCTAAATTCCGGATTCGTGTAGAGTATAAAATTTTCCATGCTAGCCAAGAGTACATCAGTAGCTTCCTATTGATTAGCCAAAGTACGTATTAAATAGAATACCATGGATAGTATAGATGTAGAAGATCGTTTTATCGCACGTTCCACATGTTCCTGTAATGGCTCATAGACCTGAAGCTGGAAATAACGGTACGCTTCTAGATGTTCTTTGTTGGAACTCATAATTTCATTACTAATTTTCTTGTAGAAATCTTTCAACACAGGGCTACTTTCGGTTCCTTTCAGGGATTTCGTCAATCGAGCTAACTTTCCAGCATAGTCCTGCTCCGCTGCCATTCTAAACATGTTAGTTCATACATTACAATTTAGCGATTAAATCTTGAAACAAAAGCAATCCCTTAGAAAAGCCATTCTGACTTCTGGTCTTCCTTTCCTGTCATTATGGATTCGTATATTGTTTCCTCAAAAGAAAAGACACCTTACCTTTGTTTTACCACCTGGTTCCATTCCAAAAGGCTTTCCACGGTGAATTCTCCATCATCCATTTCTTTAGTTACCAGTTCATTCATAAATTCATTTGGGATCTGTCTAGCTGACGCTTTCTAAACAAACCTTGATTGTTGTATCATATTTTTTGGTTATATTAATCTTAAATATTCTTTGTCTAACAAGTGGTCGCATGATGTAGTTGGTTATCATGTCGATCTAATAAGTCGAATGTCGCCAGTTCGAGCCTGGCTGTGACCATTGTTTTTTTCTTTTTGTCTGTTATGCAAGAAATGTTGTTATCGACACGGTAGTTAGACAGAAATCATAGTTATTATCCTCATTCTTAAAACTAATTGCTGTCAAATTCAGCTTTCAAGTTCATTACATGTAGGAGGTCAGTTTTTGATAGTTTACGAAGTAGTCTTCTAGATGAACAGAAAGTAAGTGCTCTAATACAACTTATTTAACAGATTATGCTGCTTTTGAAACAGTAGTTTATTTTTTCATTTGTAAGATTCCGTAAAGTCGTTGAATATATTTATTATTGGAATGATTAATATTTAAACTATGCAACTATGCAACTATGCAACTATGCATTCAAACGCTATGTTAAGAAAACAAACCAAAACCGGAGATTTTTCGAATAATGAGATGCATAAACCTGAACGACAGATTAGTAGATTATCATAAATAGAAAATAAGAAAAATTAAATAGTAGATATCCGATCATCATCAACATTGGGCATAATTATGTAATTTGGGAATACGAACTGTAAGCAAAGGGGCTGTAATATTCATTTCTTCACAGTCTTCATGATTGGAGAAGAAGGAATCAAATTCATGAACCACCAGTGCCCATTCCACTAAGGCTTGACTTATATATACCAATTTGCCAGCACCAATATCATTTAACGGAGCTTTAGCGTAATGAGCGGAAGCATTATTGCTGTTGTAAAGTAAAACCTTGGACTGAAGTGGTAATATCCCGTGAGAGGAATGCTCTAATATTGTCGAAAAGTTTTCACTCTTTTTTGCAAATCCAGTTGTGTCAGGATGTGATGCTTTAAATGTAAACCGGTAGCGAGGTTTCTGTCTCTTATCATTTTGCATAACTTGCGTAAATAAATATTTGTTTGTTGTTGATGCCTGCTTCGAAAGTTCACTGTCGGGATGGTATCCGGACACATTATTCATAAAAGAGCCAAAGGCCTTCCTTAAGCCACTTGAGACAGAGTTCGAAATTGTTACTACATCACTATATATATTATTAAAGACAGTTTCTTCGTTACGATTGACAGGAACCCCACATTCGGCACTATCATCATAATTGTCCAAAGAGGATTCAGAATTACAAACAATGACCAAGCGTCGCATGGGTACAGGCGCTGAAGGCTTCACTGTTGGAAGGGTTTTCGCAGCCCTCAAGCAATCTTGTGTGTAACACTTATATCCAGAATAGCAATGTTTAAGCAATCTTTTCAAGCACAAAACTATTTCTGCTTTGAGCTTAGTCTCACTTTCATCATCAACTTTCAGTAGTCTCCAGCACAGAAGACGGTGAAAATAAGCACGCACAAGAGGAAAACTATGCAAGAAGAGGGTTTCGAACGTTTCTTGAATCAACAACCACCGAAGGCTAAATAACTCTTTGGCATTCAGATCCAAGTATGGCCATATCGTATAGATGAAAACTATGCTTCTTACTATTGCTATGTGGTTCGATGTGCTAATTAGTCCTTTCATTGCTTCGACCCAAAAAGAAACTTCTGGACGATGAGAATAATTAAAAAAAATCTCAAACCAGCTCTCTGTAAGAGAACAATACATAAAGCATGCTTGAAAATCATAAACGCGAATAAATTTTCCAACACCTTGAAGTACACGCTCTAAAGTATCTAATAATCGCAACTGTTGTTGCCGGCAATCTTTCACTGCTTCGAAAAAGCCTTTCACATGATCTGCCAATTGCTGCAACATCGCTATCGTAGTAGTAGTAACAGCGGGCTTCATGGTAAGTACCTCAGAAGGCGGGTTAAATTCATTGTTTTTTGAAGTAGGGAGTTCAATAAACGCACCAGTCGTATAGCATTTCCGCTCTGACAAGTTTATGGTAGCTAGACAGAGCTGAAGAAGATAAGCATGTAAATTAATGTAACCAGGAGCATAATAAATCATGTCACGAGGGAGTTCGAACGAAAGGTTCTGCGCTAGATAAGAATGATACTCGGCAAGAAACTCAAAATATAATCCGCCTTTTGGTAAATGGAAACGATGGAACCAGTTTTCAGTAAATTTGATGGGTTGCCGTCCATACCCAATGGTAAATTGATTTGAACATAATTTATTGACAACCAGCGGGCACATAATAGAGTGTAAATGCTCAGGGAAAAATGGTGCCATGTATTTCTGGGGTTGATTTCTTCCATCAGTATTTAGCTTTGATGAAATGTATCTGACGAAGTTCCTATCAATCGTGAGTGCTTTAAGAAAATGCTTTGCAAAGTTTTCAAGTTTAAAAAAAGAAAGAACCAATATTTTGGCACAAAAGTTTACCAAGGTGTGCGGTAGTACCTTCTGAGTAAGAAGCCGTACTACAAAAGAAAGAGTATCAAACAAGATGAGTTGATGTTCCATATTCAATAGTTCCGAATGTTCAATCTCTTTCCAACAGGAATGTTCGGCGATAGAAATTACCGACTTGATGAAAATAAGTCTCTCAGATACTGATACGTGAGTAGTTTCCAATAGTCGTATAAGAAAAGCCCACCAATTGTAAAGAATATGACGCGTCTTACCCAATTCCACTTCCGGTAAACCTTGTACAGAGAGACTATTCAAGTGGGGAAAGAGAAATTGATTTAAGATTGTTCCCCTTTGAGTATCCTTACAGCTGACGAATGTTATGAATTGTTCAACTAGAGGGGACTCTTCACGGGAGTCACTGAGTTCATAAGGTACATGCTTATCAAAGCTCCTTGACGCTGTAGAGGACTGGCTTTCAAAGGATTCACTAGAACGAGGCGAGGTATATGAAGACAATGGAGATGATTCATCGGAAGGTTCACGAGATACATGGGAAAGACGGGCTAACGTATCTTTCATAGAATCATTAGGAGGAGAGTTGACTTGATCCGAAACCGAAAGACTGTGTGATAAGGGCTGAATATTTTCATATGAGTCAGAATGCGTAATAACAACAGGGAGAGTTTCTTCTGGACGCTTTGTTGACTCCGGTTGTGAAGGCCTCCTGTTTGGAGGGCCCATAACGGCCATTAAAAGTTCATAGCGGCTATGTATATCTGCCATGAAAGCTTTCTATAAAAATGACAATAAAACCTAAAAAAAGTAGTGGAACAAGTTTGAGGATGAAATAATAAGATTTTTAAAAAGCATGAGAAAAATTAAATGAATAGCAGATCTCCTATTCTATATTAAAGAAAGTGAGCAGTTTAAAGATGCTAATTAAATCAAAAAGTACGAGAAAACGAAAACGAAAAGCGAAAATATAACAAGAAAACAGAGCAACGCCAATTAATGTTGAAGCGATTCAACGCGTTTGATATCAATATATCAATGAGATGGGTATACAATGCTTCAAAAAAGATCGTCAAGTATAAAAGAATGATGAAAACAAGACTAAGAAATTAATTTCTTTTCATTGGCGTGCCAAAATTCAAAGTAATTAGGATGACGGTGGGTATATGCTAATGGAAAGGAACTATCGGGTTGGGTTGGTTTAGGTCATTCAGCACTTCCCATACCAACACCAACTTCAAAAGTCAATCCATACAATTTGTAATTATTATAACTAGACAAATTTCTTTATTTATAAAGTAATAATTTTTAAAAAGAAAGTTGAGATTAAGGCTCACTTCCGCGAGCTAATATAAGGGGGGGCATTGTTTGTGTGACTATATAAACTTGGCCTTTGCATACGCCTACCAGTAAGGAAAACAACCTGGTGTGTGAAATAAATTTTAAGTATATCGCCGAACTCGATAGAGACACTCGCTAAAAGCATAGGAAAGAAGCAGTCGTCGTGGAAAGTGAATGGTGGCATTGAATGGATGAGGGTGAAAGTGAGCAACAGGAGTGAGTATTATGCGTTTTAAATTAAATGATTCTTTTTCGGGAAAGAGCTGGACAATTGAAGATGTCCATTGGACTCCACAGGACTTGGTTTCCTGGATTATGAAGCTTGATATTGACTTGAGTGATGATGCGAAATTGTTGCTTCCGAACGGCATGTCTTTGAATGAGACATTACTGGATGATGACAGTAATGTGGTTATCTACGTACTTGACCAAAACTTGTTAAAATTTAGCATTCCAGAAGGTACCCCTTCTCTTCCCAGCCTTGAAGTGGGTAGTTTCGTCAATAGCTTACCTAATTTTGAGGTTGAAAAAGACAAATTTGTTTCCTTTCCATGGAAAGAGAAATTGCTTGAATACCGTCAGGAAATAGCTGATTTCATTCATGCGTCTTACAACTTATACGAGGAATTGACTCTTCATCATAATCAAATGACCACTAGTCTGAGTGCCCCGACGGTAGCGATGAATTATTTACAACGGCGTCAGTCTGGGATGAAGGAGTTGTTGGTCGTCTTTTATGAGCGATTAGAAAAGGTCTCCATTAACGACCTCCTCCGTGATTTTTTGGCTATGCCAGTTGGCTCTTTGCCTATTACGACTCATAAACTGTTATCTCCAAACTGGGTTAAGCTAGATTCTTGGTTGAACTCTATTTCTTCTCAATATTCTGAAGCTCAAAAACGTGTTCAGCAATGCATCGCGGCTACAAATAGCATTGTTGTTTCCCCTTTCAAAGAGCATTCCTCTATGGAAGAAGCCTATTCTTTATTTCAACAAATAACCAAGTTTACTGAAACAATTAATTGCGATTTGAAGGATCTGCTGGAGCACTGTTTTGAGCTGGCGAAAGACCCAACTTTGTTAGATAGTAAAATTCGAGTCCATGTTCATCATGTGCAACAGCTATCGGTTCTGGTAAACGACTTGCATGGTTACGCATGCTCTTTTCTCGATTCCAGAAAATCATCGTTGATTACGTTAAAATCTTTTTGGCTTGCTTTTTTTAAAGTTTCTCTAAAATATGACACCTTATACGAATACTTACGCCATATCGCCGAGGAATTAGATCGAAGCAAATTAATCATTTCCCAATGTCAAAATATATATTCTCTTTTTGCTGACATTTTAATGGAAGCTCTACGAAGAACTGAATGGCAAGCATCCTATAATGCAAATCACAGAAGTACCCTTCCCATAGACCAAGAGAAAGAGTCTAATACCCGAAAATCCTGGCTGAGTCAATTCTCTAATTTCTTATTTAATCATGACCAGTTAAGATATCTTCCTACAATTACACGAAGCGAGCTGTCTGCCTTCCTAAACAATCTTCAAGCCGAGCCCAAATATCAAAATTTTTTGCATATTCTTAGCAATCGTCTTTCAGAGTCGCTTGGATTTCCTAATCCTTTGCAAGGTGATGCATTACCTAGTAATAATCAAGAAATCGCAGCACTTCAAGAACGATTAGCTATCTATCAAAACCGTTGTAACAACCTGGAAACTATAATGTTGCAGCAGCGACATTTACCTATTAATACAAATCTAAATGATATGGCCCAACCAAACACACCTCGCGCAGATGTAATGGATGATGGTTCGCAGCCATTTTATCGGACTTCCCCCAGTATTGTTCCTTTAAACATTATAAGAAAATTTTCCCAACGTAAAACGTCTTTTTCTGAGGGTCTTGCGTCCAAATATCAGGTTGAGGTAGAACAACTTCGTCACGAGTTAGGCGAAGTAGTAAAAAGAAATAGCAACCTTTCAATAGAGTTAAACTCTAAAAAAGAGCGTGTGCATTTCTTGGAAACGGAAAATGAAGAGCTCTTAGCAAAATATAACGATAAACCTCCGCGTGCAGATGACTCTTCTTTAAGAAATGAGGGATCGCAAAACGAGAATCCAGTTGTGAAATTATCACATGCTTTTGATGAAAAGCAAAATATCATGTCATTTTGCTCAGTCTTTGAAAGTAAAGTTTCAAAGTTACAGGAGATTTGTGATGTCTTCAAGAATGAAATCACTACGTTAAGACAGCAGGAAGAGCTTTCAGAAATGGCTAAAGATTCTCAATTAGTCAAGAAGCTTTTGGAGGAAAAAGCATTAGCAACTCAAGAACAAAAGAAAATAGAGGAAGTTGCAGAATCCAGAAGAGAGCAATGTAAGGTTTTAACTCAAAAGCTTTTTACTTTAGTTTTCCGTTGTCATGAACTACGGACCGTTTTGCAAGAATGTGTGGGACAAGCTGGCCAAGAAGTGGATCGTGATGGTTTCTGTAATGGCTCTGATCGACAAGTACAATTTAGTTCCAAAGATTTGCAATATCTGTACTGGATGGACAATGATGATACTGACCAGTCCTTCCAGCAATTTATGAATCGAATGGCTTCTTTAGATATTGACTCATTTCATGAGTTCGTGGTAAATGTTATCATTGAAGCCCATAATAATGAACTTCGCTGGAAGCGTGAGTTCCAGTCTAATCGAGATAAGGCCTTGAAAGCCATATTAGAATCCCAAACCAAAGTTTCTTTGCGAAATTTTAAGCAAGGATGTTTGGCTTTGTTTTTACCGACTCGCCGTTATATTCAAGGTCAGCGTATTTGGGCTGCGTTCAACGTTAATGCTCCGAACTATTATCTAAAAATCCAAGACATCTCAAAGCTTAATTCTCGTGACTGGATGGTAGGAAGGATAACATCCATTGAAGATCACGTTGCTGATGGAACAATTGACAAATGGCTAAAACTACCTATGGGCACTATTTGGCACTACGTGGATGCTATTGATGAAAGACTTTAAAAGACTCGTTTCGACGTTTTGATATTTATGATGTGTCTCTTAAATGAGATAGAAAATCGCAACACTCTCGTTATCCCATTGTTTTCATTATTGATGTTTATTTAAGAATGAAATATTTTAGTATGGCGCTTATGATGAAAGACATAAGGCAGTTAATGTCTATACTAGAATCTTTTTTTTCATGACCGATAACTTAATATTTTAAATGAATTGATTAGCATTCTTACAAATTTAATTTGGCACAGAATCGTGTTCTTTCAATACCTCCAGGTAGAAGTATCTAGTCATCCTAGTAAGCATATAAACTACCCATCGTTAACTCAAGGTATAAAAGTGTGAACTCTGAATAAGATTGCATTATGAGAAAGCTGAAATTAATCACATTTGACGCATTCGGTACAATTTTACAGTTGGCAAAGCCTGTGCCATTTGTTTATTATGAGATGGCACGAAAGTATGGAATATCAGTGTCTCTGGAGCAAGTTAAAAGGAACAGCGATCATGGTATGTTTAAGAGTTATAGTTTTGTATTGAAATTGACTAATACGAGCTTGAGCTTTCCAAGAAATGAGTAAGATGCATAAAAAACAAGGGCTCAATGATGGATTAAATCCTCGTGAATGGTGGTTTAAGGTAATTATAAATTTAAGAAACAAAAGAAGAAGAAATTTCACTTGATTTTTGAAATGAATGAAACCATGGATAAAAGAAAGACTGACATATCTCTAGGTTATTAAGAATTCATTCCCGTGTCCGATCCCTAATATGATGGCAGAGGATTTGTGGAATCACTACTCTACAAAATCAGCATATCATATTCATCCACTGTTTGAGGGGTTTTTGAGAAGAAACGCCCAAGAAAAGGGTTATGTAGTTGGCATCATTTCAAATACAGATGATCGTATTTATTCTGTGTTTAAAAGCTGTGGGTTTGCTGATTTAATTAATGTTTATGCATTCTCTTATGACATTGGATGTCAGAAACCAGAGAAAGGCATATTTGAATATGTCAGAAACAAGACCGGTCAACTAACTGGAGAATATCCAGCTCCTAAGGAATGTCTTCACTTTGGAGATGATCTTATAAAGGACGTTGAAGCTGCTAAGAATGTGGGATGGCATGGAGAGTTTTGTAATATACATACCAACTTTCCTAAAATCATTCATGGCTTAGAGCATTCCTTGGAATAAGCAACAAGCATCAAAGCTTACGCTTTATAATTCCTTATACTAAATGAAGAATCCGAAATATTTGACGAAATATAAATCGATGTACAATCGACGATGAATCAAGTCTACTTCCACTTACTCGAACGCTCAAATCCATCCAAGGAGAGCCTTTATTTCCATTTTCTATTTAATTCTTTCTTTGGCTATCAGACGGAAGCCTTCTGTCCTTTATGATACAGCTCCCTATGGATATTATCTCCCGTCCTCAACAGGTTTTGTTTGAATGCACAGCCCTTTTATTCAATTCCGTAGTTTCTTTTCAGAAAATGGTTTCGCATGCTATACTACATATGATTTATAAAGTCAAGGATTATATGTTGTATCAGTGATCTATGTTATAGTGAAGAAACCAACAGCAAACGGTTTCACCATTTTTAAAAGGTAAATTATTTGATTGAATTATAGAAAAGAAATGAATGAACTCGAAACACGATACGAAACAACAAAATACATTCATTTCCTTCTTGTTTCCTATTTGTTTACATTTATATAACGCATCCTTGCGTAATCCAGTTTCCCATATAATGACTTGCAATGAAACAACTGTGACTTGTTTTGATGGTAAATATAAATGAGTATATATTTTTCAGACTTTTCCCATATACCTAATAGACAAAAACGAAAACGATGCTTTGACCGGTACTAATTCTTTAGATGTTGATTCAAATATCAGGAAATTTTGTAAGGATTTATTACCAGTCAGTGTATTGTAAACAAAGGAAATCTTCGAATGATTAAATAATGAAATTTTAACAATCTGTCAATCCCCTGAGAAGTTTCTTTGACGAGAAAATTCATAATTATGACGATGCTTTTCCTTTGCTCAAGATTATGTATATTAATGAATTAATAAAATATTAAAAAGGACATTTTTGTTTAGACGAACGGTAAAATAGTAGATCAGCTATGTTGATAAGTAGTAGGTTAGCTGCTGAAGATACACGTCTTTTTTTTTTTTAATAGAAAGCTTGGAGATGAAATTTACGGTCGCTTAGGGTTCCTCGTCAGCAGTCTGTAAATAATAATAGCTGGGATAGAAACAGCAGTGATGGAAGAAATAGTGGTGCTTGGAAAGACATTCCAAGCATACTCTTGAAGTCCCCATAAGAGCAATGTTTGTAGCATGGAAAGCTTGGCTTGATAAAGCATGTAGGGAACATACCAAGCAAACCAAGCGTAAAACTGATAATGCAGTGAGCGAGCACAAAGGATACCAATGAGGTTGCTAGTGGTCAAGGTTGTTAAAATAAAATTAACAGAAATGGGAGCTACTGATGGAAGTGGCTGAAGGGTCAACATGGACCTCACCATTTGAAGAGGAGAAGCTTTCGATGGGTAGTTCCATTTCTTGATAGCAAAGGTAGTCAGGAGAAGAACATGAAAGGATAGGACAGTTAGAGAAAAAAGAGGAGAATAAAAGATAGATTTTGGAAGAAACCGCCAGTTCACTGTCCATTTATAATCAAAGACTCTACCAAAGTCGAAGGCTTGAGACAAGTAGCTCCAGAAAAAACCAGAAAAGGGAACTGAGAAAAGAGCTTGAACGAAGAGAAACGTGAAAATGTTGAGCCAAGTCTTTTTTGGTCCAACAGCTTGCAGGAGCACAACTAAATAAGCTGGAAGAAAAAGGAGCGACGACATCTTAATGGAACAAGCAATGCTCAAAAAAATGGAAGAGACCTTCCACTTTTTTTTGCAAGCAAAAAAAATGAACAAAGAAGCAAAAAGGCTATTGAAACTGTCATTAAAGAGTCTCAAGATGAAAATACTGTGAAGACGTTTGGACAAGATCAGCAGCCCATAAAGATATAGGGGAGCGTGGACGGTTCTGAAGATACAGCCAACAACAAAACTAGCAGACCAGTAGACAAAAGCGAATATGTATTGAGCTTTGGTGATATTGGTACCGCGATCTGTCATGAAATATAGCAACGTATACAGTAAAACATGACCACCTGGATATACGAGAGGGCCGGTAGAGCCATATAGCATCCGGTAGTCTCGTTCACCAGACAGGAAGCCACTGATTTGCTCCATGTAAGCAATCCAGTCGATTTCTGTATAGGGGACATTGGAAATAATGAGTATGACAAAGGGAATTTCGAGCCATAGGATGCGGTTGGGCTGGAACCATCGTGACGAAAGAAAGCGAAGGATTAAGAGAATAGGATCAAACCGGTTTAGACCCGTTCGAATGGGTGAGGGGACGAGCATGGTAGGACAAATGAAAAAGGGAAGGGCTGTCTATGACTGAAATGGACAAAAACAAGTGAAACAGAATGAACAGTTTTTTATTTCACAAGTCGTTTTCATTCACTAATTTACGTACAAATAATGAGAACCAGCTTAAACTACTGGCTGTTAAAGACCCAAAGAAACGTAAATAAACTCAACGAAAAAAAAAAAAAGTAAAAATACCAACAAAAACTTGAAACGAGATTTAATAAAAACAAATAAGTATTATTTTCCAGAAAAATATTCATGAGATGAGCAAAGAAAATACAAAGACAGTCAGATTATGGTTCTCAAATGTTTTCATACGGTCATAATGAAGTAGCGAAGGTAGAAATGCTCTTCCAAGGAAATGGGATATTTGCACTGAACGTTGCTACATGAAAAGAAGCATTCTTATCATAAGACAAAGTTCCTGATTCCGCATTTCTTTCTTACTTTACAAAGTGAACTATGTCTACTACTTATATACCAAGCAAACTTTTCTTATGGCAATTCTTTTGAAAAAAGCTTCAGATATAACTGTTTCCTTTTTTTATTAAAAGTGAATAGATTCTATTTCATTCATTCAAATATTCAACACAAAACAAAATTAACAGAGGAGAGATCTCGAGTCATCAACAGTGATGGGTATAATTAACCTAAACTATAGGAAACAATACTTTCATCACATTTAAAGGTTTTCCTTGATAACAGCTTCGAGTTTGGCAGGGTTGGCACCAACAACTTCAGCGACCTTTTGGCCCTTCTTGTAGAGGAAGAAGGAGGGCATAGCATGAACACCAGCCTCAGCAGCGATCTCGCTCAATTCATCGACATCGACCTTGATAAACTCAGCATTGCTATAGGTCTTGGAAAATTGTTCAACCTTAGGAGCAATGGCCTTGCAAGGACCGCACCAAGTAGCAAAGAAGTCGACAACAACAAGCTTGTCTTGAGCAATGACAGCCTTGAAGTCTTCAGTCTTGGAAATTTGGTTCACCATTTTGTGTACTTTTTAAGAAAATGTGGTTAAAATCTAATGATTAACGCGTAAATAATGAAATTACAGTTCAAAACTCTGGTGTTTTGCTGTAGTAGATGATGGTTCTTTACAAGTTCGAAAAGCCCCTTTTATACTTAGAAAACCCGATGCTGCTTACGCGACATCGCTTATGTACATAACACGGTCCAGAGCATAGCCTCGCTGGGGATGACGTTTTGCTTTCAAATACTTTTCCAGAATAGTGGTTTGGACGCCAGCTTCGAATTCAACATAACGATATTTTTTTATGGTACGATAAATTTACGTAAGCAAGATTTATCATAGATTGAAATGTAAACAAAGACGATTCCCGCAAACAATGGAAGGAAAAGTAGCATTATTAACACAAGGGTATGGGACCGTCAGAAAGAGTCTGAAACCTCTATTTATGCTTCATTCCTTGTGCCGTTGGCAAGTGTAGACTTGGATTTTGAACTGCTTTCGTTTTTTCCAGTCATCCTAAGCCTTTGAAACAAGATTTTCTAAACCTTGTCTATCCTAATTGCATTTAAGGATCTCTACCAATTGCTTATGCTACGGTTTAACCCTTTTGTTGTGCTTTTCTTTTCATTTCTACCCACTACTATGTTTTACTACTTCCTTCCATATGATAGGAAAATCAGACATCGTTTTAGGGAAATTTGTTAATACGAATAATATCATTTTATCGAGGATGAATTAGAACAAATATCGATATTGCTGAATCATAAAGATCGGCTTCTATATGCTAATGGCAACAAGTGAACAGGTTGTTTTGTTTGTTTACTAAGTACTTACTAAGTAGAATAGATAGGCTGCATTCATATGATTGTTGGTGATTTTGGCTGAATGCAATTAAGGAATGTTTTCAGTCCTCGTGATGAACTAGTCGATCCATTCCTGTTTATATCCATTCATTGAAGACCGAGAGTTTTCTAAATAGCTACTGTGTTTAAAAAAATACAAGAGAAATGTTTCATATTCAGTCGAAAACACCCTGCTCTTCCATTAAGGTATCGGACTTTTGTTTGTGTTTTAACAAATCATTCGTTATATTGAATAAAGATAGTATAATATCGTCCAATAGTGATCGTTTAGGATGATAAACAGGGAAAATGTTTCTGTAAAAGGAAAAGAGAGTTTTCCGACACAAAACGCGTTTCTTCTTCTTTTTGTTTTTTTTCTATTTCGTTTTCTTATTCGTTTCTTTTTTGAGAATGTAGAAAACAAAAACAAAAAGAAACTCGATCTTGTCGTATTACCTTGGATTACGGAATCGTCTTATAACGCTACGGAACACCCTATCGTAAGCAATGATCGCTTGTGTCTCATCTGCAACAATTCATCCTTTCCTTTGCAACTCTCTGTAAACAAAGACAAATTTAAAGGTTCTCTCCATCATCATGACTGATACGCAGCTTCAAAACATTGTAAGTACCTTTGGTGTTTCCATGATGTTCCTAATTATCGTTTACCACTACCTTTCGCGTTCGCAAAAGTAAGTCCAAGTTTTGCAACCGAATGTTTCAGCAGAACGGCTGCTCTCTTTGCCATCCTTTGTTTTGTACTCCTTCATTTCTTTTTGATACAACAAAACAAGGAATGTACGTTAAATTTAACCCGATACTTATTACGATCGTTACGGAAAACTTGCAATGAAATTTCTCCTTGTTCCTCTTCCGTCATCCTCCTTCTTTCTCTCTGTTTTCTCTTTTTACTTTTTATTTTTTATTTTGGAGGCTGTTTTGAAGATTTCTAATATTTATCAACGTCAAGACAATATTTCATTGATCTACTACTCTCGAAAGTTATGAATTCTCTTTTTAATGAAACTACATGCTTTTATTATATAGTTTTGTGTTTTATTCACACTTCCTGTGAACCCACTTAGTAAAGGAGAGGAAAAATGATCCATTTCGGCCGGCTATTGGCAGTTTGTGGTTTACGAGAGGCTTGCTTCGATGTTTGCGAGTACGAGGTTGCAATAGTGATCATACTACCCAGAATCCATCCGTAGACAAGCCATATGATCCAGTGATTCATCATACATAGGAAACCTGTATAGAGGATAACTTCTCCAAAGTAATGAGATCCTGCAATCCAGCGAAATCCGCTTTTCTGGAGAGGCAAATAAGATCGCTGGTGTTTTTGTGCAATCAAATGCTCATGACTTGCATTCTGCCACACGTTTCCAAATATATACAAACCCAGACCAATTCCTTGTTTCCAACCTGCATATTGTTCATAGTCCCCCAGACATGCAATTAGAATAGCTAAAAAGGTATGTGAATAGAAGAAGTAACCCAACAAGTAATGTGTTATCAGCATCTTTGACCCGCTATTGCGAAAGCGCAGGCTTTCATACAACCGACGTAACATATGAATCTGAAACAGCACCAGAGAAACCTGTGCTTTTCTACTGTATAGTAATTCTGTCTTTGCCATTTGCAACACCGGACTATGCCATGAATGTGAAAGCACAAGAGACACATAGCACAGGACGAGAAAGAATGTATACGCATAGAAATGCCAAAACCAGTACTTGGGAACTTGTAACCTTGAAACGATTTGAGGCGTATTATTTCGCTTAGAGTCTTCATGGCCACTGTACATCGTTATCCATTTCCACTTGACTATTTTTGGTACAACTAGTACAATGGTCGTTGTAGCTACAAAGTACAAAGCCACTTCAATTTTTAAAAGAAGAATCCATGTCTCCAATTGCAGTTGCAGCATTTCAAAAACACAAACAATGTGACATACACTAAGTACTGACCAACTGACTGTTTGGAGTGATAGTTATGCACCTCAAGTGAACCAAAAACAAAATTGCAAAAGGACAAAGAAAAAAAGGTGAAGTAGATCTGCTTACTGAGGCTCTCCAGTAGAAACAAAGGTTTGTTTTCTTGTAAGTTCACCAAACATACAGGAATCGTTAGAATTATGGAATTCAGCAAGTTTCCTAGGCTTATTAAAACGTATTTTCAAGAGATTTATGATTCGTGAAAGAAAAACTGATAATTAAAAGAGATTTTGTGGTTTCTATTCGCAGGTTATATCGAATAGTATGAACCTTTTCTTCAGTCATCTTTCAGGAAATTATGCTGGACCAAAGCTTACGTTATGAATTACTCAATAAATAATCAACCGCACCATTTTCTGAGATTCAAGAAATGCATCTTGGTATGCTAATGCTTTCTCGTCCTAAGAAATATTATGGATTTTCCATTTCGAGCTGATACTCTTAGACAGTGGTAAATTTTGGATTTTGGAGGCGAGCAGGTATATTTGAGCTGTTGATGATATCTCTTTTCGCTTTGTATTTTTTTTGTTCACTCGTGTAAATGTATCTGAATTCGCCTCGGGTTATACGGCCCTTTATTGGAAATGTCTTCAGAAATCTATTATCCCCGTATGCTTCTTGATACTCGAAACATGATTAGGATACCGAATTGCTATCGTACATACCGATTGGCAATACTTTTCTAGCTCACCGCTGGGCTTTGCCAGTCTCAATTTCATGGAAACTACTTGATTCTTGTCGCTCTCATGTCGTTGATTCTTACTTTTTAAAATATTGAGTTCTAGCAAACTGAACACTTGAATATATGGTCAGACTGTCATTGCGAGTATTCTCAAGCCATTGTGATTCAAGGAAAGTTGTCCTTAAATGAATCGCAAACACAGGTATAGCGTTTTGGAAAAAGCATGACAAGGAAAACGGAATGGAGATTCCCTAAGGCTAATCTGTTGTATCCAGAGATGCTAGACAACTGATCTGAAAACAATGAACGAAATATGATCCTTTTCAACGTGGAACCTTTAATTATGTTCCTCGCGAGGAAGCGTTTTTAATTCCTCATTTCAATGTTGAATAAATCGTATATATTTTAGCCTTTGATAACTAGCATACTATTGAAGAGCTCAGTCGATTAATTTTCCTATCTATAGCATTTGTAAAAGTATAAATGGTTCTAAAACTATACTACGAGTGTTTGTATGGAAGTATTGTGATTATTGCTTGTACAAATCCTAAAGTAATTGAAACCCAGTTTCTTCAGATTTAGTAGTTAATGTTTTTCATTTTCCAAATATAATTACAATGAAATTAGAATTCTTTCTTTATAGCAAGAAAAGTATAAAATCAGGCTTGTCATATTCACCCTTTTGTGGAGGGAATTTCTTCTTTAGGCCTATATCTTTCCTACAATTGAACACACATATAACTCCGTTGCCGGACATTTAGACATCTAACATTGCAAATTTTTCTTTTTAGAATTTCTTAAAAGTTATTTTGTTGAAAGAATCAAGAAATCTGAGATAGAATGCCTTCTGATGACATTAGTTTCGATGTAAGTGCTTTAAATAGACTTTGCTGTGTCAAGAGGAAGAAACCCATACTAATTATCTTTCTAAAAAGAATGTCGCCTCTCCTCCTCCGGCTGTATTGGATAATCCCAGAATCGACAGTATTGTAGACAATGCTCGTAGTGCAGCTATTCCTTGGCATGGATATCAACGATCAGGCATTCTGTCAGAGAATGAATATGGATTAGTCTCAGATATAATTGGAAAACCACTAGATGTTTTTAAAAGAGTCATCGAATCTGTAAGTTTTCTCACTAAATGGACTATTGGTTTTTTTATCTTTTTGTTCTGCCTACAGTGCTCCAGCTAACGTTTATGAAGGATGTAAAAGTCTATACTAATTTGTTCTTAAAGCTATTTTCGCTTACAATGAACCCGGACATAGTGAACTATGCTTTTGTGAAAGTGGCCGATGCTTTACTAAGTATGTCTTGACTTGGAGGACCATTATGCTAACTTGTGTTATTTAGATTCTAAAGAATTTTCTTATTTTTTTATCCCATTGTTCTTCAAATTCCTAAAGGAAAATGAAACGTATGTCATATATTCGATACTAAAATGAAAAGATTAGCTGTAGCTACTTTGTTATATTTGGTTCCTTAAGTCACTAACATGCTTGTTCAGTTACTTTGAGAATTTGGATACAGATGGCAAGCTTTTATTTGCTCAAGTATTTGCATTAGCAAACTTATATGTGGCTTGTAGCTGTCCCAAAATGTTTACTGTATTTTTAGAATACTTAAGCAAGCTTATGACGAGCACAGACAATTATCTGTGCCTATTTGCTACTCAATGCCTTGCTGCTATGCTGAACTTGAAAGCTCATCGTTATGGTGTATGGGCTGAAGGCTCTTGCCCTTATCGTCTAGCTGAGATACTTCGAAGCTCTTCTGCTGATTCTCAATTGCAATACTATTCCCTTTTCTGTTTTTGGCTACTCACATTTGAAAGTCCCATTGCTAAAGAAGCTAACAAGCCTTTTGATCTTATTAAGGTAATGGTTCACATTGCAAGATCAGATACGAAAACAAAGGTTTATCGCATGATTCTCGCTATATTTTCTAATCTTTTACAAAAAGCTCCTAATGAAAATATATTTACCATGCTCCTCGAGAATGTTGATAAAGCCGTCAAACTACTTCAGCGAAGAAAATGGGCTGACGAAGAAATCCTCAGTTATATGGACTTTATTATTTCCACTTTAGAAGTCAGCTCTCAGCATTTATCTACGTTTGATATCTACAAGTCTGAAATTGAAAGCGGCCAGCTCCATTGGTCACCTTCTCACCGCTCAGAACAATTTTGGATAGAGAATGCCAAGAAACTCAATTCTGATAATTACTCTTTGCTTAAAAAGTTATTTCAAAATTTACAAAATCATGGCAATCCCACTTCACTTGCCGTTGCATGTCATGATTTGGGTGCTTACATAACATACTACCCTGAAGGCAAGAGTGTCCTTGTGAAGTATGGCATGAAGCAACGTATTATGGAACTCATGAGCCATCCTAATCCAGAAATTCGTTTTGAAGCTCTTAATACAGTTCAGAGATTAATGACTGAGGTTTGGTAAGTATCAGTCCATTGTCAGTCTAATATTCACCTTCTTACTAATTATTTAGGAATAATTAATTATTCTATTGGTAAAAAAAAAAAGGTCCTTAGCTCATCTTCCTCGCTAATTACTTTATTTTTATGCCATCTGATTTAATATACGATCTAGTTTCTATCTTTTACCTTTGGTAATTAAAAAAATAGGTTATTTGATATATCAAGTTATTATTAAGGACTGTTACTGATTTTTATGTAGAGTTATGCATTAATGACTAACGTGCAGATCATATTCACTCTTGAGGAATGCCTAAGACCCACCCTAGACCACTAGTGAAAGTATTCGTGACCTTCTTAGTTATATCTTCTTCATCGTTATCGGAAAAATCTGGATTAGGAAGGGCTGTGAGATTAGATTCATTATAATTCACGTCAACACCATCTTCCGTGGGCGAATCTACTTCGGCAGCAGCAAGAGACCACTCTTTATCAAAGTCGTCTCCATGTAACTCTTCATCATTAATCGATTCGTTAAGTTCTGGAAAGGCATCAGCACCCAAATCACTCTCAGTTTCTTCTTTATCCCTATTTGATTCAAATTCTGTCCAATAGTTTACAACATCATTTAAAAGTTCTTTTGGGGCATTAGCAATAGCAAGTTGAAGCATCTCCAGTCTTATTTCGCGTGACTGAGGATCATTCAATGGAGTTTTCCCAATTTTAAAACAGATCCTGTAGATTCTTTCCCGCATACTGTCGCTCAATTCCGCTAGTGTAACAAGTCTGTCTTCCACTAACTGCTTTGCAGTCAACATATCGCTTTTCAGCAATGCCGCATCTACACACCTGTTCACAACCTGCTCGGTAATTTGGCGAAGTTGTGTAATAACGTCGTTATAATTAAATTCTCCAGAAGCTTTGTACAATTCAATCATAAGCGCCATTAGCTCATCGACTTGCTGATATGAATGCGAATCTTGGGTAATAATGTAGGCTAACAGTTTGTTAGGATCCAAATTGTCCTCTATTTGCTTAGGCGACAACGGTTTTCCTTTTTCTATTAGAAAATCAAATTGCTTAATTAAATCCACAGAGTTAATAAGGGCATAAAGACGACGACGAATTGTAGTAAGGCTATCGCATTCACTAAAAACATCGAGAACTCTACTTGCAGCATTGAGTTTTCCGCGATTCTTGTTCATACTAGAAGCAGAGTGAAAGTTTTCGTAGAAGCTGGTTTCCATACAATTCTGCAAACTATCCTGATCAATATCAGGTAAAGCCAATTGATCCTTCATCTTGTCCAAAACGCTAAAATTTGATACGGATAAAATCTTTTTAAGGAATAAAAGGCTTATTTCTTTTGATTCTATTTTATTAAAGAATAGATCTTGACTCTTAAAAGAAATGATGAAAGAAAAGCATTTATTCCAATCATTATAAGAAACAGTCTTCGATTCACCTAGAGAACTAGACAAATACTTTTGGAGGAAGCTTTCCTGTGATTGCTTGTCTGAGGCAGATATATTCAGACAAGCTCGTACATTCGGAATGGGAAACATATTAGCGCTCTTAAGAATTGGAATAGCGTCAATGATACGATATAATAAAGTAACAGACTCACTAGAGGGATTAGTCAAGTCAGTACTATAAGATAAGAAAAAATCTATAGAGTTTTTCACGGGTTCCTTCAAAAGGTTACCATAAGGGGCAGGCGACAGCTTTAACTTTTCCTGAATGTTCGCAAGCATTTCTTTTCCCAAAGATAAAGTGGTAGTAGTCGTTTCATTGCAAATATAAAGAGAAGATAAAGCAACTTTCATCAATAATAACCGAAGCGTAAAATCATCAATGTTCCAGTGCACAAGTAGTTCATGTAGTATCTCCAAACCATCCGTTTTAACCAACTGTAGTAACTTTTCCCACACATACGACCAGCTTGTATACGCATCGTCAGATTCAGATTCTGTAGCTAGAACAAAAGGGAGGATGACTTCGCTCATTATCGCAACACAGTTTTCAATGCTCAAGATTGGAAAAGCAAGGGAAATTACATCACGAATCGAAGCTTTTTCCATTTCATCTAAATCAACTGGTACAGAAGTGAATTGAGAAAGACGATGAAAGACTTCGAAACGCCCACTACTCCATTCTCTAATTTCAGAAGGAGCTTGTGAGCTTTTCATAAGTAGGTAAGCTAAGTGCACCTGATTTGTTTCTTCAACAATTTTTCTAGAAAAAATAGAATAAAACTGAGATACATTTTGAATCGAGGGAAGACTGCATTCCCATAGTCCCATTCGTCTCAAACGATATTGGCATAACTTGTCTGACGGAAGCTTTACTGTAGAAGCAACATCCAACGAGTTACAAACTTGTCCCTGATCCGTATCAATATCTATATAAGGAATGTAGAGAGCAGGTTCTGTTGTTTCTGGTAAAAACTTAACTAACAGAGACAGCCAGTTCTCCAACGTCAATGACAGACTGCCATACACATATTTAGCCTCTGATAAGTTTGCATTCGTAATTAAATATAGTAATAAATAAGTTTTCTGTGATTTCGCTAGCAACTTGTACCATCTTGGGCCTACTTCCTCTTCTTCCATGTTTTGCTCTGAATAGAAAATGCCTTCAAAGGAAACAGTAATTAAAGTCAGACCAAAATAGTTTTTGTCTTAGTTCAAATGAAATAATAATTAAACGAAACTTCAAAATATTTTCTTGTAAGTTAGCCTCGACATTAATAGTTAAAAATAAGATACAAGAGCTTCGCAATGATGAGTAAGTTTGGAAGAGGAATTAAACCGTTTACGGATACTAGATTCATGTTTCTTTGTTGTTTTTCTTTTGTCATCTCCGGATCATTGAGGAGGTTCTTATGATAATATAAAGTATACTACTGCAAATTCATTTTGCTTATGGGACCAGACTATGCATCTTCCCAGCAAGCTTCAATGAATGAATAGATTGATTCAATTGAAGTTTAAATATAGTCAGTTGTTATAACTCATAGTCAGATGTCTTCCATTACCCATTGTGCTACTTTATTTTTCGTGCAACTTGATTTAGTGTCTACTGTATTTTTTCTTCAGCAGGACAGAGTAAGTAGGCCTACTTGAAGTATCAAGCATTTTATTCATGCAAGGATAACCATGAGAGGTATCAGTAAAAACAAAATATATAATATAAACTTAGTAAACCAGGTATAATTGCACAACGAGGATTCAACGAATTGTAAAAGAGACATCATAAAATAAATAAATAAATAAAAACGACACTGAACTTTTAATGCTTTTAATGCTTTTAATGATTAATAGTCGGACATCATCATCATCATCACGACAAAATCGTATCTAAACATAAAAAAGTTAATTATTATATGAGAATGTAACACAGAAAAACAAGGATATAGCATGCAACAAAAATCATTTAGAAACTGAATAAACCGGAACGACGTTTTCCAAAAGGATAAATAACTAATGCAGAGGCGAATAAACCAACGGAAATTCCAATAGCTATCTGAACCATATTTATACCAAACGAAAGAGAACTATTGTTAAAAGAAGATTCATCAGTACCACTTGAGTTGCTGCTGTTACTAATCTGGGTAGCCAAATCGATTCCGAACTTTACACCACCTTGAGCAGCTAAACCAGAAGGTACTTGCACAAAAATAGCTGGTAAAACAGCAGCAAACGCGACACCTTGTCCTAGGCGAGAGTACAAATTTCCAAGGCAACCAATAACAAAAGCGGCTATCGCGTTTCCTATTGCGGCTGTATTTTTGAAATGTTTTTGGGTTGTAAAATAATTGACGATATAGCCAACACAAGATATGAATAAAGCCATCGGCCATTGGGATGGCCTTGCCTGATTTACAATTAATAAACATAATGTAAAGAGAGGCACAAACAAAATTCTCCATTTGTCGTCAATGTATCGGTCAGCACTGCAGACGTACTCCGAAGTTGCATGATGATCCATCCAGCCATAAAGAGCAGCGCCTATAGCAATACCGAAACTCAGAAATAGGGAATAAATAATTGCATAGAACATTCGAACACTACCTGCAACAATGTTTTTACTTTGCAGTTCAAGGGATCCACACAAAACAATATAACCAGGAAGGATTAGCACAATTGCACCTTCTGCTAATGCTGCAAAACAAAAAATAGGATTCGTCTTATTTGCGTGATCGCGATAGATACTTCCAAAAGCTCGACTCAAAAAGGATGTTAAAATAGAACCGGTAACCTCCAACAGACTATTGTACAAGGGTGATCGTGGAGCAACAAGTAGTTGAAGCGTTCCGATGATTAAACCGAAAAAAAAGCAAATTGGAAGATCAATCCATCCACCTGAAAATGCAATTGGCAAAATAAAGGCACTCGCGAAACCATAGGTTACAATCAATATCCAGGTTTTAAAATAAGGAGGAGATTTTAAGATAGTATCAAGTCCCTTGATCGCTTCCTCAACGCTCATCAAGTCGTGAATAACAGCTTTATAAACATCATGAACTAGTTTCAATTTTCCCAAGTCGACAGTTTGATTAACACGAACAATATGCATGTCAGAGGTGTGAGTATTCGTGTCTCCAAACGAAATAATCATACAGCCGGGAACATATAAAAATTGTCCTTCAATCTCCAGAACCTTTGCAGTAGAAGACATGTGTTCTTCTAAACGATGGCTCGGTGCACCATGAGTCATGAGTGCTCGGCAAAGTTTTAAAATGTATTTTTGCCTTTGTAATACATCTGCCAAATGAACAGTAATCTTGTATTTTTCATTTAAAGGGGACACTTTCTTTGAGTGGTGCGGGAAATGAAACTTTTTTGGTTTTTGGTTAGGTAACTTGGGAAGATCCGATAAATCATCACGGGACTGAAATCCTACGGCTGGACTCATAAATGTCTGATTTGAAGCACGCATGAGATCTGTAAGCGAATGACTGGAAGAAATTCGTGCATGCTGCTTTTGTAATTTAGAGGGACTTGGCTGTTTTAATGATATTCTACTCGAGGTAACCGTGTCGGAATTCGTATAAAGCTTTAGCAAGCTGGAGAGAACACCAGCTCTATAGTTCTTCGGATGACCTAACATGTCCATTTCATCTTCGAAAGGATCTTTTTCATTTTCTTCGTCGGTGTTCTCTTCTGTATTTTTCATTGCGTTTAATCTCATGTGCTCTAATTTTGCCGAAGTATGGGCTGCAACAAGTTTATAAGCCTCGTTTACCGTTGAAGATACATTCGGCGGAGTAGAGGACAAATCTGTAGCAGATTGATTCCTTGTTTGATTAATTCCAATCATAGGAGCAGAATGGCTTCGGTCTAAGGTGGGTCTTCTAACCGGTAAATTATTAACTGAAGGATTCGAGCTATCTTGTGTTCGGATACTTGAAGCATAACGTTCCTCAATGCTGTTGTTATCAGACACAGGTCGAGATGCAACAGGACTTGGTAACGTTGGAATATTCAAGTTTCCATTGTCCACGGAACCCGCAGAACCTGTTGGTCGATAACCGACAGCGGGAGAAGGAGCCCTATGAATAGAAAGAAATTGAGGTCCATCATCTTCTTCAGACTCTTCGTCTCCTTCTTCTATCATGAAGGAAGGAGGTGGTCGCTGATACGATGTTTGATTATTATTCAGAAAAGGCCTTCTTTCAGTGTTGAATCGCACTCTTCGATTCCCTTCCATTTTAATCTATTAAACAATTATTTAATGAGTCATTAACAGGAGATATATATATACGATCCAGATTGAGGAAATATCCTCGTTTTAATGGGTTGTGTGAACGAACGCTCGATCCTGCTTTACCAGGCAAATGAACCTTCGAGAAAATAAAAAAAACAGCCGATTTACTATCTTAAGAAAGGTTTAAAATATATTTCAACTGTCTCTTAAGGAATTGGGAATGAATGGCCGTAAGTAGGTACGTACTGAAGAATTAGTATAGGCACATCTTAGGTATATTCAATGCATATTATTCTTATATATAGCTGCACAAACCAGGCTCGCTTATGATAGTTCAAGTATAGAAATAAACCTATTACATACTTATTTATTAACTCCTTTCTTTTTAAATGTATAGGTACAATTCTACTCACTTTCCAGAAGAAAAAAAAGGCAAACCATGGAATCACAAAAGTAAACTTATTGTCATTAACTAGCTAACAATATTAATTATACATTTTATTGCTATTGATGAGCATATCATATACCTTTCAAAACCAGATTTTTTTAGGTAGATGCATCATTAGTTCGCAAGTACTGTTCTGTTGGATGTCCTATATGACAGGATCGCTATTAGAGGTTTTGGGCATTGGTCGGTTCGTTGGTTTATTAGAATACTTTAAAACATCACGAAGGAAAGAATTATAGGTAGTCGGCAGTTGCAACTCATTCCCTTTTGATATTAAAAAATCAAGCATTGTTAATACTTCATTGTGATTTAACAGCTGATTCAAGGGAACGTTTCGGAAGATGGACTTTGTGTGACATCCTACACGATAGAAACGAGGGGTATTGTATCGAGAGAAATTCAAATACCTGGATATAGGAAGCTTGGTAATGATTGCCATATTCTCCAGAAGGTATTTCTGTAAGTATTCAAATTGAGCTTGCGTGCGCGTAGGATTTCCGCGACAAGAATAGAGCAATTCGAGAGCTACAATAGAAGGTAACGTTGCTAAATCCAGCAACTTGTAGACAAGTAAATTCTTATACGGAATGCAATTTGCTTTTATATCTTCCGAATTAAAGATTAGCTTAACTAAATCCATCGTCTTATATAAGTCTTGATCCATTGGTTCCATCTCCTCTTCATTTTTCAGTAGAAGGTCATACCTAAATGGGAAAGGAACTTTTGAAAGATAAACCTTTCCACCTTTTTGTTGTAGTCCAAAGCGTCTGGTCGTCAATTCGTATAAAGAAGCTCGCATAAAGCCTCTGTGAGTTAGCATTCGAATTACTTTGTCTGTAATCGAAAACGGTTGATCAATCAAAACGATAGAAAGCGAATCATTGATCTGATTTGTGCGAAATAGATCTTCCAGCGCCTTAGTTGTTTCATCCCATCTCGTAGACAAAAAAAATGCTGTATCTGGTTGGGATTTATGACCTTTTACAACATATCTTTGACCAAGCGAATTCAATTTATCTTTTTCTTTCTTTTCCGCGTTTTCTTTTTGTCTCTGGATATCCTGAACTGCGTTCTTCAAACTATTTCTCAATACCCATATCCCAGACCTTTCAAGGTTTTGAATCCGCTATTGAAACAAAATAGTTAGTATGGGATCATATACAAAACAAATAAAAGTAGACTCTTACAGTAATCAAGCCCATATACAATGGGTTTGTTTTGTCTATGATGGTCTTCGCTCTTGGCTGGCGGCAATCTTGCGTTGCCTTTAGTTTCTACTTTACAGCATCAATACACTTCCTTGATATGGATCGTTTCATTATTCATAAATTTATTGAAAATTTAAAAAAAATTTTGTAAATGACAGACTTTACATTTTCATAGTCGTACATAGCAACTGTGCTCGATCAATAGCTGTTTCTGCACTGTAGAAAAGGTCAATATCTTCAGATAGAAATTTAATATAAAAAAAAAATTATAGGATTAATAAATAATTTTCTATAAACAAAATATATCTACGCAAAATTGTTGTGTTTCCAAAACTGTTTGCATGAAGCAATGTAGTCCAAAAATATAAATCAAAAAGTCCATTAGTAGTAGCTCCTATTCGGAGGATAGTGAATGTACCTAGGGTCATTCACGGGATAACGGTGAAGCGTAGGATTTGGAGTCATTCTTCTATAATCCACAGCAGCTGATGGGTTGTAGTAACCAGGAGTAGAAGGCACTTGCATCTGAGGGAAAGCATTTGAGCTTCTCATACGATGATGATAATACGGCGAATAAGACGAGGAATAGTTATACTGATCGTTAAAACCTTCGAAGTCTGCATAACGAGTAGTGGATGGAAAGTTCTGTATTTCCTTCGAAGAATAATCTGCAGGGTAGTCATGCTGCGGCAAATATGATCCCTCCCTGTTGTAGGGTGCAAATTGCAGAGGAGCTACTGAGTTTCTAGAAGGGACACTCATAGGTTCAGCCGCAGAAGGATAAGGAGAATGCATTCCCGTCATACTTCTTTCGTATGGATGGAAGCGAACCTTTGTTTCGGCAAACTCGAAATCGTAGGTAGGTCGTGATGATCCAGCATCAGAGGGAAAGGGACTCAGCTCACTGGGAGGTAAATCCGGAACTCGTCTTATGGTTGTTTGAGGTTGACTCACGTTATACGGAACCCAAGTTGGAGAGTATGGTTGCTTTTGTTGCTGCTGCTGGTTGGGAGATTCTAACGAGCTTAGCATTGTTGCCAGAGGGGGCGGTGGTGGTGACAATTCCTCATCTTTAACAGTTACATTCGAAACCTCATCCTTTAGAGAAGAAGAGTAAATCTGTTTAGGAGACTGGTGGATTGGTGCAGATGGAGGAGGAGAAGGAAACCGAAGAGCAGTCTGAAGTTTATCAACGCTCGGAAAAGACGATTCATTCGCAGGAGATTGTATATGCTTCAGACTAGGAACGGAGAAGGTAGGGACTCGTGGAGGGGAGGGTGCAGAAACACGAGAAGGTGCAAATGCAGACATGGGAGGGGAAGGTATATCAGAAGCAGATTTGGAGCTTTTGAGAGAAGACGCTTGCTTTACCGTGCTAACGTCTATTTTTTCAAGACTTTTACTCACAAATGAGAGAAGTTGAGAAGAAGCCTTTTCGTTCTCGGGCTTTGCAGGTTTCATCGCATCTGCTGATGTTGATTTTTGAGAAGACACGTGAGAAAGAACCGGTAAGCTTGACGATATAGGAGACGATTTTTCCAAAATTTCATTTTCTTCATTATTGGTGTTTCTATGATCAGGTTCTTGATCCAAAGCCGCACGTCCCAGCTGTGGTGTCTCCAATGATCCTTGTGGCTTCTGTACTCGAGATGACCCCAACCCAGGGATATTCGTAAACTCACCAGATACAGGCTTCAATTCTTCTATCAAAGGAGTCTCACTTACTGACCTCTTCAATTCAGAAGGTTCACGAACTTCCTGTTCTGAATTCTTCACTTCCACGGTGGAGTCCTCATCCTTTTTACTCTCTTGTGGTTCTTCCTTCTGTTTATCGCCTCCTTTTAAAGAGCTTTTTAGCCTTTCCTTTAAAAACTTTAACCTGGCTTCTTCTGGGACCTCAATTCGGCTGTGTTTACCTTCAAAAACCGCATTTCGAAAAACAATGATTTTTTCGCACTCCTGCTCCCATTCTACGGCGTTCATTGATCTCGCAATAGCTTAATTATATATATTTGTATGTTTATGTATTTATATTATAAGCGTTTTTTCTGTCCGTGGCTCTTGCCAAACCCTTAGCTTCATCAAACGTAGTTGTTCATTGTGAAACACCAACGGTTCTTTCAAGAAACAACCATTGTCGATTCAGTCATCATTAACAAAAAAACTCGAAAGTTGTAGTTTGTTATATATTTTTTTTACTATATTCATGAAAACAATTTCCTTGGCTTGTAAACGATTGCATTGAATTTACTTTGAAGAGAAGATCTGATTTTATGAAGCAATTTTTGGAGCTTAATGGTATCTTAAATAAGAAGAATTCTTTAAAGCAACTCTCTTTCTTTGGCTTCTAGGATTTCCAAAATTAGAATCATGGCTCCTGTCGTTTTATACTGCTCTTGGAACCAGGATCAAAGGTAAGTACCTTCATGATTTCATGTTGACAGTCTGTATTTAGCTGCCTGTCTATTGGGACAGAAACCGGATTCCAGATTTATCAATGTGATCCTTTTACTCTACGTTTTTCAAAAGGTAAGGATAGGCCATAACAGGCTACTTTGAATTGTTTTTGGGATAAGCAATAACAGTTGGCAGAAACACATGGAGTCGCTTTCTGTGAGATGCTTAATCGATCATCACTTATTGCGCTTGTTCAAGTGTCGCCTGCGTCTACTCGATTGCTCAAGCTTATTGATATTAAGGTTTGTTTGCTCAAAAGTTTTTCTTATTGACATAATCGTTTTTAGAAAGACGTTGAGCTTTGTCGCATGTTTTATCCCGCTCCAGTATTAAATATTCGTCTTACTACTACTCGTCTGGTTGTTGTTATTAAAGGAAGCATTTACGTTTACAACCTTAAGAATTTGAACTTGATCAATACTTTGGCTACAATTCCTTCAAATAAAATCGCGTTCTCTGCTCATGAATCCTTTATTGCCTATAATTCCCCCCAGGCTCCAGGGTATGTGTATCTGACTTCATTAGAGACAGCGATGCCGATTACTCTGCTGCACTGTCATTCCAGTCCAGTGCGGTGTATTGAATTTCATCCGGACGGACATCTGATAGCTACAGCATCGGCAAAGGGTACAGTTATACGTATAATGTCTACATCAACAGGGGAAAAGGCTATGGAATTGAGGCGTGGCTACATACCAGCTTCCGTTGTTTCGATTGCTTTTCACTCAAAGAAACCCTTTCTGGCCTGTGCTTCAGAAAACGGGACTATTCACATATATAAACTATCGAAGCAAAATTTTTCTGAAACTACTCATTCTCCTACTTCTTCTATGAGCAATTCATCGTCTTGGTCAAAGTTTCTTAAATCCAACGTTACCAAACCATTAGAAGCTCGAAGAGAGTTCGCTACAGCAAAAATACCAGAGGCATCATTTTGTGGAAAAATTATTTTCTCTGCATCGAAACCTCATGTACAGGTAATCTCTTATACTGGACAATACTATCGCTTTGTGGTTGATTTTAAGCATGGTGGAAACTGTGCCATGCTGGAGAGATACATGTAAGTTGGAAGATAGTTGTGATAATTTTCTGTTAACTTATTATTTAGACTTGATGAGTAAATTATGGATTTACGGAACGGATTATTGATAATGACCTTTATAATCTCCAATATGCATAGAATCATGCTTTTTAATGAATTTTGTATGAATCTTATTAGGCTTTCCTTGTCATAGTTTGGAATTTTGCTATTAGTGTCTTAATGAATTTATTATTGGTACAACCTATTTGGAAGTATTCAACGCCTTTAAAACAGTTTCATTGGGTTTTTGTTAAGAATTGTAGTATTCTAGCTTTTCATCTGTATACAATCCTCCTCCTGATTAGTTCGCCAGAGTAGTCCATGCCTATTGCAAGACTAGACGACAAAAAAATATCATGGATCATAACATTACAGCGTGCTAATTTTCAAAAAACGCGGTTGGAAGCTTGATTTATTGAGATTAAGTATAAATGAGAAGAGTTGAATAAATTAATAATGACTTGCCAAACAGTAGCGTAAGACATAGAAGTAAGGAAAAGAATAAAAAGAAATTATAGAAAGTAATCTGGGGTCCTCCTTGTAACCCTTAGTTCATCTTTTCTGGGTGCAGTTTCATACTGAATAAACGCGTAGTTTATGTGATCATCAATTCCCATGATGGCTGCTTGGTTTCCGCAACGATAACAGTAGTTAGGAGCAGAAAAAATTGTCACTACGTTATGGCTATTTGTCCAGTTATAGCCCTCCATAACCAGTTGATGGGCTCTTGCAATCATGTCCAAGCCGTTGTTATGATTGAAAGTCTCGGCGATATCTGGTCCAAATGTGTAACCAGCACCACGAGGAGAAATACCCCATCCAGGTCGGTCTTCTGGGTCGGACCAAAGAAGATCACAAATGGGACCCTCATGAGGAATTTCTTGAATACGGTCAAGAATACGGATATGATCTAAGGTATCGATGCTAGGAGACAAACCTCCATGCATACAGAAAATTTTGTCTTCTATTAAGGCTGTTAAAGGCAAATAGTCAAAAAGATCAGTAAAGCATTGCCATATATTAGCATTGCCATATTTCCGAAGACATTCATCATAAAATCCGTAAACTTGGGTAATCTGCCTAGACTCATGGTTACCACGAAGGATGGTAATGCGATGAGGGAATCGGATTTTAAGTGCTACCAATAATGAGACAGTTTCCACACTGTGATATCCCCTATCCACATAGTCACCCATAAATAAATAGTTTGTATCAGGAGAATGTCCTCCAATATTAAACAATTCTTGTAAGTCATGAAATTGCCCATGGATGTCACCACAAACCGTTACTGGGCACCGTACACTTTGCACATTCGATTCATTCGCTAAGACTCCTTTGGCGATTTCACACATTTGGTAAATATCATCCTCAGAAAGAGGTTCGCATCTCGACAGCTGTTCAATCCAGCCGTCTACATCACCTCTGGAACTGCTTAATTCCGCCATCCTTCTAACAAAATTAAATGCAAGTCAAAAGCTGCTGCTGAATAAATCCAAAATTAACGGAAGAAGCAGAGAGCCTCAATACAATTTTTTTAAGAGTAACAAAATATACTTAGTATTCAGAATGTTCCTTTTCTTTCTTATGTGAGCACAGCACCGACGATATCAACCTCTCTTGTAACTGGATTTGAATCTCCCTAACGAGAAGAAGTCTAAGGTGTATATCTTTTAATTAAAAGATATAAAGAGTCGAGCTTCTTTATTTTTTTTTCCTTCTAAAAAGCTGAGTACTCTTCAGCTAGTTTTTGGTAAAGGAAAAGAAAGTCAAGTGACCACCGGTTAAGTAACGGGTGGATGATTCTTTATAACAGTGAACGTATTTATTGGTAAGCTCCACCAACTGAGGGTATAAGGAAGAAGAAGGAGAAGAAGGTAATAAAAATTAAAATGAGATTTTAAAAAGTAAAAATAAAAAAACGCCTTATTTGTAGGACCGAGTTTCTTCCTACAAAAGGATGGTCTCAAGTTCTGGAATGGATCAGAAAAGGAGATATCGCTAGTTTATTTAAAGGATCTACATATTTAGCGAAGCTTATATTATCAGATTATAAACAAAGGATTGCTTGAAATAAATTCATATTTCTGATAGTTTTTTTGGTTTTATTATTGGCTGCTTCTCAATAAAATAATTACAAATGGTTTGATTTCGTTCTTCTCTTTGGTTCACATCTAGTTTAGCAAACAATTCCTTGCTAAAGACAACGATATCACTTATGAAATGACAAGGTTGTATAGTAATAGCTCTATAAAAAAAGAGATGACAAACTTTAAGCGGTCATTTTGGCCTTAAATTCAATCAAGGCCTTATGGATATCTGCAAACGTCTCAAATTCGGTATAGGAAACGTTTTCTCTCTTGCAATATGTAATTAAATCGCGTCCCTTCTTTGCATATAAGTGTTCGGTTTCTTTGGCAGCACTTAAGTCAGAGACACCATCTCCACAGTAGACCATGTGAGGTCGCTTTTCCTCAGAAAGTTGAGCATATGGACGAATGGTGAGACTCTTATCATGACCGAAATGAGTATCGTCATGATAGACGATGTTCCAAGTACCATCTTCATGTACATCTATGCCATTGGAGACGATTTCAATTTTGGAAGCCTCGTCCTTACCCAAGTATTGTTCAAAAAGATGACGAATGAAGGGCTCCATCCCGCTTGAGAGAATTACTAAACGAACGCCTTCTTTCTTGCACCAATCATAAAAAGGAGGGAAATCAGGATCAATAGCAACGTTCTTTTTCATAGTCTCAAGAGCTTCTTCATACTTCAATGGTACACTATTGAGCATTCTGGCAAACACATCACTTGAGATTCATTAGTACCGGGGACCTTTTGCATCAAATGTGCTAAGCATACCGAAAACTAAGTGTTCCTTCGATAACTTTTTGGTTCAGTTGAACACGCATAGCTTGACCCAAACCATAGTTATCTGTAGGATCAGTTAGATGCTTTTTGAATTGGTAGAGAAGCAAATCTTCCTAGCAATTGGAACTGGTTCCTTGTTTGACACCTGTCGAACGGTAGGTTTCCATCTGGTTCAGGTACGTATTTTACTGATGCGCAGATAGAAATGCCTACAAAAAAGAGACTATTTTTCTTTTCATATTGCTTTACTACTTACCACTCAAATAGTCATTGGAGTCTTGCTGAGTAATGGTGCCTAGAAAGCAAAATGTGAGCTATTATACATTTTATGGAAGAAGCCTTTTTGACATCAAATTAATACCATCAAAGTCACTGAAGACATATAACTGTTTTGTATTTGACATAATATTAAGAGACAGCTTGGATATCAAAGATTTTTGCAATGCTTACTTGCTCGGGATGTGGTTTGCTAGGACGAAGACTATAGAAGGTGCTTAAAAGAAAAGTTAGAATCCAATAACATTATTCGTTTGCAATCAAAAGAATATCAATAAAACATACAAAGAATTCAACAAAACCAGGTTCTATTGAGTTTTATGAATCCTATAATATTTACCAACAATCGATTTACTACTTGAGAAAGGTATTGCCAAACATGTACAAGATCCTTAGTCTTTTCATACATGGAGAAAGTTTTATAGATGAAGAAAAGGATCCTGGGCGACCAGACCTTTAGGTCCCTTCAATCCTTACAGAAATAAAATTCAAGGTTATAGAGGTTTTCGGATGTTCCTTTTTACTGATCTTTTATTCGATACTTGTGAAACTACATTTTAATGGACTAATTTTATGAAAATTATGGAGCTATAAACGAAAACAAATGCATAAAAACAACTCTGAATACCTACCTTTTTTGATCCCACCTAATCTGATAATTTAGACTACCTTTTAAGCGAAAATGAAACCAAGTTACTTCGAACACTGGCCCTCTCAAACATTTCAAGAAAATCGGATTTAATTATGAAGGTGAATTGGAATGGTTTAACAAATGCTTTTAGGCAGTTTTCGTTTAAACTTTCCTCCGTTCGTCCTGGGAGGGAAGCGTTTTCATTCCGTGAAGCTATGCTACGAGCTAGTCGTAGATTGAATGAGTTTACTGGATACACTTCTATCGAGTCTTTAAAAAAGACTGTAGTTTTACGAGAACAACAACTAAAAGACCTAAGAAAAGTAGCAAATGAGGCTCGCAAAGCATACTTAGAAGCTGTCGAAAGGAGGTCTTCTAGTCAACGAGAAGTTAATGAATTGATTCAACGAAGAAGTAGCTGGTCTTCAGCGGATTTGGAGCGATTTACCAGATTGTATAGAGAAGACTACTCCAACAAAGAAAACGAAACACGACTCCAAGAAAATGTCGAATCTACTGAGGAAAAAATTGAAGATGCACAGAATGGACTAGTGCAATCTATCCTTTCGCGGTACCATGAAGAGCAAGTTTGGAGCGATAAAATCCGCCAAACAAGCACTTGGGGTACTTGGGGACTCATGGGTATCAACGTTATATTGTTCATTGTAGTCCAACTTATATTGGAACCGAAGAGACGGCGACGATGGGTTCATGAATCAATGGAGTTTGTTGAAAACGAAAACAAAGATAAAATGGAATTTCAGATTCAGAAGCTGAATGAACTAGAAGAAAAAATCTCGGAGGATGTTGCCAAATATGGGTTGTTATCTTCACAGAATTCTTCCAAGGCGACTTCTGATACTTCGTCAAAGCCTTCAGCTTTTTTCCAGAGCCTTCAACAAATACCCTCTTTAAACTTTTCATCTTTCAAAGCTTTTACCGATTCCATCAAAGATATTGTGCGTTACATATTTTCCCCCTCTCTTGTCGTACAAATAACTCATAAACAACTTTCTATGCTATTGACTGAGTGTTTCTTCACTGGAGGAACAATACTATGTTCAGTTCTACTTTTGTTCCGTCTTTCCAAACATTAACGAATATCCTAAATCAATGAAACGTTTTATTTCTTTGGTTTTGGGTCTCGATATGCATCGTAATTCCTTTTATACATGTCTTTTAACTATTACAATCCGCAAATAAACTATAAATTATTTGGTTCTTTCTTGGTCTTGCTATAATATTTATTGAAAGTGAAAAAATCTTACCATGAATTTAACAATCTTTATTTTCACAAAATTTAGGATCGATCAATTTACGATCATAAATAAGAATAAATATTTTTAGATGTTCATAAAAAGTATTTCGTTTTCTGGAGCTTCACAACCATTGACAGCGTATACATTCGTCTTCTATACACCGTAAATGGTAAGAATGCCTGCACCGAAAATGTACCATCGGTAACTCGAGATCTGTATTACAAGCAGAGCATTTAGACTCTTGAACAACAAAAGCAGTCGTCCGTAAATTAGATAACTCGTTGCTTAATTCCAAGATTTCGGATTTGCCTATTTGAATGCCTTTCCTTTTTTCAGATATTTGACTCTCAAACCTGTTTACGGCGCTTTCTACGGCTTCCTCAATCATGCCTAAACTGACGACATCTGATTTGCCTAAAATCTCGGCAAGCTGGGTGGGTGAAATCAATCGATGGTTAATGATGTATTCTGCAACCTCTTTTAGTTCTTTCAACCAAGACTCTAGCTCGTCTGTTGAGGCAAAATAATTAAGCATCATAATATATAGTTCAGATTGATCTTCCCCGTGAGCACGTACCATTTCCATCGCACTGCTAACATCGTTTTGTTTACAAAAAGATCGAAAGATGTCTAATGTTTGACCAGACTTCCCCTGTACAAACCTAACCCCGTCATCGAATCCTAGAATCTGAGAAATTAGGAATGTAGCATTTAGATCTAAATGTTTTTCCGAATTTTTTAGTAATAAATTAGCTTTTTCTTTCCAGAATCCTTGAGCTTCCTCGTCGTTTGAAGAATGAGATTCCCTTATATAGGCTTCAAAAAGACAAGTATTAATGTGTGTTTTATATTCTCCAGAAACATACGATAAGATGGCTTCCAAAAACCGTATTAATTCAGAATTATGATTCAAAAAAATATGAAAACATGTCTGAGGATTTGGGGCGACGTACGTTTCATCTGCTTGATCTTCTTCACGATCTGTTTTTTCTTCGGTCTTTTCCGTATTCAGATCAGTAACTGTAGAAGTTATACCAAATGGGGTAGCATTAGCATAAGGAAGAAGAGAAAGATAAGTTTGCCGCAAAGACTTTTCATACTTTGTTTGAGATTTTGACCGCAAGTATTGCTTAGATTTATGGTTATTAGAATAAAAAGATATGAAAAGATCAGTCGTTTCTGTTGGTAAATTCGATAGCAAAACTCGTCCAAACCGCAGCAATAACGGAAATAACCTAGATGGAACGACTTCGTACATATAATCCAAAGTTTCGGAATATTTCTTTTCTTCCAAAAGAACATCAATAACTCGCTCATAGTTATTAAATCGAATACCAAGATGTTTAGCTTCTTCAAGCAAACCAGACCGATGGCAAATATCAAATGCCTGATCAAACGCGAACCCACCAGTATCAATCAGTCTATTTATTCCCTTCAGATTTTTTGTTTCCACATAACATGAAAGTAGTAGTAATTTATGATCAGAATTAGCCATCTGATTTTGCATGAGAGCTTCTATAAATCTTACAAGTTGGTCAAGACGCTCTGCTTTAAGAAAGTCTAAGCAAACGACTGGAATATTAACCGATGTGATTGCTTTGATATACCAATCCATAGATAAAGAATAATCTCCTTTACGAAATAAAAAGCGAGCATACTCTATCATTAAGTTTTGTAGAAAGGATAAATCCAAGTTTTTCTGTCGAGTAAGGGAAATGGCTAGATCGTACATTGTTTTTTGACTAAGCAGAGAGATTTCCTCATTAAGGTCGATTCGTTTCAGTTTCAAGACAGAGTTGTCTGACATTAATATCAAGAAACCTTCATCTAATGATAATATTTCAGCAGAAGGATCACTTAAAAAGCCTTCCCAAACAATCAATTTCCTTGGAAAATCTATTAAAAGTAATCTAGAAAGTGGTGTTGCCAAACGACCTCTTTCTATTCTTGAGAGTGAGTTTGAGGACGACAAGCCCTTTCTTGAATTAGGCAAAACCGCTATCGACGAATCGGTTACCATTGGTGAATAATGTAAAGCCAGTATTGGACCTTGTGTTGTCAAAAAATGCTTTTCACCGGGGAATGTAAAGCAAACTTTGTCCTGTTTGGGAAAGTAAAATGTAAGGCCATCAGAGCGAGAGCAGATAAACGAAGGCGAAGTAGTCGTAAGAGAGGAAATATTCTCTTCGTTATAGCTTGACGAGCAATTAATGGATGTACCGAGTGTATCTAGGGTAGTTATATTCTTTCCTTTGATAGAATAAGTTTTGTTGGTAGTCGAAACATAAAGAATCAAAACCTCGAATTTTTGATATACTAAGCTGGTAATTGGCTCAGCTAGCTTAAAACTATTGGAAATACGGAGCCCTCTGTCACGAAAAGGAGTTCCATATAATATTAGAACGAGTCCACCAAATCCACACGCCAAATATCTCTCTGATAATGATTCAGTAACAGCCACGATAGGATGGGGTTGTTCATCAACTATAAACTTGTTGGTAGATACAAGTGAAAACCCTTTTTCTGATGAAGGTTCCTCTTGAGAACAGGAAAAAGCGTAGATGACTAAAAAGCTTGGACCATCCTGTTCACCAAAGTTGTAAAATAATAGGAATCTTTCATTATCGATCCAAAGTATTTGCTGAATAGCTATTTCATGTTCGAGATCAATTATTTGCTGTACCTCTAACGAAGAATTGTATAGGGATACCCTTCCAGAAGTGTTACAGGCTAAAATTTGATTTCCAAAAGCTGAAATAGACACATTTTTTCTACTAAGGTTTTGATGTAGTTCCTGTTTTTGGAACAGAGTCACCCGTTTCCAAGTTCTGATGAAAGTAGTCATGATTAATGCCTGTTTCAGGCAAACTGCAAGTCCAATAGCGCTTTTAATACATAAATTTAATTCTATTTGAAATAATATATAGGAAAGTAAATCCAATTGTGACAATACAATAGATTTTTTATGGCTATGCGAGGAACGTGAAAGAAGTGGTAGCAGTAAGGAATATAATTATTCTTTAGGCCTATGTACAGATCAAAAGGATCAAAGGTATTTCGTTTATAATTAAATAATTAATAATCATAACAATTTGGAGTGTTTTAGAAATAAGTTGAAAAAGAATGATACTCGAAGCTTTGTGAGATCAGCGTTTCTTTAGTATACAAGGGTACAGATTCAATATATGAAAAAATAAAAAGAATTAAATTAATAAAAAGAAAGCTATTTAAACACGATAAATTTATACTTACAAACTGAAACAACGAAAAACCAAAAGAAATAACCGTAATGAGTACGCAACCAAACAATCATAAAAACAATCCATAAAGGAAACCAAATGGGTGACTAACTAGCGATGATAACCTTGCACAGTCTCGAAAGAAAATATAAACAGCCAATAATTGAAAATCGAGGTTTATATCTTCCACTGAGTCAATTTTAATTAAACAATAAAAGTCACTTCGATTTCGATAAGAGATGAGTAAGAATATGTCAAAGAATACCTAAAAGTCAGAACATTATGTAAAAGAAGGAAGTTTTTCTTGATGTTTTGTATATCAAATCCTTGTACAAAGAGCAGAAACTTAGATTCTCCAGCAGCGAAATACGATTGGAGCAAAGTAAGTGGAAAGAAATCCGATCCCTGCATAAATAATGATCCTAGCCATTGTCTCTGAGTCAAAGCAAGAAGGATTTTCGTAACATTCATGAGCAGAAACATTTCCCAAAGGTGTTTTAGTGGTACCTAACACATGACTGGAACCACTAGCGGCATGAATCCCTTTTGACCCGGACGAAGACTGCCAATGACCAATGCGTAACGTTTTATAAATTTGTGGTAAAACCGATAACAGAACTTGTTTGGCGAAAGACTTCCAGAAAAGAATCATAGTAACACCTAATCAGGTTAGCAAACGTAACTACAAAAAAAATCAATAGGTAAATAAAAATGATGCATACCGAAAATAACTCGAAGCATGAACCGTATGAGGAAAAACGCGTTGATATCGCTTATTAAATAATTTATAGACTCCGGAGATGAAAGCCATGTCCCCATATCAATACCCATAATTACTGAAACAAAAGAAATACTATCATCAATGCAAATACATTGTTCAGCAGGCAAGGGATGTAACCATATAAGATATAGGGAAAGTGCAGCAACCCCAATGGGCACATGGAAAGATGCACTTGTACAAATGGAATGAAAAAGATCACCATATTTCCATTGAATGCATGCTAGAAAAAGTCCCATGAGAGAGCCAACACTTACGTCCATAAATCCATGCATTCCGCAATAGATCCGACCCAGTGAAATCGAAAAAATGTAGACAAGGCTAAGAAGCAGAAGAGAACTAAATTTGAGAGGGGAAATTGAATCTTTCACACTTATGAGAAAAAATATCGAATAACAGCCTGTGGAAACTGCGTTCGTTGTATGTGTACTTGGAAACCCATATTCGCACTCGGCATCAGAGGACAAAGTCAAACGAATCAGAGGTGGTGATAATGGCCGTGGTAAACAAAGGAAATCTTTCACGATGCCACTGACATAAACCCCTGCTGCAAACAACTGCGTAATGTCCAGCGTAAAGTTTATGCATCCGGACCAGAAGAAGATTGGCAATGCAAGCATAAAGAAGACATGAGTACCAAGGGTAGCGCTGTAGGAGAAGTAATTATCTAGCCATGATCTCCTTGTATGCGTCTAAATGAGCTAGTTAATATGTGTTTCATGCAATATATACGGCATAGGATGAAACCTCCATCAATGAAGCTCTCATCTCCAATTTAAGTGCATACCTGTATTTTATGAAGGTACAAGCTTTCTCTACGAACATATGGTAAGAGAAATTCCCGCAATTGATATCGTAAGCTTGCTTTTCCGAACAATTGACGGTAATATCGCTGACTTTTGTGTCCAAGACACTTTTCGTTCACCATAGCAGTGTCAACTTTCTCCATAGTATCCGATGGATTCATGATGACAGAGCATTTAAGAGAGTTGTCCCGCCTGGTCTGTTTATGAATTGAAATGATTTTTTCTACATACAGACAAATAGCAAACAAACACGCTTACGATTGCGTACTGCAAGCAGTTTCGGTATTGAGTTTACTGACTCTTTAGACTACAGTAATAAACAAAAAGTAAAGGAATCAATTTGCTGGTGATTAAAAGTGATTTCAAGGATTGGTTTTAGCCTTTTAATGGTTTGTTAAAGAAAAAATTACTTTCGCATCTGCTTGGAAGAAGTTTCTTTAACTGCAATCATGTAGAGTATAAAAGAATAGGTAAAAGCATGCAATTGTAAGTATAAGCTATTAGGAGAACCATTTTAAAAGGTTGATATATCCATTGTTGAAGAGATTTTATAGAAAAAAACTGTTGTTTTTTATGAAAGAATTCCAGTAACCTACAAGTTGAAGGGTATTATTAGGAAGCGTCTAGGAAACCATATAAAGAGAACGAATTGGTAACTTGGGAGTGTTTTACTTTTGAAATTGAATAACTGAGTATAGGTTTCTTTTAATATCTTTAGGTAATTTTGGTAATAATTTATGAACAAAGCAGCTTGCTGTTCAGCGAATTTTTGGCATTGCAAAAACCAAACATATGTCTCAGTCAGCCAACGCAGTAGAGCCTAAACAGAAAAATGCAAATCATTTAAGAGCAGGTGCTTTAGGAGGATTTATATCAAGCGCTGCTCTGCAGCCCTTGGATCTTTTGAAAACGCGATTGCAACAAAGTCAACATTTACCTCTGCCGCAAATTATTCAAAATGTCGTTCGCAAAGAGGGAGGCATTACGTCTCTATGGAAAGGAACGTTTCCCTCCATCCTCAGATCAACGACTGGGTCATCATGCTATTTTTATGTTCTCAACTCGTTGCGACGGTATAACCCACAGAGCAATTCGTCCAGCTTAAAAAACTCTCAAAATTTTTGGATTGGGGGGTTCTCGCGAGCAATCGTCGGGTTTGTCTTTATGCCCGTAACTGTCATTAAAGTCCGCTATGAAGTAGGTCTAATATTAATCACTAACTTTCGATTTTTGCTTCTAACGATTCTTCTTTAGAGTAATTACTATTCCTACACTACTATTGGATCCTCCATAAAAAGCATCTGGAAAAAAGAAGGTATCGCGGGGTTTTTCCATGGCTTTGGCGTAACAGCTCTTCGAGATGCACCTCATGCTGGAATTTATGTTTATTTTTACGAGCTTTCTAAAGAAACAATTCACAATCTTCTTGGGCACTTTCAAGATACCCCTTCTGGTGCTGTTCCTCAGAACCCATACAACAATTCCGTCAATGTGCTTTCCGGTATGATTTCGGGAACCATAGCCACTGCTATAACAAATCCTTTCGATATGCTAAAAACCCGTGTCCAGTTGCAACCCGACATCTATAAAAACTTTTTCTATTGTGCCAGACGTGTCTATATGAATGAAGGATTTTACGGTTTCTTAGATGGACTCGCCCTCCGAGTTTTACGAAAATCAGTTTCTTCAACTATTACCTGGTCTGTTTACGAGTGGGCCATGCATCGAAATGATACGTAGACTTTTTGATTCCTTTTTGTTTATGTCTTGACATGAAGATAATTCCTGTAGATTTCTCTATAGACTCATGGATTACACCTTTTGATATGCATGTAATTATCTTTCTGAAAAATAAAATTTGTATTCATTCCACGCACTTACTGTTGGAATATGGCTGTCCAAGCAATTCCCTAACTTCTTTGGGCTTTGAGTGATATGATGAAAGCATACTACCTCCTGTATACATGTTTTCATAGTAACGTATATTTACATCGCATTTTAGTACCCTTTCCCGTAAGTCATTTTGTGATGAATTTCCTATACATTCTTGAAAACTATGACCTTCATCATGATACTATGGTAAACTTCAAAATTGCTAAACAGCATAGAGACTACCAACGGAATAGAGGATTTTGCAGATAATTACAGGGTTCACATACCCTTTTGTTTTCTAGCTTCATACTTAGAGCCACTGTCATACTTATGGGGAATATCCTTATTGGAGGAACGTAAAGTAAAACAGCAGCATGAACTCTGGATTCATTATTGCCCATGCTGGAGCAGGCTTATATTCAGAAAGAAGGGAGCATTCGGCGAAGGATGCATGTGCAAAGTATAGGCATTTTATTTATTTCTTTTCTATGATACTAATTCTTCTATTAGAGCATGCATGCATGCAAAACTCGAGCTTGAGGCGACATCTAATGCAATCGCAGCGGCGGTAGCAGCCGTAAAGGTACTCGAGGACAGCCCGGTCTGTAACGCTGGTACAGGATCGAACTTAACTGTCAACGGTGAGGTGGAATGTGAGGCTGGCTTGATGGAGTCTCAGACAGGAATGGCTGCAAGCGTAGGTGTATGCAAAGACTATAAGTATCCATCCGAGCTTTGCTCAAGACTTTTGAAGAAACGAAAACTTCCAAAAAGTCATGGTCGAATACCTCCCTCAATGATTGTAAGTCATGGAGTTAGCGAATTTTTGAAGGAGGAAGGGTTTCCAACAAATAGCAACGAGGACTTAAAGACCGATGGGTCTCGTAAGCAGTATGAAAAATGGAAGCAATTCCTCGAAGACGATGTCAAAATACCAACTGCTCAAGATACAGTCGGTGCAATATGCATTGATCCCTCTGGCGAATTCTGCGTGTGCTGCAGCAGTGGTGGTATACTATTAAAGTCTACAGGAAGGATTGGATCATCGGCAATACCTGGCCATGGATTCTGGTTAGATAGACACATGAATGCAACGGGAAGCTCTACGTTTGCTACATGTATGACCGGAACAGGTGAACATATTTCAAACACAAATTTCGCACTTAGATGTTCAAACCTAATGTTGCATACAGAAGACGAGGTCCAAGTTCTTGAAAGCCTCATCCGAGAATTTTGGGAGCATCCATCATCCAAATATATTCCAAACTTATCTTTAGGATTCATTTTTGCGAAAATGGAAGCATTTACTGGATCACAAAGTCGGCGTTTGACATATGGCTTTGCAAACTCCTCGCCGGCCATGGTATGTAGCAGCAACGTACTATTTCTTTTTCTTACTAACACTTGGAAGGCAATTGGACATATGAAAACCAATTCAAAAAAGCCTCATGTCCTTATTACTAGGAATCATGATAAACCGTATACCATTAGTGTTGCCTCCGGTAGGCTTTAATTGAATCCAATCACTCCTTCGTCATTAAAGCATTATTATTCTTCAACTTTATATGAATTCCTTTTCACTGAAGAATGACACTTTTAAGACTTTGTTTATTTGTTACCGTTGTGAAAATTCAAGCTCGTTATCCATCTTTTTGGCGCTATACCTCGTAGGACAGGGCTAACGAAATTTAACACTTTTTGCTAAATGTTGAGGGCCATTAAATTTCAACTTTAGCATTTCCCAAGTGAAAAAGAAATTTACTGTACATCCTTAATTCTTGCCTTTTCCCTTTGTTTTGTTGAATAATTCTCCTTATTTTTTTGAGATGACGACGGATATTAAAAAGCAGAAGAAAAATGTTAAAGTAGACGGTGTCGAAGACGAAGGTTTCAAGGAAGAAACTGAAAAAAAGACGACTTCTGCATCAAATTCGTCTTCAGAGGACGAAGATCAAAAGAAGGAAGCTCCTCCTAAAACCTTTAGAGAATTGGTAAGGCTTATGAATTGTTTGCAATTTTTTCTAACAATTATGTAGGGCGTCATTGAAGAATTGTGCGACGCTTGTGAGAAATTAGGCTACAAGGACCCCACTCCTATTCAACGTGAGGCCATTCCAACTGCATTGAATAAACGAGATGTGATCGGACTTGCCCAAACAGGAAGTGGTAAAACCGCTGCGTTTGCTATCCCTGTAATCCAGGAATTATGGGACAATCCTAGCGCTTATTACGCTGTTGTGCTTGCCCCTACTCGAGAGCTGGCTTACCAAATTTCTGAACAGTTTGAAGCATTGGGAGGTGCCATTGGTGTTCGAAGCGTCGTTATTGTAGGTGGAATGGATATGGTTTCTCAAGCAGTTGCTTTGTCCAAAAAGCCACATATCCTTGTTTGCACTCCTGGACGTTTGATGGACCATTTGGAAAATACCAAAGGATTTAGTCTGCGAAACCTAAAGTATCTAATTATGGATGAAGCTGATCGTCTATTAGATATGGATTTTGGACCTATCATTGATAAATTTTTAAAAGTCATTCCCAAAGAAAGACGAACTTTACTTTTCTCTGCAACCATGACCAGTAAGGTTGAGAAGCTTCAACGTGCTTCTCTTCATAATCCTGTTCGAGTTGCCGTTTCTTCCAAGTTCTCCACCGTAGATACCTTGATTCAGCGTTACTTGTTTTTTCCTTTTAAGCATAAAGACACTTATCTCGTTTATTTAGTTAATGAGCTTGCTGGCAATACCATCCTTGTCTTTGCACGCACAGTACATGATACCCAAAGATTGGCAATTTTGTTGCGATCTCTCGGATTCAGCGCAATTCCTCTTCACGGTCAATTGTCTCAAAGTAATCGTCTTGGTGCCTTAAACAAGTTCAAATCTGGCTCTAGATCGATTATGGTTGCTACAGATGTAGCTGCTCGTGGTTTGGATATTCCGCTTGTTGATGTCGTTGTCAACTACGATATTCCAACTGACTCAAAAGCATATGTTCATCGTGTTGGTCGTACTGCTCGTGCCGGACGTGCCGGTAAATCTGTCGCTCTTGTAACTCAATATGATTTGGAACCATTCCTTCGTATTGAGGCTGCTATTGGTAAAAAAATGCAAGAATATGAGCATGAGAAGGATGCAGTATTCTTATTATCGGAGCGAGTGGATGAAGCACAGCGAGAGGCTGCCATTCAAATGAAGGAACTGCAAGATAGGAGGAGGTCCAAAAATAATTTTCGTGCAAAGCGCAAGCATGATGATCTTGATCGTGAAGAACAAGTCTCTTAGATTAAAGGACGCAAGGCTTGAAAAAAAAATTTTTTTTTGTTAAAATGAAAAAAAGGAAAGAATAAAAAGGACAGGTTTTGAATCCTTATTTTTTGGATACTATGGTTATGTTAATAATAGGAATAGATCATATACATAATTTTCAGGTGCGTGGATTGGTAGCATAAGAAAGTAGGATACAAATCATAACCGTTGCTTCGTGTATGATAATTTCCGTATACGCTCAACATACATGCGTATAAAACTTGATTTATTATTGATAATTGATTCTATGAATGAGGATGACTTTGGGAAATATATATAGGACAAAGAAATATAAATTAGGAGGGAAAGAATAAACAAAAGAAAGATTCAATCTCTGCCATACATGGATTTTAATTTAGGAGAACCGGCAATTGTGTCATACACCGAGCTTTTGATTACAAAACTGTAAATGTAGTAAGTGATAGGTACTGTAGCTAGGTGCCAAAGGGAATGAGCATCAATTAAATTCGCAATAGGGCTAAAATCGAAAAGCTCCAAGGAAGCGGAAAGCATCAAGGCGGTCACGGACAAAGCAGGCCATTTTGTCCAATGAAGTCCACTATTTCTATGTTTCCATGAATAATAGAACCAAGCGAAATTTGAAAGCAAGCCTATTGAAAGGTTCGCCTTCATGTTGTAATCGTAATCAAATGTATAAAAGGAGAGATAACTGATGTGTGACAGAAAAGCAAGGGAAAAAAGAGTTGCTAGTAAGAAAGTAATGGGTTTACCTCCCTGCTTAAGATCCAATTTAAACATTAGAACGAGTGAATTATATAAGCCAAATAAAACAAAAGCACCGGCTGAAAAATAGTCCAATTTTTCTGTGATGGGGGTGTCGCGAATGTGAAAAACACTGCTCCATATCCATGCGTTCATGCCAATCAAGGCCCATTTCAAACACAACGATTTACTATGATGAGAGGCAGGGATGCAACGACGCATACGTTGATAACCATCGTAATGGACGATTAGGTTGAAAATAGAGAATAAGACGCTAAAGAATTCCTGAATGCCACAAACTCGAATGAAGTACCATTTACCAAAATATTGCTGAGAGGGAACTCCATTCATGGCAAAGTAGTGTTCAGTATCAATTTGGCATTCGTAGCGGCAATTGCTACCACAATCCCAAAAGAGTAATCTCATATACCAAGGTAGCATGCCATTTTGAGATGGATTTTGATTACAGTCAATGTTGATACAATTATTCAAGCATGTCCTGTAGTATGGGTGTGAATCACCAGTGCTCGCTGATGCGCATTTTAGCGTAGATGCGATCAAAAATAATGCGAAAAAAGAAAGAACCAAATTGAATTTTACATTAAGCATCCTGAAAATAGAAGAGCTAAACCCATGAAGTTGTTTCCGAGATACTTTGTTATGCCACTGTTTTGGGTAGGAAAGGAACAATGTAACCTGAAAAAAAAAAAGTGTAAACAAATGCAAAATCATGGACTTCTTTGGGAACGAAAGGTGAAAAACATAAGCGTTGGTGCCTAAAAAGTGTATATGTGGGTTACAAAAATAGCCACCAACTATCAACACGCTTCTGAGACTCTGCATACGTATATATGTTCCATAGGTTCGTAAACATGGATTTATATGCATGGTATATGGCTTCAGTGATGGATTTAAGGGAATGGAAAAAGTTTGTGTTTTAGTAACATTTCAAAGCTTGATGAATAGGTTCGAAAAATTCAAACCAGATCATGATTTGAATAGAAACAGTTTGGAAACCAAGAGAAATGGTGTAGATCAATCATTTAGAGCATCTTTTTAAAACAAATAAATAACTTGATAATGATTCGCTTAAATATTGATTCGAAGGTTCTCATTCATTATGGAAGCCTCTCTAGACCATCATCAAGTAGTAGAGATTTCTTGTACAGATCGCTTAAAATAAGTTGATGCGATCCTTCTTTTCGTGTTTAGTCAAAGTTGAACTTGAAAAGATCCATGACTTGTACTACCCTTGGCTTGGATCCCTCGTCTCTGATGGAAACCAAGTATACTCAACTCGGGTGAGCTATAAGTAGCACCATCACTGTTGTATTGAGGAGAAAATATTATACATCAAAAGCCCAAAAAAAAAGCTTTTCACAAAGCCGCAGCAAGTTTTGATGTACAAGTCGCAACAAGGAGACCAAAATATGAACAAAGCGCTTACGAATATGGATCCTTGGAATAATGCGCATACCGAGGAGGTGAGCATACCGGAGGAGTACGGATACCAGAAGCGTAAGTGTCAAGGGTTTGGTATTCTTCCACTGAAGGAACTTCTGAGGCGGGTATTGAATTGAAATGCAAAAAGTAAACAAGAGTAAGATGTATAGCGAAAATGAGAGAACAGTAAATAGACCAGAGGACAAAAGAAGATGCGGAAGCACCGTTGGTCGAAATGGAATACAAGAATCCTAAAAAAAGAAAAGTGAGACCAATTCCAGCGTAACAAACTTTCGTTGCCTTTTTACCGCGTTTAAGAAGAAGCATTCGGCCATTTTCATAAGGACTTATCCGTGTACTTGATGCCATTTTGATATTGCACTTTATAGGCGAAACGAGTACTTATGCATTAGCAGAGTATGACCTGCCTTCGTTTTAATTCGTACCAAACCAGTCCTTCTCATCCTTTATGAATTGAATAACCAAGGAAATTTTTATTTTTCATAGAGAATCGTTTTTCTAGTTTTTAAAAGACGGTTTATGCTTCACAATGGATTCTGATGTGGAAATGGAAGAGTTGCAGAATCTAGTCGCAAATGAAGAAAGAACTCTGGAGCTTCAAGAGAAAGAAAAGAGCATGTACCTAGAACTTTTTGAAAAATTCAAAATACTGGAAAACATAAACGGGTTCTTGCTCATTGCTCAATTAATTTATCGACTGGTAGTCTTTTTTACAATTCTAAGTTCTCCAGACAGTGCAACTTTACGCTTATGTATCTATTTAGAATTTCTTGTTGGATTGCTTACTATGGTCTACTTTTTCGGAAATATTGTTTGGCTGAAGACGGATATGTATAAAAGTTTTGTCTCTGACTAAGGGTTTAGAATGCTAATGCAGTTAGCTTGGCAAAAAAGGGTAAAGTACAAAGATGAAAGCATGACATGAAGAGAACAAGGATGGCCTTATGATGAGAAAACAGTCATGCAACGGTGAATGAATTCTGGACGAAAAAGATTCCCTTTATGCTTCGCACAATTTGATACACACTTGTGAGTTTTGGTACATAAAAACAAGGATGAACCTTTTGAGAGCTGACGACGGATCTCCTATGAGATTCCCAAATTTCCCTGGTAAGAGATCATAGAGTTTAAAGAAAAATGGGGAAAACCAGCAATGACTGCTGCTAGAATCAACAAATGAATGTTTAATACTGAAGCCTTTTCCAGATCCGTCTTGTAAGCCAATCAAAACCAATTGGAAAGAAATATTAATAAATAAATACCGTTTTTTATGCGGCCATGAATTTACGTATTCTAATAGACCAAATCCTTAAAAAAAAAAAAGCAAACCCCGGCTTTTCCATCAGGACGACTTCTGTTCCAAATACAAAGATCCAAAGCCAGCACTTCATTCATCGTTTAATCTCAAATTTGGAAAATATATAATAGAAACCTTTGGGTTCAATAAAAAGACACTCCATTCCGGTAAGAGACTTTCTCGAAGGACCAGAACAGATGTTCAAAATAAAGTATAAAGCCATTTCGTGAGATAGAACCATCTTATGTAGGATGTGAAGGGTTGTTTTGAACTGCAGAGGAAAATATGGTGTCTTGAAATCGCTCGGGACCGCTAACACGCACTTGTTTTTGCACAAGGTTCGTCAACCAATCTTTAGGCTTTGTCTGTGTTTCTGTGGCTGGCTGGAACCCTGCTACACGTCTATATTCGTCCATTTGAGGTCCATGGAACCATTCAATAAACGCCTTCACATCCTCTTCTGTACCATCGAGCAAGCCCACTTCTTCAAGAGCAAGGCGAAAGTCCTGCAGGTCGCAATTTGGTTTTCTACTCACTTCTGCTTCTGCCATTGTCGTTTCGGAAAGCAGTTGGATATAACGAATCATTATATCTGTAAACGAATCCAACAGGGACACTTTCGTACGATCAAGGCCAGCTGCACGCAGTGTTTGCGAGCAAAACACTCGCATAAGACAAAAGTAAATGTCGTTTTTGGGTGATCCTTCCATGAGATCCTTTGTAACCGTAGAAACGCGTAAATAAAGGGGTTTCGCGTTTTTCTCCAAATCGTGCTTGTGGGTGACCAGAGCTTCAGTACATTTCAGGATTGCGATGCATCTTAGGGTATCGTATGTACGATACGATACTAGAGCGAAAGTAAGGTAATCCACTAAAATGGGTTAACATTACGTTGGGATTTGTTGATAAACATAAACAGAGTTGAAGAAATTTTGATATTTGGATTTTTTGTCGCATAGCTGTAGAACGACCAGTGTTGGCTTTGCAAACCTTGAGATTCATAAAAGATGATTGAAATTGTCTCTAGGAAAGTCCAAGAAGGTGTCTTTTTGCTGCTTGCTGCTTGACATTACGTTTTGCTAAAAGAATTTTTCGCAACGAAGATTTCCTTATCAAAAGAAAGCTTTCAAGCTTTATTAGCGTTTTAGCATTAGAACCAGAGAAATATGTACAGTTTCTCTGTAGCTGTATTCGTCTTGAGCTTTGAAGAATTGAATCCTAAATAGGTTTCTTTAGGATCTATTGTCGATTTTCGTACAAAGTTTTCTGCATTTATCTTTTGTAACTTTTCTATTCAACAGTAGATCATATATACCAATGCTCTCAATCCTGAAAAAGGAAATCCAACTGAATGTTTACCGTTTACTGATACCTTGCATTCCATTATATCATAAGACAGGAAACCTCAGCCAAAAGAGGCTCTTTCCCAGTTTCTCTTTTTTGTCAAATTCAATTGATTCTTGTTTAGAAATATTTGTGTTTATAGCTCTTTTTAACTCTACAAAAAGAAGCGGTCTCGTTTGCTTTTTCAAATATTCGTAATCGCACTTACTTGTAGGGACGCTCGTTTGAAGGCAGCAGATTTGCAAATTAGGTGAAAAAAAAAGGTACAGATTGTTTTAAGCTTCTTGGAATTTATTTATTATTTAATTTTAAAGAGAGGATCAAAATCAATCAACCATGGCTTATCGAGATCGAACTGGATTGTATATAACGTTTCGACAGTCGTATGCTCATCATGGTCAAAAGCTTGAGTTTTCGAAGTGGGATCAAAAGGAAGAACGACAAAACCTTATTCACAAGGATGTGGACGATAATGTTGTAATAGAAATGGACATGCTAGCTCCCAAATGGGTTGCTGTCGAAAGCGACATCAATTTCCTGCTGCAGAATACTCAAAGAAATATTCAGTCACTAGACAAGCAATATGCTAAGCATGTTCTTCCGAGTTTTTCGGATAAAACGGAACAAGAGAATGAGATTCAGCGCCTAACCATAGACATAACGAGTGATTTCCAAAAATGTCACCGGATTTTACAAACAACGAAACGTCAAACGAAAACCATTCAGGGTTCAGAAGCTTTGGTTGCTCAAAATCTTTTGGCAAATCTGGCTTCTCGTATCCAAACGGAAAGTGCACAGTTCCGGAAGAAACAATCTACCTATCTAAAAAGTAAGTGATAACTTCAAAAACGTCAGTACTAAACATTGCTAGAACTACGAGGCTTGAACTCTGATTTCTCCTCTTCAGATGCGAAACTAGAGGATACCGTGTCTGACGTTGCAATTTCGCAGTCTACAATTCAACAAGCTGCTCTTATGGAAGAGCAAGGTGAAGACGAGCGGGCTGTTCAGCATGAACGGGCAATCGCCAAAATCGCCGAAGGTATCCTTGAGTTAGCTCAGATGTTCCAGGATTTACAAGGATTGGTAATTGAGCAAGGTGCTCTTGTAGATCGCATCGACTTTAACGTTGAGCAAACACAGGTTCATGCAAAATCCGCTGAAAAAGAACTAACGAAAGCTGAAGGTCATCAAAGAAATACGGGACGGCTGCGGTTCATGTGTATTCTAGTCCTTATTATTATTGCTTTATTAATCATATTAATTGGCAAACTTGCACGATAATGTCTAAATGATGTCTTTTTATTATCATTATTATTATTCCGGATTTCATGTTCTTTCCTTCTTTTTAATTCCTTGTCTTGATTTTTTATATAATAGCAATATATAATTCTGTTTAAATATAATTCCTTGATCGTTGCTTTCATTTTTAGATGCAAAAAACTTGTGTATTCAACGATAAGAACTACTACCCTAACGTTCATAATTAAAAAATCCAAAACCCCTTGTTAACCCAGATTAATAAAATAAAGAAACTTCAAAAGCTCGTCGTCTAAGAACTTGAAGATGGAGCCGAACGTGCACGCGGCAGGCGCTTCTTCTCCTTCTGAGAGCGCTTTCGCAGTTTCTTTTCTAGATAACGATCCAACTTCTTAGTTCCCTCCATAGATTTATACTTATCCAATTGAATCAACTTCTTCTGATCACTCTTCTTCATATAGAAAGGCTTCTTTCCTTGTTTAACTTGGTCTCTTTCGTGGGCGCGTTGCTCACGTAAAACTCGTTCTGCTCTCTCCTCTTCAAAATTTCTTTCCATTTTAGACAGAAGAGACTTTAATGTCGCTTTAAGAGCTTCTGCGCGTTCAGAGTCTTTGCATTTCTTTAGCTCTTCGCGCAGTTGCTCAATTTCCTTTTTCCGGTATTCAAAGACAAATGAATAGTTCTTTTTTACTTTCTCTTTATTTAAATTTCCGGATAAAGAATCAAATCGAGGGTCCCTTGTAAATTTCTTGGGAACATCAACAACCTCTCGAAATCGAGAAACCGGTCTCTTGCTTGATACTTCCATTGGCGCATGCTTTTTTCTTTCGGTACGGTGATGTCCTTCATGTTCATCGGTCTTCCCTTCTTTCTTTCTATTCAGCGCCAATTCTTTCCTTTGAGCTTTCTTCTGTTCCAACTTTAATTTCTCTTGAGCGTTCAAGAGCGTATCAAACGGAATTTCTGATATCTCTATATACTACGTTAGAATTCTTCCTCATTCATTTTTTATCCTTACGGTTTTTAGCGGATTCCTCTTCCACATCTGAGGTTGCTTCTGGTTCACTCTCTTCCATTCCATTAAACTCTTCTTCTGAAACCAATTCCTCTGAACTACTTATTGGCTCATCCTCATCAACATTAACATGAGCTAAACTTCCTGTTTTTAACGCGTTTTTGCCCATGGAGTGAATATTGACGTTTCGCGAAAGTGTACAGTTAAGGTGAAATTTCCAAAGGTAGTAAAAGGAAAAGTCAATATGCTGTCTTGAAAAGTCAGGCAACAAAATAATTGAAAATTAGTTAAACAAAAAAGTTTAGGAAAACTTTAAGTATCTGAATGATTGTAGATTCATACAGTACCGAAGCTACTTAGACAACAATTCTGCAGACCTGATGAGGTTTTAAGAAAAAAAACTTTCATTTTATACAATTTAAGATACCAATATATAAAATTTCATGAATTTGAAAAAAAAAAAAATAACCTATTCATATCATAAACAATGGAATCCCTCGAAAATAATCCTTTATAAACCACGGTTTTTACTCTAAGAAAACATAACTACTAACAACAAATAAGCGTTAAAAAAATTCATCTGTCTCTTCGTTGTCATTACCAGTATAAGCATCAGCAGGGGGATAGTATTGTGGCAATGGTCTCGTCTGTACGAACTCTTCTGGTTCATTCGTAACATATGTACTGGCACGCTGTAGCGAAGGGGGAACCATGGCTTGGTTTCCAATCGTGTGAGAACGGTTTCTTGTGCGAGGCGTAACGAAAGGTGGCTTCTGCTTATTCATATAATATTGGCTATAGGAAGCACCGGTAATAAAAGGATGTGCTTTCGCCTGGTCAGGGCTCCAACGCTTCAAAGGATTTAGCTCCAAAAACTGCTTTACAAAGTCAATGAAACACAATCGCTCTTCATGTTCTTCGGGTGTGTGCTTAGGAGTGGTTTTGCGACGGGGATAATTCATTATAATAGCATCCAGTGTTTTCTCACCAAAATACTGTTTTCCTGGTTGTTCCACCTTGTTGTTTTCGATAGAGAACTGTTCAATTGATTTGAGCTCGTATACCTTTCGTCCGTTGACGAACGAAATATTAAAGTATTTTTTTGCGTTCTTCCCCATTTCAATCATCCAAGCTGGCGGGGTTCCTAGCATATCCACTATGCGACAAATTTGGTTATACTCAGAATTTCCAGGAAACAGAGGAAGGCCCAAAAACAGTTCAGCGAGAATACAGCCGATTGACCACATATCAATGCCACAATTATAGTGGAGACCTAAAACAACTTCTGGACTTCTGTAAAAGCGAGACTGAATATACGTATATACGGTCTGTCGTTCATGACAGGCGCTGCCAAAGTCAATTACTTTGACATTTGGAGAAGATAAATCTTGTAGGAGGATATTTTCTGGTTTCATATCACAATGAATAATGCGTGCTTGTTTTAGTAAAGAAGCGCATGAAAGCAACTGAATAGCAAACGAACGTACAAGACTAAGGTGAAGGCCGCGAAACTGATTTTGCTTAATCAATTCATAAAGATTGATGCTCAAAAGCTCAAAAACCAGGCATAAATGATTTTTATGCATGAACTGATCGTATAAGCGAATCAAATGACGCTTATCATCCGGATCATAACGGTTGTTAAGAAACTCTAAAATTGAAACTTCCATGACGCATTGATTATAGAATGCTGGTTTATTTTTAATTACTTTGATAGCTACAATCCTTTGTGTTTTTAAATCTTGGCATTTCGCGACTTGACCAAAGGTACCATGACCTAGAGTATCGAGAATTAAGTATTTTCGGCCTTCATCTGTTCCAAGTAAATCATTGACATACAATATATAGTCATGGTTAGTATTATCGTAACCATGATTATGCACGGCTTCGCTTGGCTTTGTGAGAGGTCTTCGAGGATTTTGTTCCGATGAAAACTGAAATCTGGGATTACAAATAGCATATGTATTCGCAAGCTTTACAGTAAGAGCTTCTAGTGGCTACATAAATTTGGATTAGTTAATGGAAATGATAAATTGGTACTTACACTTATAAAACTTCCATTGGGAGAAGCTCTTCGATAACTGTAATTTTTCGCCATGGGAGGTTTAGGAGGAGTAAACGTGGCATTCGCTCCTGAGGAAGATACATGACGAGCATGACTGGTTTGAGGGGGCCGCGAATATGCCCTGCTTCCTGAATTGCTGTTGGTTAAAGGAAGAATGGGAGAGTTGGAGTCCATGGTGCCGAATGCAAGTTACAAGTAAACAAATGAGTTGTTCGCTTAGTCGAAACACTTACCGGTAGTATTTGAAGGGAAAAAATGGGGAATAATAAACACGCACAGGATTCGACAGGCGCAAGCAGGGGAAATGTGTAGCGTCCCTGGAATCTACTGTCGCTGTCCAAATATAAAAGCTTTTCCTTTTTTTTCTAAAAGCAATAGCTAGACGCAAGAGCGAAGTATGGAATTGTTTACGATCTTAAGGTACCAGCAAATGAATGGAAAACAGGAACAGAGCTTCCTTAAAATACTATTGAATGAAAATCCGAGCTGTGGACACTGCTGTCTTGTGGAAGTAAGTTCCAGAGACGTGTGATATGATCCAAAAGAATTTCACAGTTAATTGTCAATCCGAAAACAAATACAATTTTGCGAGACACAAACTTGGTTCCTCAAAATGAACTTGCAAATGAGACCTTTGATTAAGAAATGGGTCTTTTTTTTCCAAATGAATCGGCTCTTGACAAATATGTTATTCGGAGGACTGCAATGGTGCTATCAAAGATGGATTTTTATGATAAAATGAGCAATTCGATCCAATTCCTTCTCAACACTGCTACTCTAGCAAGTCGCTCCTAATATGTAGTTGGTAAAAGATAAATGCATACGAGTAAGCTGATTATGACGACACCCTGGGTACCGCTGAGCTGCGGCAGATTCTACCTCATTATTTGTGAAATATAATGAACCTCGTTAAAAGCATCTTTTGGGATGAACAGATGTAATATTATTCGAGCTTTGGGAGTATAATCTTAAGATGAGTAAATAAAAAGGTAAAGAGAAGTATTTTATATGAAAAAGTGCACGGGAATATTAGTTGATAGAAAAAAAGAAACAAAACAGGAACAATAGGCTGACATTATAAGATTTACTGCAGTTACAAAATTTGTCACACTTTCTTGAAGAGTTAATTTGGACATGGTTTCTTTTCCGTTTCGTTGGGATTTGACTACTGGAAGGATGATGGAATGGGCGGTTTAATATGGTATACTATTCCGTAACAAGTCCTTACTTAAATTAACAAGATGCGTTAAGCTGACAAGTACAACGACATGACTGTTATAGAGAGAATGCCTGGATACCCGTTTGGCTACATTATAAAGGCAATCATGTGTCTACGCTTCCATATTAAAAGCAAAGTACGGTACATATGCACTTTGACATCCTTCCTTTCCAATGGATGAAAGGAGGTCATTACTTTACATGTCCGCCGACAAGTGAAGCACAAACTTTTTAAGTAAATAGGACAAAATTTAATGTTTATATAAATCAAAGATCATTTATCTTTTCAAATTCAAAGAAATACGCCAACAGCACCTTTCCGAAAGACAAACGTCTTTTCACGGGCAATATTGAGGTCCTGTTAAAATAACGGAATTCTTCCAAGATATTTAAAGCTGAGGAACAAGAAAGTTACCGACGCGGGACTTGATAATGGCGACGGAAGCAATAAAAACGCCAAGGCTGATGAAAATGGAAGAGTTTTCCTTGTTAACAACTAAAAGCGTTAGTGAATTTTTCACCAACATAAATAACAAATAAATAAAACCTACCCTTCTTTACCAAGTTCTTTTTGTCAGCGATACGGTCCATGATTATGAATAGTGGTAGAGGGTTGGTCAACGGAGAGGTTTCGTTTAGTGTTAACTACCCAGAGATTCTTTAGTAAATAAAAATTGGGAAAAATGAATAAATAAATAGAAAGAGAGAAAGCGAGAGTGTGATGGTCAAAGGATGATATTAAAAATAAACGCGAAATAAAATAAATAAAATAAAAAATTGGAATTTGGAATTTGGAATTTACAAACTGGTTTAAATGTTTTCGTCTTATTCGAGAGTTTCTAATATAATTTCTTAGCATACTTATTAATGAGTAGAACGCAAACTGATTGCTTAGGTTTTACAATTGAATCAAGAGCTTTTAAAAAAATAAAACAAACCAATGACACTATTTACGTCAAGAGACAGGAGTCACCGTGGATGAGAGGAAAAGAGGGAATTGGAAATTATTGTTCAAATGGCTAGATAAAAAAGAAAAGGAATTGAATCTTAAAAGGAATCTATTCTTGATTTAGGGGGAAAGCTGTAAGCCGCTATTTTTTCTTACTCCAATATGAAAGGAGCAAATGACATCTAAAGTAAAAGAAAGACAAAATTCTCAAAAATGCTTTAATACAATCACCTAAAGGAACAAATGAAATTAATTAACTTACAGTCAGAAAGAAACCATGTATCTTTTTGTAATTCAAATTAAAAAACTGAAGAAATACTAAAGTTTCTTTCTATTGAGGTTTGTTTACTGAATAAGAACATATCTGTTTACATCGGTATCACAAGATAACCCACTACGGCACTGTATGGTAAACCAGGCAGAACATATTTTTTCATTGAGCAGGTCCTCACCCTTCCTTTGACTGCTGTGTCAAAAAAAACTTGCCAACCACCAACATGTCGAGATTCTTCAAGGGAGGCTCAAATGACAGTGATGCAGAATCCGTGGACTCCTCCGAAGGCAACCGCGTAGTTGCTTCAAAGACGAAGACTGAAGAGTCTTCTTCAGCGGAGGAAGAATCGAGTGAAGAGGAAAGCTCATCAAGCTCCGCATCAGAGTCTTCTGAAAGCGAATCAGAATCAGAATCAGAAAGTGAATCAGAGTCCGAGTCTGAATCTGAAAAAAGCAAAGGTTCCGAGGTTCCCGCAAAGAAGCGCGATGTTTCGAAAAAGCCAGTCTCTTCTTCTGAAGAGTCTGAATCCGAGTCAGAGTCCGAGTCCGACTCTGAGACTTCTGATGAAGACAAATCAGAACAATCCGAAACCGATAGTGAGGAAGACAGCGAAAGTTCTGAATCCGAGTCAGGTTCTGAAGAGTCAGAGTCTGAAAGCGAGTCAGCTTCCGAGTCTGAATCTGAAGGCGAAGCGGAATCCGAGTCTGAATCTGAGGAATCAGAGCGCGCTGGTCCCAGTTCTTTCTTGAAAAAGCCCGAGGAAGCCAAGCCCGCTGGTTCTCGTTTTCTTCGTGGTGAAAGTAGCGAAGAAAGCAGTGATGAAGAGGAGGGTCGCCGTGTCGTCAAGAGTGCTAAAGATAAGCGCTTGGATGAATTTTACTCTGTTATCGATAACATGAAGAATGCTATGTCTGGAAACAAATGGATGGTAGTTTCTAATGAATTTGATCAGTTAAATAAGATCGCTCAAAAATCCTCCGAAGCAGGCCGCCGTCCTCCTGCTTATATTGAATTTTTGTCAAACCTTGACCAAAAAGTTGAGGGCGCCGATAAAGCTTTCATCAAGAGTCTCGATGCTGCCAATGGTCGTGCTCTAAACGCTCTTAAGCAACGTGTTCGTAAAATCAGCCGCCAATTTACTTCAGAAATCCAACGTTTCCGCGAGAATCCTGAAGCTTTTATGAAGCCCGCTGCTGAAGTCGCGGAAGTACCCAAACCTGCCGCGAAGGCTGGTCAAGATGAGGTTATCGTTGGCGGCGTTGCTACTCGCGGTATCGTTGCTCCTACCACGGATGAGCCTAAGACTGAAGAAATTTCTCCTTCCGACATCTTCAAGCACCTTCGTGCTATTTTTGAGGCTCGTGGTAAGAAGAGCACCGATCGCACCGAACAAATTCGATTCCTTGAAAAATTATCATCCATCGCTGTTACAGATTATCAACGTCTTCGTGTTAAGGTCGCTCTTTTAGCTGCCCGATTCGACATTAATACTGGATCAAGCCAGTATATGCCCTTTGAGCAATGGAACGGTGCTTTGAAGGAACTCCACAGCATTTTGGACATTTTGGATGCTAATCGAAAGGTTGTTATTGTTGAACAAGTAGAAGATGAATTTGAAGATGAGGAAGAAGCTGTTGCTGCTAGTGCTAACAATAACGGTGTCGTTCAAATCCAGGGCAGTGTCGTCTCTTTCTTAGAACGCTTGGATGATGAGTTCACTCGCTCTCTTCAAATGATTGATCCTCATGCACCAGAATATATTGAGCGTCTTAAGGATGAAACTGCTTTATATACATTGCTTGTACGAAGCCAGGCTTACTTAGAACGTATTGGCTTCGTTGAGAGCACTTCTCGTCTAATTATGCGTCGTCTTGAGCGCGTCTACTATAAGCCTGGACAAGTTATTCGTGCTAACGAGGAATCAGCCTTGCGCGCCCTCTCTCCTGATTTCGATCTTGCTGTTACCCCTCGTGCAACTACTGATACTCCTGATAAATTAATCAACGCTCTTTGTGTCTACCTTTATAATCACGGTATTAGTTTACTTCGGACTCGCGCCATGCTCTGTCATATTTACCATGAAGCTCTTCAAAATCGTTTCTATAAGGCTCGTGACATGTTACTTATGTCGCACTTACAAGATAGCGTACACGCTGCTGATATTGCTACACAAATTTTGCATAACCGTACAATGGTCCAAATTGGCTTGTGTGCATTCCGTAATGGTATGATTCAAGAAGCCCAATATGCTCTCCAAGATATTTCTACCACTGGTCGTATTAAGGAGCTTCTTGGTCAAGGTATTCAAGCTCCCAGGTTTGGCCAGTTTAATCCCGACCAAGAACGCTTGGACAAACAACTTGTCCTTCCTTTCCATATGCATATCAATTTGGAGCTTCTTGAATGTGTTTATCTCACATGCTCTATGTTTATGGAAATCCCTGTAATGGCCGCTGCTTCGGCTGCTTCTGATGCTCGTAAGCGTGTTATTAGTCGCCCCTTTAGACGCATGTTAGAATACACGGATAGACAACTCTTTACTGGACCACCTGAAAATACCCGTGAATTTATTATGCAAGCTTCTAAGGCATTGGCAGAAGGTGATTGGCGTAAGAGTGAAGAATTAATTCATGCTATTAAAATTTGGAGCTTGATGCCAGACACTGACAAGATCAAATCTATTCTCAGTGACAAGATCCGTGAAGAGGGATTACGTACCTACTTGTTATCATATGCCGCATTCTTTGACTCAGTGTCCCTTGATTCTTTAGCGGAGACATTCGACCTTCCTTTGCAACGTGTAACTGTTATTGTTTCTCGTTTGCTCTCCAAGCGGGAGATCCACGCTGCTCTTGACCAAGTGCACCGTGCTGTAATTTTTGAGCGGGTTGAGATTAACAAGTTGGAGAACATGGCAATTTCGCTTAGTGAAAAGACTGCACAATTACATGAAGCAAATGAAAAGCTCTATGAGCAAAAAACTCAACACACAAATCCTCAAGATAACAGACGTCGCGAAAAAACTGGATCGGTGAAACGACGCAATGATCGTTCCGACAACCGGGGTCGTCAAGACATGAATTAAGTTGAAGCGCATTTGGTGGAATGTTTTCAGGCAATATAATCTCAATAAAATGATCTAAGTATTTGTCGTTTCTTACGGATGTTTTCTAGTCGATTTCTTTTAGATACTTTATAGATGAATAGGCATCTGTAATGTCTTAATGGTACATAAAGAACTTGTACAGCTTAACCTGCTGGGATTGTAGTTTTTGTGAGTATTCAATATATATGTCTTGTAGTCTATACCCATGTACTTGCTTCGCTTTCTCTAAACAATGAACAGCAGGGACAATTAAGAGAAACATAGCTTTTACCGATATTTATAATTTTTGAAATTCATTTTAAAAATACTAATACATTTTTATTTACTTACAAAACTCTTTTCTTCATTTCTTAATTAACGTTATTAAATTACATTGCGGTATTTATTTTTAGGATACTTAAAGGGTCGGTAGATTAATTCTCCAGAGATATGACACTACAGGATACGGTCTGCGGATTCTTCCTTTTTCCTACTACGAAACCTTCAGTTTGTGAATTGATTCAGGATGTCTTGGCAAGGTATTGTTCAAAATAGGAAGAAAGTTTACTAACTTGAGGATAGCTTATGTTGATACTTCCTTACTTGGTACCGGCAAAATTGATCAAGCAGCCATCGTTTCTAGAGCTGGTGATAGCGTTTGGGCTGCTTCTTCTGGATTTAATCTTTCTGGTCCCGAAATTCAGAGCCTTGCAGCTGGATTCCTAGACCCTCCCAGTATGTTTGGCACTGGTATTCACTTGTCTGGACAAAAATATATTACCATTCGTGCTGAGGGTAGATCCATCTACGGAAAGCTCCAAAAATCCGGTATCATCTGTGTTGCTACCAAGCTTTGCATCTTAGTAGCTCATTATCCTGAGACTACTTTACCCGGTGAGGCAGCCAAGATTACAGGTAAGTAGTTTTCTTGATGCTTCCAAGAGGAGTATACAGACTGAGATCGTGAATACGGTACTAACATTCTATTTGTTTAGAGGCTCTTGCCGATTATCTTGTCGGTGTTGGCTATTAATCGTCGCTTTTAAAATGGCCTCCCGTTTGAGTCGATATTACTTTCTTTTCCCAAGTCGTATGAATAACGAAATGAATAGTGAGTGAAAGGATGCTATTTTGTTTAAAATGACCTTCGACTAGACTTTGCTTTGCGTTTTTCTAGTACTTGTAGGTTCAATAAATATAGAGGAATCGTAAGGGTTTCTTTTCTTTTTTGCAAACACAGTTAGAAGCCAAGGTAAACGTAAATCTTGGCATTCGTTTTTATTCAAGTTGTCATTTTTTCTAAAAGATTGTAATCGTAGAAGATTTTATCAATGCATATGATATTGTGAAAAGGTGAAATCAAGAAATGTTCATCCCACAACCACTGTAGATACATAACCAACATCCATGAGATATGCGTAGACAATGGAAGAACTCTTCTGACGAAAAAAAAGTCCTTTTCAATTAAATAATAATAGTAATCATCACCGTAAAGAGTGTTCAAATGTCACATAAATCATTCATTTTTCATGGATAAAAAAAAGCTGCTCCCGGCGAGGATCGAACTCGCGATTTTCACGTAACACACCTCCACAGAGGAGTATCATATAAGCATGAGGCCTTAACCAGCTTGGCCACGGGAGCAGTCGTTGACTAGTTTATTAACTAAAAATATATATACCCGTAGTGTTTTTGCACAGTATATGAGCTCGCAAACAAATGAAGAATGGAGATTCTGTTCAAAAGTTAATGCCGCTCTTTGATAATAGATTGTTGTAAACAGAATGAGAATATAGTATAGAGCTATTCAAGTTTATTTTGGATTGTGGGCTTTTATTCTCAACTACGGAACAGAATGACCATATTTGTGCATGTTTTGTGGCATAAAGGGTCCTAAATTATTCAAAGAAATTCTTATTATTTATTACCTAAAGAACTTTATACAATGCATGCATTTGATAACTCTATAAAAGAGTATTTAGGTAGTCTCTTGCTCTTTACAGTTGGAAAATGAGGATGATAAAGGGTGGTACAGCTCGGCCCTTCTCTAAGGTCTACTACTGTTCCAATGTTCTGTATATTTTTATGATAAGTATATTAAAAAAAATCCAAAAAAAGGTTCATTGTGCAGATTAGAGACCAACATTAAATTGGCACATGTGCAAAACAACGAGCGTCTGCTCCTAAAGCTATAGCTATGGAAGGGGGAGTAATTTCAATGAGCTTTTTTAAACAGAAAGCTAATACTCTCACCATTGTGAGTACGACGGATGGCTTCAGCCAAAACACCACTAATGTCAATCACAGCAAGCTTAGTGCTTTGCGCTATTAACTCTGGCTTTATGGGATAAGTATTTGTCACAACAATTTGCTCAATACAATTACAGTTTTCCAACTCTTCGAGGCAATTATTTTGGAAAATGCCGTGGGAGCCCATGACAATGACACGTTTCGCACCGCAGCGCTTAACCAAATGTTCGGCAGCAATGACAAAAGCGGTAGGATTCTCAATCATATCGTCCATTAATAAGGTGGTTTTACCCCTCACATCACCAACTAAGGTGATCATGCGCTCAGTGAAGATAGAGGCAGAGATTATGTTTTCTTCTTCTTCATCATCACTAGGACATCCGCCTTGAGAATAAGTATTCTCAAGCGTGCAGTCCTCCGAAAAATTGCTGACAGGAGTACTAACAACGTCCTCGTCGTCCACGATATGTCCCAATAAATATTTGGAGGTGTGGATACGGGGACGTTCCGAGTGCCTGTTAGGAACGCGTTCTTCCTCGACTATAGAATCATTGATAGTAGCGGGAAAGTGAGAGCGCCTACTCCTGTCTGTGTTACATAAAGCGAATTCCAAACCTAGAGTGTCAGCCATGCTAGTTACCCGCTTGGCACCACCTGGGCTTTTCGAAACCACAACTGCTTCTTGCCAATCCTCAACATTTCTGCGAATCCATTCGGCAATATTAGGTTCAGCGTACAAGTTGTCTACTGGACGGGTGAAGAACCCCTGCATTTGAGATGCATGCAAGTCCAAAGTTATTATATGATCAACACCAGCTACGGTTAACAAATTCGCAACCATTCGTGCAGTGATTGCGTCACGATACTTTCTCTTTTTTGATTGCTTAGAATAAGGGAAATAAGGCATTACAGCTGTGATCCTCCTAGCGGAGCCACCTTTGCAAGCGCTAATCATAACGAGTAATTCCATCAAACTGTCGTTCACAGTAGAGCTACCACTTTGAAGAACAAAAACATCTTTGTCACGCACAGAGTCGTGGATCTCTACACTTGTTTCCCCATTCGAAAATCGCTTCAATGACACCCTGCAAGGCTCTTTCCCTAAACGTTGTGAAATCAAGCGCAAAAGCTCCGGATGTGAAGTTCCTCCGATAACTGTTGCACTTTTCATCCTTTCAACCTCGTTCTCAATGTGTTTCGTCACTTTTCCGACAATAATATCACCTTCTTGCAACTCGGCAATCTTATTCCACAATTTCTCTCGACTCAACTAAAGCAAGCTTTTCTTCAGATTCTACCGGCCTCTTATTAGGAAGGAAGAACTTTTACGCAACTTGTTTCCGTATGATCATAAGCTGAAGTTGGTTTTTTCTTAGTTTGTAATTGCCTTTCTCTTCATCGGTTGCCCATACCTTTAAATCATTAAATAGATAGGAAACTGTAACGGAATACGGGATTCACAAAAAGGATGTCTAACGAAGTACGCTATGTGAAGTGGTATAGGAAGTGTTTGGCGTACATCCCTACCAGAGCCTATACTGCTTACTTACTTAGCTGCTACAGAGTGTACGGCAGACGACTGACTTGTCGACAAGATGAACTCAATTTTAACAAAATATACGGAAGAAGCTTCTAATGAAGGACAGGAATGTTTAGAGGATGAAAGATTTCAGAACCGTTTTAACGTCGTTCCAGTTCCTGAAGCTTCTTTGTACTTGAGAAGCTTGACGGACGAAACTCAAAATCGAAACTGTTTAATCAAAATGAATCACGGTACGACAACTCTGGCATTTCGTTATCAACACGGTATTGTGGTGTGCGTTGATTCCCGAGCTTCGGCTGGTCCCCTGGTAGCATCACAGACAGTGAAGAAAGTGATTGAAATCAACCCATATCTATTAGGTACATTGGCTGGTGGTGCTGCCGATTGTCAGTTTTGGCAAACCGTATTGGGTATGGAGTGTCGCTTGCATCAACTTCGTAACAAGGAATTGATTTCCGTCTCTGCGGCCAGCAAAATTTTAGCAAACATCATGTATTCCTACAAGGGTTATGGACTCAGCATGGGTACCATGCTTGCGGGTACCGGAAAGGGCGGCACTGCTTTATATTACATTGATAGTGATGGTTCTCGCCTTAAAGGAGACGTGTTTTCTGTCGGTTCTGGTTCCACTTTTGCTTATGGTGTTCTTGACTCTGGCTATAATTGGAATCTGTCGAAAGAAGATGCTTTGAACCTTGGTCGCCGATCCATCGTTGCAGCCACTCATCGAGATGCCTATTCTGGTGGTTCTTTGAACCTTTACCACATTGATGAAAACGGATGGCAATTCCATGGTAACTTTGACGTCGATAAGCTCATTTGGGAAGCAAAAGATACAGAAGGTTCTTTTGCTCATATACCTCGATAAATGAATGCTTTTTTTTTCTATAAAAAAGCCATAGACAGGTATAGTCATGAACGGTTCAAATATTTTCAAAGCTTTTGTTAGTTTTCTACCCCAACTGCTGTGTAACATACGTACTGAGTGAAACTTTGTATATGGAAACAGTCAAGCTTCAGACAGATATCTTTGAACCTTGAAAACCCTTGTGTGTTCTTGATGAACCGAAGCGAACCCATTGTCGTTTCCTTGTGATGTCCTATTTCAAGTCTATCATTTCTTTTGCTACGATTTTAGATTTTTCCTTTACTTTTTTTTTCAATGAGATAATGGTTTTTCCCGTTACCCTATAAATACTTATACTTTGTGTCAGAGTGCATTTCGACCGTGATGACCTAAATTGGATCAGTAGCTTTCTACATTTGATGAGCTTTGTAAAAATTAATAAATGATATTTTCTTTCATAAGCTTTTTAAAGAAATAGTTCAGCTGAAAAAGAAGAAAAAATTGATCATGATATATAGATAATGAGATACTTTGAATTTCGTTAAATGAATACATCCAAAAGGATGTATGCCTATATCCTCAAGAAACCTAGCTTTTGTTATTTCGGTGCACTTTGTAGAAAATCAACTGCTGCTATTCTTTTGGATTGTATTCAGTAAAACATGAGTGCCTATTCAAATGGTAGTAGAGACCAACTAATTCATGATGATCTCAACGTTCAACAAATAGAAGCTGACGAAGACCTCTTAGAAGAGTTTCCTGATGATACAGAGGTAATACAATTTAATAGTTTTGATTTATTACTTTCGAAATGGTGATTAACAAATTAACTGCGTAGGTGATCGACTTGGTACAATCGCGAATTACCAGTATCAAAGCTTTAGGACTCGAAAGATTTCACCGACTTGATAGCTTGTGTCTCCGACAAAACCAAATACGAAAAATCGAAAATTTACCGAAAACCCTCACAGAATTAGATTTATACGACAACCTGGTTCGTGAAATCGAGAATTTAGACGGGCTGGTTCACCTAAAAAACCTCGATCTATCATTTAACAATATAAAAGTGATTGAAAATGTAAATCATTTAAAAGAGCTAGAAAACCTGTATTTTGTCCAGAACCGTATCCGCAAAATTGAAAACCTGGAGGGATTAAATAAGCTTGAGAATTTAGAGCTAGGTGGAAATAAGATCCGAATTATTGAAAATTTGGATACTCTGACGAATATCGAAAAGCTTTGGCTTGGTAAAAACAAGATCACCAAGTTGGAAAATTTGGAAAACCTTCAACGACTTTCCCTTTTGTCCATTCAAGCCAATAGAATTACGAGGTTTGAAAATCTAAATTGCCTGTCTCATTGTCTCCGTGAATTGTACATCTCACACAATGGTCTTACCTCATTTGAAGGCATTGAAGTGCTGGAAAACTTGGAAGTTCTTGACGTTTCCAATAACTATATCAAGCACCTTTCCCACTTGAAGGGGTTGAAAAATTTACAAGAGTTTTGGGCTAGTAACAATGAATTTGCTTCTTTCCAAGAAATTGAGGATGAACTCGGTGGTTTGAGGAAACTAGAAACCGTTTATTTTGAGGGCAATCCTCTTCAGAGATCCAATCCTGCGCTATATCGAAACAAAGTTCGACTTTGTTTACCTAATCTTCTTCAGATAGATGCTACACCTACGCGTTAATGTCGTTCTTCATGTTGGTTTTCTTTTTTCTAAATCGTCGTTTTCATTTTCTGTTATTCAGTTGCAAACTCATTGTCTTTACATTTCAGAGTTTGTTTTCCTTTTGTCTATCGTCTATGTTCCTTATATTTTGATCATATAAAACGCTGTCTATAATAAAGCTACTGTCTATTTGCCTATAAACTCATTGATCTCTTACTTCAATAAAAACATATAAGATAGCAACCTTTATTTAATAATAACTTTCTGTAACGAAGTTTCGAAATGGAATAGAAGTTTTGGCCACTAGATTTATAAAAAAAAAATTGGACTAGTGCTTTCATGTAAAGATGTTCTTCTTAAAGATTCTTACAAGACAGTATGAACACTTCCAATAAACTTCATTCAAGTCAAAAGAGATACAAAGACTAGAGATTCATCTGAAACTTTTTGTTTTTAAGGATTTGTTATAAATATTATACTTAAGTTTTTTTTACTACGATATAACGTTACCCGCATTGTTACTTACTATCTTTTAATTCCCACGCGGGCGCGTGTTGAACTTGGATTCCTCCAGTACCAACAACCAAATTCGGTTGCCCCTTTTCCTTCCTAGAACCAAACTTTTTTAATTAGAATGAGACCTGAAGTTGAGCAAGAATTAGCTCATACCTTATTGCTTGAGCTTCTGGCTTACCAGTTTGCATCTCCTGTACGATGGATTGAAACCCAAGATGTTATCCTCTCCCCTCCCGTTTCAGCAGAGCGTTTGGTCGAAATTGGCCCTAGCCCTACTCTTTCAGGTATGGCTAGACGTACTTTGAAGCTGAAGTATGAGAATATGGATGCTGCTTTGAGTATCAATCGTGAAGTCTTGTGTTATGCAAAGGACGGTCGTGAAATTTACTACAACTTCGAAGATGAGATGCCTGATGAGCCTGCTCCTGCCAAGCCTGCCGAAGTTGGAGCCGTCCCAGCTGCTCCCTCTACTCCGGCTGCTGCTGCCTCTGCTCCGGCTCCGGCTCCGGCTCCGGCTCCAGCTCCTACTGCTGCTGCTTCAGGCCCAGCTGCCGAGCTACCTGATGAACCCCCTAAAGCTGTAGAAATTCTTCATTCTCTCGTTGCTCAAAAACTCAAAAAGAACATTGAAGAGATTTCCTTGCAAAAGTCTATTAAGGATTTAGTTGGTGGTAAATCTACCCTTCAAAACGAAATCTTAGGTGATTTACAAAAGGAGTTTGGTGCCACTCCTGAGAAACCTGAAGAAATTCCTTTGGATGAGCTTGCTGGTATCTTACAAATGACTTTTAGCGGTACCCTTGGAAAGCAATCAAATTCCTTGGTTTCTCGTATGATCTCTTCAAAAATGCCTGGTGGTTTCAACAACTCCGCTGTTCGTGGTTACTTGAGCTCTCGCTTCGGTCTTGGCTCTGGTCGTATCGAGTCTGTTCTTTTGCTAGGTTTGACCATGGAACCTGCTTCTCGTCTACCATCTGAAACAGAAGCTAAAGCTTGGCTTGACTCCGTGTCTCAAAAATATGCTTCTCGCGCTGGTGTTACTCTTTCTTCTCCCAGCGCCCAAAGTTCTTCCTCAGGTGGATCAGCCGCTGTTGTCGACGAAGAAACTTTCAAGAAGCTTACCAAGGGCAATACTATGCTTGTTACCCAACAATTAGAATTATTTGCTCGCTATCTCAACAAAGATTTGCGTGCTGGTGACAAAGCCAGTGTTGCTGAAAAGGCTGTTTCGGACGCTTTACGTGCTCAATTGGATCTTTGGAACATTGAACATGGTGAGTTTTATGCATCTGGTATTGCTCCCATCTTTTCCCCTTTGAAGGCTCGTGTTTATGATTCGGACTGGAACTGGGCTCGCCAAGATGCTCTTAAAATGTTTTTCGATATCATTTTTGGTCGTCTTAAACATGTTGATACCGAAATTGTCGCTCGTTGTATTTCTATTATGAATCGTTCTAATCCTCTTTTACTTGAATTCATGCAATATCATATCGATCATTGCCCTTCTGAAAAAGGCGAAACTTATCAACTTGCCAAGACTTTGGGACAACAACTCATCGATAATTGCAAAGGTGTACTTGATGCTCCACCTGTGTTCAAGAACGTTAATCATCCTACGGCTCCTTCAACTACTATTGATGAGCGTGGTAACTTGAACTATGAAGAAATACCTAGAACCGGTGTCCGTAAGCTCACCCACTATGTTACTGAGATGGCCAAGGGTGGGAAATTACCAGCTGAGTCTAAGAACAAGGCTAAGGTTCAAAACGACTTGGCTCACATTTACCGCATCATGAAGGCCCAAAACAAGATGTCTCGTTCTTCCAAGTTGCAGGTTAAGCAACTTTATGGACAGGTTCTTCATGCACTTAACCTTCCTTTACCTTCGACTGATGAATCTGCTCCCGTTAAAGAAACCATTCCTTTCTTGCATCTTAAGAGAAAATCTAATGATGCCTTCGAGTTTAGTAAGAGCTTAACAAGCGCTTACTTGGATGTCTTGGAGAATGGTGCCAGAAATGGTATCACTTACCAAGGAAAATATGCTCTTGTCACCGGAGCCGGTGCTGGTTCTATTGGTGCTCAACTCGTTGAAGGCCTTATTGCAGGTGGTGCTAAGGTTGTTGTTACTACTTCTCGTTTCTCTCGTAAGGTCACTGAATTTTATCAATCCATGTTCACTCGCCATGGTAGTCGCGGTTCTGCTTTAATTGTTGTTCCCTTCAATCAAGCATCAAAACAGGATGTGGAAGCACTTGTCGATTATATTTACGATGAAAAGAATGGTCTTGGATGGAACTTGGATTTCATTGTTCCTTTTGCTGCTGTCCCCGAAAATGGACGCGAAATTGATAACGTTGACTCTCGTTCTGAATTTGCTCATCGCATCATGCTTACCAATATCCTTAGATTACTAGGTGCTGTTAAACAACAAAAGGAAGCTCGTGGTATGGACACTCGTCCTGCCCAAGCTATTCTTCCTCTTTCTCCTAATCATGGTACATTTGGTAATGACGGTCTTTATTCAGAATCTAAGCTTGGTTTGGAAACTCTATTCAACCGTTGGCACTCTGAGTCTTGGGCTAACTATTTGACCATTTGCGGTGCAGTCATTGGCTGGACTCGTGGTACTGGCTTGATGGCTCCCAACAACATTGTCTCTCAAGGCATTGAGAAGTATGGCGTTCGTACATTCTCTCAAACTGAAATGGCTTTCAACATTTTAGGTTTAATGTCTCAAAAGATTGTCGATCTTTGTCAAACCGAGCCTGTTTATGCCAACCTTAACGGTGGTCTTGAGCTCCTCCCTGATCTCAAGGACCTTAGTACTCGTCTCCGTGCTGAACTTCTGGAAACTGCTGAAGTTCGCCGTGCTGTCGCTGCTGAGGCTTCTTTCGATCATAAAATCACTAATGGTCCTGGTTCTGACAGAATATATAGAAAAACCACTGTTCAGCCCAGAGCTAACCTCAAGTTTGAATTTCCCAAGCTCAAGCCTTACGAGGCTCTTTCTCATCTCTCTCATCTTCGTAATATGGTTGACCTAGAAAACGTTGCCGTTGTTACTGGCTTTTCTGAGGTTGGTCCATGGGGTAATTCTCGTACTAGATGGGATATGGAGTGCTATGGTGAATTCTCTTTAGAAGGTTGTATTGAGATCGCATGGATTATGGGTCTTATCAAGAACTTCAATGGGGTTGGCAAGAACGGTAAACCTTATTCCGGCTGGATTGATACCAAGACTGGCGAACCTGTCGATGATAAAGATGTTAAGAGCAAATACGAAAAGTACATCTTAGAGCATTGTGGTATCCGTATTATTGAGTCTGAACTCTTTAACGGATACAATCCTGATAAGAAGGAATTGCTTCAGGAAGTTGTTATTGATCATGACCTTGAACCATTTGAGGCGTCTAAGGAAGCTGCTCATGAGTTTAAGCTTCGTCATGGTGATAACGTTGAAATATTTGAATTACCCGATTCGGCTGAATGGTCCGTTCGTTTCAAGCGTGGTACAACCATGCTGGTTCCTAAAGCTCTTCGCTTTGACAGATTCGTTGCAGGTCAAATTCCATTGGGTTGGGATCCTAAACGCTATGGTATCCCTGACGATATCATCTCTCAAGTTGACCCTACCACTTTATACGTTTTAGTTTCTACTGTTGAGGCTCTTATTGCTTCTGGTATTACCGATCCTTATGAATGTTACAAGTATATTCATGTTTCCGAACTTGGTAATACGATTGGATCTGGTATTGGTGGTATGTCTGCGTTACGCGGAATGTACAAAGATCGCTGGACGGATAAGCCTGTTCAAAAGGACATTTTGCAAGAGTCTTTCATTAACACTGCTAACGCTTGGATTAACATGCTTCTTCTTTCTGCTTCTGGCCCTATCAAGACGCCAGTCGGTGCCTGTGCCACTGCCGTCGAATCCGTTGATGCAGCTGTTGATTTGATTAGTTCTGGTAAGGCTCGTATCTGTATTAGTGGTGGTTTCGATGATTTCTCCGAAGAAGGATCCTATGAATTTGCTAATATGGGTGCAACTGTCAACTCTGCCGAAGAAACTAAGCGTGGACGTACTCCTCAAGAAATGTCTAGACCTGCTACGACTACCCGTAATGGTTTCATAGAATCTCAGGGTGCTGGTATCCAGGTTATCATGCAAGGCAAGCTCGCTATCGAAATGGGTGTTCCTATTCACGGTATTGTTGGGCTTGTTAACACTGCAATGGATAAGCAAGGTCGCTCAATTCCCGCTCCTGGTAAGGGTATCTTGACTGGTGCTCGTGAGATTTCTTCTAAGGTTTCTTTGCCTCTCCTTGACATCAAATTCCGTGCTCGTCAACTTCAACGTCGTCGTCAACAGATTGGTGAATGGGCTGAGCGTGAGTATCTTTACTTAGATGAAGAACTTGAAGCCATGAAGGTTCAAGATCCCGAATTGGAAATTAACGCCTATCGTACTGAGCGCATAAACGTTGTCAAGGAAGAAGTTGCTCGTCAAGAGAAGGAAGCCTTGAATACATTCGGTAATGAATTTTACAAGCGTGACCCTTCTATTGCTCCTCTTCGTGGTGCTTTGGCCGTTTGGGGTCTTACGACTGATGATTTGGGAGTTGCTTCATTCCACGGTACCTCTACTGTTGCCAATGAAAAGAATGAATGTGATGTTATAAACAGTCAATTAACCCACCTTGGACGCTCGAAGGGTAACGCAGTTTATGGTGTTTTCCAAAAATACCTTACTGGCCATAGCAAGGGTGGTGCTGGTGCTTGGATGCTTAACGGTGTTTTGCAGATTCTTAACTCTGGTTATGTTCCTGGTAACCGTAATGCTGATAATGTTGACCAGTACTTGTCTAAATTTGACCGTATCATGTTCCCAAGTGAAGGTATCCAAACGGATGGTATTAAGGCTGCTTCCGTTTGCGCTTTCGGTTTCGGACAAGTCGGTGGTCAGGTCATTGCTATTCACCCTGATTATCTTCTTGCTACTTTGGACAAATCAGCTTATGAGACTTACAGAGCTAAGACTTTGGACCGCTATAAGGCTTCCTATCGCTACACTCACGATGCTTTGGTTTATAATAACCTTGTTCGTGCGAAGACTGCTCCTCCTTACACCGCTGATCAAGAGCATGATGTTTATCTTAACCCTCTTGCCCGCGTTGTTAAAGGTAAGGATGGCTCCTATACTTTCCCTACTTCGCTTCCGGTTGAAGCTGAAATTTCGAAGTCCAATGAAACTACTAAGGCTATTGAAACTTTAGCTAGCAACATGACGAAATCAAATCAGAATGTTGGTGTTGACGTGGAGCTCATTTCTTCGATAAATGTGGATAACGAAACCTTCCTTGAAAGAAACTTCACTGATGATGAGCGCTCTTACTGTGAGGCTGCTGCTAACCCTCAATCCAGCTTCGCTGGTCGTTGGTCGGCTAAAGAGGCAGTTTTCAAGTCTCTCGGCGTTGTCAGCAAGGGTGCAGGTTCTCCATTGAAGGAAATTGAAATTACTGTCTCCTCATCTGGAGCTCCTGAAGTTGTTTTGCATGGAGAAGCCGCTTCTGCTGCTTCTGCTGCTGGTATCAAGAGTGTTTCTGTCAGCATTTCTCATGACGATGTTCAGAGCGTAAGTGTGGCCATTGCTCAAAAGTAATCAACATATGAATATATACCTTGCGTATCATTTGTTTATATACCCTGTCTATTTTGACTCTGGAAACTTTCTTTTTGTCATTATAAATCTAATTTAGAAGCAAATACCGTTATTTACTCAATTTAATATAATACCCGTATACATATTATTTTAGCATACTGTACTAGCAAACAATGGTGTATATTAATTTTAATATAATGAATTAACCAATAAATAAATCTCTCAAACTATATCATGTTCTTCATAAATTTCTGATAACCAGGCAGCAGTCGTCAGTTCATCAAATTGAATTGGATTGCTGTACGTTTCCAAATTGTTATTTTGAAATAAAATATCTGTTAAGTGCCCAACAGATGACCAACCATAAGCATTAGGAAATCGTCTTCTAACGAACAAACTATTATGAGCATCACCATCCAAATGTACAGATACTTTTCTCCATGATAATTGATGCCAATTTGAAGATATAATTTTCTCATTAAGCAGGAAATCCGTAGTTGTTTTCGATGGTTTACGCTCAGTTGACAGAAACGAGTCGATGTTATAGCTTTCACCACTTGTAGGTTCACACGTCTCATCAGAAACAATAGAATTCAAAGATTTGAATTTCAAAAAATACATATAAGAAGGAACAGCTGGAATAAGCAAATTCGTGAAAGTGTTAATCAAACGGTTAGTGAATCCAGATAAAGTGCTCTTGGATTCTGATTTTTTAACAGGATACAAGTAAGCCTGATTTGGGGCATTAACAGCTTCGGTGGTTGTATTTTCAACCTTAGAATTTCTTGGATCTTGCGCATTTGGCAACTTATTATTGGCATCATCGGGAAGGGCATGCTGAGATGAAGGAGTACTAAATAGCCCAGTTAAAGCTTTGAAAGCATTTGTAAATGATGTGCTCCTTTTTCTTGATCGACTTCCTGTATTGGGTATAGAATCAGAATGAATATTTATTTCAGAGGGTTTGTTGGACATGGTGCTTGTAGATTGGTCCGCAGGATGGGTATCCGAAAGATCTTGCGATGCAGCAGGAGAGTTCCCTTTATCATCGTCCATAACTGAATCTAATTGGCCTAAAGAATGAGGTTTCATAGAACTAGTACCGTATGGAACAATATAATCATTTGTAGTGTTAGCAAACAGTGTTCGATGTTCAAAAAGCGAGACTGCTTGATGAAAAGGGGAAGCACGATCAGACATCACAACTAGGAATGGTCTTGGCTCTATGGGATGTGCACTGGACGTTAATGCTAGGTCCTGGCCAGTGCGACCAATGATCCCATAAGATAAAGCCTTTCCAACATAGGATGGATGTTCAGCTGCGACTCCAAGCCAAGGAGTTGCTAATGTAACGAAATGGACAGGATGAATAGCTTGGAAAAAGCAACCATGTGTTTTTGCATGTACATATCCCGCAGCATACGTCTGAACAAGACCACCTAAGGAATGAGCAACTAAAGATATGTGAGAATACCTAGGAAAAGAGCTCGTTTCCCAACCAACTATTTCAAGGAGCCATTCAGCAAGTCGTTTCCCAAGCCACCGGACCCCTTTTTCTGTTTGACAGTAATTTCCCCTATATCCTCGGACGACTACAAGTTCGCCATTTTTGTCAGCAGCATTTAGAATCTGTTCCTTCAAATACTCCATATCAGCACCAACATTTGAGTGCATACCATGAGTCAAGATTACCAGATGCGACTTCTCTGCATGAAATGACGAGGGGGGTATTTTCCATAACGCAGAAGGAGGGGTATGTTCGATATGAAGGGATGGGAATGCATGCAAGGTATCCACATCAGCTGCCGACATGGCACGAATGGATTGCTGAGTGGTAGCAATAGCTAGTTCAAAACTAATTGGACGATCTTTGAAGATAGCTTGACTGACAATTTCAATATATATTGGCTTTTCATTTGAATAGCATACATAAGGGATGCAGACCCAAAAACTAGAGGACGGCTGTACCTGAGGTTCAAAATTTAAAAGGGAATTCTCTTCAGAGGAAAATTGATCATTCCAAACGCTTACGCATAAAGTAAACGGTCCTTGAAGATATGCAGCTTGGCGAAATCGAGGTTCCTTATTTCTGACACGAACCCAGAGAACCGAAGATGGCGATCGACTTAGGGGAACTGTATGGTCAGTCATAGAAGACCGACGAACAGAAGAAGAAGATTCATTTTCATATATAGGAGTGCTTTGAGCCTCTGAGACATTTGCCGCTGCGTTTGTTGGTGTTAGATCGCTATGCTGCGATGGACGATGCTTCTCCGCAGATTCAGTAGAGTCTTTATTAGCAGCGCTTGGTAAAGCTGAATACCTGTTCTCGGCTAGGGGAAAAGACTTTAAGGAAGACTGAACCGAACCTGAAATCGACAATTCTTTTTCTTTGTCGAGTTCATTTTTAGATTTCCCTGAGTCTGGTGGACTATTGCGAAGACCTAGGAGAGATGTAGAAGTAGCTGGAAGGGTTGAAATCCTTGAGTTTTTTACTTCATTGGAGGGTTCAGCATTGGCAGACGGAATATCGTTTTGTATGCAGAAACGAAAACGGTGGATTTCGGCTAAAGAGACTAGACATAATTAGCATGAATAAGCAACTAAAAAAAAAAGTCAAAAAAAAGTCCACATTCGCTCTCCTCCGTCTTTTCACTTTTACTGGAACATGTTTTCCCATTTGAAAAGATAACGAAAACAAACGATGTCATACGCATCCCAGTAAACTTTAGAAAAAGTAAATAACGAAAGACGGAATTCATTTTAAAAAAGAGTTGAATAATAACTTTAAAATGCTTTTGCGAAACTTACCATCATCTCGTTGTACATAAATGTTCATGTTCACCAAGTACCAAGAAGGGCCTCAAAGAAATTCAAGTAGAGCCAGAATTTATCAAGAGCGAAAACCAAGTAATCTACAGACAACGAAGGAAAGAATCGAGTGAAAACCGTAAAGGACAGCTTTCTCGAAGGAATATCTTTTTTATTTGGCCGTTAAGCACGAAGGAGGCTTTTTCCAGTCGTAAAAGCTTGCAGTTTGAGAAATTTTTGTCGAAGAAATTGACTCTAATTGGTTTAGAGTATAAAAAAAAATTGTTTGTTGTGTTCCTTTTGGAGAATAAGACAGCAAAAGGCTATTATCGACCGATTTTTTTAGCAGCCCGATGGTAAGTGACAATGGCAGATGTTGTTGGGAAATAATCCACAGCTGATTGCAAACAAAGCAATTACTAATATTTAGTCTTACAATGGAATTGGTTTGCAAACCCCTCGTGGGTCCGGTACAAATGGCTATGTGATGCGAAATTTATCGCACGTAAAGCGGACAAATGGCGCTGGCAACAAAAAGATGCAGGAATACGATGAAAAATCGCTAATGAAACGAACAATCAACCCAGAAATTAGCAAACATGAGCGTCGGCGGCGAATTGAATCGAAAGTGTTGTTGTTTCGAGAGGAACTGCTAGCACATACCGAGTCGCAACAAACGCGTTATCCCGATGAAGGAAGTGAAGAGAGAGAAACAGAAAAAGGAGAAGGAGAAGGAGAAGGAGACAGAAATGCGATGTTTGATGGTGCGAAGCAGACGGAAGAGAGTGGTAAATATTTGTCACATGATGAAGCTCAAAAACGAGACGAAGAGATCGAATTATTAGTCCAAGAATACCGTGAAAAATTGTGGAAAGAAGCCGAAGAAGAAGATAGGTACCATCGAGAAAACAATTTTGAATCATTATTACAGAATGATCAGCCTTCGGGTGCTCGCAGTCGACCATATGATAGAAACATGGATCGGGAAAGAAATGACTCTTACAGACAAGAAAGAAGTGGTCAAAAATATGAAGGAAGGCTAGAAACCAGAAGAGATGTAAGCCCTACATCACCTCCTAGAAGGTCTCATTATCGAGGACATCGAGATTCGTACTATCGAGGGAGAGATAGGTATCCGGACGATGTGGAAAAGGAGTCCGAACCTGAGGGACGCTTTAATCGATGGGAACGTCCAAGGAGAAAAGAGTACGACAGCTATTCGTCTTATCGACCTCGTAATCGTCGCCATGGTCGTTCACGTTCTATTTCAAGATCTCCTTCGCCAAGGAATCGATCGGACACACGGTTTCGAACGAGCGAAGTAAGAGAAGAAAGAAACTTCCGTCCTACAAATCAATCAATCAATGACAGAGAAAGATCACCACCTGAGCGAGGAGAGCTTGTAGGATCCAACTCTCCTGTTGAATGAAATACGAAAAACAAGCTTCCGCACTTTTTTACTTAATGAAATCCCATTTCCAAAGCAAAGTTTTTTTCCAAAACGTTCTTAATAAACAAAACAAACATTTATATCTTACGTAAAATGTTCCTTTCAAACCAATGGTATCTAGACGTTCTCAACTTTACTAACTGGAACCGTAAACTGAAACCGAAATAATCTTCTCTATTCCATTTATTTTCTATTTGGTATATTTAACCTATTTCACTTTGTAAATCGTTGTGATTTCCTAGTTCAATAGCGGAAAATTTCATTTTTATTCTCCTTTCTATACTCTGTGTTGCCATATAAATATACTAATTCAAATAAACTGGTGATCTTCGGATCACTTTGGTCAAATTGAAACGATACAGAGAAGATTGTAAGTGAAAACAAAACGACCAAGGTTCGAATCATACTAACACTGCTGTATAGAGCATGGCCCCTGCACAAGGATGACACTGCGACATTGAGAGAAAACCCATTTTTTTTTTTAATTATTGATACGAATCATCATTTTTTTGTATTTCTTTTTGGTTAAATTTACTTTTTACGCTTTCTTCGTACAAACGATTGTTTCATTCATTTTTGGTAATTTTTGGCTACTTTAAGATCTGTGTCGTTCTTAATTTTTTAGAATAAGCATAAAAAAGGGTACCCAATTGTGTATTATCAGGCCTTCTTGTCGGTTTTCGAAAGTTATTCTACAAGTTTATTTAGCCGTTCTTTAAAAACATTGGTACCAGTCCAGTTCAGTTCGTGTTTGAAACGATTGCTTTCGTTTATTTGATTACGCGTTTTTCGGGATATCCTTCAAAGTACCTGATTAGGAATGTTTTTTATGGATTTCCTTAGCTGAACTCTAGTTTGTCTATTCTCTAAAAAGTCGTTTATTATCAAAAAAAACATTTTGACTCTTTTATCCATCAATCTTGTTTGTATTGGCTAATTTGGCTGCCATTTCTGGTCATTAATCTTTCTCTTTTCTTTTTTTCCTTCATCCTACATCCCCTCCCTCTTTGCATGCATTTACATTCCTTTTTTCACGTCCATCCAAAATTTTTTGGTCTTTATAAGCCATATCAATTCGTTCGCTGCTTAAACCTTCAATCTTCTTATCAGCCTGTACGTTTCATATAGTATATTCAAGCTACCCTTGCTAATCTCGTCTGTTCCTTTAGGCCCACGTCGAAGCTGTTTGGCATGAGCTGCAACAAGGTTTGTCTTCCGTTGAGCATCCGCCTTCAAAGGCAAACATAAACAGCGATACTCACCCTTTCCCAATCCTTCTTCCACCGCCTAATATCACCGGCAAGTTGCACATTGGGCACGCGCTAACCATTACAATTCAAGATGCTCTAGCAAGGTATTATTCTATGAATGGCTGTCAAGTTTCCTTTCGGCCAGGCACGGATCATGCCGGTATTGCAACACAGTCAGCTGTTGAAAAGTTTTTAAATAAAAAAGGAATCACAAAAGCCAACCTTACTGAATCCGAATTCATGCTTCAGGTTCGAGATTGGGAACATCAGTTTCAACATCGAATCCGAAAACAGCTTGAGGCATTTGGTGCTTTATTTGATTGGGAAAATGGATTTTATACTTTAGACCAAGAGAGATCTCACGCGGTCTCTAAAGCATTCGTAGATTTATTTGACTCTGGTTATATATATCGAGCTAATCGCTTTGTAAATTGGTGCCCTAAATTGACAAGTGCTATTTCAGAGATGGAAGTTGAATCACAGCTTATTTCCGATCCTGTCACCAAACGGATCAATGGAGTTTCAGTTGATTTTGGATATATGTACCAAATTGCTTACCCGTTACTTGACTCTTCCAACGAATCCATTGTTGTTTCTACAACTCGACCTGAAACAGTTTTTGGAGATCGTGCTATTGCTGTAAATCCACATGATTCAAAGTATCAGCGTTTCATCGGAAAGTTTGCACGACATCCACTTCGTCCAGACCTTGTTCTTCCTATTGTGGCAGATGACACTGTTGATCCGACTTTCTATACTGGAGCTTTGAAGATTACACCCAGTCATAGTTCTGTCGATTTTGACATAGCTAAAAGACATGAAATACCTTTGGCTCCTATCTTGGACCTGAAAGGCCGTTTAGTAAATTGCTCTAATGAATTGAATGGAATGGACCGCTTATGTGCACGCCCAAAAATAGTACAAATGTTAAAAAACGTTGGAGCTCTAGTAAATCAGCTCTTTCATTCTTGCGTTTTATCTGTTTGCTCTCGAACTGGAGATGTGATTGAGCCTATCATGGTTCCTCAGTGGTATTTATCCGTGGATCATCTTCGAAAAGAACTCTTGCATATGACTGAAGAGCAGAATCTGAAGTTTTTCCCCCCTTCAACTAAAAGCGATTGGTATCGATGGTTAGAAAACATGCAAGACTGGTGTCTTTCCCGCCAAATAGCATGGGGTCATCGGATTCCTGTTTGGAAATATGAAACCACTAATGGGGAACAATGGGTAGCAGCTGAAACCCAAGAAAAAGCTATAAAAAAGTCTAATGGAGCTCTTGTAACACAAGACTCTGATGTTTTAGATACTTGGTTTTCTTCTTCTTTACTGCCTTTGTCTGCATTTGGATGGCCTCGTTTGAAGAACGTGCCCATTTTGCCATTCATAGAAAGCGGGAAAGACATCATCTTCTTTTGGATTGCAAGAATGGCCTTGATGTGCTCGTATTTTACCAAAGCTCTACCTTTCCGAGAAGTTATTTTACATCCTCTCATTCGGGACTCGGAAGGGCGTAAGATGTCGAAATCTTTGGGAAATGTTATTGATCCTATGGATATAATACACGGCGTCTCTTTCGATAAGCTCGAGGCGAAGCTTTTAGAAGGAAGCTTTTCGAAATCTGAAATGCTCAAATCCTTGGCTCATTTGAAAAAGTCGTTTCCGAAAGGCATCCGTGCTCAAGGATTAGATGCTTTACGCTTTGGCCTTTGCCTTTCCTTGCACCATAATCAAAGAATTCTATTAGATATGGAAAGTTTCTCAAACTCTTACAGATTTCTGTCGAAGCTCTGGAACTTAGTGCGTTACTTTGGCCAGTACGAGTCTGTTTCGGTCAATAATGGTAACCAGGCCACTTTAAACGAGAGCTTCAAAATAATTAAAGATGCATTTGATCATCGACTGCAGCTCACCGTTGAATGCTGTCGTGAAAACTTTGATAATCGTTCTCTATTTAAGGTTGCAGAATCATTAGAAAAGTTTTTGCTTAACGATTTGTCAGTTGAGTTTGTTGATTTAACGCGTCCTCTTCTAAAAAATCCAGATACCCGAGATAATGTTTTGCAATTTTTCCATCATTTGATGAATAAATTTTTGCGTCTGACCCATCCTGTTATACCATGCTTAACCGAGGTATGTGAATAAAATCATTTGCTTAACATTTACTAACCAAGTATATAGGTCTTATGGAAACATCTGGACTACAAGCCAAAGGGGCCTTTACACAAAGGTATCTATCCTAGTGCGGAAGAACGAAAGGTGGTCTCCGAAAAGGCTGCACAGGCTAATGAAGTTGTAAAAGATATTATGAAAATTATATATTATTTAAGAAGCTTGAAAGTGAATAGGAAGCCATCAAACGATCAAGAATTACCAGTTTACATTCTTTCAAGCACAGGAAGCTTGGGCAAGTTTTGTGAAACGATAAAATACTTGACAGGATATCAAGTGAACGTAAGTATCGCTGTTATAAGTGAGATTACTAACCTATAGATGCTTTTGGAAAACGATCTTCAAAATTCTACTAGTACTTTTGTCCAATTTATGGTTTCTAGAGATACTGTGCTAATGGTACCAAGTAACTTCATGCATCGCAATTTACCAAAGTTAGAAAAAAACATAGACGAGTTAAGGAAAAAGGTTGAAAAGCTTGATTTTATTACTGCGTCAGCTGGCTACGTGAAAGCCCCAGCATCAATTAAGACAAGAAATAAACAGCATCGAGAAGAGCTACTCGCGATGATTAATAGCTTAAGGGACAAGATCAATCGTCAATGAAATGTAATGTTGTCTAAGCTGCTGACATGTATAGAATATAGTTTCATTGATTAAATTTATCTAAACGAATTGTATCACCTAAAGCGAACTCCAAAAATAAAACACTATTAGTATTTATAAAGATAATAATTAAATTAAATTTGGATGTTTATTGCTTCCTTTGTTCTAATCAATTGGTTGGCATTGGCTGGCAGTATGTTTTATCCGCTTTCTTTTATTTTTTTTCACCTTCCGATATCAATCCTCTCCTTTAATCCTTCATTTCACCTTTAAAATTCAATAAAAAGGTAGAAGAAGGATGCAGTTTGGTTTTATTGAAAATTCCATTGTGTTAGACGAAGACGAAAGGATTTTATATGTTCATAAGTCATGTCTGGTGCTTCCCACCATTGTAAATAGTTGCTGCTCTTTAAAAGGTATGAAAGAGATTTAAGCCATGGAAATTTAGCTTTTTGTTTTATGCACGGCCCTTAATGGATATGTTTGACTGACATGAAGCAATTTAGAACTCAAACCGGATTTGCTGCTGCCGTTAAAATATCTCCTGAGGGTAGACACAGTTGATTCACAGGCTGTAGTTCTCCATTTTCTTTCGCCGTCTACTAAAAAATGCAGCCACTGTACTGTGTTTTCCTTAAACGACGCAATTGAATTTCGAGAGAGTTTGATGGAAAAGGGCTATACAGGTAAGCAAATCAAAGAATGAAATGATATTCTTTAAATAATTTTGTTACTTTGCTGAAAGTTATTTTGTTACTAACAAGTACTAGGTGCCCATGGATTTAAACGGTTTTTGGTTCTCATCAATCCATTCGGCGGACAAGGAAAAGCAAAACAAATTTGGCAACAGAGCGCTTCACCTGTGTTTCAAACCGCTCATTTGGACTGTCAGGTTATTTTCACGGAGTACCGGAACCATGCTAGAAGCATCGTTCGAAATATTGATCTGAACACGTTGGATGCGATTCTGTCTGTTGGTGGTGATGGACTTTTTCACGAGTGTTTGAATGGGTTAGGTGACAGAAAAGATAGTGATTCTGCATTTGAAACGCCTCTCTGCATGATTCCTGGTGGGACAGGAAATGCATTCAGTTATAATGCTACCCAACAGACACATCCAGCTTTAGTGGCCCTGGAGATTGTAAAAGGAGTAAAAAAGTCATTCGATTTGATGAGTTTTGATCAAAATGGGAGTAGATCATATTCATTTCTTTCGGCAAACTACGGTATCATAGCTGACAGTGATGTGGGAACAGACAATCTGAGATTTATGGGTGAAAACCGAGCCTTCCTTGGATTTTTCCTTCGTTTATTGCAAAAGCCTAGTTGGAATTGCAAAGTGGAAATGGAAGTCGTCTCCTCTGATCGGAACGAAATTAGAAAAAATTACCTACAGCATTTACAACGAACTTCCGTTAACAGAGATGGTGGGTTTGCAGACAACATAATAAAACTTCCATTATATAATGAAGAGAATATATCTCGAGTCAATCTTGACATTAATGATCTCTCGGTCTTCTATGCAGGTCTTCTACCTTATGTCGCTGCTGATATGCGAGTGTTTCCTGCCTGTCATGTTGATGATGGTTTAATCGACATTGCTGTCGTTCGCGCAAATCCGTTCCGTAAATCCTTACTTAGCATATTTACGTGTGTCGAAAGTGGTGAGCATTTCTATTCCAAATACTTATCCTACTACAAAGTTCGATCGTTCCGTTTTACACCTATAAACACAGGGCACCATCATTTTTTTGTTTTGGATGGAGAGGAATATCCTTTTGAGCCCTTTGAATGTCGTGCTGCTCCTAGCTTAGGGACTACTTTGGCTTCTCAAGCCGGATTTAAACTTTTAAGCTTATAAACCCGGGTTTCTTATTATGCCTCTTGAGCTCCCTTCTCACATCATACCTTTTTATAATTAATCGGTTTTAAAGCGGTTAGTCATTTTGTTTTGCATTGTTAATATTCCACAGACAATATACTAAACTATACGTTTACCTTCTTTTAAAATTCGAATCTGAAATACGATCTAACCATGGAAATTTACAACGTTCTTTTTATTCTCTTCATTCTTTTCGCTATGATTCAGGCTCGCAAAATCGCAATAGTCCATTGCATGTTAAATAAAATTTTAAATTATAGCCTTAAATCAAGCAAAGAAAGATTATAAAAACAGCTTTGTTTTTATGGATGCTAATAAAAATAGAAACTAACTGGGACTTTTGCTTTTTCAAGTCGTTTCATTTTCCTATTGTTTACTATTTACTTCCTCACATCATCTCTACCCAACTTCACAATATAATAACCTGCTTTTATAATATACTCAAATTGGATTTTCATTGAAGGGATTTTAATTAATTTATTAATCTGTAAAAGAAAAAAGTAGTAAGAAATCAACTCCTTCTTTTCTAGTAAAACTCGGCTATATCCTTTACCGATTTCATTGTCTTTATGATCTGAAGGCTTTTCAGCATAAATTGGTCATTCTTTTCTCCTAAATTTGCAATATTTGCTGAAAAAGAATGTTCAAGACAGAGCAGCTTGCTTTAGAATCTTTCACTGATGGGATATTAAAGGCTTTTAGACATTGTTTTCGGTTTTTAAAGCACGGACAAAAAAAACATTTTATGCTCGGTTTAAATACTTCTATCCTAAAAGAATTCTTATTAGATTCTAGGAATTACCCAGTGGAAAATGTACAGAAGTTCTGCTCAGTTAATATGTCGGATGAAATAAACTATAAAATTCGACATGTTCATATAGACGTGGAGGCAGAAGACGAGTCGGCAAACTATATAAGGAGATTTTTAGGAAAAGAGGGCCTAAGCTTATTCGGAGGATCTCACTGGTGGTTACATCGTGATAGCCAGTTGAAAGCATGGTGGTTTGAAAAAAGACAATCGATGCAACACCTGTCCAAGGATGAGAAAATCATCTTTTACGTACATGGCGGTGCTCACTACTTGAGCACTGTGCGAACGAATGCTTTTCACATTCAAAAGCATGCTGCTGCACTTGGAGCCCGAACATTTGCTCCTGAAATACGTTTGGCACCTCAATTTCCAGCACCCTGTTCTCTACATGACAGTTTATCCAGCTATTTATTTTTGATACGAAAGCATAACCCAAAAAATATTGTTTTTATTGGAGATTCCTCTGGCGCCAGTCTTATTATTTCTCTTTTGGTTCTAATGCGAGATTGCGGCATTCCTCTACCTGCTGGAACTGTTTTGAATTCCCCCTGGGTTGACTTGACCCACAGCCTTCCTTCGATAGTTGACCAGAATACGAATGATTACATACCTGCTGAAGGTTTCCATCATCGGGCAAGTAAATACTGGCCTATTCCGAATGTGAGTTCATTATTTGATAGTACGACAGCCTCTATGAAGAACTTATCGAAGCAAGAATTATCTACAAAGATTCATACAAGTATGCAAGGACAAGTGGATCAGTTAAAAAATATAATTCCTTCATTACGAGAACTAAGTAAGGAAAATGGACGAATATCATACAGAGATGCACAAGACCGTTTGGATCCTGAATTTTTCTATACATTCCCATTTCAGGTTCAGTTTTATGCTCCTAATCATCTATTAAAGCATCCCTTGGTCAGCCCTTTATTTACGGAAAATTTGGGCGGACTTCCTCCAACGCTGGTGCTGGGAGGTGGTTCGGAAAGACTTCGGGATGAAATTATTTATATAGCCCACAGAATGTCAAAAGATGTATATGATGGGAAACCGACAAAGGTTCAATTAGAGCTGTACGATTCTTGCTGCCATGTAGTAACCGCTTTACCCTTGATCACTGAAGCCCGAGTTATGATTCAACGTACCGCCAATTTTTCTTACTGGTGTTTGAAACAGCATGACACCTCCTACATGTCTCTTAACAAACATCTTTCTGGTGAACTTTCTTCTTCTTTAGATAGGATGGCTCGTCTTCGAATTTCACGTGACGGAAAAGAGCGACTAATGGAGCCAGAATCTGAAATCCCAAGCTTGCAAATTCCAAAGGATATGCTTGGTACAATTCAAATAGAAGCTTTATGCAGATGGATAGATGTTGAACTTCAAATTTTATCTAAGGATAGTGCCAAACCCGCGAAGTTTTTTGCTGATTTCAAGCACGCAGAAGCTCATGGCTACTTAGAAAAGCCAGCATTTTATACTCAAGAAGGTGAGAACCCCCCGTTATCTGCAGTGATAGCAAATTCCAAAATACATCCTCATAAGTTTGGCAAACAAAAGTACTTCAGGAGCTGCTTTTAGAATTACTTTGTCCTTTTATGGTTTGTTTTGTTTTTTGAGCATCCATTATGCTGCACGTCCTTTTTACTCAATTTGCAAAGATATTCTGGGGTTGGAATTTTAGATATTTTGGTTATTCGTTAACACAGTTTTTTTCATCATACTTAATTTACAGAAGATAGAAAAATTCTTTTATGCGTTTCATACACTTATTTATTTAAAATCATGCATTTTTTTATTATATTTTTCTTTTTTTGTTCATACCCTTTTTTGTTTACAGCAAATACGTGTAGATCGGTTGTCATGGTAACATATATAAATATTTACTTTTGTACGCGCACCGAAGTCGCACAGTGTAATTTTGCCAATGTTTGAATTCCTCTAATTTCATGTCGTATTTTTCAAGAGATGATTCCAGCTATGCACAGCGCTCTATCCAAAACATTGTGAGTGGTAAAACAGTGGAAAATGCCGCGAAAAAAGCGTCTTTTGATGAACGAACCTGGGTTTGGATTCCTGATCCTGAGGAAATATACTTAAAGGCATGGATTGAAGAAAAAATGAACTCAAACTCCCGATACAGGGTTAGGTTAGAGAAAGATGGATCCGAACGAATTGTGGATTCAAAGAGTACGGGAGAAGTGAACCCTCCAAAGTTTGACATGGTAAACGACATGGCTGAGTTAACATGTCTTAATGAGCCTTCAGTAATTCACAACCTAATACAAAGATACGAACGAGGCTTAATCTATACATACTCTGGTCTTTTCTTAGTAGCCGTGAATCCGTATCGGTCATTGCCTATTTATGGTGAAGATATAATTAAGAAATACCATGCAAAGCAATTGCCTGAAGTCAAGCCTCACATCTTTCGTGTTGCAGATATTGCCTATAGGAACTTGCTGGAAAGAGACCAAGATCAGTCGATTTTGGTGACCGGTGAATCAGGTGCTGGTAAGACAGAAACTACAAAAAAAGTTATCCAATATCTTACTGCAATTACTGGTACCTCTAGCAATGATTCTCAACTTTTAGAAAACAAGATCTTAGACACCAATCCCGTTTTGGAAGCATTTGGTAATGCCCAAACTGTGCGAAACAATAACTCTTCTCGTTTTGGAAAGTTTATACGTATTGAGTTTTCCAAAGATGGTAGTATTGTTGGTGCTAACTTGGACTGGTACTTGCTTGAGAAATCTCGAGTTACAAATCCTTCTCCTAAAGAACGAAATTATCATATTTTTTATCAATTATTACGGGGTAGTAATAGTGATTTACTAAGAGAGCTTTTCCTTGAGCGTTCCATTGATAAGTATGCCTATTTAAAGAATTGTGCGAAAGTGATTTCAGGAGTAGATGACGCCTCTGAATTTCGTCAACTCTGTGCCGGACTTACGACACTTGGCTTCAATTCGGACGATACAAAGCAGCTTTTTACTACAATTGCTGCTGTTTTGCACTTGGGAAATATAGAAGTTGCTTCTGACCGTAGTGGCCAAGCTCGATTCCCATCTTTGACACACATTGATCAGCTCTGTCATTTGTTAGGAATACCAGCTGAAGCTTTTATGAATGCGGTTCTACATCCTAAAACGAAGGCAGGGAGAGAATGGATCGTAAATGCCCGTACCAAAGAGCAGGTTCTTCATACCCTTCAATCCCTCGCAAAGAGTTTGTATGAACGGAATTTTGCATTCTTAGTTGACAAATTAAATCGAACAATGTATCAGACTCAAAGTGAAAATAATAGCTTTATAGGTGTGCTGGATATTGCGGGATTTGAGATTTTTGCGCATAATAGCTTTGAGCAACTCTGCATTAATTATACAAACGAAAAGCTTCAACAGTTTTTTAATCATTATATGTTCGTCTTAGAACAAGAAGAATATTTTCAAGAGAAAATTGAGTGGAATTTTGTTGATTATGGCAATGACTTACAGCCAACAATTGAAATAATTGAGAAATCAGAACCAATTGGCATCCTTTCCTGCTTAGACGAAGATTGTGTTATGCCAATGGCAACAGATAACACCTTTACCGAGAAGCTACATTTGCTTTTGAAAGGAAAGCCTGACATTTACCGCCCAACAAGGTTCTCATCTGAAGGATTTATTTTGCGACATTATGCAGGTAATGTTGTTTATTCTACAGAAGGCTGGTTAGAAAAAAATAAAGACCCACTGAATTCCAATCTTGCGAACCTGATATCGCAATCTTCTAGTATGCATATATCTTCCCTATTTTCTGATTACTCTTCTGAGAATAATTTTAATAGTGATCATTATGAAAAAAAGGGTATTTTCCGTACTGTATCTCAAAGACACAGACGACAACTTAATAATCTGATGAAGCAACTAGAAGCTACGCAACCGCATTTCGTCCGTTGTATTATTCCGAATAGCACAAAGAAGCCTAAACTTATCGAAAAAGGCTTGGTTTTGCACCAGCTAAGATGTAACGGTGTTCTAGAAGGAATTCGAATTGCTCAAACTGGGTTTCCTAACAAGCTGTTGTATACAGAATTTCGGTCTAGATATGGAATTTTATCTCGTACTTTAGAAAAAGGGTACGTCGAAGCCAGGAAAGCTACTATGTCCATTATAAAGGAATTGAACTTGTCTGAAAGTGTCTATAGACTAGGAGAAACGAAAGTTTTTTTTAAGGCTAATGTACTTGGCTTCCTGGAAGATCAAAGGAATGCAATGTTGCGAGATATTTTCAAAGCTTTCTCTTCTACAATAAGAGGCTTTCTTGTACGGCGTCGACTTTATCGGCTAAACCATCGCCAGGACGCTGCTATCCTTTTACAACATAACTTGAGAGAATTGCTTGTTCTAGGGAAACACCCTTGGTGGCATTTATTCTTAAAGTTAAAACCTTTATTGGGAACAACGCAAACTGATGAATATTTACGCCGTAAGGATGTACTGATTAATAACCTTCGAACTCAACTAGAGAAAGCTGAATTAGTATCTGTTGAACTGGAGGCCAATCGTCAGCAAATTTCGAAAATTTCAAAAGATCTGAGTGAGGAACAGGCGATTTCTAAAGAGAAAGAAATCCTAGTTGAGCGAGCCAATTCTAGAGTTGAAGTCATAAATGAACGACTGTCTGATTTGGAAGAGCAATTGCGTTTGAGTCATAATAAGTATGATTTACTTTATAATGAGAAAAAGGAGACTGATGATCAACTTGCGATATGTACATCTCAGATAAATCATCTTCAAGAATTATTGTTGGCTTTGCAAGAAAAGCTAGAATTTGCTGTTACAGCAGAGAAAGAAATGAAAAACAAGTACAAAGAGCTGGAGACTACCTATATTAATTTACAAGCAGATTATGATCATTCTGCTCAGCTGTTAAACTCTCAACAAAATTCCTTAATAGAAGAGCAAGCAAAATATGATAAATTAAAAGAAACGATGAGCAAATTAGAGGAAGACATAATTTCCAAGGATAGTCTACACGAAGAAGAGTTGGACGAATATAAGTCAGAAAATTCTAATCTGAGGAACCAATGCAATACCTATGAATCTCAAATTGCTAATTTGGTATCTGATTATTCAAGGACTGAAAGTGAATTAAATAAAAAAGAAGCTGAGATTTTAATGTTTCAGAGGGAACTTGCTGATTATAGAGATCAACTTGCTAATTCTTTGAAAAAACGAGCTTCTTCTGATTTTCTTGGAGAGGAGGAGGCATTGTCGCTTGACAGTCAAGAAAGTGCATTGTCATCTTCGTCAACCACTCTTTCAATCTTAAAAGATGTACAGGACTTAAAATCATTGCACTCTAAAGAAGCAGTACAACTCTCTGACAGAATTAAAGATGTTAGTCAGCTACTTGAGCAGAGCATAGCTGCCGAGGATAAATTGCGCTTGAAAAATAATGAATTATCGGATGTTGTTGAAGCTTTAAAGTATCAATTACAGGAACAGGACAGTGAAATTCTCGAACTGAATGCTGTTAATACAAACCTTCGTAAGACCAATGACATATTAGAAAAAAATGCGACAGACTTCATTGATTTACAAAGCGTGAAAACTCGTTATGAATGCAAAGTATCGGAATTATTCAACCAGTTGCATAAAGAACGAAAAAGAGTTGAACAACTGAAGACGGAGCTTGAATCTTTTGGAAACAATGAAAAGGAAAATCATCATTTCGGTTTCTCAAAAGATAATGATTTAAGGAAAGGTCCAGGAAAGGAAAGTCTTCGCATGATCACAGATCTACTTTCTTCAGCAATGAGTTCTTCAACATTCGAAAAACATCATCTCGTAAAGCTCCTTAATACCTTAAAGCAACAAATTTCGGATTTTAATTTAAGTCCTCAGCAAGAAAACCTGATCTCTTCTAACTTGGAACCTTTAAAAAGCAGATCGTCACTAGAAGGAAACATGGAACCTGTTTTGTCGCCTTCCAAAATCAACAATAGTGATCCCTCAAACTTTACAAAAATGCTACAAGGGTCTCCCAGTAAGCGTTCTGGGAAAATGGAGGCGCTTATTCGAAACTTTGATCAGAATAGTGACTCGTTTCTTTCCCAACCTAATAAAGAAGAGGGAAATCCAAAATCTCTGAACTTTCGCTCAGAAATTATGAAACTCAACTTTAATTTAGAAGAAGCAAAAAGAAATGGAGTTTTGGATCCCAGTGCTGTTGACAATGGCGTTGCTGCTGTAATGCAGTCTTTATTGGAAGAAAACCAAGCGCTTAAATCTCTAGCGACAGCAAATGTAAGCATTGAAAATTCCACCGATGAGCAAGAAGAGCTTCTAAATAAGGTCCCCGCTCAATTACAGGGCGAGTTAAGGAAGCAGTTCGATCAGCTACGCACGTCTAAAGACACATTGTCAAAACTGCATAACATTACTGAGGATAAGCTTCATTCGGCTGATCTAGCACTCAAAGAAACAACTAAAGAAAGAGATCATTTGCTACGTAATTTCTCTTTATCGAGCAAACCTACGTTTACTATCAATGATGAAACAGAAGAACTTGGGTATGAAAGCTCAGATGACTTTGATGAACAAAAACTAGAAGAGGTCAATCTTTTACGTATGAGGAAATTGGAAAGTGCTCTTTCAAAATATAGAAGCCGTCTCACCGAATATCAATTACGAAATGAAAATTCAGAATCATCCATTCATAAATTAGAACGCGCTAAAGAAGGTCTCTCCAGTAAGTTAGAAGAAAGAGAAGCCCACATAAATGAACTTCTTGATATTCGGAAGAAGATGGAAACGGTGTTATTGGAATCAATTGCTAAGCAAAAAGAGTTTGAAAGCCTATTTAATGAGAGAAATAACGATTTATTGGAATTAAAGCAACATAAAGAAAAATTGATGAAGCAAATTGACGAATTTCACATCGTGCGTGTTCAAGACCTGGAAGAACGTGAACGGAAAGACGAATTATTATTCCAGCGTTATCAGAAAGAGCTGAATGGATTTAAGGTACAACTAGAAGAAGAGCGAGAGAAAAATTTGCGGATACGGCAAGACAATCGACACATACATATAGAAGTTGGAAAGCTAAGAACAAAGGTTGATGAATTGCTTCTCGAGAAAACTGGTTTAGTGAAAGAAAATTCGCGGTTACAATCTGAAATTCAATCAGTATATAAGGTGAGAAACAACTCTTCAATAGCACATCGAACAGCGCAATCGCAATTGCTAGATCTGACGTCGCAGTTGCAAGAAATTCGAGAAACTAATGAGTCCCTTCGTTCTGAGCAAAGCAATTTGCAGAATGAAAAACGTATTCTTGAACAAAAGGTTCAGGAATTAATGACCCAACTAAACACTTCTAAAGTTTCTGAATACCCTCCGGAATTAGCTGATACTGAGAAGGAAATGATTGATTTGAGAGCAAGCATGGAACAAAAAGATGAACTATTGACGTCTCTTGTAGACAGAATGAAGCAGATGGAATTTTTTGCTTCTGAGACTCAAAAAGATAGTAATCAACATCGTGAAGAAAATCTGAATCTACATCGCCAAATTGGGGTTTTAGAAAATGAAAAGAAGGAACTGGAGCTTCGATTGTTTGACTTAGATGCTAAAAGCTATCCCATGAGTTCATCGAAAGATGTGCGAATGCTTCAAAAACAAATTGCTGAGTTAGAGACCTCTATTGCAGATTCTGACAATGAAAGGCTTAAGGGACTTGACGAATGCAGGCTCCGGGATCGTGCCATTCGTCATTTAGAGACTCGCCTTCAAAAGTTCGACGAAGAAAAGCAAAATCTAACATCATCCATTTCTCGCCTTGAAGAACGGAACAATCTTCTTTATAGCCAATTAGAGGATACAAAAGCGTCCGAAACGCAAAGCAAGTTAGCCTTGCGAAGAGCGGAGCATGAGGTCCAAGAGGAGCGTGAAAACCTTAGGAATTTGGAGCGAGATCTAGAAAAATATCGATTAATCCTTGAAGGGCAACGAGCTAGGCGCTTAGACAGTCGAATGTCAGTGCGTTCTAGTACAAAATCTCCGACCTTGCATTGATTTTATTCGCATGCTTAATTTTTAATTCTTAAATGTTTTATCTAGCTTTATTTCTTCGTTAATAAGTTTGCATATTTCAATTTCTTAATATTCTTTGTATGTTTACTTTCTACCTCTTACTTTCTTTGACGATTGATTGTATATATATATTTATCGATCTCTACCTCTCTTATTCTCCCTTTCCATGTGAAGAAATTTTCGATCCTCTAAATATCCCTGCTACCAATTATTCCTGTTTTTACTGATGATCAATCCCAACCATATCATATCTTACGTAAAATAATCAGCATGTTACAATAATGAATAGAAAAAAAAAGTTTTATTTTAAAATTTAAACTCTAAGCATACGTTATGAGCTTCATCATTGTTCACATTATGTCAATAAAAATATTCATAACAATTCATAGATCATAAAAGCGAAAGTGTATATTTGATAGTTTGTCATCGTTAGATGACGACCTTTCAAATATATTATAAGAACCATCATACTTAACAACGGATTCCTTTGATTCATAAGTAATAGTAATAACAATCATAAGAATCAGACACTCTCAATTTAAACACCATTATAACCTAGGAGGTTGGGAGTGTCCGAAACACCAGCAAGGTTAATGGCATTCTTGGTAGCTTGTTTAATGAGAGCATTCTTAACGTCAGTGGCACTATCGTCGGGATGTAATCCAAGATAGTAAGCAGCCAAACCAGCAACGTGAGGAGTAGCCATGGAAGTACCGGAGATAGTGTTGGTGTTACGGTTGTTGGAACCAATCCAGGTAGACAAGATGTTTACACCAGGAGCAATGATATCAACACATTTGCCATAGTTGGAGAAGTAGGCGAGTTGATCGTTGACATTAGAAGCAGCAACGGTGATAGCATTCTTGGAAGCAGCAGGAGAAGAAGAGCAGGCATCATCAAATTCGTTACCAGCAGCAACGGCATAAGCAACACCCTTTTTGACGGCCGAATCGACAGCAAAGTCCAAAACGAAGCTGCTACCACCGCCCAAAGACATATTAGCAACAGCAGTCTTCTTACCAGCCTTGGATTGAGAAGTGTGGTCCTTGACGGTCCATTCGACACCAGAAATAACATCAGACATACTACCAGAACCGTTAGAACGAAGAACCTTGACAGCAACAATCTTGGCCTTCTTGGCAACACCATAAGCACGGCTTGCAATAGTACCAGCTACGTGAGTACCGTGACCGTTGCCATCCTCATCAGCATCGTTAGCAGGAATAGTGGCACCCCACTTGGCACGGCCCTCAAATTCAACATGGTGGATGTTAACACCGGTATCGACAACATAAGCAGTAACACCTTCACCAGCAGAACTATCGTAGACATACTTGCCGTTGGTGTCAGAGGTCAAATGCTCACGGTGAGAAACACGGGAAAGGCCCCAAGGAGCACCGCTTTGGGTAATTTTATCCTTGATGGTAACAACTTGGTCGCGTTCGACGGCAATAACATGAGGATGAAGACGAATTTGTTCGACGACATCAGCGCTGAATTGACCAGCATAACCCTTGAAAGCGCTTTCACCAAAGTCGTAAATGTGCTTTAAACCAAACATATAGTTGCTGTCTTCGGGACCATAGTAGTTGTTGCTTTGCATAACATTCTCTTGGTGAACTCCTTCAACCCATGAAGTATGCTCATGCAAGTCCTGTTGGCTGATAGAAGAGTCCAAAATGATAATATAATGAGACTCCAAACCGGCAGTGTCGGCATTTGTAGCAGACAACAAAGGAGCAGAGTTGGCCCCATTGTGTGCAGCAGGAGCATGATGCTTAGGCTTGGGCTTTTCATGAATGATGTTGCTATCACCCTTGATAAAGTCGGCAACGTCGGGACGAACGCCAGCATGCAAATTCTCCATATCATTTGAATGAATAACAGGAGCTGCGATTGCAGAAGACGCCATCAAAGTGAGACCTGCAACAGCAGAAAAGAATCCTGAATTAAAGATTTTCATATTGGAAAGAATGCAAAACAAGTATGAAAAATTTATAAAACGGGTTTGCTAGCAGGATATGCAAGAGTAGAGATAAATGGAAGATGAGAAAAACGAAAGAAGCTTTTTTCTCTTATTATTTGGTACTTATTATTCTAAATTCAGCAGAAGATTTCGACAAAATCCTCAAGCGAATAGACGTAGGTAATCTAGGGGTGCAATGCACGTAGATATGAATTTAAAGAAAAATAGAAAGATGATGGGTTGGAATATTCCGATCAAAGGCAATACAGGAAGAATTCCAAAAAGCAATTCTTCTTTAGTCTTTGATCTTTTTTAAAATTGGAAACAGCGATGGCTATTGGTATGTTCACAAGGCAATTGCATCCTATATATATAGTTGAGTTTATCTTCATACCCTAACCCTCATCCATCATACATTGATTATCTCACGCGTATAGTGCGACAACCTGTGCTTTCGATACACAATCTATACAATATACAATTGCACAATTCATTTGATACATTTAATACTCGATACAAACAGGGCATCTCATTCTACCAATTGCTCTTCTTTGCTGCCATTGTTTTTCTCTTGCCTTTCGCCTTTTCGTTAAGGCTCCCCGTTGTACTCTCCTTAATGCTGATATATCGTTTATGTCACCTGCACTTTATTTCGTTTTGGCAAATCAGGACTTACCGCTCTTAAAATGACGTAATTATCAAGTGATTATAATGAACAAGCTATTGACGCTAACGAATAATTCCGTTGATAGCGGCTTATCGAGTCATCGCTTAAAGCACCATGTTCTTTCTGCTTACGATGGCAATTCGCAATTTTAGCTCCAATTCGCTAATATTGTGTCTTGAAGCTGAAGAATCAGGTTAGTCTTTGAAATTGGATCATTACCGTCGAGGAGTGCAAACCTTTTATGAAACTACCCCTTGAATGACTGCACTGACGGACAGGACAATTCGTTGAAAATCATCATCTCTGTCTTAGAAAGCGGAGAGCTTTAATGTACGCTATAAAGTCGTGTAAAATACAATAAGAGAAGCGAGCACGCTTGGCTGTTCCTCTCTTAGTTTCAAATAGCATATGTTTACCAAAGGTACGCTACAAAGTGGATCTCAAAATTTAGATTTTGCGCTGGAGACCGTTATATAACTTTAAACTTTAAATCAATGAAATTATAATGTATGAGTAGTTTTGTTTTGTTTCGCTCATTATACGCCTTCAGCAATGATCGAAAGACAATCGAATCTTCTTATTCAATTGTAAAGCTTGTAATAAATAAGAGCATCCATTATTGTCTTGGCTTGGCATTTTTGTATCGAATTACTGTGAACTAAGTGAAAATCAAAGCAAAAACGCCATCCGAACTCTGGCAAAAAAAGCTTAAGAACACCAACACTTACATTCAATTCTGGACCCCGTAATCTTTCTTATTGCGCTTAGAAACTACTGTTTTAATAAGCCGTTTCTGTGTTGAACCTCGTTCATTGCCCTTATCAAGAATACCGTACTGTGCTTTGACTCTTTATTCAGCATTATTCCTTTCCTTGTTTTATTTTTTCTCTTATGAACAAGCCTTGCATTTTCAAGTGAATCATTTCTTGGGGATTCGTCCTCATTTTATAAATACGAACTTTGCAATCTATTTTCCTAATTGCGGGATCCTTCTGAAAGAAAAGGGTCCCTATTGCTCCTCTCTGTCCTTGGCAGACACGGTGTGCCGTCACTCCTACTTTTCTATCTTTTTTTTTTTGACTGCATGCCGTAAAATTTGACATTTATATTTAATTTTAATTTCCTATAATTTATTATTCACTCGTAAAAGCATTTTATTTGTTTTTAGCTTCTTCAGTGAACCGCCATACAAATTTTCGAAAACACAGATGGCGAGCTTCCTAAATGCAAACCGGTTTCTACAACGGTCGTGCTTGCATCCTAGCTTTCCCTTTAAGGCACCGCGTGGTTTTGGCAAATGCACGACTAGGAATCTAAAACAATACTACACACCCGCTTCTGGACCGTATCTTCGTGTTTCAATGACAAAGGCCCCCCAAAGTTTGGGTCTGTGTTCTGCAAGAGGAGATTCTCTTGAAAACCAGGATCGCTTGTCCTTTGGATACCTTGACAAGCTCAAAGCTCCCATTCTTTTAAGTGACGAGGAACCTCAATCACAGCCTCCGAATTCAAACACTTCTTTGGAGACTAGTTCTGGTAAGGGATCTGGACTATTTAGCTCTTTCCCTAATTTTGATAGTCCCTTTGTTTACGGAATTTTCGATGGTCACGGAGGCATCGAATGTAGTGAATTCTTGAGCACTCGCTTGGGGCATATTATAGAACAGCAAGATTTTTCACGCGTTGACGAGTTATTAAAAGAAGCCCGTGCCTTAGGTGGCTACATGTCTTCCTTAGAACCACCCTTCTCGTTGGCTTCTGTTTTGAAATCTCGGGATGAGGATATGATTTGGAGAGCCAGACTGTATTATTCCTTTTTGGAAGCAGATCTAATCTATCTAAAAGAATACGCCAAACTTTCTCCTGACCGTGCTGTTCCAGGTGCCGTAGGAACGGTGGTCGTTCTTACATCAAAAAACAACAAATCGTATTGGGAAAGCGATAGCTATACGATTCAACTAGCTCATGTTGGTGACACGCGAGCAATTTTATGTGATTCCCGTACTGGACGAGCACATCGCTTAACGTTTCAGCATAATCCTGCTGATTTTGAAGAATCACGAAGACTCCGCCGCTATAATCTCGGGTTTTCAAGTGACTCTTTTGGTGAGCGACGATATGCCTGGGTTGCGAATACTCGAAGTTTTGGAGATGGTCTGAAATTGAAAAAGCTCGGTGTTGTTGCTGAACCACAACTCACATCTATCCATTCCCTAAAAGATGACTGGTCTTTTTTGACTCTGCTTTCGGACGGAGTTACCCAGGTGGTATCGGATGACGAAGTGGTGGACATTATCAAATTGTCCGAGTCACCTCAGGACGCTGCAAATAACATTATTAGATATGCTCAAAATGTCGGCTCTGTAGATGATATTACCTGTTTGGTAATTCGGTTACCTGGTTGGAAAAAACGTACTATGAATGATTTTACCAAAAATCTCCGACTGGAAAAGTCTTTCTATGTGCCAAGAAGGAATTAAGCTATGGCTCTTTTTTATGAAACTGTTCAATAATTTTTTTCCCTTTCTCTCGTTTTAATATATCTTTGAATCTTTGATTTCAATCCTTCTTCATATCCTACAAGAAAGTCTTGCATTTGTATCAGCCATATAGGTTTCTAGTTATTTTCTTTTTCTTTTTGGTTGCTGCTTCCTAATATCATTTAGAATTTAATGGTCTTTGTAATACATATGTATCTATACATTTATTGATGCAATGGAAAGTATACTTTATACCATTTTTTTTCATATTCCAGTTATAAGTTTATAGCATGAAGCTTTTGTGGAAGAACTAGAACTAAATGATTTCTTTTCATTATTTACTAGTCAATCCGTCATGGTCCAGTGGCTAGGATTCATCGCTCTCACCGATGCGGCGGGGGTTCGATTCCCCCTGACGGAGTCTTTTTGCATTCCTTATTAATATAAATGAATATCTCGAAAGCAACAAATTGATCAATAATTTGATTATGAATAACAGTTTTGGTTTTTATAAATTCACAACTCTACATCTTAAATTGCCAAGAACTTTTATGCCACAGATCAGCATTCCACCTTTGAGTCTCTTGCCATAAAATAGCTTTCTTTACATCGAATCGACATTAATAAAATTGATCTTCCTTTCGCTTTCCATAATCAAACCTGACATTGCAATTAAGAACAAGTTCTGCCTTGACAATTTCATACTTTAGCAAAGCAGAAAATGTAAATAAATAATTATCATCCTAAATTCATAGTAGCGAGGATCCATGACATCAGAGTTTTCGTCTCAATTCCGACTTTGTACAAATCCAGGTTGCACTTAACAAAAAGGTACTGAGAAAATGACCAAGATGGATATTATTCAGCGCTCCATTACTCTAAATGTATGTACTTTGTGATTTCTCAGTTCTGTACTTACCACTTTTTTAGAGACGTACTAAGGGCTTTTACATAGTCACGAGTGAAATCACCAGCAAGTTGCCCGAGCTAAAGAGTTTTTCCATGGGAACATTGAACTTGTTTATTCAACATACCTCTGCTGCTCTCACCATTAATGAAAATTGGGACTCAGACACTCGGGAGGATCTGAGCGATATCATGGACAAGGTCGTACCTGAATCCTCTAGCTATCGTCACAATGCCGAGGGTTTAGACGACATGCCTGCTCATGCCAAGTCTAGTTTGATTGGACCTAGTCTTACAGTCCCTATTACAAATGGACAGCTTAATTTGGGCACTTGGCAAGATATCCAACTTGCAGAATTTCGCAGATCTCCTCACTCTCGTACGATCGTTTGTACGATCCAAGGCTTGAGATCCTAAAAATTATAATGGAAGGGAATGAATGAGCTATAAAATTTGACAATGAAATAAGTTTTGCTTCGAGTCAACGTTTATTTGCCTATTTAAAACTATTAGAAAAAAAGAAAGAAAAATACATTAGCAGTATATGTATTTAAAACTAATCCATAAGATGTCGAGACTTGGAGATTTTTGTCGCTTTATTAAAAAAAGCATATGAAGGAAAAAAAAAAACCCATCCACGCGTAACCTAAGTATTGTCTGATCTAACAATCTCATTATGACCCATAAAAACGCCTGGAATTTCACCTTGTAACGACATTTCATCCGCACAGAAGCCGTCGCGCATGGTTAATCTATAGGGATACAAAATTTTGGGTTCACCACGATGAATGGTCGTTTTGAGGATATCATTCTCAACCTCAATGAGTGTACATGTCAGCAAATCGACCATGGGTTCCGATGCGGGCATTTTGAGGATATACTCCTTGTTAACAGATCCATAATTCGTAATGAAGGTAATAACTGGTCCTTTGTACATCAGCATCAGATTATCTCCAACAGCAACAGCATGTGTACGGGTACGGATCCACTCCTCGCCATCCTCGGTATTTATTAAAGCTCTGCGAATACCATTCACTTTGGTTGTGTACTTGTATAAAGGACCCTCGGTATCATACCCAGTTATCCACAATGCCGGACGATTGAGTGGATCATGTGTTCCTTTCAGCATCTGTTCTTGTCCATAAAATACTATAGGAATGCCATCCGACATGAGGTTAAGCGTCATGGCATTTTTCAACACATTAAAGTCATTGTTAAGAGCCGCCAGTCGGGGTGCATCTTGAGATTCCAGGAAAAGACCCAAAAGAGTGCTATCAACGCAATGATGAGCAACCAAGTTCATCGCAATTGATGTTTTCCTTAGGGCTCTATCATTGACCGGAACAACTGCTTCCGCAGCAACACCTTGTACAGGGAAATTGTGCAAACCGTCCATATATTCTTGCCATTCACAGAAAGCAGCAGCTTCTCCAGTCCACTCTTCTCCTTGACAATATACGCCTGCTGATTCACAAAATCCAGGCCAAAACGTTTGGCGAACGTGTTTTGTAGCATCGACACGCAATCCATCAATCTTAAACTTTTGGACATGATCGTGGATATAGTTATACAAGGTTTCAATCACGAATGGATTCTCGGTATCCACGTCTGGCAAGGTCACGTCTTCTGTACCGATCCAGCATTGTTCTAAAGATAAAGGATCGCTCTGGATAATTGGACACATAGGATGATAGTGCTCTTCTTTGTTGAATGGATTATAAGAACCAAAGTCGATATTTTTTGTATCGGGAGCGCCCATATGGTTCACTACTGTATCTACCATCAAATACATCCCTCTTTCGTGCAAAGCATCTGCTAAGTCGATCAAGTCCTGTTCAGTGCCAAAGTGAGGATTCACAGAAAAGAGATCTTGCGGCCAATAACCGTGATAAGCCTCACCGTATTTAGTTTTTCCCTCGATGTTTTTAATAACTGGGGAAATCCAGATGGCTGTGAATCCCATATCTTGAATGTAATCCAGTTTATTAATGATTCCCTTCCAATTACCACCACAGTAGGAACGGTCCTCGGGATCACAACCTACTGACTCGGTGGTTGCGAACCTGTCTGTTAGCAATGAGTAGACTATCTGCTTTCTCCATCCGTGTTTGTCTAAAGCATGGATGGGGATTACCCCTATAAGTAATGATAGCACTTTGAAAATCGTTTTCAAAATTTTAATGTGCTTCATCCTCAAAGGTAATTGTTCCAGAGAAGAGTGTTTATACCATGTCTGTTTAAATAGTAGGTTTGTTTACATATACTTGGTTCATGTGTTTTTTTTTTATAAACACAGTGAAAGCACTCAAAAACAAACAACAGAAGAAAGTTTAATGTGAATTATATCACCAAAGTATGCTTGGTTATGCTTGCTTGGACTATTTTTGATTATGAAAACCTATAGAAAAGGATGCTCATTTATGGAAACTGGAATTTCACCCAAAACGACTTAGTAGTGAAAACAAGCCCACAGCATTTGTAAGAAAGAGAGAAATTAGTAACTTTTCAGTATTTGTGCGAATTCGTTTGGTGCAGTTTCATGAAATGCCAATACCCATTTAATATAGCTTTCAGAATTACCAAATTAAGAATTTGTTTATCCATTAAAAAATTAAACTTTTATAATCATTTACATGCCTTTGTAAGCAGAATTATGTAAGGAAAGGTTGATTTATTTAACAACCTGAATTTTGCAAACGTTTTCCTATATCTGAAAAGTTTTAAATCATGGCGGAAGAAGAAAATCCAGATACTTATTTACAAGAAACTGAAGTAGAAGAAGTTGTAAACCAAGATGAAAATGAAATGGAGCAAGATTTCGAGGAAAATGAAGAATTGGATCCAAATGCTGCTGGTATTCACTCAGTAATGGATCTTTCGGTTCAAGGATTTTTTGAACATAAAGACTCGGTATTCTGTGTTTCTATGAACCCTGTGAAAGTGAATCTCTGTGTTTCTGGCGGTGGTGATGATTTGGCATACATTTGGGACATCACCAATGGCGAGCAAGTTTGCCAACTGACAGGTCATAATGATTCTGTCATTACCGTAGGTTGGAGTTTTGATGGCAACTATGTTGCTACTGGTGGCATGGATGGCCAGATTCGGGTGTGGAAGACTGACTCAGGTTTTGAATTCATCACTGCTACTGAAACCACAGACGAAGTAGTTTGGTTGACTTGGCATCCTAAGGGTCTATTCCTTGCTGCTGGTTGCAATGATGGTAGCGTTTGGATGTTGAGTATGCCTTCTGGTAAGGTAGTTCAAGTTTTCTATGGCCATACTGCTCCGGTAAATGCTGGCAAATTTATTCCCCCTGGAGTTGGAAAGCGTTTGGCTACAGTTGATGATGTGGGTACTTTAATCGTTTGGAATCCAGGTACTGGTGCTACTGAATGCCGAATGACAGGTGATGATCACCGCTTTGATCCTGGTAATGCAGAAATATCTGCAGGATGGACAAGCTTCGATAGTAACGAAGATGGTAATGTCATGTTCCTCGGTGGCTCTTCCGGGAAGGTGAAAGTTGTAAACATCAACAATAGCAGCATTTTAGCTTCCTTGGAAACACAACATGAGAGCGTGGAGGCCGTCTCGTTATGTTCTACTTTACCTATTTGTGCTTGTGCTAGCGTTGATGGTACTGTTACTCTTTACGAGTCTTCCTCCTTAAAATTTAGGCGAAGTCTCCCTCATGGTCAAGCTGTTATTGACTGCGCTTTCCTTCCAAACTCACCATATCTGCTTACAGCCTGTGCTGACTGTACCATTCGTAAATGGGATGTCCGCTCCGGTCAACTCTTGGGCGAATACACTGGACATCAAGAACCTATTCTTTGCATGTCAATCACCGCAGACGGAAAACGGGTTGTCAGTGGCTCTGACGATACAGAACTATTAGTATTTAACTGTGAAAACTAATAAGGCCGTCTGTATTGATATAATTTTTTTGGTTGGATTTTGGATTTAGACAGTTCAATAACATTATGTTGGGTTACACGATAATCGAAGTTGTATTATACGGCTTTATTATAAAGCTTTATTCAATGAAATAAAAATCTAGTAAACTTTGTGTATATGTCATGATTAGAGCTTTCAAACTTTAGCTATACCATTTTGCATTTAACTGCTTTCTCTTAACCATAGGTTTGGTTATAAGAACTGTAAGCAAAATTCCGAGAGTTGTTAACGTTAATTGCTTTTTATCAAAGTACGAACTGAGCATATCGAACGGCATGCTGGGTGCTGTTCTCGTAAGAAATATGTCTAATCCCACAGCCATAACGAGAGTAGTGCTTTCAAAAGTAGAAGGCTCGGAGATCATTTTTTTAATACCATACAGTCGTTGGTCATATGAAAGAATCTGATTGTCAAAAACTGGCAATACCGGTTCATATGGTATGAACGAAGATGGTTCAGGCTTTTCGTTATGCTTATGAACCGGTCTCAATGGAGATAAGAAACTCTGAGGAATCATTCCCAATTGATTCGATGATAAAGACACCAAAATATCTCTGGACGTTATACCTTGATTTGTTGTTGTCACAGCCATTGCATTTATCAGACGATCAAAATTGAAAGACTTCGTAAAAGCAGAAGGAAGATAGTTATTATTTCCACTCTCAACAACGTCAAAGTTATATTTAACATTGGGCTTATCTCCCTCAAAGAGCTCCACTGAAACGATTTTAGTGGAAATAGTAGGAACCGCATTCCAGTAGGAGTATACAAGCCAGTTCTCGGAAAGTACAGCGTTTACATTTTCGAAATTTACAACATCGGAATGTTCGTTACGATGAAGAATAGTTCCACTGAATGTATCAATGATATAGACGGTTAGTACGTTAGGTCGGCGTGTCAAGACTGCCATCACGTTTGGGTTTAGATATTTATACATAACTTTACGATCTGCCAGGACACGCCCAAGGGAAGCGATAGTTTCATGCGGATTTCGTTGAACTGTATTAATTAAGGCTTCATCGTTTTTAAAAGGTAACTCCCATTCTGTAATAATTGTATGATCCTCAAGGATGCGGAATCCTTGCAAGATGTTATCCTTAACTTTGGTAAAAATAACAGAAGGCCTAGTTCGAAGGAAATGGTCAAACGAAACCTCGTCTCCTAAAGGAGAAACGGTATCTTGGTGCAAAGCAAAAATTAAATTATTATAATGGTCCTTTGTATTGTCAAGGAAGTAAAAATCATGCGGGATTTGAGTCTCTGATTTCTCATATATAATCGATCCATCGTTGGACTTTATAATTCTAAAAGTATAGCCATCATCAAAAATATGAACGAATGCTACTACTGATGGTTCCTGATGTTTGAATGCAGGCTTAAGTAACCAAGATTTTACGTCTTTAACATCTCGAGAGAAATCTTTTTTCCACACAATACGATCCTTCTTATTTACATCAGAGGAAATGCAGTACAGACTGCCAGTATACGTGGGTATTATGAAGTTTGTCACGAAAGCAGCATCCAAAGAACGATGTCGAGGAAACAGGTGACGAATTTTGAACAGTTGCTTAAAGTCTCTCAAATAGTGTAAAAAAGGTATCATACTCTCCCTTTCTTGACTAGCCACTGGAAGAGAGTCAGAGGACTCAGGGATGACAGGCAAGGATATAGCGTCGGCTGCATAAGCTAGTGCTTCCTCACGTTTCCATAAAAGGGCCTGGTCAGAATAGCAAAAGATCGTCCCATCCTCTAATACAACAATAATATAATTTTTTGTTTGAGATTGAAGTAATTTAAATAAGTATATTGAGCGAGTAAATGAATTCTCGATTTTCAGAATTCGTTGGGAGTCAAAATTTATTGCTTGGGAAGAAGCCGTTGTACGCAGGAAACGGTTTTCATGTGCATGGAAGCCATGGGATACTGAAGTATCCGTTCCATGCAAAAATTCATCAACCAAGACAAATTCTTCCTCCTGGAACGTGTAAACACATGTAACAAGCGACCAATCCAAATCGATGGTAATTGAGTATCCAAAAGCTTCTGTTGGAATCCGCGTCCAGCTTATTAAATGAACGTCTGTAAACAATAAGTGTGACCGCTGAGGATGGGAAAGATGAATAGCATGCACGGAGTTCTGATAACTAAACAATAGAAGCTCGCTTCTTGCGCCCAAAATTTCCGAATTAGCAGGGACAGGAAGGATTTGCTCTTCTACAGGCTGCCAATTTCCGTTTAACTGTACCAATTTGTGATTAGACTGGTCTTTGGTCAAGACATAATTCTTCTCTGAAACTGTGAGTATCTCCAAGATAGGAAAATCAAAAGAAACCTCACTTAGTGTAGCATTATTTTCTTGGAATAAGACTTTTGTGAGACTAGATGATTTAGGAACAAGGTAAACATATCCTTCATTTATTTCATATAGACTACCACCTTTAGTAGCAGAAATGTCCATCTTGGTTTCCAGTGCTCCAGTCCTTTTATTCCACACAAACAAGTCATCTTTTCCAATTGTAAGAGCGTATTGTGATTTTGTCTTGTGAACAACTGATTCTGTTTGCTCGTCAATGGCTTGGCGCCAAACAATGTCACCACTGGAAGCATCGATACGTGATAATAATCCACGTTCACTTACTGCTAAAAAAGAATCATTTTCCTCGTCAAGCTTGATATCCTTCAAACGTCCTAAAAGAGAAATACGAAAATCATAGACACCTGCTTCATCTGTGAGGACTGCAAGGTAACAAGGAAGAAAAATCGAAAAAAGAATTAAATACAAGGGCCAGAAAGGCCGAGTCATATTGAAGAAATGAAAACAATCCTGTTTTCAAAATGTTTGTTCTGTTAAAGAGGATGTGATGGAAAGGAAATAGAGAGCCGGAAGGAGAGCAGAAGCTGGAAAATGGATTTTAAGCCCTGTAACTTTCTTTTCTAGGAACACTTTTAGTTTATGAAGATGCATATTTAGCCATTGGTATTTATATTAGGCCGCCTCGAGATTCATTGTTTTCTTTCTGTTTTTGTATTCATTCCTTCGCTTACTTAAGCTTATTTTTTAGCGAAATTTTGGTTTCACAAAGACATTTGAAATGTTATTTGAATTGCTATTTTACAGTCTTTTCCATTAAACAACAGAACTATGGAAAGATAATATTCGCTATTCTTTGCGTCTTGCTTCTTCGCGATCACTTCAATATCATATAAACATTATAGTAAAGAGAACAAAGCACACAGGCAGTATAGAAGAAAAGCAAGGCACTTGGCGTTTCCCTTATTTTTCAGTCTTACTTGCTTTCATTTTCTTTTTCCTTGAAACGGGTTTTCATCTTTGGAACCGCTTTTTCAAATTGAACCGGAATTGCAAGTTAATTACCGCTCATAGTCAAGTGAAATCGTATCGTACACGCGACAGGATCCATTGACATTTGAACTTATTAAACATTGCTAAGCAAATTGAATCAATCAAAATGCATTCAAGTCAATCCAACTCTTTTAAACGCTTACAACAAGAGTCGAAAAAGCATCAACTGAAAGTTAAAAAATTACGACACCCTGAAGAAAAAAAAAAGCTTTGCAAGCTTCTTGTGTTTTATGGCTCGAAGAAGAAGTCTGCAAGGGCGTTGCGAAGGGCTTCGAAACCTGAGTTTCAGTATCTTCCTCGTCGTACCATTTTAAAGATGGAAGAACAGTTACTTACAGAAACCATCAAAGCGCGTGCATTGACTGTCATGATCTTTTGTCTTATTTCGGGACAAGTTTTGACAAATCTCTTTTAAACTCTTTCTTCCTTGACCAGCTACTTGAAACTAAATCCTGACACACATCAAACGTGTATATTATTGTATGAAACAACGATTTATCCTTTTGTTTGTCTTCCTCATAAGAGCAAAAAAAGCAATAAATATCCATATTCCTTTCTTCTACCTTATAGTGGAATTGAACTGTACAATTCCTATTCTTTAATATTTTTCCTCGTCATCTTTTATTTACTAGTGCATTCTCATTTCTTCCGTTATATAATTTAAAAATCTACTTCCGATTGCGTTATTTTTTTTAACGGAATGTTCCGACACTTTATGCCATCAACAAAGGCTTCCTCTAGTCCTTCTGAAAGGTGTCTTTCTCCTCTCCCCTCAATTCCCAGATCTTGAATTTTTAGCTTGTAAATTCTTCATGTCTGTCTACACTATTGCCGGTCGTCAATTCCAAAGCCACCAGGTTCGTTTTCTTTACCGTTCGTAGCGGCTAACGGGATTCTTGTAGCTCAGTCTTGCTGTCTTGGGATCTGTTTTTGTAGGACCCTGGGTTTATAGTAAGCTCTTTAAGAGACAAAAGGCTTTGAAAGAAGGAGAAATGCCTCCTTTGAACGCCTCCAACAAAGAAGAAGAAGCCTTTATTTTGTATGTGAGAAGAGTGAATGATTGCCAGTATACTAATTCGACTTTCTTAGGAAATACATTAAAGATCACAAGTAAACTACAAAACCTAAAACCGTAGAGAATTGTTTGTCTACTTTTTAGGATGCTTGTCTCTCTTTTCTTCTTCACATGTTACCCGCTTTCTTTACCGTAATTCTTTGTGTTTCAATAACATGTCTTTTCTTTTTCATTTGCTTGAATTTAAATTGTATTGGATGCATTCTAATCAACCTTTCTTGTCCGTAAAGTGTTTGTTTTTAACTGCCAGTGCAACCTTTCGTTGGTTATATTAGTTTCGTGGTCATCCATCATTAGAGTAGACGATAATTATTTTTCCATAAATGAACCAGCTTTTAAAGGAAATAAGAATAAATCATAAGAGAATATGCAACGACATATCTTGTTAGAGTGATACGCTGGGTTTCCAAATATGTAGCTCATTGTCATCAGCAACGGATGCGATACATTTTGAATCAAAGGGACTAAAGTCCACATCGTTGATAAGCCCCCGATGACCTGCATGAACAAAAACCAAAGGATTATCGGATTCAAAATTCCATACATAACAAAGGTCCCGACATGCACTGACTAAGGCACTAGGAGACGACCAGCTCCATGACATACTTGTAGCGCCAAACGGAGTTGCCAATGGGGAAACTTCCTTGGACGAAAGAGGCTTATTTTCCGCAACCATGGACTCAGTGTCTAATAAAGGGACTTGTAGTTTTCTGTAATCTCGCAGTTGCAACGTACTTTCCGTACCAAGTGCAAAGAGCGACGCTATATGTGGATTATGGCGAACGGAATAGACTGAGGACGGTAACTGTGCCGATTGTAAAACAGCTGAGGGAGTCCGGTTATCACACAGAAGAGCGCTTCCATCGTCACCTGCGGCGATGTAAAGATTTTCGTGAAAAGGATTATATTCTACATCGTTCACGGCAATAGCACGATTATGATAAGAAGAAACAGGGAATAATACATTAGAACTTTGTGAAAACGCTTGCAAATCCCACTCTAAAACTTTAGAATCATTTGCAGCCGTTAACAGCTTGCCGTTGCACTGACGGTTCCAGGACACCCCAAAACCCTCTGCTTCATGTCCCTGAAGATGAACGTTAGGACAAAAATCCTCAGCGGGCATGGATGTGTATTTTGTGCGATCAAAAACATATACCTCACCACAAGAGCTGAAACTTGCAATAATATTGGGGTTCTGAGGCATGTGTCTTGCTCGGTTAACATCACCATTGTGCATAATTCTTTGAATTAACTGAAATCGACATGGATGTTGCGGACTGTACCCGCCTAGTTCTCCCAACTCTTCATTATAATGTTTTACAGGATCCAAACTCGTCCGCTCTGCATCTGGTAAATCAATATCTGCCAACTGCAAGTAATTTGGAAATCCTTCCGCGGCATGTGTTCCCAAAAGTAAGCGGTATTTATCAATGGGTTTCTCATTCGATTTCTCCACAACTGAAAGCCACTCGATGCTCAAAGACGGCCATAATAGCGTCCTCGTGACCAGGAGATCATACAGAAACCGCGAATTTTTCTTCCAATGAAAATAGTTTTCATCAACCTGATTTTCCAAGAAAGAAATTCCTTCCAAACGAGTTGCATCTGACTCGCTTTGCATTGCGACTCTTGTATATTGTTCTCAAAATAAGATGAAGCAACCTCCTTAGTTTTTCCTGTTCTTTATTTAATTATTATAAACCATTCAAACTACGCCTTCTATTCTGGTCGCTTTTCCAAAACGCGTCTTCAGCTGTAAACAAACATTTGGTTCGTGCTTGAATTCCTTTCACAGTGTAATGGGGTTTGCAAAGTGCATAATTCGTTTTAACGAGGCCAAAGGAATTACAGTGCAATTTAGCTAGGATGGTTGGTAGGAATGGAATAATATGCTTACTTGTAAAGTTTTAATAGAAATTGGGACATTAAAAACGAATGATTGTTTATTAATAGAAGACGAAGAATACTTGATATGTGATACTTTGGAGTTGAAGAACTCTCAGCCCTCTTCTCATCGACGGCTCCACCAAAGGATCCTTTATTAAGCAATTTCGATTGCAATAAACAGATGCTAGGGTGAGTCTTCTTCTACAAAATAAAATATAAGGAGTAGAGAGGTAATGGGTGAATTTCCATATAAAACCGTGTTGGCTGATGAAACCGTATGTAAGTGAATAAGTTATGCAAAAAGCAATAGGATAGCGGAAGGGAAGATAAAGAATGCAAGTAAGTGAATAATGACAGGAGAGAGGATCGTTGTTGAGCCTTTTTTCAGGACAAGTAGGAAGAAATTAACGGTAACGGTAGTTAAGAATGCAATGCAAAAAAGAAAATAGTCGAAAAGATTCCATCATTATGCAAGTTCTTCTACAAGTGCCATAGGAACTCTTTGCTTTATACTATTATTGAAAAAATTGCGACCATAATAGTTCTCGTCTCCAGCAGCAATTGCTTGTTCCAAGTATTTTTGTTCGTTCCATCGAGCAGAGTCGTGAAAACGAGTCCTTGGGGCCCCTAGGTATCCAAGGATGCGCATACAGGCACTAATTAAATACACTCCTGCGCAAAAGAGAATCAATCCTGCTGAAAAGGGTTTCCAAGAAAAGAGTTTCCATGGCTGGTGAAGTAGCAGCCCAGAAAATGAGTACTCCAAACGATAGTTCAAGGAACAACTTTGGACAATTGGTTCTAACGCATGAGCATAGTAAACTTTACAATGCACACCGTAATCGGCAACATGGACATAATCAGACATTTGAGGCCAAGAGCAAGACCATTTCAAATCTAATGGAGAAATGTTCAGTTGATTGTGCTGACAAATGGCATAATTGGCTTGGTAGTCCTCACAAGCCGATCCTGAGCATACAAGTCTTGGAGTTTGATTGCTCGTGTCTTTAGGATTTGACAACGAAAACTTTATAGCCTGAATTCGATCTAAAGAATGTGAATATGCAAACGTGTTTCCACTATAAAATACTAGGAATAATAATAATACAAACGATGAAAAGAGGGACATGGCGGAGAGCTGGTTGTTTACTACTGCATGACTGGAGCTTATTGTTCAAATGTTTCGGTAAACTCGGAGTACTATAGAACGAAGACACCGAATTCTCCGAAATAAAGTAATGTTGAGAATACGCTTTCAGAATCTATTTACGCAGTATATAATAGTTGAAAGAAAAAGTAAGATGAAAACCATTAAGAAGAAATTACTTTGTACAATGGATTTTTAAACGCAAACCCATAACGGTTCATACGACATGCATTGTTTACATAAACATAAACAATACAGGTAAACAATGCAAAGACGGTAGAGAACGAACATGTTAGCAAACAAAAAAGATAGAAAAGAGTTCAATGAGAAATAAAGATAACTTATTATTGAATAAATAACGGACATGAAAGGATGTATACAGTTTAATTTTTCTTTTTCAATCAGGCCGCTGTGCTCTTATAGTATGTGACAATTTGCTCGAATTTTTAAAAGTCAGATATTCTCATTGAACGAATTTGCTTTCTTTCCTGAATACTTTCCAAAAACAAATCTTCCTTCACGTACAGGACTTGATACTGACGATTGCGAAACACTTTTTTATTCATCAGCATTCGTTTCATGGTATCTTGCTCGAGTCCGAAAGATTTTTTTTTTCAAAGACTGATGGCAGTCAGGATCAAAAACAATCAAACTCTTTAATGAATCGCAATAGCCAACGACCGTAACAGAGTGCCCCTCAGTTTGAAGATAGCAAGGCGATACATGGCGTTTATTTTTTAAAGGATTTTCAAAATGGTCTTTAAAGAACAAGAAAAGTGCGTCTACTGCTGAAGATCGATTGCGAAAATCAAAATCTACGAGACCAACATTTAGCATAAGACCCGTCATCAACGTGTAAACTTCAGTGGCGCCGATCCAAGTTCCTTCCAATTGGGTACCGACTTGCTGATATCCATCAACATCAATTCCCTTTTTCCAAGCATTCAGTAGATGTTTCCTCAAATCCGGGAGATCATATTTGTAATGTTGAGTTTCAAACCAGTCATTATATGAAGTTTGTAACCAAGAAAACAACATCTGAATATTTCGCCAACCACATCCCCAACCATAATCAATATGTTTCACTGTTGAAAAAAAGTATACATCTCCGGAAGCTAGAAAAGCATCATTAATGTTTGCATTCACGAATTGCTGCTGAATGTCACACAAAGAATAGCCCATTATACAGAATATAAATTAGGTTTTGCTTGAATTTGGGCAGTTATTTATTGAATTCGATAATAACGACCAAACTTTTTTTTTTAAAACTCCCCGCCATGTACTAGCTTCCCTAGTGTAGTAAAGGTTCTTTCAGAGGGAGTATAAACGAACGAAGTTTTATTGAAGAACTTTTGCTGGATAGAAGTAGAGGATATCATAAAAAAAAAAAGAGAAATAAAAATGAAAAATTAAAAGTAAAACATTATCGTAGAGAACAAGAATGAAAGATCATGTTTTTCTGAAACAGAAAAAAGTATCAAATATTAAGGGGAAAATAAAATTAGGTCATCAATAAATAAAAATATTCATCTCCAATAGCAGAATTTGTTTTATACGGTGAACAAATAACTCATAAAGTGAGGTGAGAACGTTGATGGTATAGAATAAAAATGTATGGGCAATTTTGAAGATGTCAATCACTTCCGCTGATATTTTCAATAATCATTCGTTTCAATAAAGACCCCCAGCCTTCAGTAGACGTTGGAATGACTATTTCATACGGATAATTTCCAGAGTCTGCTGCGACTGGGGGAAGGTAGGAAAGGCTACGTAGGTTGACAGCCTGAACGATTTGTTCCAATGCACATTCCAAAGATGTAGAAGATGCAGTATAAGAGTCCTTTGACTCGGTAATCATTACATTGACGAGCCACTGCTCCCACGGATTTACTGTGCCTGTTCCAAACCATGACTTCTTAGGTAATCTCTCATAAAAAAGAAGCATCATTTGTGAAGAAGCTCCGTGTTGGTTTGGAATTCCATCCACGAATTCTGCAGCCTTATTGGTAAGAGTCTCGTCCAACTGAGTGTTTCCTAATGTAGGAACTGTAACTTCTAACATGTCTACAGTCTTTGATATCACGGTAGAAAATTGCCTATGAAAGAGAATTGTACCTAAGACCCCTAAAACATAAACCGTTAGCTTGTATTCTTCCTCTGAATAGACAGTCATAGATATATACCTTTGACAGCTTCCGCGGCATATTTATGGCCTACGGTCAAGTCTAATGTGACAGAATTGGTCATCTTAATATCAGTTCTATGTCCTGGATTCAATTAAATACCAAGAGGTGGTTAAAAGAGTTAGGTTCATTATGGGACATATCTGAAGTCATATGTACCTCAACAAACACTCTGAAAGAGATGTAGCCAGTTTTGATATATAGAGAACTACTGAATGCTCCAAAGAATGCATTGACTTGAAGAATGAATGAATCTGTAATACAACGATGTATTTCTACGTGAATGAACTGAAAAGAAGTGGATTAGTGATAAATGACACTTACACTTCAGCTGTCGATAGTAATTATTAATAAAGATAAGTTTTAAAAGGATTCTATGGATTTTGAAAATTTCAAGATCCCGGATCTACCAAAACTTGATATTTCTTGTCAAGCTCAAATTTGGTATCTTCTCTAAGGGAAATATGCACAGAAAGTGATATGAGGAAAGGGATATCTAAAATAAAAAATAAATCTAACTCTGTATCTCTTCTAGAAGTGAAAGGAAGTTGGTCGGAATCGACTGTGTTGTTTCTTCATTAGAACAATATGCCTTTTTAAACAGTTGTATTAGAATACTTTTTTCCCATGACCAAGGAGGAATGCATTTTGGAAGAGGAGGAATCGATTCTGAGGATTGAAGAGGCGATGCACGAGACGAGTCAATAGCTTGTCTTCGTTGTAAATGAAAGGACACCATCGACCAAAAACGTTTCCAATTCCATCCATAGTTAGCTTCTACTACCTCCGTTACAACTTCTGAAAATCTTTCTTTTGAAACGATGCCGTCATCCAGCAAATCCCGAAGGGACGCAGACGTTGCCTCATACTGTTTTTGAAGAGCCAAATGCATTTGTAAGATGCAGGAAGCATTGCACCAATTATGATTGATGGATAGTGTAGTGCCAATGTTCAATACTTGATGGTACCATCCACTGGGGACGAAGACTGTTTGGCCTGGAAACTGAAACAAAATCCGCAAATTCCCACGAATTTCTTTGAAAGATTCCTCCTCGAGAAGGCTTCGTTGGGAGATCCAGGATGGCAACCCTTCATCCTCGAATTTACTTTGAAGATACTCTGCATCGGACGGAGCAATGAAAATCCAGCATTTTACACCGCATAAGTTGACGGACACGGAGTGGCTTTCATATACATCTTTATGCAAAGGTGTTGTTGTTAAATGACTCCCAATGTAGGCAAAACGAAAATCATCATTTTCTTGGTGAATTGTGTATGCATTGAGCCAATCATCCACAAACAAATCAGGCGTTTCGTAAGGTATAGGGATAGATGGATTCCGAAATAAATGCATATCTTTGGGATATATACTTTTTAAATTGCAAGAGTCTTCGGATGTTGGCAATGACATTGATCGCAACATCTCGTCCTCTTCTTGAAGTTTTTGCAGCGCTTTCCCGAGTTGAACAGTTTCACGCTTTTGACCGCCGTACTTGTCTTTTTGAGTACAATATGCCAAGGGTACCTCAACTTCCCCGTACACTTGCTTTAGGTGCACATAGTTGGGAGAAAGTAACAAATCCTGAAGAGCTTCCTCTTCATTAGTATAATACTGTTTACTAGCTTCCAATAAGCATTCCCATAAATTATCCGAAAAAAGGTCGTTATGCGAAACAGCTTTAGACCGAAGAAACTCAAGCCCCTTTGGTAACTGTCTTTCTTCACGATTTTCAAAAATGTCCTGTTGAGATCGATGAACCCACCTTTTTCGAGCCTCCCAATTTGCAGTCAAATTTTTTCCAATCAACACAGGAACACATGGTTTTAAGTATCTCTCTAAAAACGTTGAATATGGACAATCCTCAATATACTCGATAGGATTCAACTTGTACATCATAGCTGGACCGACCTCAGCAAACCAGATGAACAACCCCGTCTTATAGTTGCTTGTGGTAGTACGCAAGTGGTATAAATGAACCGATCTTTTTGCTAATCGTCAAGGGCCCTTGAAAACGCTACAGCAATGTGCAAAGGAAGAGCTTTTGATTTTTTATCTTTGTTACTAGCTGATTCTCCGACTTTAAATTTCGTTTACAATCAGATTTTTGAAGCCCAAAAATAAAGAAAAGCAAATATCTACGAAAGCGAATACTTTTTAAAAATGTTTATTAATCATACAGGTGATTTTAAACTGCAAAAATTTCGAAGCTGAAAAAAAATAAACTTTCGTTAAAGCTAAGCTTGTTGTTTCAATGAGGTATTTGGTACCTGGGGCAGATTCGCCAATTGTTCGCGAATATGACGTACAGTTCAATTGGGAATATCGAGATTTGATGCAAAAGTTTAAGAAGCAATAAAGAGACAGGCGTCGTCGGCGGAACCAGACGTATGAATCATAAGTGGATGTGGCGATCGAACTGATAACACAGTTAAACAATTGACATTGATGGAATTGCTTCGTCATTGTTCCTACATGAAAGGTATATATGGGAACGTTCCATCATGCTAAAGATTAACGACAAAGTTTAACTTAACACATAATGAGTTCTTTTACAGGAAAGTCAAGTGAAATGGCCTCAAAGGCCAAAAAGTACATGTCAAGCCCAGGTTCTGTTCAGAACACAGACCAAAACTTTAGTAACCAAGAGCAAACTAGAAGCGGCGGAAACTTTGACAACCGTTTTTCAGATGAGGAACGTGGTTATAGCAATGCTGATCAAAGTGCAGCTCCCGAGTATTCTCACCCCTCTCAAGGAGATCCTTACAGCGGACAAACAGCTGACACCAAGCGTGGCTTCTCTTCTCAAAGAAGTGGTGGTAGAACCGATTACGGTAACCCTCGTCAATCTCAAGGTTACACACAGAGTACTGAATATGGCGGTGACCAAGGTGAAGATTATGGTCGAAATTACGGAGGTAGTGGTGGCTCTTATGGATCCACTGGTGGTGCTTCTGCAGGTGATTACGGTACTTCTGGTGACTACAGTACTTCTGGTGACTATGGTGGCGGAAATCGCACAAGCACCTATAATGCTGGTAATCAGGATGTTTATAACAGAACCAGCTCTTTGGGTGATGAAAATCAATATGGCCGTACCCAATCTACCAGCGGAGCTAGTCAAGGTAATTACAATACAACTGGAGACGAGGCCAGTTACCAAACTTCTGGAAACCAAGGCAAGTACGCTCAATCAGGCAACTTGGGCGAAGAAGGTCAATACGGATCTAGGGCTACCCAACACCAACCTTCTAGTGGATCCAAATCTGAAGGTTACAATGCCGGTAGATACACGACGGATCCCAATGCTGCCTCTAGCAGGGCAGGAGGTGCTGACCAAGCTGGTCAAAACTTGACACAGAGCGGTGGTCAGAGAGTAAATCAAGCTGAATCCACTGGCCGACATGGCGTTCAAGGTACTAAATCGCAGGCCCAAGATTTGGGCAATGAAGCGCAACAGCATGCTTCATTTACCTCGAAAATGAAGGGAAGCATGGAGAAGATGTTTGGTAAAATGACTCGCGATGAAGAACTAGTCCAAAAAGGCGAGAATATGAAGACCGGCGGCGGTGGGCGCTTGTAAATGTTTTCATAATCGATACCATTAATGCTGATGATAACGTTATGTCTCTGAAAAGTTTATGACAAAAAGGTGAAAATGATTTTTTTTTAATTTGTAAAAAGAGAGATTGTATGTATGAAAACAATTGGAAATGAAATGTTTTTGGATGAATTATAAATTATTGAGTGGTAGCCGTAAGTATAATTGAACAGTATTAGCGAAATTCGTCATGAATCATTTCAATTTATTTAAACTACAAGTAGACATTTTTAAATTAAGGAAAAAAACCAAAAGAAAAATGTAATGTAACAATTAACGGTCATTATAGGAAGCCGATGAAGAGGGAGGTGGATGGGTTAAAGTTTTATTCATATGTAAATTGCGAATGGATGAAAAAAGTCCTGAAAATCTCGTTGAAATATTTTGTGGTCGGGTTAGACTGTAAGGATGTTGTGCTAATACGACGTCAAACATGTCGTCGTCAGCAATAACATTCCATATATCATAGGTAGTCGTCTTCATCCACTCAAGCAGAAAAGGTTGACCGTAATCAGATATACAGTCGGTGGAAGGTAGAGAATGATATTTCTGCAGCTCAGTTTCATCTCTAGACTGCAGAAAAGAATAATATTTAACAGTAGATAAAAACCCAAATATATATGCATCAAATTGTGCCCGTAGCCATTCATTACTTCCTTCATATTCCGGTAATGATTTTTCCTGTTGAGAAGAAATTGTGGAAAGGATATCGTCCATCCATCTTTTATCGGCTCGTGTGAGATTGGCAATAGGTTTGATCGAAGGATCTTCATAACAAATTTCTTTTGTGTCCGCACGAACTACGACATCAGCCATTTTGTTTTGATTCAACATAATGAGAGTGTTTGTGGTTCCAGCAAGCCAGCTTTCTGTAGAACTCGATTCCAAAACATGCACCTGTTGCAAAGGTGTATAAGGGGAAAACATGCTTTTCTTTCCGAAAAGAATTAGTGGAAAGCCAAGGTACGCCATTAAGGAGTGTTTATCGCTTGTTTTCAAAGAGGATGGCTTGGAAAGGGTTGTTTCGAGATAGTTTGAGGACGGATCAGCAGAATCATGCAGACTGGATAGCAAATTTGGGATGAGAGACAAGAGAGAATACTGCGATTCTCCCAATCGTTCGGCAACCCGATCGTAAACAAGAACTTTTTTTCCTAAAAGAACGAGTTTCAGCAGTACGAGAGCATTTTGCTTCCAACGCAGAAAAAAATCTTTCCTATCTACTCCTAGTGATACTTGCAGTTGAGGACCTTTGTTGACTAAACTTTTGTAAAAGTCCTAAATATCGATTTCGTTAGAAAGTAATTGTATTTTAGCAACATTTGATAGTATTCATACTTGAAGAATGGACAAATCGGAAAAGTCATGTTGGGAAAAATAGGCATCGGTCACGATTTCCAAATTGTCTTTGATATGACCAAATTGAGGAGTGGAAAAAATGAGCACAACTGCTTTTTGAATGCTAGGTCGAGTTATATCCGAAGGAAGGTTTTTGACATAATTGATACTTAGCTGACGACTGCAAGCCAACCCAAAGGCTGTAGATTGTTGTGGATCAGGATATGGTAAAGTGAAGTATACAAAATCTTTTTCTTTCTATAGAGCAAACTCTGTTAGAGAAAAATGAAAACATAAAGGAAATAAACAAGAGGGAAAGGCATTGTTGTACGAAGACGATTGAAGCAAAACTTACCAGATGAGCGCCGTCAGGTAAAGACAAAAAGGGCAGAATGGACCATTCTTTCGGTAGTTCTATTGACTGTGGAAATACATGCTCAATTTCAGGACCTCGTAAATGATGACTATGGAGATATGATGTTAGAAGAGACGAAAAAAGAGACCGACCGGATAGAAAACGAGCAAAGTCATTGCTACTTACAAATCTACGGTAACCATGCAATAGAAGCTGGATGTAGTTATAAAATCATCCATGACATGAATTCTGAAATTTGATAGCAAACAGAAGAAGGTCGCTTCTTAAATACGTCGTGAGAAGCCTTGTTTCCGATGAGCTTATAAGGCGGATTTCACGAAAAGAGAGTCCAAAAAGAATTCAAAAAGAAAGAAATAAAAAGAAAAAGAAAGAAAAGGAAAGGATAAAAAAAAGGGGCAAAAGAAGGAGGAAAAATAAGAAGCAAGCGCTTTATAAGAATAGCATCCTGTGCTCCTTTGGAAGAGGTTACAAGGTGTAGTGGTAGTAGGTAGTAATCGTGGTAGTACTAACTGATCGAAAAGTGGATTCAGTAGGAAAAGAAAAACGAAAGGAAAAAAGTCATAAAAGGAGAAAAATCTGCTTGATACGCTCGTTTTCTTTCATCTTGTTCCCAGCGATCTCTGTCTGAGACAAGGAATGCGTTACGAAACCTTTTCTTTGTTATAAGATTAAAAACAAAAAATTAAATGGAAAATCAAACGCCTTGGTTCAGGGATCTGTAGGCGCCTGTTCGTCACGGGAAGAATAGTATTGAGTATGAATGGGAATGAGTGGAATATCTAAACAAGCTATTCGGTGCAAACTTGAAGTTTGTTTGGAATTTGATTTACTAACAAGTAGCAGTACTGTCCTCTAGATAGATTAGAAAAGATGTAGAGAAACGTTCACTCGTTCGACCATTGAAGGTATAGCTGGAAACAATTAGACGCTATTAGCTCTTCTAACAAGTGATCTATTTCATTCTTGTGTATGTATGTGAGTGTGTGTATCCGTATATCTTTTCATTCGTACAAACTTGTATCTTCACTTTTTTACTTTATGATTGTTTACTTTCGTCGTATAGCAATACACTCCTTAGTGTTATCTTTCGCGGCAGGATCCTCACACCATATTATTGTGTGTTTCGAGAGCAACAAACAAGTAAATCAATAGACCAACCTTTTCAATTGATCCTAATTGATCATCCATTGCATACGTGCTCCATTTTTTATTGTTTGTTTACTTCGTATTAGGCGACAATTCCTTAACGATCTGCTGTATCAACAATCATACTAACGCGGTATCCTACTGTGACAGAATAGGTCTTTTACTGCCTGTTTGAAACTCTCTTATGAATTATAATTCCTACGCATGGTTGAAAAAATGAGATAATCCATAGCGAATTGGATCACTCGAGCAGAGAATGAATTTAACTCGAGATGAAATAGAGACTTTGTGTGAAAGATTTTCGTTGCATGGACCAATTTTTCTATAGCAAAAAGACAGATATTTTTAACTCACAGGTGAGTGTATCTGTTGTTATTTGAATTTACGTTTCCCTTCTATAAACTCCATCAATCACGGCAAGTTTGTGGCGTATCGATAATTTCATAGATGAGAAGAATACAATTGTTTATTGCTTCCTGTTGGTGCTTTTATTGAAATTTCGTCACTTACTATCTATGGCAACGGCTCCCTAGAAACTACTCTCTTCTACTACCAACTACATTTTTTATGGATAAACAAGTTTCTTTAGCTTAGCCGTTTGAAGGTTTAGTTGGAAACCTTGGGACTATATATAATATAGTTTTCCTATTTAGATTATCTAATAATTAAGGTTCAGTGCGGATACAAGAACCAATGGTGTTTTATTAATAACCTAAATTCCTATTCCGAGTTATCTTTATTTATTTTAATGGTAGTAACGTTATAATTGTATGCTCTCTAGTAGAATAGCTGTAGAGAAGTATTGAATAATATTACAGTTGTCTAGCTACAAAGGAGCAAATGCATAAGCTTCTTCCCTCCATAAAGAATGAATGTGATTGAGTGTCAATTTTTTCGACTCGGTACGGAATAATGGTTTTCCGAGTCCTGCGGAGAAGAAAGGTTTTTTTTTTTTATTTTTACCATTCTATTCATTCTTCAACTCTTTCTTTCCAATGAATTCCTCTTCCTAACAACCTTCTCGTATTCTAGATATCCACCGCCTGCCCAACGATTTAATATGCCTCTAATTTGAGTAGAATTCTGCTTCCTTTATCCTATGAGGTGACTTCTAACTCCATTCTATATGCTTCATTTTATATGGACACACACTTTTGTCTTCTTGAATGTTTATTTGTTTATGTTTATTTCCGTTAATATGAACAAACTTTTACCTTCCTTTCGATACACCCTCACTAAGTAGCACCTATACCCCAACCAAACCGGTTTGTTACCTTTGATTTTGTTACTTAGTTGATAAACATCGTGCGGTATTTGCTTATATCTTTCTTCTCTATGAGGGATTCCTTTATCATTTATTTTTTGTTCCTTTCTTCGTCTATTTTTTAGGATTTTGCGTTCCTCGGGGCCGAAAATGAACTAAAACAAACGAACCTTTTTTCTTTCATTGGATGCCCTACCCTTCCCTCTTTTCCAATGAACCCCTCTCCACTTGAACCCCTCTTCTATATAATTCCGGCAATGAAAAATTCATGACGTAAGGAACATAAATAAACTAGCAGCCATTGCCGCCTTTTCATTTTTCACTATATACCTCATTTTTTTTTTCTTATTTCTTTTAGGAAACAAAAGTTCAAAGTAGATTCGTGATTTTATTCAGTTTCTACCGGTTTTCGTATGTAAAGAAGCCAACCGCATTAAGGAGCTGTTTAATAACAAATTCTCTTTAGGGAGTTACTTTATATTTTCCTGTTTCTAAAATAAACACAAACCGGTGGATTTTATTACCTACGTGTGCAGCAGGATTGGAATATTTTCAGCTACGGATCTTTTATTGACTGTAATTCCCCTCTATCACACTACCAAGTACCTTGCTGTACTCTATTTACCTACTTGACCTATTTGACAGTAGGGGTGTGTTTGTGTGGTTTGCGCGAGACCAACGTTAAGCATACTTCTGTTTCTCCTATCCCTTTTTACCTGTTCATTCCTCATTTGCATTTGGACCGCCCAGGGGTCGAGGAAAGGAAATTAGAACACTTTTTTTTATTGTTCTTCTTGTTTGGTATTCAAAATGGTTATGATTGGTGGTCTCTCCAAAGAAGGAGATGCTCGAAAAATTAGCAATAAGATTGAAAAGCAGATTGAAGCACAACGGAAAAAGAATCGGAAAACGTACAAAATTTTATTACTAGGTAAGTAAAGAGACAAAAAAGGCTTGAAACTTTCTGCAAACTCGTGCGATCACCGCGCTTGTTAGTTGTGGTTATGTTTGAAAAGAAATCAAAAAGTCATTGCCGTAAGAATATTTTATAATTATGCCAAGCTTTTTACGAAAAAGCTTCGGTTACGTTTGCTTTGATTTTTTTCTAGCTTTGTTCTTTTGGTTTCGTTGTCTTGTCTACAGTAGAAATGATTTGATATACAAAATGGTTGACTTTTTACTAACCGACAAAGGCGCTTCTGATAGCGGTAAAAGTACCATTAGCAAACAAATAAAAATTTTAAATTCGAATGGATTCAGTCAGGAGGAAATCATGTCTTTTATCCCAGTTATCCGGCGGAATTTACTGGATCCAGCAAAAACGCTCATAAAACTCGTTAGGAATGAGGAAATTCCTTTGGATCCTTTAAACATTCACAATTGTGAAATCATTGAAAAATTCATTCCTAATCCTGGTGAGCTGGTATCCTTGGATTTCGGAAAAGCCATTTCTGACCTCTGGTCCGTCAACAATATTCGAAGGTGTATGTATCGGAATGACTCTTTTCTTATAGATTCAGCCCCCTATTTCTTTTCAAGGGCAAATGCCATTTGCAGTCAAGACTACGTACCTACAATTGACGATATTTTGCATTCCAGAAACTCCACCATGGGGATTTCTGAAATTTCTTTTGGCATAGACCATTTACAAGTCCGTATGTTTGACGTGGGTGGACAACGGACGGAGCGAAGGAAATGGATCTACTGCTTTGAAAATGTCAATTCTATTATATTTTGTGTTTCCCTTAATGATTTTGATAAGAAGCTTTATGAGAGACATGTCGCCAACCGCAACCGATTACTGGAAAGTATCGGTCTTTTTGATTCCATCATTAATAGCCAATGGTTCGTTCAGTCTTCCATTATCCTTTTCCTCAATAAGTTTGATTTGTTTCGCAAAAAGTTGGAGTACGTTCCGTTTATTGATCATTTCCCTCAATACGCTGGCAAAAACTCTGTGAAAAGCGTCACCAAATTTATTCTTTGGATGTTTGTAAACCCCAGCGTCAACCGACAAAAGCATAATATTTACCCTCACATAACAACTGCCGTCGATACTTCCAATATTAAGGTTGTATTCGCTGCCGTGAAAGAAACCATTTTACAGCATAGCTTAAAGGAAGCTGGAATGTTTTAATCTCTTTTTGTTACATATTCGTGCACAGTCTTTCTACATCTTCCTTGTCACGCTAGATTATGTTTTTCTTTTTATGTTTTTCTTAATTTTTTTTTTTGTTTCTTTTTCTATTTAAGGCGTTCGATTGATTCCTTCGCAAGTTTTTGGTTGTATTTATTCATCACATAAATGACCTTGATTTGAGAATCTACATGGTGAGTTTCTTGAGATTGATGATTCGGTGGATTTGTTATGTTGTATTGAACGCCCATACTATTTGAACAAAATTACATTTGCTAAAACTTTTTATGTTTCCCAATCTCTTTCCAAATGGATTGTTGTTTCTTCAGCTTATTTGCTTACTTTTGTGTCTTATTTTTTTTTTTTTTTTTATTTTTTTAGCTTTCTTTCCCAAATTTCTATGGACCCTATAATAATGAAGCAGAAGAGACAAAAGGATGAAGACTACTTATTGGGAATGAGTGTTTTCATCCGCTAATTTTTCTTTTCTCTAAAAAGGTTAATTGCTTTTGCTAATAATGCCTATTAATGTCACATAATTCCTCGTAATAGCAATTGGAGCCTCAAAAATATGATATAAAAAGAAATGCCTTTACATTCTTTTTTGCGCAAGGCATTATCCTCGTATCAAAATATGATTACGCCCGAGTGTTCTCTGTATTTTTTAGTCTACTCTAATAAAAAAAAACTCAGCTACTGATACTATAAAATCTAGCACATTTTCTATTTCGCTGTTATGAAAGAAATACATTTATTTTGCTTATGATAGATAGACTGTATACTGTGTTTATTGAAAGGTTAAAATCAAACTGTCCTGTAAAACAGATTGAGACTCCATAAATAGTAAAAGGTCAAGTTATTAGTAACCGATTCATTGTCAAGCATATTTATTAAAGAACCATACAGAAAAAAAGAACTTTGTTTACATCGGCCTATTGATATTTTCCATGGTAAAATGACATGAAATTCTTGAACATTGATCTTACCACAATCTTTATCCTTCGAGGCAGCAACAACTAAATAAAGAAAACAAATTGTGTATTTTATATAATAAATTGCCCTACAAAGAACAAATATCCTTTAGTTTGCTGAAACATCACCAATGAAAATCATTGCACTTCCTTTGCCCAAGCAAAGGGTCTTTTTTCATTGTTATCCATCAGAAATACTTTTGAAAAAGGTTACGATTCATGACAGAGTTGTAAATCGTATTTACAATACTTGGGACGCTTGGAGCAAATCTAAAAGCTTCATTAAGCAAAAGACAGTTTCTATTGGAAATCGTGTTCTACATCAAACTCCACACGAAGAAAGCTTCTTAAAGTCGTTTTCTTCAGCTAAGAAACTCGACGATGGTGAATTCCATTCTACAACTATGATTGAGCGACCCAGTTCTTTAGAACCTAATAGGATATTCCAAGAATTAATCCAACTCCAAGGGATGAGACGGTTGCACAGGAATAATCTCATTCTTAATATTATTGGACTTCCTCTAACTATTCCGTTTATCTTAATTCCCATAATTCCAAATGTCCCAGGATTCTACCTATGCTACCGGGCATATTGCAATTACAGAGCCATGCTCGGCACTTTACAAATTAATCGTTTACTCGGAAAAAAAGAAATTAACATTAATAGTAACGAAAAGCTCGAATCTGCATATCGTTCCTTTTTAGATGGTGATAACCATAAACTCAATGAGTTTGTAGGGCACCAAGAATTTAGTGATCGATATCAGAGAGCTATAAAACAGGTAACTAAGTCTCCTAATAATCAATAGGCTTCCTTTACTGAGCTCTCAAGATGAAACGTTTATGACTTAACAAAGACCGAAAATGACTTAATTCGAATGCAATGCCTTTGGTATCTTTCCTTCCACCGTCAAGGTTATGACACGTCGATGAGTAAAGGATAGTCTCAGGATTGAAAAAAATATCATGAACATCGAAGAATTGCTTCATTCGCCATTACCTTTATTGCTTCACGGAGTTGGCTGAAGATTTTCAGACCTTGTTCATTATTAACGTAGCGTGTCTTATGATATTGTTCAATTTAAGAAACTGCTCTTCATTTCCAATTTAACTGCTAATCTTTCTTTTTCCTGTAGTTAGGTTGATCCACTAGCTTGCATACTTGTTCTTTCGTTTGATTATAACTCCGTACTTTCTTTTTTTTTTATTACTTAGAGCTGTCTTTAATATGAGCGCTGAACCGTCGAAGCTACCTAAAGAACCTGAAACTGTTTATATTAGTCCCTTATGGTCATTTAATCCCGATCATCCTCCTTCAAATTCTGGGTCATCATCTTTCAACATCTCTGAACGCACGTCTTCCTCTTCAAATATTTCCCCTCTTCCCAATATAAACAGCTTTCTTCACTCTGGCGAGACTCCTATAACTAATGAAGCTCTTTCACACTCTCTCCTTCATCAACAAGAATTAAGTAGGTATCCAGCTTTTTCCGCCAATCCAAAAAATGGCTCTACTTCCTCTGCGAGTAGCAGAGAAGGATTAAAAGGTTCAGAATACACTCAAAGTATCATTAATCCGTCCTTATTCAGCCACTTAGACTTTAATTGGATTTACCGTTTTAAAGAGGAGGATGACGATATTCATAATCCAAAGTCATCAGTTATCAGCTTCAGTAAGGAGAAGAAATATTTGGGTTGGTCTCGCTTTGCCGATATATTATCACTTGTTCTTTTAGCTCTGGGTATTTTCCTGCTTTTCATAGTGTTCCCAGCTTTGACATATACTGGAAACATTTCTCCTAAAAAGGATTATGATCCTGTTATGGCTGACCAAATTACTGATCACCTATTCAGTCATTTACGTTTTCCTCGAACTAACCTAGTTGATCCTGACACACCAGAATCGGCTCATACCAGACTTGATGTGAATGGGAAAATCCATCAACTTGTATTTTCAGATGAGTTTAATAAGCCTGGTAGGACCTTTTATGCTGGAGATGACCAATTCTGGGAGGCTGCTGATTTGCATTATGCAGCGACGAATGACCTCGAATGGTATGATCCAGATGCAATAACTACAGTCAATGGTACATTGGCTATTCGGTTGGATGCTTTTGGAAATCATAATTTGAATTTTCGATCCGGTATGTTGCAGTCGTGGAATAAACTTTGTTGGAAAGGAGGAATTATAGAGATCTCTGCATCTCTTGCAGGCTCTGGTGAGCATGCTGGTTTATGGCCTGGTTTATGGACAATTGGCAACCTTGCTCGTCCTGGTTATATGGCCACAACAGATGGAGTATGGCCTTATTCTTATTCCCAGTGTGACGCGGGAATAACACCAAATCAGTCATCATGGGATGGTATATCGTATTTACCCGGACAGAGATTGGCTAGCTGCACATGTGCTGGGGAAGACCATCCTAGCCCTGGCGTTGGTCGTGGCGCACCAGAAATTGATGCGCTTGAAGGTTCCACTGAAAAGCTTCATCCGGAGGATGAGCTTGACGTTGGCTCCGCTTCCCAGTCTAGTCAATTTGCTCCTTTCGATATGTATTACTATCCAAATTATGATTTTTTGGTAATCCATAATCACAGCATAACCCACATGAATTCTTATGTGGGTGGGCCGTTCCAAGAAGCAGTATCTGGAATAACTATTTTAAATAATAGTTGGTACGAAGGAAAGGCCTTCCAGACTTATGGTTTTGACTATAAACCAGGTGAAGCTGACGGGTATGTGTCATGGTTTGTAGGTTCAAATAACACCTGGTCAATGCTTGGACAAGCTGTTGGTCCCAACGGTAACGTTGGGGCTCGACAAATAAGCCAAGAACCCATGTCGATTGTTTTTAACCTTGGTATATCAAACAACTGGGCTTATTACTATTTCCGAGACCTGCAATTTCCTGCTATCATGTCCATTGATTACATTCGTATTTATCAGGATCCTGATAATGACAATATGCACATTGGATGTGATCCCCCGGGTTATCCTACAACTGAGTATATCGCTAATCATCCTATTGCTTATAAAAACCCAAACAAAACGAGTTGGGAAATGACTGGATATGAATGGCCAAAGAATAGTCTAATGCATGATTGTAATATATAATGCTTAATTGAATAACTTATTGAATGACTTATGATTTCTAAATATTTTTTCATGGTAAAACCAATCAACAAAGTGCCCGGCATAATTAAAATTTTGATTTATTAAAAGCTTAATTAAATAAGATATTTATATAACTACAAAGAAATGGCATGGTACTTTTCGAAATTTTCAGCACTTAAAGGAGAGATATTTCCGGTGTCTGGCAATTCGAAGGTAAGCGGCACTTCTGCATGTTCAGTATTCATCATATCGTCTAAGATTCTTAACCCCTCCTCTCCAGCAATATTACGGGCATCTCTTAATTTAGAATCAAATTCTAGTAGCATTTTCTTGGTTGAAAGCCGTTCAAGGATCAGCTTTTTAGCACGAACATCTATTTCAGAAAGTTCCAAAGAGCTGAACTTTTCCAGCTCTTCTAAAACCTTCATTTTAATTTCAACTTTTTCAAGCTGAGATTGAATTAGGAGGAAGACTAGACGACGTAAGTGTCTGCGCTCGCAAGAAGCTATGATCCTTGATTTTTCACCCGCAGCATTTAATGCAGCTCGGGCAGCTGTTTCTAAAGCATTTGAAGAGGGTAGATCGCTTTCTTCATTTTTCGTTTCGGAAGCTTCGGAACACTTCTCGGTTGAAATATCTGTGGATTGATTTTGTTTGCTTTGTTGTTGTACGATAGACGCTAAGAAGGTTAAAGTACTCAAGACGGGATTTTCGGTTTCTTTAAATGGTAAGAATCCATGTTTAAAGGGACCATAATCTGGCTGCTGAACCTCCTTATAAGGATCCTCAATCGGTAACCGTAAGAAATGAACAAGACATTGCTCCTTTGTACGAGTACCGACATGAAGAGCAATTTGGTTCCAATCATCATCGTATTCTTCAATTCCCTCTAGTAACAACAGCGTTTCCTGCTCGGTCCATGGTGCGTCTCGATCATGGGCGAAAGTGACACCTTCCATAAACAAAAAGTCAGAGGAGGTATAAGTGTTTGCGAAACGGCCCTGATGATAACAATGAGGGCAGATAGTGTACTCTTTATTTTTCAGATTATGGTACCATGCTTGCGAGCAATCAACACCGCAAGAGTAGCAAGTCTTGTGGAGAAGCAGAGCGGATTGTGGATCGTTCTCCAGTGAAGCATCTTTTACTTCCAGTTTCCCCTCTCTTGCATCGTAGACGCGTTCTTCTACTTTTAGAAAATCAGGCGTAGGTTTCTCGTTTTCGCTTTTTTTGGGTGCATGTTGAGAGAGTATTTCCTGTGTTAGAATTGGCGTGTTGTTGATCGCTTGCACATGACCAGAGACGGGAGGGAGTCGAAAGGGAGGTCTTGTTTCTGGATCGACTTGGTAATTGATGAGACCCCATTGCTCTAAAAATGCATGAACGCGAATAATGGCACACACGTCACCAACTAGATTTCGCCGACAAGCAGTGACAGTCAAATACTCAGTGGGCTCCAAACGGTAAGTGTTAATCATAAAATCTCTATATTCTTTATACACACTTGGGTTCTTTAAGGGTGATTTCCCGTTAAAAAACTCGGGATTGGATTTTCGTTCAATATCGTGAATTTTAGACATGTCAAACCACCCTGCATAGGAAGGAACAATGATGGGATGCATTTGCTCCACCACAAACGGAGCTGGAACGGTTGCAGAAGACATTTTGACGCGTATTGCCTTCTACAATTTAACGATATCAGTGTAAACACACAGTTTTTTCTTTATGAGGATTCCTATCCAAAAAATTACAAAAATAAAATAAATAAAGACATGGAGTTGCCTAGTGTCAATGCCTCAATGAGCTGAAAAACTGCTTTTTCTCTTGCTATGCCGAAAGTACGTGGTTAAGTTTTGGTGGTTTGTTTTGCTGTGCTCTCGAATAGCGAGTTCGGTATGCTATACTACATGGTATACCGAAGCATAATACAACACTAACGAAAACAGAAGTAAACAAACAAAGAACTAAAGAAAAGAATAGAAACCCGCATCAAGGAGCCTCTTGTTTTTAAAGAAACAATCGCAGGAAGAAGCAAGACATGATTTGATTTGAGACAAAATTTACTTCGCTTTCAAGTTGCGAGATGAAGGCGTTTATGTTTGTTTACAAAAGAACGCTGTACGTCGAACTCTGCAGCACTTGAGAGTATCATTATTAAGGAATTTAAACATCATGGCAAGGCAAATAAAATACAAAGATAAAAAATCAATTAAAACAGTTTCCACTAGCAAAGTGGAAAAAAAATCAAGGGGCCAACCGGATTTGAACCAGTGACCTGGGGAGCTGCAATCCCTCACTCTACCACTGAGCTATGACCCCAAGATGCATAAGTATAGGTTTTATGGATTATACAAACCTGTTAAGCTTTAGTTTTTTATTTCTTTTCGGTTTTGGTACAAATTTTTTTCTTTTTCTTTTTTTTTTGGTTCATTCATTCGTTAGCTCGTTTACATATAGTCAGTGGAAATTTTTTCCGTGGTTGGTCCATGTTGCAGCTTTGCTCTTCCTTTCACCTCTTGATTATCAAATCCATCCGAGTCGAGAATTAGAAACAGTATTTCAATCATATAGCGCATCTAGGAGACCCAAGCGAGAAATTCTTCTCGAATGTTGCTGGGCTTGATTTACCTCTTAGTAGAATAGAAAGAGCAAAAAAACCTTGATAGGATTATTATTGTTCCTTAAAATTTACTAGTATTAGTAATGAGAGAAAATTTCAATTCAGCGGTTAAATAACCCTCAGAGAACACAACACTAGCAAACAAAAGTATCGGAGATTCCTCTTCTGTGGACTCGGTAAGTGAATAATCTCATTGCAATTGCACATTGGAATTTCCTATCTGAAATTGGAAATCCTTTGAAACTTGTTCGCGGTATCGTTATTATCAGATCAGAGCCTTCGGTTCGTTCTTCCCGATCCCAACCATACCATATACCAATTTCCCTAGAACGTAAAAGTTGCTTCAACCGCAAAACTTTTTTTTGGATAATTTTTTAGGGATTCACATCTGTATTTGGCTTCAACAGTCTCGTTCTCACCTACAAATTTTATTGTAGTAAAAAATTTTTTAATTGACCCAGAAAAAGAGGGATATAATTTGTCGACTTTATTGATTTCTAGAAATGAACGGATCTATCACTTCAACAAGTATGACTCCTCCCAAGGCTTCTACCAGTGGATACAGTGAAAGGAAGTATCGTCCTTGGAATGATTTCCGCAGTGATACTTTAACAGTTCCCTCGGATGAAATGCGCCAAGTCATGTACGAAGCCACCGACGGTGACTGCGTATATGAAGAAGATGATGATACTAAAAAATTGGAAGAATTTGTAGCTAAAATGAGTGGAAAAGAAGCTGGTCTGTTTGTCACTTCTGGTACTCAAGGAAACCAACTGTGTATCCGCACGCACCTGCATCAGCCTCCTCACAGCATCGTTTGTGATGATCGTGCTCATATTTATAATTGGGAAGCAGGAGCTATTGGACTTTTTACTCAATCTATTGTTCGTCCTATCGCTCCTAAAAATGGAAAGTACATCACCGCGGAGGAAGTCGAAAGCAAATTGATTGTCGGAGACGATATCCATTTTGCTCCTACTGGCTTAATTTGCTTGGAAAATACAATCAAAGGTGTTGTAATCCCTATCGAAGAAGTTGCTCGTATTTCTGCCCTTGCCAAGTCCTACAACATCCCTCTCCACTGTGACGGTGCTCGTTTGTGGGACGCTTCCGCTGCTACTGGCGTTTCGATTGAAGAGTATAGTTCTCATTTTGATACCATCAGTCTTTGCTTGAGCAAAGGTCTCGGTGCTCCCGTTGGCAGTGTAATTGTTGGACCTAAGGCTTTCATCAACAAGGCCAATTGGTTCCGCAAAGCTTACGGTGGTGGTATGCGTCAATCTGGTATGTTGGCTGCTGCTGGTTTGTATTCTATTGAACGCAATTTCCCCTTACTCACTCGTGTTCATCAATACTGTCAAGATTTCGCCAAGTATGCTGAATCATTGGGTGTTGAGTTTGAAGTTGCTCCTGAAACCAACATTGCTATCCTTTCCAACGTAAACGTAGCTATCCTTGTTGACGAAGCCAAGAAGGCTGGTATCGTTTTGATGGGACCCCGTGTGGTTTTCCATATTCAAATCACGGCTGAAGCTGTTGAAATCTTAAAACAGGTCTTGATCCGAACTGTTGAGCGTCAAAAACTGGAGCCTAATGTCGTTGCCAAACCCGGCGAATTCAAGGTCGGATATTAAAATATTGGGTATACAGTTGCTTCTCTTTTATTTTCTTTCATTCATAAAAAGGTCCTTGGATTATTTTTTGTTTAGTCTTTTTTTGTCTTGTGTAACTCTGCTAAATTATTATGATGCTGATAACTACACAATTGGTCCTCGTCCTCATAGTTTATGAATTCTTCTTTTATGTTTTGCATAGTTTCAACAAAAATCCAAGATGGATCAGGTTGTTTGCTTATTTAAATTATTACTATTTTTGTTTTAAATTACCACTGATCCTCATAATTTTCAGGGTTTGGTTGTTTTTTGATACTAATAAGAATTCTTGTATATCCATCACTCATTTTGTCATCGATGTCCGTTAAGAATAAAAGTTAAGTTTGAAAAAGAACAAATTGTAAGAGAAACCAAGCAACAATCAAAAATATGTGAAAAGGTGATTCTGTATGACTGCCACCCTTATTACAATGCATGTATTCACCGCATTATCTCCAAGAGTAGCTTAGACCTACACGGGACTCATTGGGCATGCCATCTATATTGACACGGCTAAATGACTTTAAAGATGGAATATCAAGTATAAAATTTTCCCCTGTAGAGAAGGATCACTTGCTTATAGGCTCCTGGGACAATGGCCTAAAATTAGTAAAGGCGACAGAAGAACAGCATTGCTTACAGAGTTATCCTGTCTCTAATCCAGTCCTGACCGTTGGATATTTGAATGCGACAACAGCTTTTGCTGGAAGTCTTGAGGGACTTGTGCATTTAGTAGACATTCCATCTGGAACTCATTTAGTCATTGGCAAGCATGGAAAGGGTGTCTCTTGTACGGCTAATATTCAAGAATCTGGTATGAAAATGTCCTGTAGATTTTCTGTGCTAGTCCTGCTAATCATGTATTGAAAATAGATTGCTTCGTGACAGGCTCTTGGGACCAATCTTTTCAGTTATGGGATGCTCGACAAAAGAATGCCATAGATAAAAGGTTTATTGAAAAAAAGATCCTAGCTGCTAGTTCAGCTTTTAATATTCTGGTCTTTGGATGCACAGAGAGAGAGAATTTGGTTTATGATATTCGTAATCTAAAGATGCCTTTTCAAAGAAAACCATCAACCTTTAAGTACATGACTAGAGATGTTTGCTGTCTCCCAGGTGCAGAAGGGTTTGTGTCCTCAAGTATTGAAGGAAGGACGTCTGTAGAGTATCTCAATCCAAGTCCTGAGTGGCAGATCAAGAACTTTACATTTAAATGCCACCGTCAAATTCAGCAGCAGCATGACATTGTATATCCTGTGAACTCTCTTGCTTTTCATCCTATCCACCAAACTCTTGCTACGGCTGGCGGCGATGGATCTGTGGCTTTTTGGGACATTCAAGTGCGTAAGCGACTCCGAGTTCTTTATCCCTCTAAAACAAACGTTTCTAGTGTTGCCTTTAATTTTGATGCATCTTTACTTTCTGTTGCTACTTGTGCTCAAGATGAAGCTAACGGGAATGTTTACATATATGCTTTGGAAAGTGACTTTGCTTCACCCAAGAAAAGTACTTGATCATCGTGTGAACGTTGAACTATCAGTTAATGTGAAGTTGTAAAAGTTTCGCCTCGTCTCACTCAGTTTGGATTATATATATTTCATTCGATGTACATCTACCTACTCAAACCTACTGTTCCTAAAAGGTTTACTTGAAGAGCTCTCATGTTTGGTTCCGTCAAAATAACGCTCTTTAAATGTTAAGCAGAAAGTAAATTTGAGAGAGCTGGATTTTTCACGGAAATGCAACTATATATAAAGTTCTTTACAATGTTCATAAAGCTATTACTATGCTGGTTCATTCAAAACTAGCTACTGTTTATCACTACCCTCCGCACTGTGTTTCCTTCAGGTGTGACTGAGTCCAAGAAATGGTTTTTTGTGAATGGAAACCATACAATTGTTTTCTAGCTTGATTGTATGAATTACTGTAACAGTGGACCAGTTTCTTAAGGCCCACTAATTATAATGTTCATGGGCCAGTAGTGTATCAGCGCTTTCTAATACTTCGTCTATATTATCTATATTTATCTTGTTTTCCTTTTTTCTCATTCATTTCAATCATGCTCAACTATTTCCAAAGAAAGCTAATACTAGAATATTAAAAAACATACTCCTTAGTACTATAATTACTGACACATTACTACTCGTTTGTCTTATATTGTCTTAAAAGCATTAACGAACCTCTAAAAATACGATTTACCTTCGTATTTTCCAGACTTTATTTACGGCCTGGTTTTTACCATCTAACTTATTCCTTTAGCGCCTCATAAAGAAAAATGCAATTCGTTGGCCGCTTAAAACACAAGGCGTATCGAGACTTCCTTTGCAGAAACCTTTTTGCGAAACATGAAGTTGAGCGTCAAAGCAATCTTTATATCTACAGAAATCCTGAGTTGCCTCTACGAGTTCGATTAGAAGCCAAGAAGAGAATTGAAGGTCTTCCAGAAAACTCACATCCTACCAAAATCAAGAATCGTTGCATCGCTACTGGCAGAGGTCGTGGTGTTTTTCGTGCATTCCAGCTTGCAAGAGTATGTCGAAAGTGAATAAATGATATTTGTTCTTTAATGTACTAACGTGAATTTTTTAGTTTGCCTTCCGCTTAAAAGCTAGAGCAAATGAATTACCTGGTGTACGGTATGTCTCTTGTTTGAATTTTGCAACCGCTTATTATTATTTTTTAACATCTTGCAGAAAAGCTTCTTGGTAGTTTATCCTATCTTTTCCGACGGTTTAGAAACATGATGCTTCCCATCTCTTTTCCATCTAGCTCATTAACGTCTATGCCTATTAATAATTTTTCAAATAAAACTTCCGCTTTATATATTTTGGGTATACATAAGATTATTCAGAACGCCAAAGATTCTGCTCAGCAGAAATGACCGATTTATCTACAATGCTCTCAGTAGAAAGAATACTGCTTTCTGTGTTTGCATTCCCTGTAGTAGAATACTCCTCAGTTTTATCTGTTTCTGTTTCTTCTTTCTTTGGTGACTCTTCACTTTCATTTTCATAATCATCATCACTACCATCATTATCGTCGCCGTTCTCTTCCTCTTCAGATTCTTCTGTGACTTCCTCCGAAGTTGATTCCTCTTCCTCATACTCTTCAGAATCACTACTTTCATCGCTTTTGTAGAATTCTTCTAAGGATTGCTGACCAACGAATCTTGGTTTGACAGCAGACGTCAAATAAGGGTTTGCTTCTGTAAATGTCTCAGAAGAAAGAGATTTAACATTGTCTGTATTTTGAAATGAAAATGGCCCAGCGCTACTTATTGTGTTAATGTTCATCTCAGTGTCACGGACATCATCCTGTGGTAGAATAGATACATCAGCCCATTCTGGAATCGGCACGTAACCCTGTACATAATCTTCTAAACAAAGACTAGTGGTTCCCAAACAATAGCTTTGACTAGTTTCTTTAGTCGAGTCAACCAATTGCTTGCTTGACAAAAGAATTCTACGAGTAAAGTCTGTTAAAGGTGCACTTGTAAGAGACTTGTAGTATCGAGCACGATCTCGGAGATCATAGCTCATGTCAAAATGAATGATAGACAAAACGTATTTGTATAGCAAAAAGGCAGGATTTGAATCTTCATTTTCTTGCTCTGACGACAAGGTTGCAACGTAAAGCTTGACTGCTAAATCCAGAATCTGATATTTTACTTCCAAGTTTTCATTCGCAAATGTTTTAACAGCAATACGAAGTAAATCGGGAGCGACATGAATCGTTTCCTGTAGATGTTCGGAAATTAGCCATAAGGTTACAGCCTTTGCTAAAGGCACGTGAAATTTTTCATAAATCGAGGCCAAGTACTGTAGATACGTTTCCTGAGGATCGTTGTGAATTAGGATTCGTAGCGAAGAGGCCGCTTCAGTAACAATCAGATCGTTTTCGGATTTCAGCATTCGCAATAGAGAATTTAAACACAATGGAGTCATAGAACGAGCATTTTTTGCGAAGTGACCTATAGTTCGAACAGCAGTAGATGCTACCTTTGAAATGGGATGTTTAAATACGTAGTGAAAAAGTTCAGGAAGGACACGATTCGCATTCTCTGGATCCAATAAATGTGAAATGACTTGTAGTTTCAAAACAGAAGTTTTCTCATCATCAGATCCAAATAAAAAGAAAGAATTGAGATAACCCTTAAAAAGTTCCTATTCATTAGTTAGTCTTCATGTTGACGGATTATCAACAACGTACCGGCTTTGAAAAAGTAATATGTCTAATGTACAATAGCGTAGTGAATCGAATGGTTAATTTTTCAGAGAGAAGCTGGAGCAAAGGTTTGACAATTGTATGCAGTTCGTTCGTTGGAGCCAAATAATAATATGCACGACAACCAGCCAAAACTGTGCTAGGTAACAACGAATAAAAGCAATAATCAACAGATTCCAATAAAAGTTTTAAGTCCTTGTGAATTGTACTTGATGATTCAGGTTTCGGTAAATTTAGCCTAGCATAACGAATCATGGTTTTTAATGTCACAGTTTTATCCCAGTCACTAAACTGACTAAAGAGAATGCAGATTCTCCGAAACGCAGGATGAAATATCGCGAAGTTGTCAGGGCATACCTCTTCAAACGCCGCTAACGCAACTGGAACAACGAGAGGATGGCTGTCTAATAACAAGAGACGAATACATTCAACTAGTTGGTCATAATAGGAAGGATCAAGAGAGTAACATTTTAAAATGGCAAGCGCGGCTCCTTGACGAACTAAAGGAGAAGAGTCATTCATACATTGCTGGATTCCTAAAAGAACGATTCCATTAATGGCAGGCACTCGGATGCTACTCATAACGCGGATAGCTGTGGCACGTACCAGAGGATTCTTATCATAAAGTGTTTTTTGGATTGTATTTACACAAAGCAAAGCCAGATCAGGATTAAATTCTGCATAGTGTGTAAGGTATATATGCACAAGTCTTCGTATCTCTGGGTTCTCAGAAACGACTAACTTGACAACATCAGGAAAATACACCGAAACATCTTCTCCATGCATCATTTGGACAATAATAAAGTGCAAAGCTTCGGATTTTCCTGTCTCTGAGTTTGATTCCAGTAATCGTACCAAATCCACGTGAGAAAGTTCATGATCTTCAAAATTTATATTGGAATTTTTAGCAATTTGTTTGGCATTTTCTGCAATCCCAGATAGGGTAGAGAAAAAAGAGAGACTTGCCATTCTGAGAAATTCGTTCACTCAATGAAGAAACTATGTAGAAATCGTTATGATAGATCTCTCAGTAGTAATTTACCTGCTATATACAATCGATTGTTCTTCTTATGATAAAACAAATAAATTTTCATGAATAATTGAAGGCTTTTTGCAATCTATTCATTTCCTAGCTTATTAGTTGAAGTAAGATTCTTCGACAAGTAAAAAAAAAGGTAGTACACCAATTGTAAACACTAAGTCTTTTGAAACATTTACTATTTCATCTTATTTTATGGCAATTAAGATGCTCTGCATGTATTTGTTTTTCGTTTTTCATCCACAAAACCTGCAGACCTGACATGCAGGTGGAAAGGACCGTTTGAGATATTAATAACTTACACTTATATTGTTTAATTTCAATAAAACTAATAAAAAAAGCCGTTGAATCAACGATCTAGAAACTTTCGACTTCGGCTTCTATTTGCACACGACGATTCCTTTTCGTAAGGAAAACGAATAGCTCTCGATTTCGAGAATATTTCAACGCATTTAATTTGTTTTGATGATATTTCTCATTAAAATCAACTAAATGTAGAAAAAAAGGGACTCGCCTACATTTAGAGCGATTTCTGTTGTACTGGATTTTTTTTTTTTTTGTTGTTGTTGAAAAGGTCGCTTTGTGCGCTAATATAGTAGACAATTCTATTTGGATTGTAATAGTGTTATATTTATTGGGGATTCACGTTTCTACGTTTTCTAGGAAACTATGAATTTGGAACTAGTTGACCCTTTCTCTATTCCTGATTATCCGGAAACACTCACAGGAAGCCTACGTTACGGGCATGCTACGAGTATTAGATTTAACAAAATTGGAAACGTTTTAGCCGCAGGACTCGTAAATGGACTGGTCGTGATCTGGGATGTATCAACGTCTTCAGTAGCTCGAATTCTCACAGGTCATACCAGAGCAGTACAGTCAGTTTGTTGGTCAAATTGTGGAAGATTTGTACTATCCGCGGCTCGAGATTGGAAGTGCATACTTTGGGATTTGCATGATGGGTCTATCAGGTATGTACTGAGAATGCCCGCGCCAGTCTGGACAGCTGAATTACATCCCACAAATTTAAATATGTTTGTTGCTTCTATTTTGGAAGGTTCTCCTTTTCTTGTTGAGATAAAAGATGGCATACCTCAATTCACTCCACTTCCTACAAATCCTGAAGGACCTGAGTTTGTGACAGACAGAAGAGGAAATTCTAAACACGTAACTCTGATTTGTTTGTTTCATCCATCCGGAAATTATATTTTTTCTGGGACGTCAAAGGGTTGGCTACATGTCATTGAAATTAACCCTGTTCGTATAAAAAGCTCTAATCGAATAACGTCTCAAAATATCAAGCAATTGCGATTGAGCTTTTGCAAAAGGTACCTCATTATGAACTCAACAGATCGTGTAATACGTACAATAAACATACAAGATTTGGAAAGTCCTGAAGTGGAGCATAAGTTCCAAGATGTGGTAAATCGTTTACAGTGGAACTCTTGCGCGTTCAGTCCTACCGGTGAATATGTATTAGCAACTACGTATCAAATGGCTCATGCCATTTATGTATGGGAACGAGGTATGGGTTCGCTTGTCAAAATTCTGGAAGGCCCAAAAGAAGAGCTTGTGGATGTGGATTGGCATCCAGTGTTTCCCTGTATAATAGCAGTCGGTCTGGACACAGGAACCATTCATATGTGGTCGGTTGAGCAGAAAGAAAGCTGGAGTGCATTTGCTCCGGATTTTCAGGAACTTGAAGAAAATATAGAGTATGATGAACCGGAAGATGAGTTTGACATCCACGACGAAAAAAACGAAAATAAAGAAGAAGTGGATATGGCAGTACCTGTCAAATTGCTAAATAATACTCCATCTACAAACCTGCCCTTCACTATTCCGCTGAATTTGAATTCTTTTGCTGAAGTATAGTTTTTGAGAATAACAATTTGTATTATTAAGGAAGAAAAATAAAACGTCAAACTAAATATCGAATAAATAATCAAAGAAAAAAACGATTAAAAAGAAAAATAAAACAAAACAAAACAAAATAAATGCAACGAATAAATAAACCTCATAAAAGAAATAATAACGATTGTGTGAACGAGCGCGACAGAAATAACCAAGAAAATAAAACATTAATCATCAAGCGTCATTCGAGAATTAGGGGAATACGCGGATCCTGCGTCTTGCTTTTTCTTTTTCTCCAAGTATATCACTAGATAATTGGTTAATAAATTTATAAAACAAAAAATTAATGAATCGTACAGTAGTTTCTCAAACCCTTATAAAAGTTACTGCAACAAGAGAATCCAACAATCATGGTAGAAAGCAACGAGACTAAAGTAAGTACAGAAAAAGCAGTAACAATTTCTCTACAAGAATCAGTGTACCTTTGTATTTCAGCAGGCAAATACATTCGGATTATCTTGAAGAGAATATAAGCAATATTCAAGAAGAACATAAACTCAGAAAAGTAAATGGCGATTCGTGATTCATGGATAACACCGTATAGAGCTAACATTAATACAGCAATGGTAAGGGGAATAACAAGAACGGTTAGAATAAGCTCGCAAGTGTTGATTTCCGAAATAATCATGGTATATTGAATGGAGGTTCCAAGCACTATATCACAAGTTATTAGTTGATTGTTATGGCTTCGAAAACTACTCACAAAAATAAAAATCAAACTTAATGAGTGTTATAAAAACTCGATACATCATATAGCGTCGCCGCATACGAAAGTCGGGTCCAATCTTTTGGTATATAATCCATCCATTTTCTCGATTGATTTTATAGGCGAGATAACTCAAGATGATACCAGCAACGCAAATGATGGCAGGCAAAGAGCCGAAGAACGGTTTAACTTCTGAGGGAAGCTTTAAAATATAGTTTAGTTTCGAATAATGATGAACAAATGCGCTTATGTAAAATTTCATCGGATCTGCCTTTTCACTATTATTTTTGCAAAGAGCAAAACTGTAAATATGATAGATCTGACTAATTTGAATAATTGAAATTAGAAAAATGTCGATATGAAAGCAACACAAAGCCGCGACCTAAATCGGTTAGTTAACCGCCCATGAACCAGTTTCCATCAACCATCCGTTCATCAAGGAATATCACGATTCCTGACAATTGACAATCCCCCTCTTACCTGAACTGTGTTTTTTGTCTGTAGGGCTTCTAGTGTCATGTATAGTAAGAATACCGTAGAAAGCAGCAATAATGTAAGACTGACAGACAGTGAATTGGAGTATATGGATTTTAAATCAGGAAAATCATGAAAGTGACCGAAAACATAAGATTCAAAAGATATAATGACGGTGGCTTCAAATATGACAATTAAGAGAAAGAAAAATGATACTTGGGAAAGAGACTTGAAAAAAGTCCTTGGACTAGAGAAAAAGAAGGAGATCTTCATCACACATTCTTAGCAATGGGAATTGTTATATTTTAGCATATCAATGGTTGAGAGTTTTCTTGCAAGGTGATGACTTGGAAACGCCGAGTCCTATCCGAATAAATTTCGCACTTCGTCACTGAAAGAATTTTAAATTTTAAGTTCGTAAGGTTAGCGTTGACGAAATGACTACAATAATAAACAAACTTCTCCAAAAGAAAAATACAATAAAATAAAATTCGGTAAAATCAACCTAGAGTTTCATTCAATAAGCAGAAATGGATTGTTTCACTTACTTATAAGGATAGAAAAGTAAACGTTAAATTGTAGGAAAAAGGGAAGGAATCAAAAAAAGCTTGCGCACACTGTTTTCCAGCTTTTCGCATACCAATTTTTCTATTGATAGCTCCATTTATCCTATGCATACACTAAATAGTGGAAGGTATGGTTTCCATCAGTACGAACAATGTTTTATGTGCTGTATTCGTTCATACACACTTTGAATCATGATTGAAGTTACCACTTCCATTGAGAATAAGCCTTATGTAAGACCCTTATATTTATTTATTGATTGATTGTTTTTTTTTTCGTTTTAATTGGAACCGCATAACGCATTCTCATGTCCCTTGGTCTCTGTCAGTTGAGAATGTACTTGGAACTGTGCTTCGTCCTATTTTGGTTATAAACTTGTATTTTCAATCTTTACATATATACATGCATATCTTTAAAAGTATTTTGGAACCCTGGTCAAGAACAATGTCGCATCGTTTCTTTTGACCTATGCTTCTCCCATACCTAATACAACTTCTTTCAAATACGTATTTACGCAATAAACAAGTACGTTCAACAGCTTCAAATAAAATCGGACTTTCTCAGTAATTACCTATTCTTTCATGGAGTATTCAGAGGAAGGATGGTTTGACCAGGCTGATCGTTTTCCTCCAAGATTACTAGCTATTTTTTTTGCAATTTTTGATCCTCTTCAAGGACCCGTGGTCGCCTGTGAAGCTCCATCTGGTTCTGTCTCTTATCAAGATGGTGGAAAAAGCCTATTAATTCCTTTTGAAAATATATCTGACTATGTCATTCCCAAACGCGAACTTTGCAACAAGACTATTACTGTTTGTACAAACCATTACCAAGTGATTGGTCACCCTATTTCAATTCTAGGAAGTATATACGAAAGGAATACACTTATTTTTAACATGTGCATGGTCTTTCACGAAGAAGAGGACTCGGCATGCTATATACCGTTGGTGAAACGACTGGCACGTAACTTGGAGGTCCTTGAAAAGCAAAGCCATTATATCTCCGATGCAAAAAAACGTTCAGTCATATTCAGTATCATTGAGGAAATTTTCGAAGACATGAATAACTTTTGTGAATGTATGATTCAGTTGGATGATCAAAACTCTATCAATATCAAACTATTTCCTAGCTTTCCTTCACCTCCAGCTGTTAAGGGTTTTCATGTCCCTATTTTGACTGCTCAATTGGATTTACTTATGGATAAAAATTGGGATATGACTGTACAAAAAGTATATCCTTTTATTAATGGAATTAACTCAGTCCAAAGAATAGCAGAATTAGCAAATGTTGATTACAGCAGTTGTCTGAGATGCATGGAGCATTTTCTTTACTATGGATGTCTTATCATTGCTGACATTTTTCAATTTCATAACATATATGCCATGACTACGAATGCGGCGGACTTGTTGCAAGATCCTGTTTTCCAAGAGGAGTGCGTTTCTTATGTTTCTTTTCAAGGTTCATCTTCAAAAAACGTGACTTTTGCTACTATATTTAGGCTATACTGTTCCCTTAGACAAGGTCTTCGCGTTAAAGACTGGATGAACGAGAACCGTGAAGTTTTCCGTGGATTAGATGTTCGCAGGTTAATTTCTTTTGGCACCATTAAAGGGCTCATATACCGTGTTCATAAATATCCTTATCTTGAGCGTAAGAATACTCATAAAAAAATAACACTCGAAGAGGAAAGACTACTCAATATGCTTGACGGGACACATCACTTTGATGAATTGTGTATTAACTTCAAAAAGTCTCCTAAAGTCATAAACGAAATGATTTCAAAGCTAGGAGATGCTTTATTTATCTATCGTTAACATGTACTCGTCCATTATGAGCAAGATACTTTTAATTAACTATAGTATTTGAAGAACATAAAGATTTTGGCTCCCACCTGCCCTACCTTCCAAATTCACTTTTTTGTTCCCCACAGACAAAAAGCTCACTTGTACTACTTGCCATAAAAAGAGTAATGTGAGCAATCAGGTTCTTCTCTGGCTCTTGATATTGATGAATTCTGTATATGACATAAATTATATTTTATATATTCATTCTACACGTTTAAGCATTTGCTTGAAACTTTAAGCTTCTAGCAGATAGATGAAGTGTTTATATATTTTTTCTCAATAATTAATAAACTACTCGTAATACATAACTTCATAGAGACACTTGATAAACCATAAAATCTTTATATTCGTTACACTAACAGGGATGAATCATGAACGGAAGCAAAGGGAAGAAGCGACCATAAAATGACATATGGTAAAGTGTAATGCATCTAATAGGTTTGACTATGATTAGCTAAGCCTTGCAATTGTCTTCTAAAACGAAGAAGTGTAGGGATAATGTTTCCGTCCTCATTTGACTGTTGAGTATAATATTGCATAAATGTATTCAAAGCGGACAGAGCCTCGTTTGGGGACACATAAATACCACTTTCTTCCTCTTCATCTGTTTCCTGATCTCTTTCAGGTAAAAATTGCGAGGCTACCTGATTAACGACATCCTCTTTACTGTCGACGACCTCTTCCTCAGCTGGCATTACAAACTCCTCGATTGAGCACATTGGCGGAGGGCAGATCCTTGGTAAAATATTTTCTATTTCAGCAATGAGACTATAAGGAATGATTCGCTTAGGCTTGCCATTAGCTACAAAAATGCCTGAACGCTGGAAACAGGTGATAAGATCTTCCTTTGAAATATCCACATGCCAAGCTTCTATAATCCACTGAAGAGCTTTATAAACAGTAATTGTTCTAAGAGGATCTTTTTTTGCTTCCATTTCACTATACATGTATCTGGCCCACCGTAGACGATAGTGTGTTTTGAATGCCTCCATTATCCCACAATCAAATGGATGGGTAATATTACTAGATTCGGATGGTAAAAATGCTACTTTAACATGCTTCAAGCTGTGGTTAGCATTTCTGATAGCTTCTAAAGCACATTCATGAGGGGAAAGATTATCAAGAAAAAGTAAGACTTTGCGACCTTTCATTTTTTCATCAAACCAGCGTAGCCATTCTTCCATGAGAGAATTAGTGACCCAAGCTGTACCATTTGATCGCCATTGCACATTCATAGCCTCTGGATAAACGTTCGGATTTCGAAAAGCTTTCGGACGTTTTGAATAGCCAACAACCCAAAGCGGTAAACGCTCGGAAGCATCAGCATTGCAACATAAAGTTATTGTGAACCTAGCTCGGTAACGCTGGATGCCTAAGACGTTTTCGATAGAGATGAACTTTTGAGGAGTGAGCTTCCAAAAGAGACTACCCTCGTCCATAACAAAAATGTCACTCGGAGAATAATGCTTAGCCACTTCTTGGACTGAGATCTTGTTGGTATTAATTACATCAGCCATTAATGGATCAGGTTCCTTATAAAACTCTGACAATGGGTGCCTCCTCTTAAACTTCTCTAGCCAGCCATTACTGAATGAGGGAGTTGGAATATTTTGATACTCTGGAATTGTTTTCCAAATATCCAAAGCAGCCAACCGTAACTGATCGCAGCTAACGGTGCCAGACCGCTTTTCCTCTTGTTGCTGCCATTCGAACAGTGCTGACTCTAAAGCCGGATATTTTGGTGTACGATTACGCTTAAGGTCTCCTCGAATAAAGTCCTGGCTGTCTAAATATGCGTGCTTAGGAGATAGAATAGTTGACACTGTTGACTGAGCCAGAGTTCGGCCAAAATGTTCTTTGAACCAGTCAATAAGATCTTTCTGCGTCGGCTTCTCCGTAAGGCTAAAATAATAATCTCGAAATGCTTTTTTTTCGTCCTGCGTAAGACCCTGTCGCCGAATTGCCTTTAGTTCCCTCGACATGATTTTTAGTACGAACTCTGTGGTGATATTGTAGTAAAGGCCAAACATGCACCGACTTTCTACTATAGGAAATCGATAATAGGATATTATTTTAATGAATTTCTATAGATAATATTGAATCTGTCGTTCAAAACATAAGCCAGAGCTAAGAATAAAAGTTTTTTTTTTATTAAGAACAGCCATTTTTGATGATTCAAGAGTATATTGAATAGGAATGCTCAATCTCTGATAGAAAAGGGTGCAATGTGCAAGGAACGTTTCGTCTAGCTTTTTGAACCCTCAAAGTTCTCATTAAACATATTCATAATCGGTATATATTTGTTTCAAATCGTTTAGCAAGCGAATTCTTGAAAAGGTTTAATTTGTAGCGAAGTGCCCCCAAAGTTTTAAGAGATGAATATCCTTCTCATGTTCAAAAGAGCCTTTGCACAGAACAAATTTGATTACAGTTCGTTTCCTCGTCTGAAAAACATAGCTGAGCGCTTAAGTGTGTTCGGATATTTCAAAACATATTTATCTCAAAGCACGAAATATGAAGCATCTGTGAATTTGGGCATTCATTTTCTTTCTAAGAAAAAAAAAGAGAAATGTAAATATATACGAAATAATGCATATATATCTCTATGGTAACAGAAACTCTAGGAAACAACTGAGTAGTAGAACGGCGACCCTTGTAGGCATGTTTATTAACGTTCGGCTACAACCTCGCTTCTCTAACCTTGTTGTGCACGAACGACACGACCTTTAATAACGCTAAATTGTGATTGCTAGTCTTTCCTTGCCTTTTATGAAGTTTTTTTTATCTACAAACTACGCTAGATATATACTTATTTATACGTAATTATACCCTTTCTTTAAGTCTTTAAGAATATTTTGCGACGTACCATAAATTACTTCGTTAGGCTTCGTTCTACTTCTTAAGAGGGCCTTTCCGCATCTTTACGTTTCTTTTTTGTTACGTTAACCAAAGGATAGTGAAATTGTTTTACCTCTTTATATGGCTACTTATATATTCGCGTCGTGAAATTGATCAAGAAAAGACCTTATTCAATTCCAAAATGTCAAAACGTAAGAAAAAGTGCTTTACTTCATTCAATTAACATTTCTCTAGATCATTCCGATTTGATTTTATGTCGTCGGCAACCTGGAATTACAGTAGGAAAACGTAAGGAAGAAAGGCGCATTGATTTGCAGCATGAGTGCGCTTGCCCTCAAAAGGGCGTTTAATGTAAGACTCTAACTTTTAATTTTAGTTTGTGAACGTTGTGATGACAAGTGCCCAATATGCGACTCTCATGTTCGTCCAACCACACTAGTTCGAATTTGTGATGAATGTGCCTTTGGTAGTGCTCAAGATCGTTGTATTATATGTGGTGCTCCTGGTGTCTCTGATTGCTATTACTGTGCTGAATGCACGCGTATGGAATATGATCGTGATGGGTGTCCAAGGGTAATTAATCTTGGTACAAGTCGGACAGACTGGTTCTATGAACGGAAAAAGTATGTTTTCAGCGATATTTTCCATGCATTTTACTAACGTTAAATAGATACAAAATTGCAGGGAAAGAAATGCCGGGGCCGATGTACTGATATTTCATTTATATTTCGCTTCTTTCTACACTTTCACATTTTAGATTCCACTGCTTTGTAATTTACATGAGAAAAAAATTGGTTATAATATAAAAAAAAAGGTTTGGCTATATTTATTGATAATAATCTTTGATTAAATAGAATACTTAATTGAACCCGTAACTACATCAACAAAAGAATGTCGGTTTCTATATGTTTATAGTTTTTCTCATAAATTTACTCATTACTACTATCATAAAATAAAAGATTAAACAAAAAAAAAATAAAAAAACTAATGATTTCATGTTCCTCTTTCATGAGATGCTCCAGAGTTCCATCTTGATAAATCCGTCATTGGGTCGTAGAAACTCTCTTCTAAGTCGTGGTGAAGAGTTTCTTGTCTTGTTGGACTTGGATAAGGCGAAAAAACTTCATTTTCTTCAAAAGGTTGCCAGTAGTCAAAGCACGTAGTAACAGAACCTAGACTAGCTGTATCATCTAAATCATTTTGATGATTGCTAATTTGTAGCTTCAGAGCATTTAGTTTTTTAGGACTGTTCGTTTTCGAGCTTAACTTTAAATCTTCTGGTGTGCTTCTCTCATTAATTTTTCCACCTTCCTTATTTGAGTCCTCATTTCCATACTTATCATCCCATTCAAACTCCTTAGTATCAGACGGTGTTGGACTGCTGGAAACGATTGATACGAAAGAACCTTCTTCATCAGTAACGGTATCTTTTGCTCCTGTTTCCGTAATATGACAATCATGTTTTGACGAGCACTGGTTTTTCACAGACTTAATGTGATTAGGAGATTGATCGACTTGAAATTCAAATTCCAGAATCTTCAGCTGCGTTTCAATCTTTTTCATGTCCAAATATACTGATTGGATCTTCGATTCTAACTTTTTGTATGCTTGCAGGATGACTGCTCGTGTTTTTGGTTGCAATGGAGCGCAAACTGATAGATTTTTAACGTTTTTATGTAAAATCGAAAGCTCTTTCGATAATTGCTCATAATCCTTGTTAAGTTGATCAATGCGCGTCCCAATGGTGCGCTTACGAGCAATTTCCAAGTCTTGTTCTAGTTGAACTTCGACAGCTGCTAGTTCCTGTTCCATATCTTTCGGATAGCATGAGAAATCTCTTCGAGGAAGATACGAGTCAGAGTAAGGCATCTGTAAACCAGCTGTGCGAAGCGTCGCTATATAATTAATCCTTGAAATCCATTCCATCATGCACTCCATAGTAGGCGCACTTAGGGACTCTACACAACCATCTCGAAAAAGGACGTAAAATACATGAGGAGAATTATCAGTACATTCTCTATCGCAATAAGCAAAGGCATTAACAAGCGAATGAGTAGTCTCCGGTGACAATTGCTCGATCGGCGGAGAAAACACAAGAGCAGGCTCGTCAAAGGAATTAGAATCAGGGGAAAGATCTGTACGATGATTATAATCATTCATGGTTGAGGTTGTCGTATTGCTAGTTAATGTTATATTATTAAAGCTCTTTGTTTTTGATACTTCACGTTCGTAAGCTTCTTGCTGTGATACTAAATCGCGAGCCCAAGCTGAATTACGGAAGAAGAGCATTCTTGATGAAGTTAACAGTATGAGATGCTCTTTGAAAGAAGAATGGCCTGATACTCTCCGTTTTCTCTCAGATCGCGGTAATATCCCAAGCATACTGATATTGAAGTCAACCAACCCAGGATCTGAATTGTCTGGTAATCCTATAAAGTGATTCGAAAATGCCATTGGGTGAGACCTATGCGACACCAATTGCAGAATAGAAGATTTCGAAATTCTTTTCTGAATCCCTGCTAGGGACCTCGAATCCTCCATGCCTGGTGTTACATATTTATTATTAAACGAAATAGGGACATCATTTCGCAAAATGCTCAGTTGGCTTTCTAAAGTAAATGTATAGGGTGATAAACCCAACCGCTTACGAGAAGGAATGTAAAACTTCTCAGTTTTTTCCTTTTCGAGAAGGAAAAGTTCATCATCCAAATTAACAAATGGAGTGTAAGTAATATTATCGTAGTAGTATTCAAAAATTTCAGGCGTTAGATCATCAATTTGACAAATGTTAATAAACTCTTGTTTTGTCATTTTGTGTTTATTATTAACATTGAAGGCATCTGTGTGGAGCATTATTAACGAAAATACCAAAATATAGCATTGATCTTGAGAGCTAAACATTTCGGTATTACATTCATAATAACGTTTCGAAAAAGCCGTAATTACTCTATCAATCTGCTGTGTCTCTTTGGGCAGATGAGATTTAAGTAAGAATAGGCGCAAGCAGAAATCAAGAGGTCTACAAGAAAAATCCATTCCACACATACATAAATGAAGAGCTTCAGACAAAACTTTATTTTCTCTTTCGGCCAATACAGGTATCATGCAACTATACGGCACAGTTGCGCGGAGCTTGTTGAGATAACTCTCAGCGGTATCGGAGTCTTCCAATTTAGGTACGGAAGAAAGGAATTTATTAGGATTTGGTTTTAAATCAGAGAAAAGGTTGGAATGCTCAAGTACGTGCGCAAAACTCTCATATCCATCTCTCTTGAGACTCCGAAAGTTGAAAAGGCTAGATCGGTTTTCTCGAAGTTTTTCAATCGTCCGCTGAGAAGGTATAGTAGAACTTCTTGGTCTCGCCCTGGGATTTCTTTTTTGGGATTCGGGAGAACTCACAGGGCTTCTCCCTTCCGGGGGTGTTTTAGATAAGGATATTGAATGAACAGAAGAAGACGAATCATCCTGTACTCCCTTGGTATCAAAGTCAAGAGGACTTTTTGCGATATCACGTTCAAGACAGTTGGATGACAAAGAGCGTTCGGTAGTCGGTCGCCTGACAACTTTCGAGAGAACTGGGGGGTTTTCATGGTCAATTGTTTCCTTATTGGAAGATACGGAATCGTGAAAGGGAGGGGTCAGATATTCTGCATCGTTGACAGATATATCCTGACTTTTGTTAATCTTCGGTTCTTCCTGTTTTTGAATGAATGATAATTCACCAAGTGAATGGCTACTATGCTCAATTGGTTGATCATCATTCCAAGATCTCCTTGAAAACCTTGGAAGGCGAAAGAAACTACGCGACGAACGGGGACGAAAATATCCGTTCAAAGGAGACTTGGCAACTGGTGATATTGAAGCCACATCAGACGCACTTCTTGGAAAAGCAGGCTCTCTATTCTTAGAGGGGGATACATTTCCAGACTCCCGGTGATCCAAGGGGAGCTCTTGAGACAAACTCTCTTGGGTGTTTTCTGAGGATGAATCTTGGTTTAAGTAAAAGGAATGCTTAGCACGGGATTTCGGATGAAAAATTCCCTTTTTTTTTAAAAAAGAAGTTGAATTGGTATCTGGTGGAGAAGCGACAGGGGTTTCGGTTCTATTCTTCTTTGGCTTTCTCAGACGACCTGAACGATTCTTTTGCGAGTTTACACGATGATCTGAATCGGATGTTCGAATGGAGGAAGAGCGAGATAAACTCAAATTTTTTGTTTTACTTTCAGCTTTTTGTTCCTTATTCCTGACTGAAGAATCTAAAGAGTTTCTACCAAATGAAAATCGGACAGTCATCACGAGTATCGAGAGGACATAGAAGAATCAATGAGTGAATGACAACGGTAATTCAAAGAAAATAAAATGGGGAAAATAATGACAAAGCTCGGTCCAGATCAAACAGTTGCTTGTAAACAAAAATAATATACAATGAGAAAAAGAAACGGTTGGAGATAAAACAGCTAGTATACAAAAGAAAGGAACGACTTTAAATATAAAGACAAATAAACAAAATAAACACCAGATGGAGACAAAAGGTTGTAACGATCAGTAAGAAATTCTATAGACAAAAACGGTGAGCGATATAAAGAAAGGAAACTGGGAGAAGAAATATCGTTAGACTTTTAGCAAAGAATGTTACAGCTGAAAAAGGAAGGTCGTAAAGTGAGACTTTTTACAATGAAAAGGTTATCGTCGCCTGAAAACAAACAATATCGTGACAAAAAATAACGCCGACAAGGATAGTTCAACAGTGAATCCAGTAATCGCACGTGGTAATAAAAAAACAGCAATTCAATTAATAAATAATTCAAAGAGTGAACAGAGACCACAGATTTTCCATAGGGATTGTTAATCAAAAAAATAACTGGAATGATATGAATCAATAGAGTCTATGTCCTAAATTCATGTCCTCGGTTCTGTTTCTATAAATACAACTTTGAGATTTCTTAGAAACAGTACAAAAAGCGATCTTTAACAAACGCTATGAGAATGCAACTGATCAAGATCAATGGAAATATAATCCTTTCCCGAATTTTCGCAAAATCGTCTTCCCTTTAAAAAAGTGGCTCTATCTAGAAGCCAAGATTCGAGGAATGGTGGAATGAGTATTAAATGGATTGTTCCTTTTGATCGTTACCTGTTCTCGCTTGTACTGTTACTGAGCATCCCTAAAAAAATGCGGGGTGCTAAGAACATAACTCGATAATAGAATACCCATAGAAACGCAAACTCTATAAAAAGCGATGTTTCATGATTGTGGGCTGGTTTCCTCCATAGCGATATTGTTTTCCTATGAATCTCAATCATACGTAAATTCACTGATCTTTAAGGAAGATATAATGGTTGGTTATTTCTTGCTCCAAAGAATGTCATGCCTTGTTTGTCTCCAACGAATAGACCTGGACAGTGAACAAGACATTCCCAATACCTTTAAAAAAAAAGGTAATAGAAAAGGAAACAAGCACTGCTGCTTCTTTGGAAATTGTCAAAAACACAACAATGAAAAATCAAGTTTTTTCAATCATTCCAGAATAAACGATTGTAATTCGAATAAAATACCTAACTGTTTATACATTTGTTTAATATAGTTCACTTCATCAAGGATGGTATAAAAGAGTTTGAAGAAATTTTTTCTGCATCATTTCACCTAAATGGTAGCAGTAATAAGGAAAAAAGGGCATTTTTGAAGATCGATTGGTCTCACTCTCCTGTTTATTTACAACTTTTCAAGATAGTGTGGAGTTGCGCTGCTATTAGTAAAACAAAGACTTTAATGTTATTATGTGATGTTGGATTGTACATAATCAATCGTGAGAGAAATGAAGTTTGTGAATTGTGCTTCGCCACAGACCGTACAGCTCACTCGTCTCTGAAAACATTTCAATGAGCATATTCATGTATATTCTTTACTTGCTCAACGATTATGCTTGTAAAGGGTTCACTTATATTTTCCTAATTTGTGTCTCTATTGTTTACTAATGAAACCTACACTGCACGTCAGTAATGTAAATCCCTTACGTACTTAACGTCATGATTCAGTAAGATAACACACGAAACCTCAACAAACGCGTCTGCGTCTGTCTTACAAACGCATCATTAAGTAAAGCCAGAAAGTATATAGAGTCTAGTTACAGAAAACAAGAATATTTATGAATTCCGAGCATACTTGAAATACTGGATCTTTCAATAGCACCTCTTTTGAAAACCAAGAAATGCCTTAATCATGTCTACGGATTTTACATCTCAAACGAAGGATCATTTCATACCAGTGCTCTTAAACGAATGCAGTATTGACTCTCCATCATTTCGTGCTAGCATTTACTTCTTGGGCAACCAACTTCGAGCTTATAGCCAATGGTCTGAGGAGTTTTTGTGCTTGTGTCAAAAATATATACAGGCAATTGAATGTAAGTTTCCTGTCACGCATCTTTTCGTTACTTTATCAAGCATATTTACTCCTTCTGCTCTTTTAGTCAGCTTTGCGATGCTACCTGAAGAAAGTATTTGTGCTACTATCAAGGATGAAACAAGGTCATATATTTACAGTATATTTGCTAACGAAAGTAGCTATGGAGCCAATCGTTGCGAGCATTTCCTTCCAGACAATGCCTTCCATCATTTCTTGCGGATTTTTTGGTATGTATTTATATAGCCATGAAAACAAGGTATTTCGTTTTGTTCGAATGCTGACATTTTAGATCCTGATTATGCCACCACTGCCCTCTTGCACGGTCAGGAATTATTTCGCTCTTCCTTTTTAGTCCAATTGGAACAAGCAAAAAATATACGCAAGTATATTATCAACCCTATGGAGTTGTTTCATGAATCTAGATTGCGGCCTTTGCTTCAACTTGATGAGCGCTATCGCACCGAACAAGAGCATTATGATGCTGAGATTCTGAGGTATGCTTCTTTGGGTCAATTAAAGGATCTCGCTCAAATGCGTGATGAAGCAAAATCTCTTTACGATGCTCGCAGCACATATTTTACTATTGCTTTGCAATACGTTGTACAAGTTGGCTCCTTCCACTCTTACATGGACTCCATTGCTTTAGAAAGTATTAGTCGATTCTCCATCGAAACCTTTCGGCTTAGCAGTCGACTTCATGAATCGAACATAAGCATCAATAATCAGATTGTACGCCTTTTGGCTTATGGAAACAAGCTTAAGGAGTCCTATCCCTCTCTTAAAAAAATTATCACGAACGTTTCCAATCGAGTTGAAAAAGAAATCTTAAAGCGTATACAACCTCCTTCAAATCTTGACGAATACCGTATTGGTACTCAGAAAGCTTCCAATACGATGGCTAGAAAGCGACAAGGTTGGCTTCTTCGAAACGTGAGTTCCACCAAACCCGACAATAAAGCAATTTGGAGAAAATTGTGGTTCTTCATTGATAACGGCTATTTTGGGTATCTCACTGATAATGCGAACGGCGGTGTTTTTGAAAGTGAACGAATCGGTGTCTTGCTTTGTAAGTTCAGCCTATTGCCCAACAGTAATCGAAGGTTTTGCTTTCAAATAAAAACGAAATCTTCTCTGTACATTTTGCAAGCAGAAAATCAAAATGATATGCTAGATTGGGGAAGCGTGCTTCATAATTCTCGTATATACTGCCTGAATCAGAAAGTCCCTGCGGATTTAGTTTTATCTCCGACACTTCCTTCCTTTTCTGCAAGATCAGTCGCTCCTACCGCTGGCCGTCGTCGTAATCAGTCTATTCCAAAAAATGGTAAATCTGCACGCACCCACACCCATTCTGAAAAGCTTCTCTGTGGGCAAAGTAATTATGAGGTCTCAACAATCATGCGCTCAAAGAGTTTACCAAGTGTGCCTTCCCCACGGGACGTACTTCGCTCTACGGGTTCCCATAACCGGCCAGATCTCCTTGCCCCTTGGAGTATAGTAGCTGCTCCAATAATAACAAGTCTTACCTCTGACACAATTACTAGTTTCTTAGATCACGAAGCATTTTTTACTGGTAACTCACCGTCTGCACTTATGGCTAACTTTTGGGGATCAGTGAATTATGGTCATGTTCTAGAACAACAAAACTTGAGTTTAAAATCAGATTTTGGGCTTTCTTACCAAAAAATTTCAAGAGAGATGGACTTGGAGTCTTTCCCAGCTGAGCTCAAATTGAGAAATGCAGAGTTTAAAGGAATTTTTGGCGAGTTGGGGACTTCGGCAGTTTTGTTTGTAAGTCGCGTTGTGAGTAAGCGTGAAGGTCAGATCAGGATGCCTGGAAGAATGTACTGCACTATGCGTGGTGTTTTCATTTATTATACAATATGTGGATTGGTACTAATAGAACATATTCCCATCTCTAAAATCTCAAATATAAAGTATTTCACAAGTAGTAAATGTGATTACTTCTACTTGAGTGTAGAGAAATTCGGTACACTCAGATTTCGGCTATACCTTGATTCTTCAAAAATATTGCATGACCGTTTAAATATTCTAATTTACAATTACGTTGCTGATAATCCTATGAACAGCGTTCAACTACTGTCTCGAATCCGCGAAGTCCAGAAACAATATACGTTTCAAAAACCGAGAACAGATCAATCTACCATACCAGATTTTGACGCTGTCGCTCGGCCACAAACTCATTTTCGTGGACGAAGTAAAACACTCTCAGCACCAACAGGGAATGTTTATGTAGAAGATGAGCATGTAACTGAGCAAATGAGAAGACTTAATATCGCCAGGCTTCCAAAAGAGACTGTTCAAGTAGCCCGATCCGACCATATGGATGATATAATTCTTGACAATATTTACGATGTTTCTTCCAAAGCTTTGTTTCATATTGTCTTTGGCGATAAAAGTAATTTCCTTCTAAGGTTGTATAGGCTTCATGGTATTGAGGATATTGAACTTCTCCCATGGATACAGGACGAAGAGACAGGGAAAAATTATCGTTACATAAATTATAAACTTCACTATCGTGACTCGAAGGGTGTATTTCATTCACAGCATTATCAAGATCGTCAAGTTCAGGATAAGCGTAATGAGTACAATGTGTATATATTATCATGGTACCATCAACCTTGGGCTATTCCCTACAAGGATTGTTTCAGGCTGGTCCTAAAGACGTCCATTTCTCATTTAAAGAAAAATAAATGCAGACTTCTTCTTTCTATAGGCATTGAATGGATAAAAAAGCCTTTCGCTGTTTCTAAAGTTCTAGAAGCAGTAGCTCGAGAAGTCGCGCTCAAATACATGGAATTAGAAGTGGGCTACCTCGAAAAGGCTGTTTTGGCTACTAAAAACCTTCCTATTCTAGGTGTTGTCAATCAATATGGTAAGGTTGGAGACTACTACGAGTCTGTCGTTTTTCAAAGAAAGCTGCCATATATTTCGGAACTGAGAAGCCCTTCTATGCTTAAGTTAATACGTGACCATATATGGTTATTTTTGGGTGGACTTGCTATGGACCTCTCTTTTCTACCCTGGTCTATATTGAGCAGCTTCTTGCGTTACACATTTTCACATTCGTTTGTAATGGCTCTATTGGCTCTCTCACTAATTGTAAACATTTTATTAACATTTAATTTTGGGGAAAACTTTTGGACAGAACGGCAGGATCAACAATTCCTAAGTCGGGTATTCGACGATTTCAAACAACTGGAGACGTCTGCTCGCTATGTCTATATGAAAGATGTGGACGATTTGTTGGTTGGTATTCCTACTTATACGCATCCGAATTTGACAGAAAATGGAGAATGGTAAGTCTTCCATCTTTTCTTTGAAATGTTGATATTAACTATTCAGTTTACGGTCGTTTATTAATTACTCTTCGCAAGCTAAAAATCATTGGTTGGAAAAAAGAAACCATATTGCAGAAAAAAGGAAATTTGTTTTGATGAAGCTAGCATCCTTAAATTATTTTGAATACCTAGTACACCAGGATGCAATATATCAACACATTCAACAGGAACTAAAGACATGCCAAAAAGCCAAGGTGTTAGGATTATATCCGTTGCAGATTGAAAAGTATTGTTCATCTTGCGAAGAAGAATGGCAAAATCGCACTAGTTTTTTTGGTGAAAATAATCTTGCTACGAGACTCATCAGTTTAGATACTCAAGCATTTTCAAAAGAACCACAAAAAATATATATGGACTAAGTACAATTGACTAACGAATTACAGAAAAGATTTCATTACGTTTTTATTTATAATCTATAATTTCTACGCTATGTTGCTAAGACTGCAAAAGAAAGCAATGGGCATGCAACGGCTTAGATTTAAATATATATAATTTTTCTTGTTATAAATTTTTGAATAAAGATATTCTGTAAAGTGAATAATTTTAGACTTAGGCATTAATTTTAACTTTCACTAAGTCTGCCGACAATTGCTTGACTTCAGCCGTTTACCACTTGAGCAATTCGCCTCTTTCAAAGCCGTTATTGTAACTATTGTATCATAAATCGATTATTATCCATTACATTTATAAGAACAGCGCCGAATTTTTCTTGTTTACGATTCAATTCAGCGAATTGAAGGAAAACTTAGGTTGCTGTGTGTAATGGAAAATATCAAGGTAGCAAAGGTAATATCTGCTTTGATATTAAATCTAAGAATCAATATATTTTATAACTAATACAAAACAGGTCGAAAATGTGAAGTTTTTAAATAAAGGCAATGAAATAAGTGGAACGCTTCACTTAACTGCTTATCATTCTATTTTCTCTGATTTGGAAGGAAAAAGAGAAATATGGACAGCTTATTCCATGATTAATTGCGTTCGTCTATGCCTTAATGAAAAAACGTACTGCATCCGAATTCAATGTAGGGACTTTATGTTTTACTGTTTGAAATTTCAAAACTCTACAGACGCTATGGATGTTTACGATACCTTGCGAGAACTAATACCAGTATCTTCTGTTAGCCGTCTGTATGCTTATCATTATATGCCCACTGGGGAAGAGGGAAAGGTTCAATCTGGATGGAACTTGTTTCTGCTTGAGAATGAATATCGCCGTATGGGTGTAGGTGACTCGAGCCGTGCGGAAGGTGCTGGAGCAAACTGGAGACTTACGAAAATTAATGAAAATTACATGGAGTGTCAATCGTATCCTCAAATATTAGCAGTTCCAACGAGTGTATCAGACAGCGTTATTCATTATGGTTGCAAATACAGATCGAAAAACAGGTTTCCTACATTAACTTACCTTCATAAAAATTCTGTATGCTTTATTTATTTGGAATGAATATTAAAAAGACAGTGTGCTGACATTTTATTGATAGTTTTCTATTACTCGTGCATCTCAACCTTTGGTAGGTCTTCGCCAGAATCGGAGTGCACAGGACGAAAAAATTGTTGAAGCTATTTTTGCTACTTCTATTATACCAGGAAAAGAAAACCTAATCGTGGACGCTAGACCGTCTACAAATGCTATGGCAAATATAGCAGTTGGTGCAGGAAGCGAAAATATGGATCATTATCGATTTGCAAAGAAAATATATCTAGGAATCGACAATATTCATGTTATGCGCGATTCTTTGAGTAAGATTGTGAATGCACTTCGAAATACAGATATTAGTGCAGTACCACCATCCGTTGAGCAGCTGAACAAATCAAATTGGCTAAAACACTTAACAAATATATTGCAAGGGGCCGTTTTAATTATTGAAACTGTACACTTTCATCATGCTCATGTACTAGTGCATTGCTCAGATGGCTGGGATCGGACTTCTCAACTGTGTGCTCTTCCACAACTTTGCCTTGATCCATACTATCGAACCATCCAAGGATTCATGAGCTTAATTGAAAAAGATTGGTTAGCGTTCGGACATCGGTTTGCTGAACGGTGTTGTCATTTGCCTGGAAAAAGGATATTTTCTACGGATAATTCTTCTCCGGAAGAACAGCACTCTAATTCAGTGGCAAGTTCTACACTTCAATATACATTCTGCACTTTTCGGTCGGCTCTTAGTGGGTTCGCGATTGATCACTCGGAAAAGATGAGCTCTCCCGTCTTTCATCAGTTCTTGGATTGCGTATGGCAAATCATGAGGCAATTCCCAAAGTATTTTGAATTTAACGAACGATTTTTGCGTCGACTTTTATATCACTTGTATTCTTGCCAATATGGGTCTTTCTTGTATAATTCTCAGCGCGAGCGTAAACAATCGGCTGTGTCTCAACATACTCGTTCTATCTGGGATTATTTTATATCTAGGAAAGAGGAATTTACAAATCTAGATTACGAATGTTATGATGATGTTTTACTTCCTAATGCAACTGATCTTAAATGGTGGGCGTCCTCTTTCGGTCAGCCGGATGAAAACATGAATGTTGCTTTGTCCGAAACTTCTTCTAGTGCTCCTCTTCTTTCGTCGTCCACTTCTCAGTCTCCTTCTGTTCCCGTATGAACTCACGAAACCATTGTTTGAAGGATGGAGAAAATATATGATATGTTATCCTCTCATCTCACTAGTTGACCATTGATGTACTTAGTATCTCTGATTGAACGATTATTTCTGCTAATTTATTTTCGTTCTTTTTATTTCGTATTTCTCGAGTGGAACTTGCTTATCGAGGCAGATGATGATGTCTTGAGAGTGATTCTGTCTCCTGATTTCTTCACATTATAGAATCATGCTTTACGAGAATCTTTCCGTCTTTATCACCAGTCCTTTTCTGCGATGCTTAAGTCTCTGTTGGGAATGATTAGATTATACTTTTTTGTTGTTTTTATTTCCTCCGATTCTTGCGAATTCTCTTTTAGGGGTACTTTAACATGTCCCGCTGTTTCCAGCGAATTGACGAATTATGAAATCTTCTAACCTTTGCTAATGTTTTATGCATCCTTTCTTTTTGATAAGTCTAGTCTAGTCCGTCTAGCTTTCGTATGATCAAACTGCTTTGAGTATGCACATTGCTTTCTCGTATTTCTGTTTACAATGAACAGGATCTTTCTATTATTATTTTTTTATTGTAATACATATTCATAATATCATTTACATACCAATGAAATTTTCCTGCGAAGTCTCCTATGTCATTCATTTGTTGACATTGCGACCGAATGTAGTAAGGAGCCTAAGCGAAGCGTAAACAACGTTATTTTTAAATGTATTTGATTGGATATTGGATGCTGGCTGCTGGCTATAATGACCAATCTAAAAATTTCTTTTCAACAAGAGGAAAAAAGTGCTTCTAATTAAATATCTTTCCTTTTCTATTATTTTTTTTATTTCTTTTTTTTTTAAAAAAAAATAGCCAAAATATTTTCACGTGTTATGAACCGAAACCATAATCGTACGAGTTTGATTATGGTTTGTTCCGCCGCGTAAGGTTATTTGTAAGAATGCGTGGTTTTCGGTAATTTATATAGTCCGACGCGACGCGATGCTCCTACTTGGTTTTCACCAACAACACCGACATAGTAGTAACCGTATATTTTTGCGTTTGTGGTGGTTCTAAAATGAATCAAACCGAAAGCATTCTTTCGGGTTCACGAACTTTCGTCCGATTTATGGGTTATGAGGTTGAATACACAAAATGGACGATTTGTATTTCTCTTTTGCTTGTATGCATAGCCTATGACCAAAGTAAGTGCTTACTTTTCCTTTTAGAAGGCAAGAAAGGACCGTAAACCTTCCAGATGGACTCCTTTTTGAAAAGATATAGAAGGCGAAGACGAGAGTCGTCAAGCTTGCACTGCAAAAGTCTCTAGTCCAAAATAATGATTTAGAAGGAAAGACGGCTATGTCTTAAGGTTGATAGTCTTCTGCCGTAATTGGATGTAGAATTTTGTGGCTCCTGTCCTTTCAACCACAATAGAATCATAGTTGTTATTTTGTGTTCAAGCTTGCTTTAATGGTTGGGCAGTTCTTCTATTCTAGCATCTTCCTTCGACAAGTTAAAGCAGTTGCCATCTTTTTTCTTTGTCTCTATCGATGTTGTGTACAAAAAGCCGAATTTCACTCTTTCTTTCGTGTCTCTCAGCTTTCTTCAATCATGTATTAACTGTTTATAGTCTCTTATCAGTTTCAAAAGAAACATCTCCCTGGTCCTCTCCTTAAAGTTCCCTTCATGGGATCGTTTTTGGATAGCATGAAGCCAACCTTTGATAAGTATAAGACCAAATGGGATTCTGGTCCTCTTTCCTGCGTTTCTGTTTTCCATAAATTTGTCGTCATTGCCTCAGAACGTGACTTGGCTCGCAAAATTCTGAATTCTCCTAGCTACGTCCAACCTTGTGTCGTTGATGCCGGTAAGAAAATCCTGAAACATACTAATTGGGTTTTTTTGGACGGTCGCAATCATATCGAATACCGTAAAGGTTTAAATGGCTTATTTACTACTCGTGCTCTTGGTGTTTACCTGCCCGCCCAAGAAGAAGTGTACAACAAATACTTCAAGGAGTTTTTGAACCATAGTCAAGGTAAATATACCGAATTCATGATTCCTTTCCGTGATATTAACGTTGCTACTTCTTGTCGCACTTTCTGCGGTCACTACATTTCCGACGATGCTATCAAACACATCGCTGATGAATACTGGCGTATAACTGCTGCTATGGAGCTCGTCAATTTCCCTCTTGTTTTGCCTTTCACAAAGGTCTGGTATGGTATTCGCTCTCGTAAGGTCGTTATGCAATACTTCATGAAGGCTGCCGCTGCCTCTCGTAAAAGCATGGAAGCCGGTAACCCTCCCACATGTATGATGGAGGAATGGATCCACGAAATGATTGAAACTCGCAAATACAACAGCAACAAGGGTTCTGACGGTTTTGAAAAGCCCAGTGTCTTGATTCGTGACTTTTCTGATGAAGAAATCGCTCTCACTTTCTTATCCTTCTTATTTGCTTCTCAAGATGCTACTTCCAGTGCTATGACTTGGCTTTTTCAATACTTGGCTGATTATCCTGAAGTCTTGAAGAAGGTTCGTGAGGAACAATTCCGTATCCGTGGTGGTGATATCAATGTACCCATTAGTTTGGAATTACTCGAGAAAATGACTTATACTCGCATGGTTGTAATTGAATGTTTACGTCTTCGTCCTCCTGTTTTGATGGTTCCTTATCGTGTTAAGAAACCCTTCCCTATCACTTCGGAATACACTGTTCCCAAAGATTCAATGGTTATTCCTACTCTTTATGGTTCTTTACATGATCCTAAAGTATATCCTGATCCTGAATCATTTAAACCCGAACGCTGGGAACCCAACGGTCTTGCTGAGCAAAACCCTAAGAACTGGATGGTCTTTGGAAACGGCCCTCATGTTTGTTTGGGTCAACGGTATGCCGTTAATCATTTAATTGCTTGTGTTGGTAAGGCTAGTTTGATGCTCGATTGGTCACACAAGCGTACGGCTGATTCTGACACCCAAATGATTTTTGCTACTACTTTCCCTCAAGATATGTGTTTACTCAAATTTAGTCCTTTCAATCTCGCTAATTTAAAGCTGCATCTTGAAAAGGAAGGTAAAACGCAACCTGCTACTGCTACTGCTACTGCTATCCCAACTAGCGCCTAGGCATCATCTCTATATGGCTTATAGAGTTTTAAAGTAAGCTAACTTCGTTTCATGGATTATAGATAAAAGCATGTTTATGAATTAAAATGTAAGCTATCTTGGTCTTTTGCTTTGCAATTGGCATAATTCTGCTAGTAATTAATCGGCTGGAATCTTTGGAAAATATATAGTTACTGTTTATTTTTACCCTTATTTTTGTATAAAATTCGTGATTCATTAAAATTCGTAATGAAATGTAACAGTAAAACAGCTAATTAATCGTATATAAATTACAGTTCAATAAGACTTGCCTCTTGAACTTGTATTCCATTATCATCGTCCTTTTCATCAGAAAAATTATTGTCATCCAATCTCTGATTATGAGAATCATTCTCGTCCCTCATAGATTCAACAGTCTGAATATTATAATAGTCAATAGCATCATCAATGTTTTCATGTGCCAAAGGTTCATTGTTTTCTTCGCGTTTAGGTTCCTGTATTCTGACGCTCTCCAGCCTTTCCGTCGGAACATCAGTACCTAAATTATAGTAATTGGAAATCGTTTCAGAAGAGGGAGCCCTTATTTCATACTGGATATCCTTTGGCGCATCTCTATCTAAAACAGCTTCTCGTACTGAATGAGATTGAGCAACCGGACGGGGAGCCTCAATTGGTAGTTCCTTCCTAGGAGAGCTCACTATATTTTGAGGTGGGTCAAAGGAAGAGCCAGAAGGATGATGACGATAAGCAGACGAAAGCCTTTGGTCAAGCAGAGCGTCATTTAAGCGCATACACGTTTGAAGCTTTTGAAAAGCCTGTAGTAATTTATTGTACTTACTTATCGTTTCACCTAACGACCTCATCATCTTTGTTCTCATAAACCCCATGTTTTCATGTAACTCTTGTAATTGATATTCTGTAAAGATCGAACCGGGAGGAGATTTCTTTAACTTTTCCACAAGTGTAGCATATAATGTAATATTGTCAGCATCAGCATGAGAAATCATTGCAGTGGTTGCTTGAGGAACACGCGGAGATGTAAATGGAGAGCCATGTAAACTGGTAGAAATGGTGTGAGAAGGTATAGTTGGATAACTGTATGACGGAGCGTTTGTTTCTGTAGCAATATTAGACTTGTTTTGCTCGTTGGTAGTTTTTGCTTCCTGAAGGCTAATTTCTATGGCTCGTTTTAATTCATCATCTTCGTCATCTGGAGGGCCACGGGCATGTGATTCTGTTTTTGGGGGTTTCGATTCGAATGATGAAGGTTTTTCTTGCTTTTCCTCTACTTCTCTTAAAGAAAGTTGAATAGCTCTCTTCAAATCCTCATCTTCTTTATTTGCTGCAGAAGGCTGCACCTTGTTGGCCTGAGGTTTCTTTGGCTTTTGAGATGTGTCTTTTCGATCAGTTTTGAAAGCTTTGTCCCTTGGTAGTTTTAATTGCTCACTCTGCTTGTTCTTAGAAGCATAACAGGATTCACAAACTCGGACAGGAGTATTGATTCCAAGTTGAGGCAAGACCATGGTTTTTGAAGAACATTGGTTGCAAAAAACACCGCCACAATTTCTGCAATGATGTTTTCTATTGGTAAAAGTAAAGGGTATTCGACATCGCAAACAAACTTGACTATCAGTCCATTCCGGAGGAGTAGATGTATCGAGAAAGCTACTAGAAATAGCTTGGGGCGGCTCGGGAAAGGAATAGTCCTCTCCTTTCAATTGCTCGTATACATCAAGAATGTACCGAATGCTGGAATTTTTCTCAGGGACAGCAAGTGCCCAACATTGTATGTAGAAAAGAATGGCCTGTTCAACTTCTTCATCGACTCCGGATGGAGAATGGAGGATGGAGACCAAATTATCCATGAATTCTCTGGAAGCGACTTCACTTACAAACGATAATCCGCCGTTTTTTAAGCATGTATCACAAAGCTTTAATGCCAACAACTGGACATTTGGATTGGAATGATCGATTCGTGACTTTAAAATACGCATGGCTGATTTCGCGTCAATTGACTTACTTCGAATTTGGTCAGAAATCTCCAAATTTAAAGCAATTTCTTCTGCTCCAGCAGGAAGAGTTTCTGAAGTAGCTTTTTCTACATCTACCGCAAACTGCGAATTCGAGTTCCACCACCCTGACATGGTAGAAAGGAAAATTGAATAGAATTACTACTAAAAAAACCAAAAAAAAGAGTTTGAATGAGCCAGAGTCAGTGCAATGCCAAGATACGAGAGTAACAAAGGACTTGTTCGATGCTATTACGCAACCAAAATGACTATTGACGAACGAAAATTAGCAGTAAGAAACGATTTCACAACAAGAAAACCAAAACCTATAAACAGCTATTTAAGGACGATTTCGATGGATGTTAATGGTTCTAGGGAAGCCCTTTATCGTTCGTAAATAGTCCCTTTCCTGGGGAATAGGGTGGGTTGTACAGTTCCGAAAAATTACTTAACTTCATTCTTTACATTTTGTTAAGCATGATACCGTTGTATAAGGAGGCATAATTGCAATTGCGTTAGTAAACAAATGGGAACATTTGCAATTGGTATTTCCCTGGTTTGAAAGCTGTATTCAAAGCTTACAAGACAAATGATTCAAGTTGTTTCACGTTAAGAATTATAATTGACAGAATGGTTGAAAGAGTTTATAACAACACTTACTATACGATGAATTTCCTGCAAAAAAAAGCATGAAGAACGTCTATTCTCAATTTTCTCAAGATACGTGAAAGGACCAAAAAATCTAAATTTGAAAATTAAATTGATTAATATTGCTGAATAGTAGGTGGGACAGGAAGAGCCTTTAAATTCCTCCGCATTGCTTTTGCAAACATCTTTTTAGTCTTTCCGCCCAGAGGAAAAGATATGTGAACAGCTATTCATAAATCCAACAAAAACCTCTAAGAATACAAACAAGAAGAAAATCAGCCTTTTCCATACAGTAGTTGGTTGGAAGCGAAGAGGGAGTTGAGCCATCATCCTTCTACCAAACCTTCATAATTCCTAAAAATGCCTATTCCTTTTGTCGCACATGTGGTCCAATTTAATTATGATCATGTTATTTTGCATTGGAAGAGCTATGTAAAGTTTTTAGTTACTTTGGCGGCAATAGGCGGGTTTAAATTCTGGAGTATGGGTCGTTCTACAACCTGGGAAAGAAAGATGAATGGAATGGTGGTGATTGTTACAGGAGGAACTTCTGGAATAGGAAAGCGAGTCGTAGAGAAGCTTGCTTTGCTGGGAGCTCACGTTGTGATTTTGGTTCGCTCAGAGCCTGATCAATTTACGGTAGATTACATTATGGATCTCCGAAATCGTTCGAACAATCAGTTTGTTTATTCTGAAGTATGCGACTTGAGCTCCATGCTTTCTGTCAGAAAATTCGCTACGCAATGGATTGACTGTTCTCCTATCCGAAGACTAGACATGATTGTCTTATGTGGAGGCTTGTCTCTGCCTCCGTACATTGATCGCCAGGTTACTACAGAAGGTGTCGAACTACAGTGGGCGACTAACTTTTTGGGCCCGTACCAACTTATGCGACTCTTGCGTCCTGTCATATATGGCCAACCTGGCCACAGGGAAGTACGCATTGTTGCTGCAACATGTTCATCCTACGTTTTAGGGGACATAAACTTTGATGATCTTGCTTTAGATAATCATCCGTATCCTCGATCGAGTCCCTGGAAGGTTGTGGGAAATGCCAAACTTGCCTTTATGACCTGCCTTTATGACTTCCAAAAGAAGGCGCAAAACCACGAACGACCTGACAAGATGCCTTGCAACATTCACACCGTAGTGGTGAATCCAGGTATAGTCCGTACACCCGGATTTCGTCGATTCATTTCTTTTGGTCGCATTTGGGGATTATTCCTGTACTTGCTTCTTTGGCCTTTTTGGTGGCTGCTCTTAAAGGGTACTTTGAAGGGCGCGCAGTCCTTTTTTCATGCGATCTGTAGTCCGGAATTCGGTGCTACCACTGAGTACTTACTTGTTAATGAATGTACAATGATACCACCTTCCCGAAAGGAAATCGCCGATCCAGAATACGCAGAAAAGTTGATTAAGGCTGCTGATGCCCAAATTGATCTAGTCGAAAAGCAATACAAGAAAAAAGGAGCTTCAAAAACAAACAAAAAGTAAACCGTTGATTGCTGCTGTGTGGTTGGCGACTTTAAATGTTGTAAACTTTTTGCTTTTTATATTAATTATAGAATCCAGAGTCTGTTATTTGTATAAGCAAGCAAAGCTACACAAAGCCGCTACGTCCCAGAAGCACAAAAAATCATGATACCATGTAGTATTTTGCTGCATAGCAAGGGTTAGGACAATGTTTATGTGTAATTATTGAAAATACAAAAACACTTATATACATAAAAATGAAAGGAGGAGAGAGACGATTTATGGAATCTATCTAATTCTCTGATAAATACGGCAAAACACCTACAAATGTTTCCAACTACACGATTTTTCTATATGTATAGTATATATAACGATTATAATTAAATTCAATGACATTGATATCAATAAACCCCAAAATACCCAATAAAACCAAAAATTTTACTCAACCGTCTCATGATGAAGGTATATGCATGGATCCTTTTACTCAGCTAAAACTTGACGCTTATGGCGTTGATAAGGCTTGAGTCTCCATTCAACATCAGCGTCTAGCATGTCCAAAGTACCCAATCGAATCTCGTACAGCCGCATTTCAAAACGGGGACCTGCCTCTGAAAGAATGACCTGTTTAGGACCCGTCTTTGCGTACAAGTGATGGCGGAAACTAATAAAGTCGTCAGAATTGGCAAAGGTTACAACTCTCGGTGAAGATTCCTTTGGATCCGGAGGAAATAGAGAGGACAAAACCTTCTTGACACGTTGGCCCAGCTTCGAGGTAAGGTTGTCAAGGATTAAATGAGGATAAGCTTCAGACATAGTACCCGTGTTAGGGATATCGTGACGAAGAACAACGTTATGAAGCGAGAAGGATACGGTAGGGCCATAAGGAAGATGGGAGATAACCATGCTGTCTGGTATACCTCGATGTTCATGCAAAAGGACGATATCGGTGATGTCGTTGGCACGAGCCGCTTCGACTAAACTTCCCACAACAATATTACCACGATTTAAGCGGAATGAATTCGGGATCAGCAGGCGCATTTCCTTGGCAAATTGAGCCAGGCGAGACGATGGGTCACGACTCGTTGTGACCAAAACTCTTGGTTCACGTTCACCTAAGCTGTAATACTCGTCATCTATTCCTAATTCATCTTCCTGGGCTGCTTTGCTTTCATCATATTTGTAATCTTTCTGCAATTGTGTGTCTTCTTGAAGATCTTTATTGAGTTCCTTGTTGTTATCTATAGCGTGTCTCAATGCACGTCTTTTTTCATTCAACTTTGCCTCTTGAAGATCTTTATTTCTTTTATAAATAAATTGACGTCTTTCTCTTGCTGCACGACGAAGCATGATGCGTTCTGGAAAATTTGGCTCTTGGCAGGTTCGCCTCAAGAGGCCACCCCAGAGTCTCTTTGGCTAACCTTAGTAAACAAACGAAATGGGGAATAAGTGGAAATCCTGCGACAAAAGTATAACTAAATAGAAATAAATTTGGTAAGTAAGAAAGAGAAAAACCCCGATTTCTAAATGATGAGATGAGAAAAAAAAAACAAAAAATAAAAAGAGTCAATTTTTGAAAATGGATTTTCGATCATGTCTGTTTACAAATGCTTGTAGCATAGAAAATCCAGGAAAAGAAAAATCCTCATGATGAATACAATCATTCCAAATCATGTACAAGGTACCGCCCATGATACTTCCAGCAAAACAGCACTTTCTTGAAGAGGAATGGATCGCTTGGTTTTCTAGGAACATGTGAGATGGGAAGTTTGAAGAATCCCTTGGAAAAAAAGCCAATTCTTTTCCTGTCTTATTTTTTTTTTTTCCTTTAACTTTTCGTTCGTCCAAAACCTGCTTCTTGTTTTTGCGGTTGCATAAACTTGACATAATCTTAAAGACCATCAAGAAACCTGGAAAAATTCACCAAAAAACAAAATCCAGATATCAGGTATTTCCTTAAAATTCAAAGGCAATGGAAACTAAAACCCTACAAGCTGTCAATACGCTGACAATTTCTGCTTTGGAATTCGTGCATCGTTTGTTTATAGACAAACACTTCATATAAAAAAAAAAAGAAATAAAATAAAATAAAAAGTTCAAGCTAGCTTGGCTAACGAAAATGATTATGAATATTAGCTTGTTATTATTATGACAAGAATGATGCTGTCATGAAGCGATTTGCCAATACCAAAGTCATTATTTTACACCGTTTGCTTTCCAACTTGGAGTACAAAAGTCCTTCTTGCTATTGTTCTTCAAACAAAATTGTTTTTAATCTGTTTTAATCTGTTTTTAATTTTTTTTTTTTTTTGATGAATCAGTTTTAAAGAGAAATGTCATCTACAAGATGGCTGCTTCCAAAACTTCCCACATGCAAGACAAGATGAATGCCCTCATTCCGAAGTAAACGTCGTCAAAATGAAATTGCATGATTACGAATTCATCTTTGCGAATGCTTGCATTACGTTGAATGATGGATTGCACTTTCGTCACAGAGGAATTATATTATGTTCATGCAATGACTCGAATGTGATGTACTTGCCACTCATCATCCAACATATATATATATAAGCATATTGAACAGTAGTTAACTAACAGAAGATTGAAACTACATTTTCAGGCATCAAAAAATGAGTAAATATCAAAAGGGAAACAAAGTTGAATACCATCCTGTAAGTACCCTAATATCATATTAATCCAGCTGTTATAATATGATACATTTTAAAATCGTTAAGAGTTGTTTGGTTGAAGACTCTATAAAAAAAAAGACAAAAAAAAAAGAGAAAAAAAAAGAGAAAGAATCTTTAACGATGACAGCGACAGCTGGTGATTTGTAAAGAACAAATGGAACTAAACTAACATACTTTTTGAAATAGATTGGTGGCGCTACTGGTACTAGCACCTCTACCGGTACAATCCTTCAAGTCGTAAAGGACGATACTGGCAGTGAAGAAACTCGCTACGAGATTCAGAATGATCACACACAGAAAACTGCTACTTACAAAGAGCGCAACATTGCTCGCGTAGTGGATTAAGTTTGGTTTGCGTTTCTTTTTTATGTTTTTTTCTTTTTCTTCATGTACCATTTATAAAAATGCAGATGAATAATGATGATGATTTTTCCTTTCCTTAGTGTTGTTTGTTTTGCAGTTGTAATCAACAGCAATAATGTTTTCGCTACCAATTTCAGTTGCGTGTGCTATTCATGTATGATATATGTGTAAGAAGAGATCGAAAGAGAGAATTTAAAATAACATAGGTAAAACAACTTTTCAAGTTTTATGATTCATTTTAAGGAAAAATAAAATAAGTCTTGGAATTTATTGTAGCCAATATCTGCGAGTTTAGGAGAAGAGAAAATATAATAAAAGGGGGAAAAACAATAGATTTGGAATTTCGTTCAAAGAAATAATTATATTGGAAGTCATATGACATAAAAAAGGAATTGCAGTTCACAGTTGCAGATGTTTCCTTCCGGTTTAAATTGTACTCTCATAACTCATACTAAAACTTGTAGGAGCTAAGCTTTGGAAAAGAAACCAAACTTGACATCCGTATGCGAATCCATAGTGGAATCGCTCTGATAAAAAACAAAAAAGAGTACATAAAGCACCTCAACATCTTCATCAATATTTCGTATACGTTAAGCAAAGATTAGCCGAAAGACCTTTTCTTTTGGAAGTTTTCTGTGGTAGAAAAACATTTGTTTCTACTTCGAAAACAAACACATTCATTACATAAACTCAATGCCTGCTCCGAGTTGAAGCCCTTTACGGCCTACATCACCACCAGTAACCGCAATAGGGAGCGTAAAATTCAATTCAAAACGAGCTGCAGGTGATGCATAAACAAGTCCCAAACCAGTTGATACGCAAGGACGCATAAGAATCGATTTGTAAGTGTCCAACGGGTTCTTAGCATCCAAGTTGGTTAAGCCACCAGCGTTAGCAAAAACCTGTAACCGGAAAGGTTTTGAAGCATCCACTTTAGGTAAAGGAAACAAAAGGCTAGTAGAGAGAGCTAAATAAGCTGTACCACCAAGGGAGTCCTTTCCATCTTTCGGTCCTAGACGATCCTCTGAAAACCCTCTTAGACTTGTAGACCCGCCCAGCATGAAACGGTCACATAATTGAATAGGAATTTCGTCTAAAGGTTTCATAGCGCCAAAACGACTGGAAACGGCAAAGGTAACTGATTGCGAACGATTCAAGGAAAAGGCATACTGATGCCAAAGTTCAGACTTCAAAAATCTGGCATCCCCAGTAACTGGCCCTAATCCAGCAAGTTCTATCAAAGCTCGGAAAAAGTTGCCTTTTCGAGGAAGGGTTGGGTGATCCCGCGTATCTAACATGTAGGAATAAGCAAGGGATTGTTTTATACTATCACCTGCCTGTAAACGAACGCTAGGAGAAGCAAATTCACTCAAACGAGTAATTTGTCTCCAAAAGAAGTTTTGTGAAAGCTCGTGCAAACCATGGAATTTATCCTGATGCTGTAAACTCACCGACATACCTCTAGTAATCAACTCATGACTCGAGATTGCCTTATTATCCCGAACATTACTATAACCAAGGACACGCAGATGAGTCGTTGGACTTGCGTTTACCGGAGTTTCAAACTTAGTTGACATAGTAGCACGGTTTCGAGTACCATAGGAGATGTTTCCAGAGAGAAACTCTGCGCCGCCGAAAACATTCCTTGCCAAAACATTTGCGTGTACATTTCCTTCAACGTTACCTACATCAGTTCCTGTTTCAAAGAACAGTCGTGGCTTTTCCTTCACTTGAATGATAACATCTAAATCGTTTTCCCCAGAAACAGCAGATGAAGCACGATCAATTTTAATGTAGGCGTTGTCATAAATACCAAAAGCCATTAACTTCCCCGTCGTTTCTTGAATGTTGTTGAGAGTATCCAAGAATGGCTTACTCTTTACCATTTTCGCAGATGGGTCAATGCATGATTGTAAAGCTTTCTGAAGAAATCCAGCTCGAGTATTGTATGCCCCTGCTACTCGTATACTCGAAATTCCCACCGGTAGAGTACTGTTTTCTGTCAACTAAGGAATGTTAGTTTCTTCATCTTGACCGTCGTCAAATCTTTCCATTAAATTCTGTAACGTACAATTTCAGACAGGCTTCTCAATGTCTCTTTCGCTGATTGAATACTCTCCCTGTCAATAGGAGGCACATTTGTAGGTGGTACTGATTCCTGGCTTGACTCAGTAGTCATGGCTGTAGCCTTATTATTCAACTTTCTTCAGAAAAAAATATACTTCAAAGATAGTAAAAGCACCAAAAGGTTGTAGATTCCAGCAAGTTTACAAATAATGTTCCTTCGTACAACCTTGACTGTTGAAGGAAGATGAAACACCTTCACTACTTACGTGTCCACTAAGAAAAAACTCCCACTTAAGAAACTCCTAAAGCTTTTGTTATTGAAAAATTAGTAAATTGAATATTCCATATGTCTTGTTAATATAGAATTCAATTCAAATATATATCGAGCTTCCCATGGAACACGAAAAGCAAAAGCAAGCCCTAACAGAGAAGTTGGATACTACCAACCAGCTTTACCGAAAGGTAAAAACAATTCATGACACGGCAGTGAAGGACTAACACTTTCATAAGTTAGCAGAGTTACGGACTGCTTGTCCTACGCTACTGAAATTGGTACACCCAGAAATAGGCACCAGTAAGTTTCAAAATAACAAACGTTTATAAGAAGGAAGGTTTCTCTTATATTGTCTTTGTTGCCATGTCCCTCTGGATTCTAAATCTATTAACTGGCATATAGGTCAGAAGTTTCAGCATAAAGCTCAAGAAGTGATTGCTAGTGTCGAAGGATTTAAAAAAGATTTAGCTTACAACCAGTGTATGAAAGCTCAGCCTCTCAAACGGTTCTTGCTAACTAACATATTAGCGTTATTTCAATATGTAACCGAATCTTTAGCTAAGAATCCAGAAAATCTTATGCCTACCTATCCTCCTCAGGAGAAAGACATTATCGCGAGTCAAACATCCACGGAAGACTTAGAAATCAATAAAGATGGAAAACAGCGAGACCCTTCTCAAACTTCTCAAGTTCCGGAAAAGTTACAAGATACACTCAATAGCTTTGGAAAAAGCATATCATCTTCCAATTCGTCTATCTCTGACTTGCAAGCCGATTCATTCATATTGGAAGTCTCCACAGGACTGAAATTCCATGTTAGCTTGCAACCCAATGGTGATTATAAAGCTTTATGTATATTTAGTAAATTCGAAGCGACAATGTTTTCTGTTAATCGGTATAATCAGTTTCAGATGCCCTTGTTTCTACTTCTCGTATGTACAATTACAAATGCTTTTCGATCCCTCATATACTAACGAGTGCTAGCCTCTTCTTCTTGACTATTCAAACCTATACTCGAAACCTTGTCAAATTTGCAGAAAGGTGATCTCTCCTATTAAACTAGAACTTCCTTTAGTAAGGAAGTACGATTCCGAGAATAGCACAAATGCTATTCTCACTTTTCATTACGAATGTACACTCTCAAAATGAGGCAAAACGGATAACGTTTTCCTCCAGCTAATGTCTTCGAAGTTAATCGTACAAATTCTTCATGAACGATTTATGGCATAAATATCTAGTTTCGTTTAACCGAATTGATGCATATTGAATAGTCTCTTAATATTATTATTTGGTCTCTTGGTTCTATACACATGTCCTTCATCTTAGCATTTAAAATATATATGTACTGTACTGTACAACAATAAAACACATGCTCAAATTTTTACAATTCATCTATTACAAAGTATTGTAATTACAGTAACTAAAGGTCATTAAGCTTTTTATCTATTAAGATGATATAGCATATATATTAACCTTAGATGTAAATCCATTTTTCCATAAACCCTGACAAATGATGGAGCCGTTTTTAATGCCCAAAAAAATCAAAAACAACCCAAAATAGATATAACTCAATTTAACAGAGCAGACGCATCTTAAACCTGTCAATTAAGGGTTAGCTTTCGAGCTAGAATTATGATCTCTTTGGCTTGATGATCCATCATTGTCATGATCTTGTTCTTCCAAAAGTTCAAAGGAGTTCGCCGATGTCAAAGGTTGATTAACAGGAGCTTGTCTAGCAGGCTCTCTCCGTGGTGTGTTACTTTGTCTAGAAGGGCTTCGACTAACATTTCCGCCACGTAACATCGAACTCAAACTGGTTGGACCATGAGATCCTTGAGTGCCAGATTTCAAACCACGGATACCTTGACCTAATCTGGCATATCCATCTTTATTATTAGACCAATCATTGGATCCAAAGGGAGGATTACTACCTCTGCCACCCATTCTAGAATCGCCGCGGTTCATATCGCGATGCATACGGGCAGGCCTTTGAGCTTCGGACAAAGCTTTCTTACGCTCAGCCTCTTCATGGATCTCTTGAATAGTTTTTGGACCCTTTTCAATTTCACTCTTAATACGCCAACCAGCCTTTCTAGAATCAATAACATCCAGAAGCATAAATTTAATACGAGAAGGCAGGTCAGGTATTTTAGTAATAGTTTCCATACGAAGAATGTATACATCCATCGCAGCATGACCCTTTTCAGTAGCATCAATACTTACACCGACGGTCATCAATAATTTACACAGACTCTCAATTTCTTCTTCTTCAGGATCTGTAACATTACCCAAAAGACGCTTTATACATTCATGCATAATTTTTTCGGAGAGCATATTAAGCTTAAACAATTCACCAATAAATCTAACAAGGCCAAGGCCACGACGTTTGATAGCGGCAGCAATGTAATACTCCTCCGACATAATCTCAGTCTCTCCAGCACCACCAGATGGAAGACTAGCTTTCCAACCCCGCTCGAAGTCTTCTTGACAGCGGCTCAACAGATATTTTCTAAATAACAAACCACCCCGAACAGGTTGACCGTTCTTATCTAACACATTCTCATCTCTAATAGAATCATCTATACTATCCATCATCTTACGAGCAAATCGGGCATACATGTTAGAGAAATTTGGTTCATCGGTGGCCTTTTCAAAAGTCAATTGGATAACTAACCTAAGAGTACGACCATCAGTTTCTTTACGGGACTGCATGGCCATCTCCAAGATTTGGTCTGAAATCTTTTCAAATTTCTCTAAGGTCATCTTGTTCAAAGAACCCTTAACTTTACGATGGATAACTTCAAGGGGGATAAGTTCGTCCTCCTTGTTTTCAGCAGCCTTGGCTTCAGGTTTCTCAGCAAGCTTCTTAGGCTGCCAACGGTTGGCAGATAATTGCAATGGTTGAACTTGTTCAGCAGGAATAGTTAGAGTAGAAGGATCAGCCTTCTCACGTTCACCACCGCCACCACCACGACGGGATCCACGTTGAGAACCTCTGTGAGATCCACCGTGTCCATGATGACTCATACCACGACTAGGAGCACTCTTGTAATTACTACCAGAACGGAATCCTGCACCTGAATCGCCGAAACCGCGATCAACACCAAGACGTGACATTGATTTTCTTTCAGAGTGCCCGCCAAAGCCTGGACCAGCATGTGAGTCCCTAGTAGAACCAGAACGAGAGCTTTGACGACTGGAACCATAACCGCCACGAGAACTTTTGTCGCTAAAAGCAGAAGCAACAGTTCCCTTCATTTTCTCATCCCAACCATAAGCGGGCTTATCTGTATAGTAACTCTGGAACTGCATAAGGAAAGGGATATCGTAAAGAACTTTACCAGCCTTAATTTCTTCCTCAGTGGCGGGTCGCTTAATTGAAGAAGGATAAACGATACTAGTAAGATCAGAAATAAAACTAGCTTTGTGCAAAGAGTCCAAAGCGATAGAGGGTTTAGAAGGAGATCTTAGACTTTCAATGCCAGAAAAAATTTCTCGCTTAGGAGTTAAATTACGAGAGTTCGCTACTGAAGATTCAGGCGAAGCCTTCAGGTCCACATGCTTACCCTTATCTTCAGTTTGGTCATCAGTCTTAGGCTGTTCTTTATCAGATTTTGAGCTTGCTTCAGCTTCAAGTTTTGCCTTCTCTCCGGCTTCACGCTTAGCCTTTTCATCGGTTTCCAGCTTGGTCTTTTCTTCAGCTTCACGCTTAGCCTTTTCTTCGGTTTCCAGCTTGGTCTTTTCTTCAGCTTCACGCTTAGCCTTTTCTTCGGTTTCCAGCTTGGTCTTTTCTTCAGCTTCACGCTTAACCTTCTCTTCAGATTCCTGCTTGATCTTTTCTTCAGCTTCACGTTTGGTCTTCTCCTCAGCTTCACGTTTAGCCTTTTCTTCAGCTTCCTGCTTAGCCTTTTCTTCAGCCTCACGTTTGGTCTTCTCCTCAGCTTCACGCTTAGCCTTTTCTTCAGCTTCCTGCTTAGCCTTTTCTTCAGCCTCACGTTTGGTCTTTTCCTCGGCTTCTTGCTTGGCTTTTTCTTCAGCGTGTCGTCTAGCCTCTTCTTCAGCCTTTTCTTGAATACGTTGCTGAACAGCCTGTTTAACGGCGTCCTTGCGTTTCGACACCTCTTCTTCCGTTAGGTGAGGAGCAGAAGAACTATCTAACCGTGGACTGGATTCTTCAGACTTAGGTTGAGATTTATTCTTTTGGGGAACGACAACTTCGGTATTAGTAACAGGATTAACGATTTTCAAAGCACTGCTCTTCTTTTGCTGCTTCACAATGGGAGTGAAGCTGCCAGATCTAGGACTCATCATTGTAGCAGAGTTTGGTGAGTCAACAACCTGATCCGATACCTGGGAAGTGCTACGGGACATATTGGGGAAAGTCGGTGTATATGGGGTTTGTGGATATACGGGATAGTATTGAGGAACATAGCCTGGCTGTAACATTGCACCGTATTGCATCATGTTAGGATCAACAATGTATGGGGCTTGTCCATAGACTTGGCCATAGGGAGGTTGTACTGACATGGGCATTTGAACGGGGTTGGCAGGTGAGCCCATAGTTTGAGGAACGTTCCGAGTATTTTGAGCAGAGTTACGACCATTGGGAACGAAAGAAGGGTAACCAGGATGACCATTATTGTATTGTCTCCTGCCGTTTCCTCTGCTGTAGCGCTGAGAATCATTGCGACCATTATTTTTGTAAGAATAGCCATGCTGATAGTGGGGAGAGTATTTATTGTAGGAAGGATAAGAATTTCCATAGCGCTCGTAATTACGGTTTTGACGGTGGGGCTTACCAGAACCATTAAATGTGGGCGTGCTAGATGCAGAGTTTTGGGCCGAAGAGTTGGCAGCCTCAGAAACAGAATTTGTGTTATTAAGTTTGCCCGAAGTTGCAGAATCATTAGAACTGGAATTATTAGATGATGGGGCAGTAGCACGGGAACCTTTAGAGGCGGGACTGGATCCGGATTGTCCTGCCGAGTTAGTAGAGCTATTTCTACGAGAATAAGTACTGTTTTTGGGTTGGTTGGAAGCAACGTTTGCCTTCATGTGCTGTTTCGTAGAAATAGGAGCGTTTCTTGTGATAGAACCAAATTGAATTGGGACGGTAGGAACAGCGCCTGGTACCTGGCTTTGATCGAAAGGTGTACTTTCAGCAGCATCCTTTAATCCCTCTTGGCTAACGCTCTGTTCTTCCGAGTTAGCCGGTGTTGTCTTTTCAGCAGCATACACATTAGCAGCCTCCTCAGAACGTTTGGGTTTAGAATCAGTGCTATCACCCTGCTTGCTTTCCGAAGAAGTATTCGTGAAAGAAGGCTTTTCAGCATTTGTAGGAGTTTCCAAGGGTTTCTCCTTGTTTACCGGTTTACTTGCAGCCTTTTTATCTTGTTCTATTACGTCTGTTCTTTTAGCAGAAGAGGCAACGGGCTTTTCAGGTTTGTCTGATGCACTGGACGAAGGAGCAGCATTCTGGATATCAGTCGTAGCAGAGCCAGTAGTCGAAGGTTTATCAGCTTTAGCGGCGGCTTGAGCGGCCGGTGCTTCAGCAGGCTTGGGAGCTTGCTTCTCAGAAGTTGCGTTTTGTGGCTTTACGTTTGCATTTTTCATAGACTGGCTAGCAGCCAACGCACGTGCATAACTGAACTTTTGAGTATTCGATGGCGGCTTTGAAGACATTCTCTCTTAACTGTTATGTAAAAGAAAATAAATAAACTGAAAGAGACCACCGAATATCGAATTCTTTCAATTAGTACTTCGTTTGTTTTCTATGGAACAACCGAATCTTTCTTTCGTTTTATTTTACCTCGAAAGAAAAATGACTAATTAGAGATTCTGAGGAAACGGAATACAATAATAAACCTATATTCCAAATTCCGTTAAAAAATTAAACTACCCTCCAGAGGACTGGATAACAAATTTTCAACTGAAGTAGTTGGGTGGGTTGGTGGTGGTTAACAGGAAAATGTGAGATGGCGGTAGTAAAAGCACCCCGTCCCTGATGGCAAAGAGAACAAATAACGACATCGTTATACATCATTGTACACGACACCTCCAAAGAAATACCAGTACTTTCAGTGCAGTAGGGTTGGGTAAGTTAGTCTTCATATGTATGTTTGGTCATGAAAAGAAAGTATTTCTTATTGAGTCATCTGAACAATAGGTAAAGTTTTGTGTCGTCCAATGAACAGCAAATTCAGGTTCACTATGTACTTATACTGAGTGCACAAAATGCCTATGTCTCAGCAACGTATTTGAGTTGTTTTAAAAACTGTAATATATGCTAATGTATGCTTATTTTTAGGTATCTCTCGTTTTTCCTCCATCTTTGACTTTTCTCACAAATCGTTATTTTTCTCTCGCTTTTCTGTTGGACATCAGCTGTTGAACGAAATAGAAACTTACGACAAAAACTATGCTCTTGTAAAATGGCTTCAAGTGTTGTTCGAATTCTAGTGGATACACAAACTTGGTCCGATCAGGTGGATGTATGAAGTGTTCTTCACAATCATATTGCAGATGCTAACGGTTACCTGTATTCTAGTCGTCCTCAGAATTCCATCTATTACTTCCCGAAGAAAAATCGCAAGTAAAACGATACTATTTTGCCAAAGATGCGAATATGGCTATGGCTTCCATGCTCGTGAAGCGCCAGGTACTTGCTACCCTGTTTTGTACGGATCCTGAGTCTGTGCGATTGAGTGTATCAGAAAACGGCCGTCCTTACTATCCTAAAGAGGTATCCCAGGACACTATTTTTGATTTCAATGTGTCTCATTATGGCGGTATGGTAGTATTCGCGGGAATATGGGTTTCAAAGAACAGTTCTTCTTCTATGCTACACCAAAATAAAATTGGAATAGACATTGTTGAATGTAAACCGTTAACCGATCAACCAAACTGGATGGACGATTTTGAATTCGTATTTAGTCGAGAACAATGGAGCCGAGTCTTGTCCTACTCCGACCCATTGGCAGCTTTTTTTCTATTTTGGGCTTGCAAGGAAGCCGTTTTAAAGTCACTTGGATTGGGGCTTCATGGCAACCCTGCTCTCGTTGAATTACAAATCCCAGTTTTCCAGGATCTAGTATACGGCAGCAAGCTATGTGCGTTTCGTGCTGGAACCGCTTCCTACCTAGAGAATCATTTTCGAATTGAGTTACACAGAAAAAACATTCATGGATCTATTTTTTTCATTGCGATTGCTTATCCTGTCGATCATGATTTTACAGAGTCAGATTGGCTAGAGGTAACAAGTCTGTCTAAAGACTATTTAAAACAGAAAATTACTGAAACTTTTCATTACAATCTTTGAACATATTAGTTTTGGATTCCTTTCATACGCTACATAGATTCGTTCTTCTCTGGTATGCTACCTTGCAATTATGCACAGAATCTAAACTGCGTTTTGAGCTTTTCAGTTTCATCCTGTTCTATAAACCATAAGCATTTTCTTGCTTGTTCCATCTCTTCATTTATAATCCCATCTTTTCCTTACAAAACTTTTGTTGTTCATCATCGTTGGGTCTCGCTATAATCAAACTTGTTATTGTTGATACACTTCTACTTCAACAAACAATTAAATTATTGAATTGACATGTTAGACCGATTAAAATGCCTTGTATGGTATTCTATTGATAATCAGCAGTACAAAAATGCCATATTTTATGCAGAGAGGTTGCATGCCATAGAAGATTCAGGTGAAGGTTTATACCTCTTGGCGTATTCGCATCTTCTTAACCTTGATTACAACATTGCTTTTGATCTATTGAATCGTAATGTTAAGCACATTCCTTGTGTGTTTGTCTATGCGAAAGTGTGTTTAATTTTAGGTCGTTACAAACAAGGCATAACTACCATAGAAACCTGTCGCCCTCAATGGAAGTCCATTCTACCAAACTGTAAGTTATAGATACAAGGATATGTCTTGAAACTAATTCTTAGTAAATGATCCAAATGGTAATCGGGGTCGCCCGGACGCCTCGAGTATGCTTGATGTCTTGGGCCTAATGTACAAAAAAGCGGGTTATATAAAAAAAGCAACAGAATGCTTCGTAGAATCGATTTCCATAAATCCATATAACTTTAATTGTTTTCAAAATCTGATTGCAATCGGTATGCATCATTGAAAGCGCCTTCTCGATGCCCAGACTAAGGCGGTCTTAGTTTAAATTGTCAAAAGGGATGCTACTAACTACTAATTAGGAATTCCTCTTGATGTGGATAACATTTTTATACTCCCTCCTTATTTGAATGCCCCAAAACCTTTAGAAAAAATCCAGTCTGATTCTCCTCTGATCGGTTCTGATACCTATTCTTTAAAACGCGGGAAAAAATCTTTCCCATCACTACCGAAGCAAACAACACCTAAGTTCCCAGTTAACCCTTCCTCCAGCTCTTCCATTTCGGCTTTTACAAATTGGTTCGACCGAATTGACAATACCGCGTTGGACAGTCACGAAGTGGAAGAAGAAGGATCAAAAGAGGAAGCAAAATCAAATCTGAACTTGGCTCCTTATACAGATCTTTCTAAACCATCAACAGGCTCCTCTTCTGTACGAAAGGACTTTCTCTCAAAGAACGAAATAGCCAGTGCAAAGCTGTCTACATCTAAAGCTGGTGCGCGCTTTGCGGCAAAATTACGAGAAGCTAGCAATAAACGAAATGAGGGAGAGTTACCTGTAAATTATAAGGATGAGGATGTTAATTTATTAGAGCTGCTAAAGATCTTTGCAAAAGGTTGCTATTCTTTAGCCCGCTATCAATTAAGGGACGCATTGTCATATTTTTTAAACTTACCAAGGGAACATAGAACCACGCCTTTTGTACTCTCCAAAATAGGGGTGACATATTTCGAGATGGTCAATTACGAAAAAGCCGAAGAAGTATTTCAGAAGCTTCGTGATATTCGCCCATCGCAAGTAACGGATATGGAAATTTATTCAACAGCTCTTTGGCACTTACAAAAATCCGTTCCTCTGTCTTATTTAGCTCATGAAATGCTGGAGGCCAGCCCATACTCTCCAGAGGCCTGGTGTATATTGGCCAATTGCTTCTCTTTACAAAGAGAGCACTCACAGGCACTGAAATGTATAAATAGAGCATTACAATTAGATCCTACCTTTGAATACGCATACACGCTTCAGGGTCATGAACATTCCGCTAATGAGGAATATGAAAAGTCGAAAACATCATTTAGAAAAGCCATACGTATTAATGCCCGACATTATAATGCTTGGTATGGTTTAGGCATGGTGTATTTGAAAACAGGAAGAAATGATCAAGCCGACTTTCATTTTCAGCGAGCAGCCGAAATTAATTCCAACAACTCCGTTTTGACAAGTTGTATTGGTATGATCTTTGAGAGAGGTAAAGACTTTGGGAAAGCCTTAGAATTTTACTGCAAGGCTTGTGAATTAGATGAAAAATCTTCGCTAGCGAGGTTCAAAAAGGCAAAAGTTTTGATTTTACTGCACGACTATGATAAAGCATTAACCGAACTGGAACGATTAAAATCTGTTGCACCAGACGAAGCCAACGTTCACTTTATGTTGGGAAAAATTTACAAACAAAGGGGGCAGAAGAATTTGGCGATGAGGCATTTGACGATTGCATGGAACTTGGATGGAAAAGCCAATCACATAATAAAAGAATCCATTGAAAATCTCGACGTTCCTGAAGAAAACTTACTTACCGAAACAGGTGAAATTTACAAGAATTATGACAATTAAAGGAATTCCTTTTATGACAAACTCTCAACTACATTATTATGGTTTATGATGATTCGTAAGTATTGACTACTCATAGGATAACAAAAAGAATTATAATTTATTTTTACATCATAATTTTATAACCTACATTCTGAAAGCGAATGTAAAATATTTCATATTGCAACTCCATTTGAGTACTCATCTTCCTAAAGCAAACTTGGGTAGTATCGAATCATTCGTTATTTCTGTTACCACCTTACCAACTTTGCAATTTACCAACTCTTACGTCAAAAAATACTATTTTCTTTCCGTCTTAGTTTCTAAGTTAATAAGAAAGGAAAAATTAGAAAAGGGATCATGGGATTCTTCAAGAGTACCGCATTATCTACGATTTCGATTTTCGCTGGGTTATGTGGAATCAATAAGTTTTGGAATCTGCCGGAGCCTTTCCGATTTCAATTTCGTTATTTTGCATGCTACGCTTTTCTAGCAATTAGTGCCGCTTACGGTGTTGTTGCTTCTGCCATTGCTCGTTTGTGTGGACGACCAGTTCTAGGGCAATATCTCACTGCAAAAGCCTACTATAAATTGGCGAGCCCGATTTTAGACGTACGCTTCCGAATTGAAAATGAAGAAATTTTAAAAACGGTCAAGCCAGCTGTCATTGTGACCAACCATCAGTCGTAAGTACAAAGTGATAAATATAAGTAATCAATCACCTATAGCTAACTGATATTCTCAAGCGAACTAGATATTTTGGTTATTGGAAGTACTTTTCAACCAAATTTCTCAGTAATTTCTAAGAAGTCCCTGAAATACATTCCTTTACTAGGATGGTTCATGCTACTTTCTAATGCTGTGTTTGTCGACCGAGCTAAACGTGCAGATGCCATTGCAGTTTTCACAGAAGCAGCTCAACGAATGAAGAGGGAGAAGCTTAATATTTGGGTTTTTGCTGAAGGGACTCGTACTTATGCGAAAGAGCCACTTCTCTTACCGTTAAAAAAGGGCGCTTTTCATCTAGCCCTTCAAGCTCAAGCTCCTATCATTCCTGTAGCAGTACAGAACTATTCTCATATCTTTCATCCTCCCACCAAGGTTTTCAATCGTGGCGAAGCACTTGTGAAAGTTTTGGATCCCATATCTACAGAAGGTAAAACAGTCGGGGATCTGAATTCTTTGTTGAATGAAGCACAAGACAAATTAAAAACTGCTATGGTTGACATCGATGGCTATGGAAAAGAAGATCCAAAAAAAAAGTAAATGTAAACATATTAAGACCAGTTCCACATTTTGCTTGCTTGCTTCATTCATTAAACATCGTTTTGTTTGGATGAATCAATTTTACATGTCTACACGAAATTTCAACGAGCTTATATATAGTAAATAGAATTATATTTTAATTCGTTTCACCCTAAAAGTGAAAAAAGTCCGTCAGAAACATTCATTACTTCTTTCATCTAGCTAATGTTTTCTTTATCCACTATAGCAAACGTTTCCTTTATAAGCATATTCCTGATTTCCCGTTATAAACATATGCTAGTAATTTATCTTACCTTATGCTGGTAACCGAACGAGTTCCACCGCATAATTATTGTCTCGACTGATGACAAACTTGAGTTGAACAGCTACTGAATCATTTTGTAATAATCCTTTAATATTTCGTTGGCATAGATTCAAGATTCTCTTATTATTTAAAGAGAAAGATTGCAAGACTTTGAGGTGGAATCTTTTAAAAAAATTCTATGAGTAATATTTAATTAGCGGACATTATGCAGCTATATTCCTCTGAAAGGTAAGTCGGCGTGTAAAAGGAGATGAAATGAAGAATCTATGGATAAAGGATTGGTGCTGACCAGTGTTCAGTGAATCAGACGAATCGCAATATTGGGTTGACTGGTTTTTGGGGCTTAAGGGCAATGAGTTTTTTTGCGAAGTAGATGAAGATTTTATTCAAGACCGATTTAATTTGACTGGATTGAGTCAGGAAGTTCCTCAATACTCTCATGCTATAGATTTAATTTTGGACGTTTTGGATCCTGATTTATCTGAAGAAATTCAGGATGAAGTGGAAGCTAGCGCCCGCCATCTGTATGGCCTTATTCATGCCCGTTATATTTTAACAGCTCAAGGATTGTACAAAATGGTAAGTCGAATTTGCTGAAGGGGGCTTTCAACACAGCAACTGCAACTTCATATGATGGAAGGGAGAGAGACAAATGTTGTGTTGTGTAGACCATTCTTCTCGTTTTCTTTCTTGTTTATTCAGTAAACTAACAGAACGATAGCTTGAAAAATTCAAAAAGTGTGATTTCGGTCATTGTCCTCGTGTTTTGTGCAACGGTCAGCCCATGCTACCAGTGGGTCTCTCTGACATTCCTCATACAAAATCGGTAAAGCTTTACTGTGCACGATGTGAGGATGTGTACACCCCAAAATCTCAACGGCATGCTTCCATCGACGGTGCCTACTTTGGTACCTCTTTCCCCCATATGCTGTTCCAGGTTTATCCTGAATTGGCAGTCCCAAAGTCCCATGAAAGATACATCCCTCGTATATTTGGATTTAAAGTGCATGCTTACTCAGGAATATATCGGAAACAAGACAACTACAAGGAGAAGCAAAAAAAACGTCTTCAAGGGGATAGTGCTGATTCTAAAGAAGAAAACGCCGTGACCTAAGATATTGCGACTTCTTGTATATACTGTCTCTTTTATTGTTTCTAATTATTGAAAGTGTTGAAGCTAGAAACTCCTCACGCATGGTATTAATTTGCTATACTTAGCTGTGCGTAGAGTGTAATACCTACAGAAAAAAGAAAAGGGAAAATTTATTGTATCTTTTGATGTTTAATAAATTTCTTTACATGATTTTTGATTTGATAAAAACTATTTGATATATTCTATTAATAAAGGATTTTGCTTTTAATTTTTCAGTACTACACACATCAAAACAAACTTTGTTAACAATTTTAAGAGTTATCTATATCCCTCATAAGTTCGTTAAAACTCTTACCTGTTTTAACCATTGGTATTTGCCCACAAGGAATCTCTGCACTTATTAAGGCAGAATTCAGTAGTTGTTTTGTAGGGTCAAGGCTGGCAAGATACTGGCATAACTCCGTACATACTTCCCAGTTTTTTCCTTCAAATGCTGTTTTCAAAACTTGAAGGAAAACTTCAGCGCAACTAGCAGATCCCTTATGTACCTGCCAAATAATTATACATCTAGCAGCGTTTTTTATATCCTTGTTTCGTAAACATTGATCCATCAGAGTCTGAGCGTCACCAAAATGTTTGAAGACATTTGGCCAAAAATGCGTTTCAATTTTTCTAAGACATCCTAAAACATACTTGTAAACGTTCATATCTTTGATGTTATTAAACAACACAGCGACGTTCGTCAACAATGTTTCATCAGAATCAGTGCATTCTGCAGCTATTGAAAGAAGTTTCTCAAGCACAAAATCAATAAAATGTAATGAAGCATAAGCACGCACCAAGAAAACCGCATACTCGATGTCAGATAATAAGAGAAGAGCTTTTAACAAATCTGAAAGAAACGGAAAGACATCAATTTGGATATGACAATACTCCATGTTATTCGCAGTAGTCTTGTGTTCTAACGTTGAAGCACTAACAAATAGTCCACTCTTTACAATAACCGATAATACCGTTCCAGGAACACTAAGGGGTATACTTTGCCTATTGAAAAGCTCCAGCATATTTACAGATTTCGTCAGTTTGGCGATATGGGTGTTTGTCGTTGAAAAATTATCCGGAGTTTTTACCATAAAACTGGGTGATCGTAAGTCATCTATAAAACTCAGTTGCCGTGTGTTATAAGGCTTTAGTTTTTCCGTTTCTTTCAAAGGAATGTCAGTATTTGTTGTAGTTTCATCATGCAATAATTTAGAGAGTGCTTCACCAAAAGCCATTGACAGCCTGAACCCATTTCCAGTCATAATCCACATTGAATGATACAAAGCTGGACTTTCCAAGTCTTCATTAATCATAAAAAACTCAACATCCTCAGATAGTATACAGCATCGATAGCACAAATAAGATGGACCAGCTTTTATAGGATCCAAGGTAACCAACTTACCATTGATTAAAACAAGTAGGATTGAACTATAAAGTAATTGAGACGGATCTGAGTGTAAAAATGGTCGTAAAGTAAGTAAAGTAATGGTACGTACCCTTGAAGGAGTGGTAAATACCGGAACAAAACTCACACTACTCACATGGCTTAAAAATAGAGACCGAAAATCGTCTTCAAGGCGTTCTATGTATATGTGATGTAAATAATTATCTGCCGTATAAACAAGTAAATGCGCGTCGTCACATAACGATATCGTGACAATGGTGGAAGTGAAAGCAAACTTATCAACTAAACCATCGTCCAATTTCTTCCTTATATCATAAATATGGAGCTCGAAATTCGATTCGTGTAGTAAACCTACTATAAGATAGTCTTCATGCCATATCATAGGACAGGTGACAGTCAATGACTGTTCCAAAGATCCATTATCGAAAACATTCCAAATTCTACTTTGAACATCGTATGCTGCAAATCCATGGAAGCCAGCTATAGCGATATAGTCGCCACTTTTGCTAATGGCAGTATATCGAATAGGCCATTCGGCAGAGATATAGGTTTGAGGATATTCTACTTGAATCCAGGTAGAACTTCCGAAATTTGCTGCCAGATTATTGTATTTGGAATATGCTTTTGATATGAATAATCTATCACTAGACTGTACCCCGATTATATTGGTAGTGCCATACGCACTATTCGTGATAGTGCTTTTAAGGAAAGGAAGTATATATAAACAACAACTGCCATTGGAGACGGCGTAATTATCTTCCTGTACAAACGAAAAATTAAAATTATTTGGCGTATTTTGCGCATCTTTAAGACTTTCTTTCTTTTCAACTGAAATCCTGTTTTCTCCTTTAATCGGATTTCGTAAGCCGAAAAACGCACAGCCATCTTTATCCCAAAATCCATCATAAAAACCATATTTAAAGAATTCTGAATCATTACTGGACGAGCATGGATGTAAGTAAGGTGAATAACTTATCCAAGCTGATTCATAACCTACCATAATCTGAAAGCCATCACTGGCAGTTGAGATGTGTGTAACAGATCCAAGATTGGAAGGAGCATGTCGATAGTGACTACAAACATACTTCCTTCCGAAGTCTTGTATTTCATAAGCATAAACGCTGCCATCACTTGTGCCAACATATAGTAAAGAAAATCTAGCATTAGTCGACAATGCAGTGGCCAATTTCTTGTCATTTTCATCATTCATGTTTTTCGGATTATGAATGCATACACCGAACAAACTTTTAGTATTTGTATTAGCAGAGACACCAATATTGGCGTATACGCGCCCGTCCGTGGACATCCAGAAAAAAGTGTCGATCCTCCTGTCAAAATACAATTGCCTAATCAAAGATTTATGATCTAAAAACCATGTAACCTCGCGTAAATCGTATTGCTTACTGGAAACTTTCCATAAATATTTAGGATCCGTGCTCTCTAGCGTAGACACCTGAATAATCGGAGCCGTGTAAGCTGAATACACTATCGAATCACCCTGTACTTCGAGACAACTAACACCTCCGTCATAGCGGATTGCCATTTTGTACTGAACAGAACAAGCAATAGGTCCTAGAATTTCACCGGGACCATCATCATAGCGTTCGGTATCCGGAGTAGGTACAAGGAGAGGTTCAGATGCATTTAAATGAAAATAATATACAGCAATGAAATTGTTCTCTGTTGCTACTGCAATAATTCCATACTCAGAACCGATAGCAATCTTTTTATTTTTTCCATGGCGAACAAGAAGGTCCTGGGATTTGGTGATCTTTGATATTAAAGCTAAAGGATGAAGCTGATAGACAAAGATTTCAGTTTCGGTTAATATGACAAAGAAAGGGACTTTAGGAATGCGTCGAACTTCAATTGCATGTGAATCCAATGTCAATGTTTGAGGAATTCCATGAAAAAAGTACATTAAAAATAATTTAAAGCCAATAGGAAAAGTAAGATGTCATAAATTTCATTCAAATTAACCAACTTTACCTATTGGCATTCACTTGGAAAGTTGTGGTTCTTGTTACTAAGGTCTTTCGATTCCTTTTAAGTGTTACGACCATTACTATTTGTTACTCTCTGTTTTAGTATAGGATGAGATTTAATAGCTTAATACGTATTTATTTCAATATTTTACTTGTACAAATGCTTCCGAATTACAACTTGAAAGGATAACAAATAAAGAACACTCTTATAGAATTCAATGCCTTCCAGAGTCCCAGTATATACTTAAATATAATTTCAGAAGACCATTTATTATTAAGAACGAAGCGAAGAATATTCAACTAACGAATAATTCAGTATTTGATAGATAAAAGCTTCTCCTTTTGCTCATCAGATAATTCGAGCAATATAGAAAGTAAATTCACAATTTCTGTTCTCCTTTCACGTTGCTCAAGGAACTGAAAAAGAATGTTACGGGTATATTCTTTGTCGACCAATGTATTGCTGTTTTGTTGGTCAACGCTAGCTCGAGAAAGAGAAATGCTTGAACTACGATCAGATAAATTACCTTGACTTTGTTTCCTGCGATGCTGACCAAACATTACCTTGAAAGACTTTTGTAAGTGTTCGTAACGAGCAGTTGATTCATCCAGGGCGGCAGCCAAACTCTTGTTTTCTGCTTCCAAGGTCCTTAACGTCCCTTCCATCTGCAAGTGCTGACCGTTTCCCGGGTTGCTTTTATCAAGTTTTATCTTTTGAATACCATCCGAAAGTACTTGGTTTTGTTGTGTAAGCTCTGCGTCTTTCAGTTTTAAGCGCTCAAGCTCAGACATGGTAACTTGGTATTTGGCTTCAAGTTCAGATAAAACTGAATTTTTTTCTTGCAAAGCTATGTTGTACTCTTCAGTCAACTGATGGATGCGCAACTCTGCAGCATTTTGAGAATTACCTCGATCAATTTCTAGTTGTTCCACAAGACCCCTTAACTTTTGACAATCCCTAGTTTGATCAAGTAGAAGCTTATAAACTTCTTCAAACTCCTCTTGCTTGGTCTGGGTTGCCTCCTTGTTTTCGTGAATTTGTCTAGAATATTCATTCGATTGCTCCGTAAGAAAGACGAGTTTTTTATTCAGTTCACTGATCACATTCATTTTTTCTTCGTTGTCTTTTTGCAATACATCTACTTCCCTCAATATGCTCTTTTCCTTTCCATGCGCTATTTCAAGTTGTTTGGATGTATGAACCAGTTTTTCTTGAGATAACTTCAGGTTCTTTTGGGCTTCTGAACGTGACTGGAGAAGCTTATTTGTTAGATCATCATTGTTGGAAAGCCTTTCTAAAAGCTGTTGTTTTTCTTCGCGCAAAGAATCACAAGAAGTCTCGGCCCAGAGAAGATTTTTGCGACATTCTTCAACTTCTTTCTGTAAAGATTCAATAGAAGAATTCAGCACAAAAATATTATTCCTATGGGTCTCTTCTTTATTATGAAAATTCGCTGATTCTGTTTTGAGCTTTTTCTCAGCTGCTTCCAGCTCCTTCCGAAGTGACTCTACGATTGTTGGTAAGGCTTCATCTTTTTTGAAAGGTATAGACGGTAGCTGTAAAAAGACGTCTTCTGCTTTCGTCAATGTGGGTGAAGGTGTAGAAGGAATTGAAATATTGGATAATTGAAGGTAAGCTTCAACGGAAGACAGCCTATTATTCTGCACATTTTCTTGTTCTTCAGGGGAAGCATTTCCGGTGATGGACTGGGAAAAATTTAAATTTTCCTGTACTAGTCCTGGGTTCTCATCAGCATGTCTTTCCTTTTGATTCTTTTTGATTTTTCGTTTCTTTTTCTTTGCGGAAGATCTATTCGTTGTTATAGTAGTTTCAGGAGGAACACTTCCTTCTTTTGGTGTAGAGCTCTGAGGTAAAAGAGAAAAGTAATCCTCTACTTTCGATAAAGATACCGCTTTATCATCGGATTGATTTTTGCTCTCAGATGATGATAAACGAGCTATTTCAGAAGAAAACTTTTCTTTTAAGCACTTGAACTTCTCTTCAAATTCTTGCCTAGATGTCTTCAACAAGGTATCTGCTTCCTGAAGCTCATTAGATAGTCTCTTAACTTCGCGAATCGAAATTTCATATCGGTGTTCCAAATTATCTAGAAACTCTAGGAATCCTTCTATATCAGAAATGCTAGACAATGGGGTCTTTTCCTGTAGAACTGTTTGAAACCTATCAATTGTGAGTCGAAGGTCTGCTAATTCACTCTGGAGGATAACTAGATCCTCTGTACCATAATGTCCAGAAGAGTTTTCCGTTGACCCAATATGCTGCTGATGAATCTCCTGAAGTTGTCGCCGTCGATTTTTGGCTTCTTCTTGCCCTTGAACTAATGTCAAATTAAACTGATCCTTCAATCGTCCCAGCATCCTTCAATCTTATTAAATTATAGACTAAAAACTATTAAGCTGTTTTCATAAAATTTCCATGTAATATTCATCAATTGAGTAAGTTCTATTCATGTCCTTTTCTTCTCGTTTACCTTTGGTGTATATTGTTCATATGAGAGTTATGTTTTGGTTCAAACCCTCGTTTAAGAAAGCCCTTATTGGTAATAAGCATTATGGTACGAATAAGTTACGTAAGTTCGTTTAATTCTTTTACTTCAGTATCATTTGTTTATATGGTAAAGCTTGTTTGCTCACGCTCTTACTACTGAATGACAGCAACCAGACATTAAAACCCCTTCTATAAGTGGAAGAATACACCGATAATCAACATCAAGACGAATAATACTTTTAACAGATATTAATTCATATAAGAATAATTATTAATGTATTAAGTCTAATCATAATTTATTTAAATCTTCGTCTCCGCTACACAGATTTCGACTTTTCACTGGACACAATTGTGGTTGTAGCAGAAACAAGATTTCTAATTCAATAACCTTTTTTTTTTCTCCGATTATCGAGTATCGAATTCTTAAAATTTCACTTGTCGCAAATAATCATATCATATCAAAACACATAAATCATTAAATCAAGCAAATCATTAATTATACACATTTCCATGTTAAAGTATACAAGATCATAGACGTATTCATAAACATACAAAAAAGCAAAGCCAAAGAATAAGAAAAGGAAAACTAGCACTTGCTAGCTGTAGGAGGGAAAAGGCCAATTTGCTGAGCACTTGCAATGGATCTCAGCTTACGACGAGCATTATTAGGAGCTGGGAAAGATTCTTCCATTCCCCTACTGGGTCCATGACTAACAAAAATTTTAGGACGATAAGCAGGATTTTCATCCATAACGCATGAATTGCGGAATTTCTCAATAAGTCTTTCTTTTCCCTGAATATTAGCATAGCTAATATCACAAATCTTCTCAGAGTGGAAAACGTTCCATTGAGTACCCACTCTAGCTTTGCCGAAAGTGACGATCGCCTCAGGCTCAATGAAGTTTATGAACGCATACCCAACATTGCACTTATTTACAAAGTCTATGCGAAGGTACAAAAAGTCATATGTTCCTTGGTTGGTAAGGTCGATGTATTCACGAAGCATTTGTTGCGTAAACTTGTTCGGAATGTTCTTGATCATCACAGTTGTGCGATTGTCGAGCCCTGCTGCAATGCGTGCGTAATCGACTGAATTTCTATCAACCGAAATCGGTCTTTCAGGAACAGCTGTAAGACCTTGAAAACCATTCTCGGCTCCATAAAAAGGCGCAGGGCAGAAACCACTAGGGTCAGCACGTGAATCGTGAAGAGTCAACGAAGCAAAGCTTAAATTAGCCGGATTAGAACGTGAAGCATTAGCATCTACTGTCAAACTTCGTCTCATACCGACAGAGTTTGTGGGAGAATCTACTCCTCCTTTAAGAGAAGAAGGTGTGAATGGATTCCATTGTCCAGAATATCCATTTAAGAGATCTACCGCTCTTTGTTTTCCACGACTCGAGGTTGGAGGTGCAATAGGAGAAACATCCATACTGTAACGAGATGCACTTAAAGGCCTTCTACTGTTGTTCATTGAAACAGTTGGACTCGTAGACAAAAGGTCATAGTGTCCTCCAGTGCCCCAAGCTGGTGAAGATTCGGTACGCCCTAAAGGAACTGATCTTAATGAATTGGACAAAGTAGAATATTGAGATCCCAAATTAGAAGATGTCCTTTTTAACAAGGGCGTAACATCTTGACCATTATTCGTCGACGGGTACATCCAGTCATTCGGCGCTTGAGTCGAATTGATGCTTTTATTAACAGAGTGACTCGATATGGAAGACGAACTAACAGAATCTACCATAGCATCGTAATAAGCAACTTGTAGACAGCAGTTATGAATGATTCTACCATCCAGTTCATCCAAGGCGAATGATGCATCACGAGTATCATAAAATTCGCAAAGGATTTGAGAGGGATTTTGACCCTTGAGAGGCTTTAAACAAAGCAATGGACCAAATGTTTGTAAAATAGACTGCAATTGTTGAATAGAAAGAGTTACCTGCCCTTGCATGGTAAACAACAACTGACCTTCGTTATCATCAAGAAACTGAATAGGAGCGCCCTGATTAATCATACGCTGAATGCTAGAGCGCTGACAAATTTGAAAGTTCAGTAAGCGATCATTAAAAAAACGCTGTGTGCGAAGTATTTTTGCTGTCTGGATAGCTTGACGAACGTCAAAAAAAGCAACTATGCAAATACCATCAGTTGACAAGGCGGATGTGTCCAATCCTTTCACGTCACCAAATCTGGAAAAAAGCTCCAACAAAGTAGCATAAGGGACGATTCGGGGTAAATTTGAAATAAACAGATATCTGGATGCAGAAGAAAACATATCCAAATCATCAGATGGGCCGGGATATGAAGCAGAGCGGTGAAGAGCTGTTGGAAACTGGTTATATGAAAGCAAAGAACTGTTTACATTGGGTGCAGCATAATCACTGTAAGTAGAAGGTTGAGGAGGTGATTCTGAAAGAGCCACATTTGTCTGCCAAGAACCCAAAGGCTGTCTTTCAGTAAAAGTTTCTCCTCTGGAAGGCATCTTTCGCTCTGAAAATTTTGCAGACTCGGCAGCGGGCAGAGCTACAGAGGAATATTGAAAAGCGTTTTCATCATTTTGGGTATAAGTTAAACCAGGAATAGATTCGATTTTTCGATCACCGTTCATATTTTCCTTGGAATTGTTAGAAGATAGACCCATTGTTCGGTTATGGTGGATACTGTTCAAAAGCTGGCCAGACTTTTGGTTATAGGGTTCACCGCCGTTAGACAACAAAGGAGAGTCGAGAAGACTGGAAGGGAGAGCATGAAGGGTCCTGTCTATGTCGATTTGAAAAGTAGATTCCGAAGAGGAATGAGATGCTAATGAAACCGAGGATGTAGATGCCATCATAAAAGAAAGAACACGAAAAGATTATGTGAGATACTCGAAAGAGATTTAAAGAAACTAAAAAATAAAACCAAGAGTTGCAAATATAAAAATTAAGTTAATGAAGCAGCAATTCTTGAATCAAAAAGAAAGTTAAAAAAGACAATGAATTACAAGAAACAGAAACTTATTAGAAAGCACCAATATATGTCAGCTCAGAAGGGAATGAGCTTCTTCAAAAATAACAAAAGAATCAGAAAAGGAAACTCCAAACGGGTACGGAAACCAGGATGATACAAACTATCGAGTAATTGGGAAACAAACAGTAGTAAAGGACGAAGGAACAGCAAAAAAAACTGCTATGTTGCTTTCAATTAAAATTAAAAGATCAAAGGTAAAAGGTAAAACGAGTCAAATTGGCTGAAAAAAAAGGAAGAAGAGAAAAAAAAGCAAAAAAGACAAACCCAATGAAACTAGGAAAAAAGAAATTGTATGTAAAAACTCCACAAAGGAAATGCTCAATTATATATAAAATAAGGAGAGAGATTAGAAAAAAACACCCAAGAAACGGCAAAAGTTTGGGGCAAATTAGGACCGAGTAAACAAACAAAAGCAGGTAACAATGTTAGGGGACAATAACCAAAATGAGGGTAAACAAAGATAAACCCAAAGCAATTATATCACAGAAAGAGGGGACGTAGAGACAAGCGGAAACGCACAATGGAAAAGAATTAAAAAAAAAAGAAAGAAAAACCTTTAAAAGGATTGTTGATAATAAAAGAATTTTTGGAAGAATGTGGGTGTTTGGCTGGGAAAGAAGGAAAAATATTTTTGGTTTATTTGAAGGAAAAGAGCGAAAAATGAGAAAAGAGAAGAGAAAGGAAAGATTTCTTTAAGAACGTTCCATAAATACAAGGAGAGAATTAGAAAAAAACCTGTTTCAAGGTCGAAAAAATAAAAAATGAAGAGGGAAAAACAAAATAACTACAAAAATCAGTATCCTCAAGAAAAATTGAATGCAATGTAGTCTTGGTGGATGGATAAGACTGAAGTGAAGGTGCGGTAGTGGCTATCGATGGTATTTAAGGAAAACGGAATAACCTAAAGACAAAGAAACCTAAACAAAGGACCTGTTGAACCAATCAAACAAGAGAAAAGCAGCTTCGTCTGCAAACAAAGAAATTAAGTAAAAAAGGGGTATTTGGGGACAAGAATGAAAAATAACAAAGCCGGCTGGACAAAGCAAAGAAAAGTTATGAAAGGAAGCGGAGAGGCTTTGCTCAACAATGCAAAACAAAAACCTACTGCAAGGAAACGAAGCTTAAATACGTGAAGAATTGGTTATCAGTGGTTGCAGGATTTGTGTCTAGATGCATCCCATGCTATGGATTATGTCGTAAATTGAGCTCATAGAAGTTAATCGAAGCGAGAACAAAGAAAACAAGCTTAAGCTCGCCATCGTCGCGTTAAAGCGAACAAATCAAAAATCGGGTGGATTCGGTAACCGAGACAAACTACGTTTAATTTGACAAAAGGTAAAAAGACTCTTCCAGCTTAGGTTAGAACAATTATGGTTATCTCCTCATATTTCATAAGTTTTAACCAAACAAATCAATGGTTGCTTATCAAACGTAACCAAATTGTTTCCTGGAGTAACTCAAAGCGATTAGCGTCAGATGTTACGAAACACCGAGAAAACGGTTGCAGATGTTATACACCACCATAGATTCCCTTCCTACGAGAAGAGAAGTGTGTAATCTTTTCTTTTAAAGATTCGTTTTTTTTTTCTTTTTTTTTCTATAAAAATAGAAGAGAAGGAACCCCTCATCCATGATGTATCAAGATACTGCGTAAGATATCCGTTGCTCGGGTTTGTCTGTTTTTGCCCAAGCGATGTGAGGGTCCATAACCTTAATGGAGTCCACTCTTTGGACTTTAATTGCTTTCCCCGATCTTTGGTGAAAAAGACTATAAAACTGGATAACAAGCTCGACATTTCTCCTCACGTTCAAAGCCTTAACATGAGGGGTCTTATGCATATGATATGGAAAGCAGTACATGATTTCCATATAAATATAGCAGTTGCTGCTGCTCGCGACTAACATCTCACGAGAATGTCCAAATTAAGATATGCGGATGTAGTGTGTTCGGCTGGTAGTTTACCAATTTCGAAGATTAAGATAGCTGTAGAATGTTGTATTTCGCATACGATATCAAGTAAAAATGGGCAACAGTACTGATTTTGCGCTAGAGATCTGATAGTCGTCTACGCAAGCCATAACCAATTGTAAGGGTTATCACTCTACTTCTAGGCAACGGTGATTTTGAGAAATCGTGAAGTGACTGAATCACCGAAATTTTTGAAATGGAAATGCGATGATGCATTTTTACTTGCTTTTGTTTTCATTATAATTTTTTGGGGTACTGTTTTCTTGTCTTTTGTGTCATTGTTTTGGAAAATATCGGAGAGATTGTATAAGCATGTAACGAGTTTTATTTTTTTTTTTTTTGGTCATATGAACGAAGGAAGATTCCGAGTCAATTATCGATGAACAGAGCCGGCATTGGATAAGAAGGGAACAAAAGAGAGCTTTAGCTTAGTTTTGTGAGTAGTATTCTGTTCATTGTCGAAAAAAAACAAATACGTCAATAAGTAAACGACTAAACAAAAAAAAAAAAGAAAAAAAAAAGAAAGAAAAAGCATTAGAATCAAAGCCAAGAATCAAGATGACATCGAGGATGATTAAGAATTCGCTTGTTATGTATTTTCCGTCAGCAAGCCTAGCCTGGATAGGCTGTAGCTCGGGGAGTTGTCGTCACATAGTCATTATTGTCGAACGTAAGGGAATGTCAGGTCTTTTGTCCTTTGCATATCCCTAGCAAGGTATACCAATAGGTTTTATTTTGCTTTTCATTATGAGTTTGACTCCTCGTATTGCTGCTCTTGTTTCGCGTCCTCAAAACGCCTGGAATTTACTAGCGGAAAGTACGAAACTTCAAAGGACGTTTCAATTCAAAAATTTCATTGAGGCTTTTGGCTTCATGACCTGTGTGGCCTTGCGAGCTCAACAAATGAACCACCACCCAGAATGGAGCAATGTATTCAACAAGGTAGATATTACACTGACCACACACACGACAAAAGGCTTGACAGAAAAGGATATCAAATTGGCAGAGTTCATTGACACTGTCTGCACAAAACACTAGTTTTGCTTGTCCTGTCACGTCTTATGGGATCGTCAGTTATGCATATTAATTCATTATGATAGAGAAGTGCCTAGAAGTTGAGGAGCACAGCTTTCATAAACTTTTAATGTAAAGAATGAAATTTATCATAAAATAAAATTTCTAAAAGTTTCATTAATGTACAGATTCCGAACAGGTAGCGACATGTATAGTCTAAGCTGTAACAAACAGGGCCGGATGTTGAAGACGGAATCTCAAAATTTATCTGAAAAATAAAAAAAAGGTTTTTCTTTTAAGGCGTTTAGCTAGAAATCAATATTTTTCCAAGACAACCAAAAGGTGAGGCTCACCATTCTGACAATTGATCTAGTCGTTGTACATGGCTAGTGAGGTTCCGAAGAATAGCCTGGTGATATTCTGGTGCAGAGCTTTTGCTTGCAGCAATCCGTGCCATAGCAATGCGGTTGGCTCGTTCTTGACGTTCTTGCTCTGCTTCATCTCCTGCGACAATGTCACGATAATTCCAAAAGTCAATAGCTTCAGAAGCATGTGGTAGAACAAAAGCTTTTCGGACCATGGGTTTAGTGGTGTTTGCCATGGAAAGCCGTTGAAAAACGTTTCCAAACGAACAATAGCTTTTAGAAGGACCTTGAGTGGAAAATGGGTCCATCATGAAATAGTGAAACAATAAAATGTAGGTAAACAGTTGCACCTTGGATTGGAAGCTATAAAGAGAAATAGAAAATATTGTAAGGTAAACAAACAAACAATTATGGAATAAGCATGGATCTAAATTTGTATTTCTGCTAAGGGTGATTCCCTGGAAACTTTGTTTAATGCTATTGAAACAGACTACAGAAGAAATGAAATGAAATGAAAAGGAAAGAAAATAACAAAAGCAAAACAGAGTTTATAGACAAAAAACTGCTTTCTCGTATTGCCTGCAAGAATATCAAATTTTCTGCTTAACGCAGTAAAACAACCTCGTTATGTTGTAAACAAACAAAACAAAAGAGAAAGAAAGCCGTAAAGAACAGAAAAAAAAAGGGTGAACTTCATGAATATTCGAATTAATGATTACTTTATTTAACAAAATAAAAAAAAAGCCGCTTCCTCGATGTTGCATTCCTATGATTCTGATATATTGGACAACTAATGAACAAAGTTTGATCATCCTTTTAGGCATATCTTTTTACGCACATAATTCTTTCCAGTGAAAAATTGAAGACAATGACAAAGACTATTCGTTTATCCTTTATGTCCTCTGGATATGGCATTGCAAGAACTTCAGAGCCATCATAATTCACAAACATCACATTCGGTAAACGAAATATCAAGCACGGTGCTGTTTTGCAAATTGATTGTTCTTTCATCTCACCTTACTCAGGACGATCATTAGAATGAATCCTTCTCGTTGAGTTTTCTCTACCTGTCTCTCCAGAGTTACGCTTTCCTATCGACTTCGCGACTTTGCTTCTTACACACACCACCAAAGGCAGGTTATCATGATTGGAATCGCATATCGGTCGTTTTCAAGGCCGCTTTTTTCATCTCGTTTTGTTCACCAGAGAATTAATGGACGATACTTCAATGTTTTTGCTCTTTTGGAATACCAACAAGGAAAGCCTGAACCAGCTTCGCTCTCCGCAATCGAAGCTGCTAAACGCACTGGAGGAGATGTATTTGCCTTTGTTATGGGTCCCAATGCGTCTCAAGTCGCTCAACAAGCCTCCAAGTCCGTGGATGGATTAAAGAAGGTGATTCATGTGGAAAACAACGCCTATGAGCGTTATTTACCGGATCAGGTGGCGAAAGTTATGTACGAAAATGCAAAAAAATCAGGTGCATCTCATATCTTTAGCGCTCACAGTACTGTTGGAAAAGGAGTTATGCCTCGACTAGCTGCCATGTTGGATGTAATGCAAATTAGCGATGTGATCGGTGTCGTCGACGAAGATACTTTCGTTCGTCCTACCTATGCTGGAAATGTAAACGTGCAGGTTACCACTAAGGACCCTGTCAAGCTCGTTACAGTACGTGCATCTGCTTTTGATCCCGCTCCAGCAATTGAGAATGGCTCCGCTGCTATCGAGGCTGGTGTGGACCCTCAACCTGCTGCTTTACAATCTTGGGTAAGCGAAAACATTGTTAAAAGTGAACGTCCTGACCTCGGCTCTGCTGAACGCGTCGTTGCTGGTGGCCGTCCCTTGAAAGATAAAGCTACCTTTGAAAAGACCTTAATTCCTCTAGCTGACAAATTGGGAGCTGCTATTGGTGCTACTCGTGTTGCCGTTGACTCTGGGTATGCTGATAACTCTTTGCAAATCGGACAAACCGGAAAAATCATTGCTCCCAAACTGTACATTGCTGTTGGCGTCGATGGTGCCATCCAGCATACAGCAGGTATTAAAGACAGCAAATTCATCGCTTCTATTAACCGTGATGAAAACTCTCCTATCTTCCAGCATTCTGATGTAGGCTTGGTTGCTGACTTGTATGAAGCTGTACCCGAGCTTATTGAGAAGCTATAATCATATTATGTTATTATTTTACAATGGCTATTTTTTTGTACCTATATCTAAGTAAATTATATTAGGACCTTCTGTTCTTTTCGTAATTTATTTAACGTCCAAGTGTTATCCTTCTGTTTTTACGCCCTCTTCCTTTTCTAATACAATAAACTGAGTTTGAAATATAATAAGAGGAAATCAATTTTAGTATACCTTCCTATATGAAACACATACGGATCGTCTATTTATAAATTGCATAAAGCACTATAGAGGGTCAAAAGACCACAGTGAAATTCTTGGAATTCACCCTCTTCAGATTTTTCCTTTTGGTTATCTTTTAATCAGAAATCAAAAATCAAATGATGGAAGCACCCCAACTTGTAACTTTGTATTATCAAGGTAAAAGAACTTTCTCATGAACATTGCACAAAGTACTGCACCATAGTAAGCACAGGCAAATGAGATTAAATAAACAAAAAGTAATACTTAGAATTAAACATCTACCTTTTAGGATAATCTTAGAATCCGCGAGCAGCACCCCGGCCTCTACCACGACCACGACCACGGCCTCTTCCACGGCCACGAACAGCTTCCTTTTTCTTTTGTTTAGGTTTCGTACTATCATCAATTAAAAGGGTATCCAAAGGTAATGAATCTGGGAGGATGTAGTAGCGAATGTTATTACCACGAATGGACAGTGTTTCCAAAGGGACTGGTTCGCGTCCTTTCACGGTCATTTTGACAGCTTTTAAATGCGTGTTCATCTGCATGTCTACAGCGGTAATTGTTCCATGAAGGATAGTTCCTATTTTCAGATGCATTAGCCCATATTCTCACTCCTATGAAAAAGTGGTTGTGCGTACCATTTTTAAGCTCTATGGAAACCGTTTCATTTGTTAATTTCATTAAAAATCTATTCCATTAGTCTAGAAAACTTGATTTTCGCACATACCGAACCAATTTCATATTGAAATTATATACAGGTGTTGTCGGTTCGTATGTAGGAGAGTTTGACAATGCATGCATCTGCGCAATGACAAAAAATTATATACATACGTACCATTAAATTTTAAAGCCATGAGAAAGCTAAAATCGTTTTATTCTATTTTTCTTTTTCTTTTTATTTATCCCGTCTGTTTCCTACTATATTTCCGAAGACTAGACTAGCTTTCGTATATTATTATAAATAGCAGTTGCAAACGGATTTGCGTATAAATAACATTTCATAAGTATTTTACTAGAATACCGAAACCATAAGACATTGAGTGTCGAACAAATGAATGAAGTATCGTTGGCGCTTCTCAAGACGAGTTTTCCTTAAATTTTCGATGAAGCGTAGAACAAAAGCTTTCATAAACTAAGTAGTCTTTTCCTTCGGTCCAACAGCATTGGCCTTTGTCATTGTTGTAACAAACTGTACACCAAAGATTGTCCCCCATGTTAGTTTGGGAAGGGTTTTGATGCTTACTCATTCGTCTAGCTTTGCGAGACCAAGAAATGCCATTAGAAAAAACAGATACTTTATCGTCATGACGGCTGCACTCAACATTCATAGTATCCAAGAATCGATCGAGTGTCTCAAAAAACGTTTGCTTGTCCATACCAACATTCCACTCGTATAACGTTTTTCTAGGTAGCAGTTTTGGGAGGGAAAAAGAGGCAGGTCGTATCAGATGCTAAATATGTCAGTGAACAAAATCAAATATGATGGACTTAGGCGTCTTACGTTGTAGGGTCTTCGATGTGAATAAGACCAACTTAAAATCCACCGTTTTGTCTTGCCCAAATTTATTTCGTAAATCCCATAGTTATCAATCTACACAATGAGATTAGTCGGAGCTTTTTTTCAATGGTGGAAATACCTTTTCGTTTCTCAAATCTTGCACCACATCCACAAGACTTGATTTTTTTCCAAGCAAACAAGTAAACCATGATATGTCACGTCTATATTTACTTTCCTGGAGAATTCGCCTTGCAAAGTCAACTTCACCGCCCTGCGTAATCATCTCGTTTTTACTTCCGGTGCATACAGCATAAGGAACCCGTTCTTTATTGTTCATAAGTTCTTCTTCGTTTCCATAAAACGGAGGATTGCACATAACAAAGGAAAACTCCTGGCTACTTGGATGTTTCGAAAGAAGAGAATGGTTTTCGGAGCGAAGCTCAAGATTAATTTTGTCTTCCATTTGGTTATTCTTAACGTTCAAACAAGCTGTATCGTAAGAAGATGGATCGGTTTCTAAAGATTAGTTAGTGTTGCAAGCTTGCGAGAAACTCAAAAGAAAGACAAACCTGTCCCTAAAAAGCGGAATAAGTACATCCTGGATCCAAGCAAAGGATAGATACATGAAGCTCCTGTCCCAATGTCCAATCCTATCACGTTTTCACTACTAAAACCAGGCACTGTACTTTGTAGGAGATTCCATATGTAGTCTAGATACAAAACACTTAACACAGTTAGGACACTAGAAAATAAAATCATACTATGGATAGGTAAACCATACCGGTTGGGGACCTAATGCGTTAGTTTTCGACCTGTATAGGAACAAGTTTTTACCATAGGACATAATCGATTTTTTGGCAGAGACAAGTCCAACGAAAAGTACACTTCTAAAATGGCTTTCGATAAGGTTCTGCTGAAATTAGAATCTGGCAATCCCGCTGGATCTGAAGCCAACTTACAAAACAGCATCCTGATTCCAAAAGTCGATATGTCCACCTTGGAGACTGAATAAAACGGGTTAGCACAGAAATTCAGAAAAGAAAAAATAAGCCACAAAATAATACGTACAAAGGCTTCAAAGGAGGATAAGTTTGAGACAATTTTTGAAAGTCCAAGTGAAGAATTGAGTCTAGCTTGCTCTCGTTTGTAAATGCCGTCTCCATGATAGAGAAAGGCTCTAATGAAAAAGGAAAAACATTAGAACGCTCCTCAAGAATTTGAATTAGCCTTTACGAAATATGCAAAGCTGAACACAAGATATATAGTTACAATCATATCATTAATTTAAATATTTTCTAATGGAATATTGTTACTTTGCGAAAAGCTACATAAATTCTACCAAAAATAACAAAATGTAAAAGAACTATGCTATGAGAGATTTATATTCATGAAGAACTATTGTTAAATTATCGCTAATGTATAATAATAGTGCATTTAAACAGTCAAGTAGAGACCTTCAACAGGGTTAGTCTCCTCAAAGTAGTTCAGGTAGGACTTGTCAGTAATGGCAGACAATTCATATGAGACAGCCTGGTAGGAAGAAGGACAAGTTATATTGGTGGTATAATCACATCCATTCGAAGAGCAGTTAAAGCGGCCAATTTCAGCAATGCGATTAGGGTGATTGGCCCAAGTAGTGCTGTCGTCAGCGACAGAGGAAAGGTTGTAGAGGTTGAATTCACCGACACCGTTGGGACCATTCACATTGATAGGGAACCCATGGTTATCAATATGGAAGTGGAGCTGACAACCCTTGTCAGTAACCTGAGGAACATCGAAAGTGAAGATGGTGTTAACATGATCATTTTCCTTTTGAGAGGCAACAGGAGAGTAGACATTTCCAGAATTGGAGTCGGCAGATGAAGTGTTGGTAAGGCGAATACCATTAGGGAATATAGGATAAATGCTAGATTCGGTGCTTTCAGATTGCGTAGAATAGTTAGATTCCTTCTTGTCCTTATTGTCTGTGGCCGGGACAACGACGCACTTGGTAGTATAGGGCAAAAGAGTAGAAGACGAAGAGGCAGAACTGGCAGTAGCAACAGTTTCTACTTTAGCAGCAGAAGACGTTGTGGTAGTAGAAGAAGAACTGGAAGAACTTTGGTTTGGAATGGCAAGAACTGAGATGCCAGTACATTTGCTGTCTCCGGTACCATCACCATAAAAGATAGAGTAGACGTTGGAATCTTCTTTGAGAGGACAAGCAACCGGATCTTTACCATTATAGACGAAGTGGTAACCGGCAGAAACATGGTCTCCAAAAGAAAATCCTTTGGCAGCACCCTTACTATCCGACTTGAAGATCAAAGCACCTTCATCAGCGATATGAGCATATTCATTTTTATAGACGAGATGACCATCCTTCAACTTGAAACTGGTACTCGTATCTGCATGATCATAAGGATCCAGATAGACGTTACCAGACTCACCTACATAAAATTCATGCAAATGAACATATAAATTACCAGAGTGGACGCTCAATAAACCAAAATCTTCATTATCTTTAAGATCAGAACGCTTGGTCAAAGGAGCGGCAAGAGACGAAATAGGGACATAAGCCAAAAGAGAGAGTAAGGCTGAAAAAGAAACTGAATTAAACAACTTCATAATGCGAAACGTAAATAACCGTATGAGTTATGATTTTATAGGGAGGCAAACAGAAACGTATGAATATGCAAGTCAAAAAAATGCAAATAAATCCACTGATAAATAATGGATAGAAAAGTAAAACTCAATATTTAGGGAATCGATGCAATTTGAAAATGAAAATTTATGCAAAAGGAAAGGGAATAAACAACGAAGAAAAATATGCAAAATAAAATAAAAGATCTTTCGGTAATCCTTAAAAAAATGTAGGATGAATCACACAAATAAATAAGACTTAAATGTAATCTTGAGTGATGGTTTCCAATGGAGGGAACAGGGTCCTATTTATAGTAAAAAGTTTCCGCGCCATCACTCTTACATTCCCTTCCGGAATTATCGAATGACGGACAAAAGTCCTTCTGCGTAAGCTATCCCCACTTTCAAACGTTTTCGCCTCGCGAATGCATCGTTCTCTCAAATTCCTACAGGTTGTAAACAATGTGTATGCAACGATCGTCCGAGTTGATGTTGTCCCATATGACACTCATTCCTTATAGCCGAACGTTTACCTTTTTCGGTAAGAAAGTGAGCAAAAAATGAACAAAAGTCTTTATAATTCAACATGTAGTAAACTGTCACTCAAAGAACAATGTCTAATTTTCTTTTTGTATGAGATTATTATTTTTTTTTCTTTTTTTTTTTTTTAATCTCGGCTTTTCTAGGATTGATTCGTTACATTGCTTATGTCAACAAAACGACAACTACGTTTGCTCATCACGTTTTCCAATGTATTGGTTACATCCCTCAACCTTGCTGTGGCAGCATGTTCAGACGTAAAACTTAAATGAGACAAGCGAGAAGTTGTTTTGGGTAGAAAAAAGTCCATTTTAAATTTAAATAGGTCAACATCTGTCCGCGAAACTTGTATATTACCTCTATTCATTTTTTATTTCCTCTCATTTCTTTTTTGTTTTTATTTTCGTTCCATTTTTTACCTTTCGGAGTTATCTACTTCATTTGCTTCTTTTTCCGGTAAAATCACGGACTTTTCGGTCCTATTGACATCAGTTCTCCTCATTTTCCGGAAACATTTTTTTCTGGATCTAGTCCTTTCCCGGAGAAAATTTCCACCGAAACCGGATTTAAAAGTCACCGGTTTCTCCGAAATCCCGAGAATATGGGCATCCTGTCGTGACAAATATAAGAGGTCTGTGGTGGGGGTGAACGGAAAACTCAAGTACCAAAGAGAGAGAGAGAGAGTGGGTAGTGAAGTGATAGGTGTCGATACTACATAAATAGCGTAGTAAAAGGAAACTTCAAAACACTGAATAGGAAGGTGTTTCAGCGCCGTATACAAAACAACAAACTAGTCCGCGTTCGCTCGTAAACTAATTAAGAGAGGGTAACCAATTCGCAAATAAATAAATAAATAGCGCGAGAATAGAATGAATGGATGAAGAAATCAAATGCAAACACTGAAAATACGTAGAAGATGTCAAGACTTCCATGATTATAACGAATCACAATTAAAAGAAGGAGTACCGACATTCCAATTCCAATTCCAATTCCATTACAAGCAGAATTAACTTGTGAGCACCAGTTTCTCGCACAAGATTTATCAAGACACTTTCTTCTTTCGTTTCGTAAATACATAAAAATCGCACATCTCGCACAAAAAAAAAATTATAACACGTTTTCATAAGATGACAGAATTCTCACGCATTGACCATATTATCACTAAAGACCCTTGTTTTCTATTGCAAGAAACTGAATCGTTTCTTGAACCTGCCCGTACTTTTGCAAAACAAATTTCATGAACTACGTTCATGACACAATTGGAATAGATAATTTGCTGAAGAGGGATAAATCATTGTGAATGATGTTATTCACGGTATCACTAGTAATTCCAAAAACTTGCGCATCATAAGAAAGTAAGCAAATCAAGAAAAGATCCATGGTAAAAAGACGGGCTGGAATTTTATTTTTATATCCAAAGTCCCCATTTACTTGTTCAAAGAAACATAAGACAAGGGACGAAGAAGAGATGGATAAACGCACTGTGTTGATAATTTTAGCGTTTTCTTGAACAAGTCAAGTGGACAAGAAAGCTGAATGAAATCGACGTTCACATATATATCCATCAACATTCGCTTAGTCTGTCTACAAGAGTACACGACTTTTTTTTTTTTTTCCTTCCTAATCATGTTTTCTTTTTCTACTGAGTAGAATCATTCGAAAGGCCCTTTCTTGACAATTCCTAATTCCCATACGCGTCGAACGCGTTTCGATTAAACCCCATGCTTAAGAAATTCTTTCATTCCTGCTCTTTCCATACATACTTGAATGTTTCAAGAGTTTACTTTTCTCTTTGGGGGCCTTCCCGATACGAGTACACTCTGTTTAAACTTCCTGGTTTTGTTTACATGTACGTCGTTCTTCCTCACCCTGAAGGCTGCACTAAGCGATATTCCTTATAAAGTAGATAACGTGAATTTGTTCTGAAAGGCGAAGGTAAATATCATGCAAAACAAAATTTAATATCATAGGCGAGGGGTAAGTGTCGCATTTGATCTTTTCGTTAAGAATATTATTATCACAGCCACATAGAATACCGCGTTAGTGTGATTGATGATACAGCAGATCGTTAAGGAATTGTCGCCTAATACGAAGTAAACAAACAATAAAGAATGGAGCACGTATGCAATGGATGATCAATTAGGATCAATTGAAAAGGTAGATCTATTGATTTACTTGTTTGTTGCTCTCGAAACACACAATAATATGGTGTGAGGATCCTGCCGCGAAAGATAACACTAAGGAGTGTATTGCTATACGACGAAAGTAAACAATCATAAAGTAAAAAAGTGAAGATACAAGTTTGTACGAATGAAAAGATATACGGATACACACACTCACATACATACACAAGAATGAAATAGATCACTTGTTAGAAGAGCTAATAGCGTCTAATTGTTTCCAGCTATACCTTCAATGGTCGAACGAGTGAACGTTTCTCTTCATCTTTTCTAATCTATCTAGAGGACAGTACTGCTACTTGTTAGTAAATCAAATTCCAAACAAACTTCAAATTTGCACCGAATAGCTTGTTTAGACATTCCACTCATTCCCATTCATACTCAATACTATTCTTCCCGTGACAGGATTCAGTCGCATTCAGCAAACGTTTGCTAATGCTCATTTTCTACAGGAATTACAGCTACTATTTATTTTTACATATACCAAAATAATTTCTATCTCAATAAATTAAGTTTTAATTAGTATTCCTAGCGATAATGCATGTTGCTACCTTTGTATTTACATTAAACATGATTTGATTTGCATAACGACTTTGCAAACTCATTATATTTAAAAAGTTGCGAAACATGAGCATCACTCGGACGTTCCCTTTTTTTAGTTCGTTCAGAATCAAAGTAACGATTCACCGAAAAAGGTTTCATCTCAAGTGCGAGACTATGTACGCGTTGGGGAATCTTCATGTAATTGTCTACTGAACGGTCATTTCTATGACTTAAAGACATAGATAGCCATTCATAGTCTTCTTTTTGATCCAGGTCAACGTGTAAAACCTCTTTCCTAGCTTTGTTCAAATCCTGTTTTAATTTTCTGATCATTTCCTGAAACTTCATTCGAAGTTTTTGTTCATTTTGTTTGAACGTTTCTTCCAGCTGTTGCTTTTCCTCGAGTAATACTTTCATAAGGTGATCATTGTCGTTTAGATTTTTTTGATCAGATTTTGTTTTCATCAATTCTTTCCGGAGCCCACTCTCCAAAACTTCAAAGCTTTTTATCTTCTTCTCAAGATCTTCTTTCTCTCTAGTCTGTTTACTCAACCTGTCAATTTGAATTTTTAGGTGAGTAATCAGCTCGTTTGTTTCGGAAACTGCTAGTTTAAGAGAGCTATTTTCTTTTACCAAATCTTGTTTTTTGAATTTTTCTTTTGACGGAGAAGGTAAAGCTGTAAGTATAACATCCCTAAAACACTGAGGGTTAAATTCAGAAAAAACCGCTTCACCCTTCTCGACAATATAAGATTGTAGTTTCAGTAAGCTTCTCCTAATTTCTTCGGAGAACTCCTTCCAAACTTTTATTATTCGCGGATAAGTATTCTGACTGTGCCCACCCTGATTTTGCGATTCGAAAAGTAATTTTTCGACTACTGATGAAAGATTCGGTGAGATGATTTTTTCTTTGGGAAAAAACACCTTTCCCTGTTCGTCTTTGTGTTGTAAGAATACTTTTATCTCTTTAGTTATAGCTGCTAATTCACTTATTTCACTTAGTACACCGTCCGAATCATCAATTTGAGTCTCATAAATATTTTCTGTAACCATGTCAATAAGAAAGACGGAGTTTAACAGCTGCACACATCGGTAGAGCTCATCAAAAGAGTTAAAAATAACATCACTAGCCCTTTCTTTTACCCAATTTTCAATTCGACCCCAGATATCCTGAAGAATTCCTTTATTAGGCCCTCCGGGATCTTTAACATATGCTTCAAATAAATGGAAAATGTCAATAATTGTGTCCTTTAATCGTAGATCGGAAGATAAAGCAAAAGCTCCATTTTCGCAAGTGAATGCAATTAACCATTTGCTCCATTCTGTAACCAAAATAATATAATACCACTGTTCAATAAAGTCTGAGGAAAGTTTTGGTTTCCCATTTTCGGCTTGGTTGATTTTATTGTAGATGCCTTGATTGAAGGAGGAAGAAACTTTTTGTATATAAAAAAGCATGAAAGAAATTTCCGAAACGCAGCCAGATTCGTCATCCAAATATAGCTTTTGTAATATTTCGAATCTAAATTCATAACATTGTTTTGTCAGGTTCGCTAAGTTATGAAAGACTTCCCGTACAAATACTGCCGTGTTGTCCATATCTGCAAGCGTTGAGTGAAAACTAAATTGTAAGAAACCCCTTCAATATACGTGTTTAGACTCACCTTCGATATTCAGTTTGCTCTCGTTGAAGTTTCTGTGTTTGCAGATTTTCTATGTTTTGAGAGAAAGTATTTTCAAATAAAATAAAAAGCTCGGCTTTCCGTTTGTCTTCTTTTTCTAAGGAAGCTATTTTGTCTGACTGATCTCGTTCGATTTCATCAGAAAGCTCCTTCAACAGCTGAAGATCTTTAACTTGAATTTTCAATTCAAGGTTTTCCTTCTTTATTTCATCAATGGAGCATGCGTAATCTCCATCATTTTCGTCCTTTGCTTTGACTTCGTACATTGTTTTGTTGCTTACCAGCATATCTGCAGGCTTTTCTGTAATCACATCCTCTTGAGTAAGTTTCTTCATTTCAGTATCTTCAAATTCGTTTTCAATTCCTTGACCTTTAAGTTTACAATGTTTAAGCTGCTGTTTTAGTATTTCAATTTCTTCTTGCATCGAAAGCATCTTTTTCTGTAGCTTTGGCCGAATGCTTTTCCATGCTGAATTCATTTCCTTCTCCTTATTTAGCTCTTCCAGTTCCAAACTCGTTTTCTTTAACTGCTCATTAGCCTTATTGTGGGAAGTTTTGTAGTAGTTTAAACTGTTAAGGGCTTCGTTTAGTTCTTTATGCAACGTTTCTATTTCTAGTTTTAATTGAAACTTTGTGTTGCTTTCAATAATTGTATCCTCCTCCAGTAATAAATGGGGAGCAGAAATGCGAGAATTAGTAAAATCGATTGATGCTCTTTTATCATTTTTAAAGCTCTCATTTATTGGAGTATCTTCTAAAGAGTCACTTCCAATTGAAATAAGCGTAGTTTCAGAATCTGCCGTTAGTTCAAGAAGAGGAGTAGAAACATTTGAGCCTTCAACTTTAGTTGGGGTGGACACGTTTAAGCTTGGACAGACAACTTTCTTTTTATTATCCCTTCCTTTTGAGTTCTCTTCTTTTGTTTTGTTTTCCTTTGCTTTATAGGATGCTTTTGTTGAGGTCTGCTTGTCTATAGATTTTGGTTTCTTTCTTGAATCAGAGTTTACTCGAGTTTTATCGGTTTGTTTTCTAACATTAGTAGAACATGCTCTTATGAAAACGCCTTTTCCTTCTTCACACGTGAAATAGCGTTTTCCTTGTATTGATCCATCATTTCGTCCAACTTTGTCAACCATCTCCACGCCAAGCCAAATTCCAGACGCGAAATCGGTACTTCCAGCAAAACGAACTATTCCTAATTCATCATGTACTAAAACTGAATCTCCTACATTTACATAACTCATTTTTTAGAGATTTTACACATATTTGGAGTAATTGAGACAGACAAGAAATATTAACGACCGCTCGCGTCTCACGCGCTATGTCAACATTCGTACGAAGATAATCATTACAAGACTATTATAAAAAATAGTTAAGCTTTAGTTGTTATTATTTAATTTATTATTTACTCTAACATCTTACACAACATTCTCAACTTTTCTAAAAGGTATTAATCATTGTCTAAGTCTACGTACAAAGGGTAGGATATTAAATGAATTCAAAAAAAGACAAACCAAGTTACTACATAAAATTGTAGCTTTTTTTTAAGATGACAACAAGAGACATTAACGATCGGGTTAGGAAGAAGGGGAAGGTTCATTTTCTTCGTCAGAGAAAAGATTATCCAGTTCACCCTCACCTTTATTATTTGATTTATTTTCACTTTCGTGAGTGTCGTTGAAAGATTTATTTGGCGGGGAGGATGGAGAAGGATTCTTACCTTGACCTTCCGTAGATTCAGCAGGCTGTTCATTATCGGATTCGTCAAAGGTGTAATCTTCTGAAATTACACGCTTGCTTTTACGGCGCTTCTTTGATAATTTGTTTCTGGCATCTGAAAGCGGAATCTCATCATCATCAGTGTTATCTTCATTAACGGTGTCGGTGTCTTTATCAGCTTTAGAGCTAGATTTGCGTTTTCTTCTTTCGCCTTTTCTTTTTCTTCCCGAATGTTTCTCATCAGCATCAGAGGCAACACTAAGCTCTTCTTCAATTTCTTTTTCTTGGTTCTTTCTCCACTGTAAAACTTCCTCTTGCATACCTTTCCGCTCTTCCTCAAGCTCACGTTCACGTTCTTCTTGGGCTTTGCGCAAAGCTTCTTCTTCTGCCATTCTTCTAGCTTTTTCCTTCTCGCGATTGAGTTTGGCTTCATCGAGCTTGGCAGTAACAGCGGCTTCATACTCGGATTGTTGTTGAAGAGCACGCTCCAGTCTTTTTCTGGTAGTGTTTGTAGCCATTTTTACACGCTGCTCAATATCAGTAGGGGGGTAAGGAGGTTGTTTGGACGTCACTAATGAACTAAAAATATTCACAGAGTCGTCCAATTCCTTTATAGCGAATTTTAAGTCTTCCACGGTTCGAGAGCTTTCAGGCTGAGTGTAAATCAGTTCAGAAAGCTGGAATTGAACGAAGGCTACGTTGAATTGTAGGCTAGTGTTTTCTGAGTTCTTCTCCAAAGCCATTCTCGAGTACTTCAATGACTCTTTCAAGAAATCAGCGCGTTTTTCTTCGCGGCCTCGTTGCAACCACACTCGACCAAGGCAACTTAAAATTCCATAAACATCATCGCCACCTGTCATAGATAAAACAGTTTCAAAAACTTCCGTTGCTCGACTGAATTGCTTCAATTCGGCCAAGCAGTTACCAATATTAATTAACGTAGTAACATCTTTGATGGACTCGCGAATTTTGCTTAGGATGAGCAAAGCTTTAGAAAACTGTCTACTTTGAGCAAATGTCACGGCAATTCCTTGAGCGGCATGAGCGTTCTTCGGATCAAATTTTATAGCTTGATCGTAAGACTGGACAGCTTTAATATAAAGTTTTTGACGTTTACCCCGATCTTTATCGGTTTGAGCACGAATCTCCCGAGCTTGTCGCATATAAGCATTACCAAGTTGGACAAGAGAATATATATCATCGTGCCAATGTCGTAAGGTTTGAGAACAATGCCGAACCTCGGGATCCTCAGCGGGACGACGTTTTTGTTTGCTTAAATACCAACCAAAGAATGCCCGTACTTCCAAATTATCCGCATCATTCGTCATTAAATGTCGAATGGACTTAAAAGTCTCTTCCTGGGGATTAGCTAATTGCAACAAACAAAGACGAACACGGGCATCAGAGAAAGAAGGTTGGAGCTCTATTATCTTATTATAGATTTCCATCGATTTTTCAACATTACCAAGCTCTTCTTCGCAACGGGCAAGATTAAAATCAAGTACAAGTAAGATTTCGGGATCAATATCGAGATCTTCCTTTCTAGCCACTGAGAAATAATCCTTGGCGTCCTTGAAATTACCAAGATGGTAGTTTAACACACCAATGTTGTTCAAAAGTTCAGGGTGAATTGTAATATGAGCATTTTTTAAGAAGTCGTGGGCACGTTGCAAAAAGCTTAAGCTTTTCCTTGTATCTTCTTTTTCCCATAATCTAGCTTGAGTAATATACAAGTCAGAGTCGACAACCCTTGGTATCTTAGAAGAACCGATTAAATTAAAGGCACGATCCAAAAGCATCCGAGGCTTCGTAAAGTCGATTTTTATTTCGGATGCGTAGAGACACCCTAAAATAATTAATGCCTCTGCACATTTGGGATGCTGTTCAGTAATACGCTCAAAAGTCAACTTGGCACTAGTCAAGTCATTTTGGAGGATCTGAATTTGGCCTATTCCTAAAAATGATAAAAGATGGCGATCCTCGACAGAACGCGCTCTTTGGTAGCAGGTCATAGCCTTTTCATAATTTTGCATTTGATGATAGGCTCGACCCATCCAAAAATAGCCATCCGCAATGAGAGAAGGAGAGAAAGAATTTTGCACTACAGTATTGGCTAGCTTAACGCAGCCATCTAGACTGCGTTTAGAATAAACATAACCAGCCAGGATGCAAGAAGCGACGGGATCACTTGGCATAGCTTTAAAAGCAGCTTGGGTGTATTGTAAAGCTTCGCCATAGTATTGCAAGAAACGATCCGAGTTGGCATTCTCAAACGCAAGATCATAGTAGTATAATCCCAAATAAGTATTAACAAAATGATTTTGATGATCCAATTCTTTTGCACGAGTCCAAGCACTGAACGCATCATCTTTCATATTCAAATTCCAAAAGCAAAGACCGATACCAATCCGAGGATCAGGTTGGGCTTGCGGATTGCTGACGAGAGCACGCTGGTAAAGCTTCAAGGCTCCTCTATAATTTCCTCGAGAGTATAGAATACGGGCTTTGCCCATTAATGCAAAGACATTGCCTTCGGATCGTTGCAACACAAAATCAAAACAGCGAAGAGAGTTTTCTAGGGAATCTTTGTCAAGGGGGTTCAACAAAATTCGATAAATTCCATGAAGCAAGACATTTGCCTCTAATTTTGGGTTAAGGCGATTGGCAGCTTCCAGATATGTTCGTACATTCTGCAAATGCTGATCACGAGCAGCATTATCCTTCTTCCAAACGGCATGTCTCACCAGATGTAAATAAATAGAGCAAATATTTGCATTTAAAAGGCACTGACTTTCGGTATCCTTCAAAACATTCAGTGCGGAACTTAAAATGAACAGTGCTTGATTGAAAAGACCGCGTATATGGTATTCACGAGCAAATTTTGTCCAATAATCCTTTCCGGCTTGTTCATTTGTTAATATTTCTACCAATTCAGATGCATCCTCCGGCAAACTTGAACAGTCAATTTCTACAGTTTGATCTTCTTGACCTAGCAAAGGCACTTCAATGATTCGAGAGGCAAGAGTATCCAAGGTAAACCCCTCCATTGCATTCGAAGCTCTTCAGAACGTTGAATTCCTCTCAAGGAAGCAAATACAACGTTGATTGTAATTTCTTCTTCCAGCTAAGGTAGTCCTTGTAAAGTAGTCGTCTCTTCGAAACAGAAAATTGCGCACCCCGTTAAAGTACGTTAAATTTTATAGTGAGCCTTATAGTGATGTAAAAAACTAACATGCCGTAAAGCAATTTAAGAGGCAAAACAAACAATAAATAAATAAATAATATTTAAGAAAATAAGAGAAATTGTGAAATTTCTAAAAACTTTAATATCTAATAGATTCTGTTTCATAAAATATGGATTTCTTTTTGACATGACTATTACTTGCGCCGAAAAAGGACGTTCTTTATCGTTAGTAAATAAACAGAGAAATGATTATCCATATATCGTATTTTCTTTTTCTTTTCCTTTTTATCCGTTTTATTTGAACTAGAATAAAGTAATTTTTTGATTCTATAATGAGGGAAGAGATAGATTCGATGTTTCAAGCTTTGAATACATTTACGACTTGTCCAGTATGATATCGTAAAATCTTGCAAAGGCGCTATAAGAAACGAAAAACAAAGAAGCTACTTTGATTGTTATTACAATTAAAATAACGATTACTATTTTTATTTTTTTTTTAAGCAAAGAACTCTTTTTTATTTTGCACGTCTTGCGCATTATGAATGATTACAGAATGCAAGATGAAATCTATGTCTTGCGTAAGACTTACGAAGTCCTCAAAGTAAGATTGGTAAGGGAAATCGGGCGAGTTTCTCATAATGAAGCATTGACGCAGACGTATATGTATGTATATATATATATACATACTCTTGGTCTACGTACGTACGAATTCGTGAGTTATATCATATCCTTTTGATTTTAAAAGCCTTTTGAATTTTGAATTCAAACTCATCAAAGTCTGTTATTACAATAACTTTTATTTATTCATTTTTTTTTGTAAAAACTAGAGAAAGAAAGGAATTATTCTTAGTCAAGAAACGATAATATACCGACAACTTTTTTCCCGGTAATTTGCGACAGAAATCGTTTGAACCGAATATTAAGTACAAAGACAGATTCTTCCCGGACGCACTTTTAGCTTACATATAATTTGGTATAATTTGTTCAACTTTAATATCTTAGTTTTGTTTCCTGTGCGATTTCACATTTTCATCTTTCATAATGCAAATTACTCGTGAAACTAAATATATTCTCGGAAGTATTTTGTCTTTGGGAATCAGCTTTTCGACTTTGCTAGCTCATATATTTTCGAGTCCGTCGCTTCCATGGGTTTATAATCACAATGCGACTCCCTTTTTCGCAAATAAGATCATGCTGGGTACCTATATTGCGATTGAATACCTATTCTTTCTCAGCATGAACATTCCTCTTCTATTGCTTGGGGATCAGGTTAACGATTTCAGTTTCTCTATCATTCACTCCTCTATTTGGTATAACATCCTTGTCATTTTGACTGTTCTTACGTTTGTTCGCGAAAAGTTTTATTGGACGGCCTTATTGTCGTTACTTTTGTTTTCCACAGCGTTTACCATGTACAGTCAATCTCTTCGCTTAAGAAATGGCGTCATTGAAATGCTTACCATGAAATTTCCTTCGAAACTCGTCTTTGGAAAATCTATCTGGTTTGTTGTCTATGCCTTCTCAGTTGCCATTCATTGCCGGAGCATCGGGTGTCGTGTATTCTCTAACGTTTTCATTTGGTTTGTTGCCATCTTATATTTAGCACCCATTTTGGGTTTTCATGATTGGGCTCTCTCTCTCATCAGCGCTTACTTGTTTGGTGCCATCGGTGTTGGTCAGCTTCTCATTCATCTTTTTGCCCTCCAACACATCTTTGCCTTCATCATTTCTGGCCTAATGACTCTCTTTGCTGGCCTTTTGTTCCTTCTTCCTTACAGACAAAGGCGTGCTTCTCTAACTGGCGAAAGCGCTCCACTTTTGCAAAATGATGCTGGTACCGTCCCTGCTGGTGGTGCCGTTTGAGCTTTGGGAAAATTTTATTTAGTTTTTAACGTCTTAGTGTCAATGAATGTTATGAGCTCAATAACATGATGCTGATAATGTAAGTTTCGAGACTTTCAACCACATGATCCATGACGATTAGTGTAAGTAAGTGATAGTTAAGGTGAACAAAAGTATAAGTTTTAAGGCGAAAAATTTACTCAGGGTTTGATCTGGACACGGATGGCTTCCATCCACAACTTCATGAGTCTTTTGAAATTGACTTCAATGTGTTAGTTGAATGACAGAAATTATGACCCTTGCCATGAATGTACCGTAATCGCTGTCTGTCCACTTTCCATTTGTATACCGTACAACTAGAATGGTATGACTGAAGTTTTGGTTCGAAGTTCTTTCGGTTTGAGGGTATTGAATAAATAACTGACAGCGAGCTAATCAGTATTCAAAAGAAATATGACGAAATATGAAGGTTATATCAAACCTGAACGTGATCAAGTAGCCAATCCAAAACCTCATAATACCAACGAAGCATGTTTACTGTTTTTGGTACCCAATAGCTTTCGTCTACAAATAATAAAAGCTTACCAGGAATCTTTCTGTACTGTAAAGCGGAAAAGGTAGATAAAACTTCGCCTTCCTCTATTCGGTAATCTTTAGAACTACGAATTACAAGTTCAGATGTGTCCCAATTCCGAACAAAGTTGGATGGACTCGAGCGCTTATAAAAATGTTGAGTTTCCCAAGGAGTACCACCAAAATCAGGTATAAATGGAAGCGTATCTGCGTTATATAACGTGTTTGTACTAATGAAGATACCATCGTGACATACCAGAGCTCAAAACGACGACCCAAAGGATGTCCCTGGGTCCAATTAATCATGTACCTTTCATAGGAAGCACCTAGTGCAACCATTCGATCTTTACCTTGGGTCCATTGCGACAAATACGAGATCATAAAAAGTTGTATCAAAGTCTGAAAAGCCACCAAACTGTGCGATAGGACACTCAAGTCATGTTTGTTGAAGTAAATCCACAGCCTTCTCAGTAACTAATTCAAATTCGCCAATGGAACCCTTCGTTTCTTGAAGGATAATTGCGTATAAGTTGTTTCTGTCACAAATTTCCATCTGTATCAGAAACGAACTGGTAAATAGTCATAAACATGGATGTTTTAATGATTGTGTAGATCGTATCTTTCGGAAATATCAAAAGATATGAAGATTACGCGAAAGCGAACACTGTCTCCAGCAATAAGCAGCTCTGAAATAGAGGTATTATAACTGTAGAGGACACGCTCTGTTAACCATTGAGGAGACCTAACACCTTTTCCAATTCCTGATCGTTCTATACACCAAGTAAATACCTGCTTCGAAGCTATGCGTCGAAAAGGAATAACTGAACTCTGTAAATAGAACCAATAATCTTTGGCAGTTGCTTACGGCAGGAGAACATCTTGGGGCCTCCAGCATTACTTTGACATCAAACAATGCTGTTGCAACATTTGCCATCGTGAACACCAGTAGAAGATAATTTCAGTTGAACAATATCATGCAAAAAGATTCAGTCCTAGAAAAGGGAAAGAGAAAGGGTAAGGAAGTCTTGTCAATGGATTATTTAAAAAATTCTATACTTGTGACTCACTCTCAGTCCAGCTCATCTTATGCGAATTCTGAAGAATATAAAAAAACAAAGCTTAAACAATAGAAAAAAAAGGGTAAAGTTTCTTAGTGAAACTTGAGTGAGGTCAACAAATTGTCTAAAGTCAAGAACTTTCCTTTCAATGCAAATCTCAAAAGGTAGAGTAGCTTGCTAAGCTTTCTTATGGAAGAATATTGTCATAGAAAATAGAATATTTCCTCAAAATCACCTAGGAAATATCCATATAACTCATTTTCAGTTAATACAAGCAACCCATTTGGTACTTACTCTCGACACCTCAGAGATTCCATACGTGTTCAGTCAATAATAGCGAACAGTAATGTCTAAAAAAAAGACTTATGCTTCCATTGTAAAATGTATAATTCTTAGTTGTTGAATATATTCACTCAGAAAAAACAATGCTACAGCCAGATTTCAGTTAATGTTTACAAATTCATAAAAGTATTACATATTTTGTTTTAAAAAGCTTGCTTTCCTTTAAAACTGTATGTACTTAGGTTGTCTTTACTTTACCTAACAACATTACTGGTCATCGTTCCAACCTCCAGTTCGCCGGACTAACTTCAATTCTTGTGGTTTCGAGTATATTTTTACTTTTAACTTTCTTTAATTCTTTTCTTTGTTTTTTTTCTGTAAATAACTCTTGGTTTGTATTTAAAATTCCTTCGTGAATTGCAAAGTTTTGACATTCTTCCCTTCGTCCCTAGTGATCTAGGACTCTTATAAAATATCTATAGATGTTCTCTGTAAGTCTTCGGTATTGTGTTTATATAATTTTTCTAATTTTGGTTAGGCAAAAGCAAAAACATACGAATTAAAATTCGAAGAACATAGATGCAATGGTGACTGGCAAGCTATCCCGGAAGCAGCTCGAAAATTAAATAAGCACCAACCTTCAAAATCATGTAAGCATTATATTTTTCATAGCGCTAATGGCTTTGTGTTCTAGATATTTCCGAATTAGCTAAAATTGAAGCTGTACTACACTTGGCCCTACAGGATGAACAAGAAAAGCGAATGACAGATATTGATTTGTCTTCTGTTGAAAATTGCTCCATCTTTATACCCGCCCTTCCTATCGAGCTTACGAATCCTCTCTTACAACAGTTGAATTATCTCAATGCACAGCAAGCTTCTAATGAAGAGGAACAGCAAGGGATTGCTGTTCGATTATTATTATACATATCTAGAAAGAACTTCCAGGATGCCGTGGACCTTGACTGGTCTCCAGATGGATTAAATTTATCACCGGGTATGACTGGAATTAGCATTTTACAAGCAACCATCCTTTCGGCCTTAGCTCATTTTTCCATTTCCAATTATGAGGTTTCGTATCAATACGTTAGATCTGCTATTGGTATGATTCAGAGTGCCAATGTAAAGGATAGCGTTCCATTAGAATGGGCCAAATGGTGCGAACTTTGTTACGCTGTATACGCCCAAATCTCATCTATCTCAAGGTAAGTTTCTTTATATACATAGTCTGACCTATTCCGCAGTGCCAGCCAACTGGATAGAGCTTCCATTTTGTGTCTGTGTTCAGATTACTTTGCCTCTCACACAATTATTGATCCCTTGACCCGGATCGTGCACTTTAGACAAATTTTAAAATTCTCTCATACGCTATTCCAAGAAAACAATTTTGACTCACCCATTTTCGAAAAAAGCCAAATTCAAAAACTGCATCTTCATGACTTCACGTTTGCAATCGATTATGCTAAATACTTACTCGAGCATACTTCATTTCCTCGAGCAGGCGATCAAAACTTTTTGATTGTTGAATATATAGAATCAACAATGTCCATTTGGCTCAATACGAAACAGCTTTATACGTCCGCTGTGAGTCTAATAAACATATACTATAGATTGACAGAGAAGTCGTTTCATTGTCAACAATTATTCCGGTCCCTGGTTATTCTTTTAACTCATATAGAAGAGTATGAAGAAGCTCATCAAGCATTCCAGTTATATAAGTTCTTGTGCACAAAAGCACAAGAACGTAACTTCCGCCAAAAAGGTGCTAACAAAAGCTCTTTATCTGACTTAAAGCCGATTTTTATTGACTCCATTGAAGAAGTTGTTCATATCGCTTCCTTGATGATTTCCGTTTATTCACAATACTTAAATTCTCCTCAAAAAGTAATCGAAACCTTAGACTTCATTATGAAGATAACGTCCGATCATAAAATTTTAGAAGACTCGCAAACGTTTATTCTTATTCTTCACGCTAAAGGAGTTGCCAAGTCTTACCTCTATTACAGTACGAATGATCCCAGTGTAAGGGAAGAAAATCATAAAGAAAGCGTTTCCTGTTTCAAAAAAATTCTCGAAATAGAGCCTGAAAATAAGGTTGCTCTTTATCACTTAGCTATGCAACATGCAGAAAAGCGAGAAATTATACCAGCTATCGAAACTGTCAGGCATCTTTTGAAGATAGCTCCTGATTTTAATATTCCGGCTTGGCATCTTCTGATATTGTTATTATCTTGTTCTGAACAATACGATTCAGCTCTTAAAATTGCTGATAGCGTATTAGAATCGTGGAACATAAAACAAAGTTCCATAGATGGAAGATATATACTAGCGAACCCCTCTGAAGTCAGTTTCATGAATCGTTGTGCTTTAATCGAACTAATGATAACTAAGGTGGCTCTTTACGAAGCTTCTGTGGGAGTGAAAGCAGCTATAGATCTTCAAGAAGAACTTTTTACTTTCTTTGTGAGTTTGTTTGACCTGAATGAATATGAATGTATCACTCGAAAGCCACAAAATAGGATATCCTCTAACGACCGATTAGCGGTTGAAGAAACGGAATCAGAGAAAGGAAGCTTACTCAGTTTTTCAAAAAACTCTTCCTCAAAGAAGAATAATTTGGAAACTGAACGGTTTGACACAAACGACTATAGGGATGCTTTACATGAACGTCGCACTAGTACTATTTCTTCTTTCAATCAAAAATTATGGCTAACAGCAGCCAATTTATTTGTCAAGTCTAAGCAATACGATCAGGCTCGTGGTGCCCTTTTGGAGGCAAAGAAGCTTAATGTTGATTCTCCTGGATTACATTTGGTTTATGGATTATCACTTTTAGCCCAAAAAAGAGAGGCAGAAGCGTTGGAACAACTTGAATTAGCTTTGTATTTAGATGCGCATAATCCTATCATAGCTACAACCTTAGCTAAGGTTTTATTGACTTCTGAAGATGAGACACGCAATTCTCGTGACCGTGCTGACTCCTTGCTTTTGGAAACCACATTGCAGTATGGTTGGGATTTACCAGAAGCATGGTTCTACAGTGCGGAACTATTTCAAAAATTGGGTGATGAAAAACAAGCGGCTTTCTGTTATGATTACTGTATACAACTGTCTGATACGAACCCTATAAGAAGATGGAATAATATTCAACCACGATTCATGAACGTTAGCTCGGTTTAAATAAAAATGACTGGTCATAATCCATTCTTATGTTAATTGCTTGTTTTTATATTTATAATAAGTTGACGTATATCGTTATTATCGATTAACCATAGTTTAAAACAGGAAAATTATGTTTTCGGTTGGACAGTATTGAATGATAACTTGTATTTGTTAATTTTGAATAATAGTTCATGTCCTTGAATAGTTTTCCTTATGTCGTTTTTTGTCATCTAATTTCAAAAGAAGAAACTAATTCATTTATAGACAGCATTATATAAAGTAAATCCTTCATTGATCAACAAAATTATAAGACTAACATAAGGGCTATGCTAAGTAAAGCTACGGAAATCGCTTAAGAATCTTCAGAGTTGTCGATAACGTCCTTTGAGGAAGATCTAGTGTAGTATTGATCAAGAATTTTTTTGGGAATACGTGTAAGCATTTCGCGGGGAAAGATACGGAGGAGCGACCAAGCCAAATCTAAAGTCTCTGTGATAGGACGGTTTTCATAGGCACCTTGATTAACAAAGGTTTTTTCAAATTTACCCAAAAATTCAAGTGCCAAACGATCTTCTTGAGACAACGCCTCCTCACCGACTACAGACTTCATGGAAGCAGCATCACGACCGACAGCGTACATCGCATAAAGTTGGTTGGATACATCACCATGATCATTGCGAGTCATTCCTTCGCCAATAGCAGACTTCATCAGTCTAGAAAGAGAAGGCAAAACATTAATAGGAGGATAAATACCATTATTTTGAAGCTCTCGGTCGACGAATATTTGACCTTCTGTAATATAACCGGTCAAGTCAGGAATAGGGTGAGTAATATCTAAAAATGTGTTAGATTGAATCTTTATGAATTATAAATTCAATAAACTTTGTTTTTTCTTTTCAACAGACAACATACCATTATTAGGCATAGTTAAAATGGGAATTTGAGTTATAGAACCATTACGGCCTTCTACACGACCAGCACGCTCATATATAGTAGACAAATCTGTATACATGTAACCGGGATAACCACGACGACCAGGAACTTCTTCACGAGCGGCAGAAACCTCTCGTAGTGCATCAGCATAAGAAGTCATGTCGGTGAGAATGGTAAGAACATGTTTGTCGGTTTGATAAGCTAAAAACTCTGAAGCAGTGAGAGCCAAACGTGGAGTAATGATCCGCTCAATAGTAGGGTCATTAGCCAAGTTAAGGAAGAGAGTTACACGTTCAAGAGAGCCGTTTTCTTCAAAATCACGCTGGAAGAAACGAGCTGTTTCCAAGTTGACACCCATGGCAGCGAATACGATGGAAAAGTTATCTTCATGTCCATCATGTACGTCTTTTGTGGGTCGTTTTACCAAATCTGCCTGGCGACAGATTTGAGCAGCAATTTCGTTGTGAGGAAGACCAGCAGCAGAGAAAATGGGAATTTTTTGACCACGAGCAATACTATTCATACCATCGATGGAGGAAATACCGGTTTGAATCATTTCTTCGGGATAAATACGAGCATAAGGGTTGATAGGAGAACCATTGATGTCCAAATAGTCTTCGGCCAGCAAGCTGGGACCCTTGTCAATGGGAACACCAGAACCATTGAAAACGCGCCCAAGCATGTCTTCAGATACAGGGATTCGCATGGAATGTCCTGTAAAGTCTATGCTAGTCTTTCGGACATCAACACCAGAAGTGCCTTCGAAAACCTGAACAATTGCTTTCGAACCAGCAACTTCCAAAACTTGACCAGATCGAACTGATCCATCCTACACAAGACAAGGTTAGAAAGATGACTTGCCCATGATGTTCTGTTCAAAGTCGCTGAATCGTCCAGACAACTTGATATCTTCGTTGTGTTCATACCGGTAAATTCAAATTCACAATTTCATTGTACTTTGGACGGCGAATATTACTAGCAACACAGTTAGTGATCCCATCAACACTGATTATTGGAATTCCACTTTCCAATTGACATACTCAAGGATTACCAAAGGACCAGTAATTGCATTCACAGTGCTATAAGACAATTTAGGCTTGACAGAATAGTCCCTAAGGAATTAGCAACATTTCTTATTCTTAAGTCTTACTTGACAGCGGCAGCCGCATTAATATCAAAGAGCGAAGTCATGGTTTGGTTCTCTGGAAATTCATGCTCATCGGCGTCAGGCTCGTATAGATATCAAATAAGGCGGTCATAAGATATCATTATTTAAAATAAAAAAGCTCAATGTTCTCGTTAACCCAATTTTACACAGCTCAGTGTTCTATGAAAAAGGAATAACAGATTTCTGTGTACTCGGTAAATGATACCAAGGCTGTATCGTAGTATAGGGAAAATGCAAATCTTATATGTTTATTCTCTTTCTATTTATGTTATTTTAGTTTTATTCTTCTTATATGTAACAAGTCCAAAAACGAAATAGAATCGGTTTTCAACACTATGTTTTTGAAGCGTAGAAGGTCATGCATTGATAGCTTGTACCAATCCATTTGAACGCATAGAAAAGCAGGTAGGAAATAAATAAAGGAGTAGTTAATGTACCAAAAGGTTGAGAATTGTTTAAGCTCTGTACTTATACAAACTCAAATTCTTCTCTCTTGGGAACAAGATTAAGTAGCATATACTAAAATGCCAAAAAAAAAAGCAAACAGAAATAAAAACTAAAGTTAAAATTATCATTTATAGTTGTTAACAAAATTTCCTTAAATCATTTTTGTAATGGTGGAACACCACTTAAACCTACCTATCCTCTCTCTCTACTACGTGCACTTCACCTCTGTCAAATTCCACAAAGCTCCACACTGTTCAAGGAATCCTAAAACGTTTGCGGTATTCCATTGAGATTTGCCCGAATTCCTTCCGGAAAGTTGTAAGTTACAAAAACCGTTGAAATATTCAGGGAAATGTGGAATCCAAAGAAAAAGTCGGAAGCTTTGGCCAAGTTCAAATCATTTCCTTATCCCAAGCCAGGTGCTTCAGATTTGCTGGATTCGGGTCCAAGGATATACGCGAAAAGATCCTTTCTGCAAAAAGTTGTGTTTTTCGTGGTTCTTTTGCTATGCTTTGGGTTTTTCTTGAAGCACCATACGAGTTCTCAGTCTCACCACAGTAAAGTGGTGATGATCGTTGCTAGTAATGACGGCGGTGGTGTATTGGATGTTAAAAGTTCCGACCAATGGATTTTAGAAAATATCTCCCAGAAAAACAAACAAGAATATGCAAAGCGTCATGGATATGATTTAGTTTTCAAAAGTGAAGGAATGAAACGCCGCTATGCTCATGAATGGCGAGAATCCTGGGAAAAAGCAGACTATATACTCGAAGCAATGAAAAATTTCCCTAATGCTGAATGGTTCTGGTGGTTGGACTTAACTACCTACATTATGGAGCCTCAATATTCTATTGAAAAACACATCATAAATCGTCTTCCTAAGATTGCTGTTCGCAACATCACTGATCCCTTGGAATTCAATCCCCGCAATTACAAGCAAATTCCTTTTGTGGATTATTCAGAAGATATAAACTTTATCTTGGGTCAGGACTGCAATGGCTTTAGTCTTGGTTCTTTTATCATCCGCAGGAGTGAATGGTCCAAGCGACTTTTGGATTTTCTCTGGGATCCTGCCGTCTACGGACAGAAGCACACTGAATGGCCTCATGACGAACAGAATGTCCTTGAATACTTTTATGAACATAACGCTTGGTTACGTAATGGAATGGCGTTTGTTCCTTTAAGAACTTTGAACGCCTATACTAGAGGCGCTTGTGAAAGCGATAGTAGCAATCCGCAGTTCTTCTATAATCACAAACAGAGAGACTTTTTAGTCAATTTGGCTGGCTGTAATTATGGTAGAAATTGCAAGGAGGAGATTGAGTATTATCGATCCATACAGGGAAGTCGATCTGGTTTCTCGAAATATTTTTCTTTTCTCTCTTTTTAAATGATATATGCATTTGTTTTCTTGAGTCATTCTTTTAAAATCTATTCCCTACATCCCTAATCGATTATTATCAAAATCATCTTCAATTTGCTAACTAATATTCTTTTGAAATATTAATGTGTAGGGAAGTTTTGGGTTCTGGAAATTTACACACATGTTTTGTGTTTTTTATTAATATATGTCAACCATTGATAATCCTTGAATTGATGTTGATTTTCTAGTTCGAATGTCTTAATTGCTTATTTTATTTCATTGTGTTTAAATATGGCGACGATCCAAGATGTCGCCTAGTCCTTGAACGTGAACAGGCTTGGGATGAAGCTTTATACTTTTGATGAATCAAAGTGTACTGACATACTTTTGTTTCTGCCTGTGGTTTTCTCCTGTTGCAGCGATCTAGCTTTTGTCGTTAAGTGAACGTGTAGAATAGTTATAGTTGAATTGGTTTGATCAGTCAATTGATCAGCAAATATTAATTGCAACTTGAGGCATGAAAAAGTGTAAGAAAGGTACCAGCACGTAGTATATTTCAACTCTACTCTGGCACTTGTAACGATTTATTCTGTAGATGTTCCTCTTGATTACAGAAATATTTTAATCATACATTTGATGGCTGTTTTTGAAGGCTTTTGGTGTACCTTGGCTTTGCTGCTTGTTGCTAGATGAAGAGGAATAAGAAAGTTCGTTTTCAACGTTGCTATTTTTTTTTTTTTTTTTTTTTTTTTTTTCTTCTTCTGTTTTTTCTTCTTCTGTTTTTAAATAATAATAAATAATTCTTTACAATAATATTTTCTATGGAAGTGCCTAATGTTCGTTAACTTGTATTATAACCCCACGGCCAACTAAAACTTTACCACTCCCAAATGGCAACTGGATTCAAATTGCCTGATTTACCTCCCGTAAAATCAGCATGGGGTCCTCATGAAACTGAGCAGTTTAGTGAAGACGTCCCTTATGCTCCTTTCAGCAAAGGTGACCGTCTAGGTAAAATTGCAGACTGGTCGGTTGAACAACCCAAAGATGGTCGTGAACAAAGAGGCCGTCAAGGAGCTTTCGCTAATCGTTTCCGTGACCAATATCAAACTTATGGTCATGGTGCCGCCTCCGTTTTTGCTTATCAACACTCTGAAGATGAATCGTCCTTCTCTGTAATTGATCGGGGCTCTGTCAACCGTGTCCGTACCTCTGCTCGTAATGGCGGAACTTTGTTGAAGGTACGTGGCCGTGGTGGTCAAAATAACCAGCGTACTGGTGCTCGCGGTGGACGTTTCGGTGGAGGAGCTGGACGCGGCAATGAAACTGTCATGACTCGTGCTTCTGGCGGTGGTGGTGCTAGAGGTCGTCGTTTTGGTTGGAAAGATTACGATAAGCATCAACGTGTCCGTAATGCCAGTGTTACTGTCGGTAATGAATGGGAGTTGCTTGAGGAAGTTGAGTTTAGTCATTTGTCCAAGCTCAACTTGGCTGCTTCTTCTCCAGAGACCGTGGACACTTACGGTTATGTTTACCCTTATGATAAGTCTTTTGACAAGGTGCACGTCAAATCCGAGAAGCCCTTGCAGGCTTTGGATCGCGTTCACTATAATCCTACCACTACTGAAGATCCTGTCATCCAAAAGCTTGCTGTTTCGAGTGAAGCCAATATATTTATCACCGATAGTATCTTGTCATTGTTGATGTGCTCTACTCGTTCCGTTCACCCATGGGATATCGTTATTACCCGTCAAAGTGGCAAACTTTTCTTTGACAAGCGTGAAGGTGGTCCTTTCGATTACCTTACCGTAAACGAGAATGCTTATGACTCTCCTATGGATGCTGATGACCGTGAAGGAGTTAACTCTCCTGCTGCTTTGTCTGTTGAAGCTACTTACATCAACCAAAACTTTTCTGTCCAAGCCATTCGTGAAGTTGAGGAAGAAAAGCACAGCTTAAATAATTCCAATCCCTTCTATAACCCCAATGAAGAGACTGAGCCTTTAGCTGCTCATGGTTATGTTTATCGTAAGGTTGATTTGTCTCTTGATACCGATGACAAACCTGTAAATTTGATGGTTCGTGCTGAAGTTGATGGTTACATGAAGACGCCTTCCAACGAAGTCCAGTATGTCTCCATCAAGGCTCTGAATGAATATGATCCCAAGTTTACCAATGTTGCTGGCTCTGTGGACTGGCGCTCTAAGCTTGAAAGCCAACGTGGTGCTGTTTTTGCTACTGAGATGAAGAATAACAGCTGCAAGCTTGCTCGCTGGACGACTGAGGCTCTATTAGCTGGTGTTGACAGTATGAAGATTGGTTTTGTTAGCCGTTCGAATATCCGTGATGCACAACACCACGGTATTCTTGGTGTTGTTGCTTATAAGCCTGCAGATTTGGCCAACCAAATGAACATGAGCTTGAGTAATGGATGGGGTATTGTACGTACTATTGCTGATGTCTGTCTCAAGATGCCCGATGGCAAGTATGTCCTTGTCAAAGATCCTAACAGACCCATTGTGCGTTTGTACTCTGTTCCTCCTGAAACTTTTGAGGAGCCTACTGCACCTGCTTCTGAAATTTCATCTTCTTGAATTCGTTTTGTAGATTTATAAAAGGATAAAAGCGTTGGAAGAGAATAAAATATTTTTTAGGAATCTGAAAAGTGGATAAGTTTCGAAGAAAGGAACCTGTATTTTAAGTGTGTTTCAGTTACGTATATAATTGAATTGGTAGTATATACACTAATAAATTACTTAGTTTTTACTATTTTCAAGGCACTTAGCTTTATTTACATGTGCTATGTCGAGCTGGTGGTTTCACTCTAATCCATAAAAGTAATTAGTGCCAGTATATTTGTTTACGATATAGATTTTTTGTGCTCTTCCTTATTCTTCCGTATCCGTCGCCACCTGCTTATACTTATATATTATTGAATAATCAAAACCTAAGCTTACAAAGCATCATCATCCATATATAAGGCTGCATAGTTCCTGCCAGAAGTGTAGTTCTGCATCCATAAAGAAATATTTTAAAAACGCTTTTTCATTCTTTTACTCTTTATTAAGCAGCAGTACCGAATAACTTTTAGGAGGAGTCTGAACCCGTTTTCGTTCTATACTAGTTATTGGTTGACTTAATCTTGAAATATAAAATAAAAAGAAAATGCAAATTCAAGAGACAAAGCCTATTGATGCTCCTGAGCATTGCCCTGGACCTTCTTCAGAAACTGCAGGATCAGCATCAGCTTGTGCAGGATGCCCAAATCAACAAATTTGCGCCTCCGCTCCTCGTGGAGAAGATCCAGATTTGCCGTTGGTAACGGAACGATTGAGTAAAATCAAACACAAGATCCTTGTGCTTTCTGGAAAAGGCGGTGTAGGAAAATCTACGTTTTCTTCTCAGTTGGCATGGGCACTATCTTTAGAAGAAGACAAACAAATTGGTTTAATGGACGTTGATATTTGTGGTCCATCGATTCCCAGAATCATGGGAGTCGAAAAAGAGGAGGCTCATCAATCTAGTGAAGGTTGGTCTCCAATCTATGTATGTCCTAATTTAGCGGTTATGTCGATCGGTTTTCTATTGCCTAGTGATGATTCATCAGTTATCTGGAGAGGACCCAAAAAGAATGGACTAATTAAGCAGTTCATTAAAGATGTCAACTGGGAGAATCTGGATTTTCTAATTGTGGACACGCCACCAGGAACTAGTGATGAGCATTTGTCTTTGGTTCAATTTTTCAAAAATGCAGGCATTGACGGCGCTATTGTCGTAACAACCCCTCAAGAGGTGGCTTTACAGGATGTTCGAAAAGAGATAGACTTTTGCAGAAAGGCTTCAATTCCTGTTTTAGGTATTGTGGAGAATATGAGTGGATTTGTGTGCCCTTCTTGTCGAAATAAGAGTAACATCTTTACTATTAATACTGGCGGTGGTGAAGCCTTAGCAAAAGAAATGAATGTTCCGTTCTTGGGACGTGTTCCTTTGGATCCTTCTATAGCTCGTTCTTGCGACTTCGGGAAAAGCTTTGTTGATGAATGCCCCGAATCGCCAGCGTCCGAAATTATAATTGATATAATAAACAGGGTGGATCAAAATTTACAAACAAAAAAAAGCTCTTCGCTGTAAAAGAATACTCATATTTGTAATAGTTATGAATATGGATATCATTGATGATAACGATAAAAAACAAGGGAAAACATTTAATAATCTGTTTATTGGGACATTGGTTTAAGTATTCAATCTAATCTTTTGTTAAAAACGCTTATGCATATAATATTAGCAAATCTATAATGAATGAAAACTCTCTATTTTCATCTTACTTACATAAATTTACCTTGTATTTCAGCTTAAGCTAAAAAGCCGAAGAATTTGAATTTTCTGTATAACATTAGGATATTACTGTGTGTATTTATGGATTATTATAACAAGTACATGTATAATATGCCTAAACACTGTGCAGACAAATTAATTTGTAGCGGAATCCAAATCATGGCAGCCGTTCAAATTGGGATAAACAAGGAAGAAACTATAGACGCTAAACATGAAAAACATCAGATGGAGAAAAAGCAAAAAAAATTGAAGCGAAAAGCAGAGACTGGCACTTCTTCAAGCGATTCATCGAAATCTGGTAAAGAGTCGCCGGACGAGAAAGATGAAGGCGAAAAGAAGAAAAAGAAGAAGAAAAAGCTGAAGAAGTCGAAACAACCACTTACCGACGAAAACTACCCAAGGTTGCAATCTACAGAAAACAACTTGCAAAAGCCTATAAAAATTGCAGATCTGCAAGAGCTTTTATTCTGGTGCCTCGCCGATGGACAAGCACCACCTTGGGTTTTGGTACGAAACAAACAACATATTCGTCGTGCAGTAGTTTTGCTGGTACCTGGTTTAGAACCTTCGCAATTTGGATTCAAACCAGTGAAGGGTGACAAGCGTTCGTTTTTGCTGCCTTCTCTTTTAAAGGATGCATGTCCCAGTGAACTATCAGACTTTGATGACATTTTTAAACAAGCATGGCCGACTCGATCTCCTGGAGACCGATATCGAGTATTCTCTCCTGTAAATGCTTTTTTGCAATCGGTTTTAAGCAATGAACAAAAAAAGAAGAGAGACCGAGAAATGAAATCCATGTCGAAGTCCAGTAAGCCGGAAGATTACCTCATGTCTTATGAGTCTTTTATTGAAGATGAATATCCTCTTCATCCTACCATCAATCTTGATTCAGAGCCCGTCGAGCTTCCTGATGGTTGGGTTGCTTCCAACGCCGATTTCCATCAACGCCCACAAAATACAATCATCATCGCTATGGATTGCGAGATGGTAAAGACTGAAAGTGGTTCCGAAATTGCTCGTGTGACCCTTGTCGATATGAAAAACGAAGTCTTGTATGATGAGCTAGTCAAGCCAGATTTCGCAATTACCGATTATGTGACCCAATTTTCTGGTATAACTGAGGAAAAACTGGCTCCAGTCACAACTAGGCTGGAAGATGTGCATACTTATTTACAGAAAACAATTGACAATAATGTGGTTTTACTGGGACATAGCCTTAACTCGGATCTCGGTTGCCTTCGTTTTGTTCATCCTCATATTATAGATACAGCTAACATCTATAATCACACACGTGGTCCTCCTTCAAAGCCGTCGCTAAAATGGTTGGCTTCGAAGTGGCTGCATAAAGAAATCCAGAAGGTTGGAGCTTTGGGTCACGATTCAGCAGAAGATGCCACGACGTGTATCGAACTTTTGAAATTAAAATTAAAAAATGGTCCTGGCTTTGGTTTGTTTAATCAAGATTTTGAATCTATTTTTCATCGCCTTTCACGACAGCAGCCTACACCATTAATTGGCGCAGTTGCTGACTATGGAAATCCGGAAGCCTGCATTGGAAAAGCGGCCCACAAAAACGTATCTTGTTCAAATGATGATGAAATTATCAGTGCTGCCGTTACTTTGTCTGATATGCACAACTTCGTTTGGGCCCGATTGCGGGAAGTAGAGCAGGTGGCTCGATGGAACGTTAATAGAGGAAATCAGAAACAAAACGATAGCACGGATTCTGATACAAGTGCTGGAGAGCAAGATAACGATGAAGTAAATCTTTCTCAAGCATTTGTTCACTTGAATAGAAGAATTCGACTTTTGTACGATTCTCTTCCAACTGGTACGCTTTTCATGATTTATACTGGAACAGGAAATCCTATAGAGATGTCTAGATTGAACGGGATTCGCCAAAACTTCCGAAAAGAGTATCAAACAAAAAAATGGGACGAGCTGTCAGTACATTGGACAGATGAAGAAAATGTAAAACTTATTAACTCCGTCGAAAGCACTCGGAACGGTCTTTCCTTTTTTACCATAAAGTAGAAAGGAATTTGGATTTTTTAGAGGTTTACAAGTCTGATGCTGGTTGTTTAGACCTTTTGTACAACACACATGAATAATCTATATCATGCGAGGTTTTTGGGTTTAATTACATTCATGGAATGTGGTAATCATTTAGATATACATAATACCTTTTGAAATTTTAGGATCAATGGTACGTGATTTTCAAGGAGAATATTAGAAAAGTAGTAGTAGTAAGTATCAAATTTCATAAACAAGTATTCATTCAAGAACATCAAGTTCTAACACATTTTCTAATTTGTACATGAAAATTATTTTCACGTATAAACAAAATTGATTTCGCCGTACCAATCAGTTTGTATTTTCGGATATGTCATAAGTAATAATAAGCATTCAACTAAAGACATGGAAATAAAGAAAGATTACTCTTGCATTTTTTTATCGCCTTGTTCTTCGGCTGGCTCGGATGGTTCAGCTGGTTTTTGAGCAGCAACTTCTTGACGAGCCCGTTCTTCGGCCATAGAAAGCTCCAAAGCCAAGGCCAACTCAGGGTCAAGGTTAGGATCAACACCATATTCGAATTGGCCTTGAGAAGCCGCAACTCCTTGTCCAATGGGAGATTGATTTACCAAGTCTGAGAGAAGTTGAGAGCTAGGGGGTACACTTACAAGATGGCTAAACATACGTTAGAAGGACTATTCTTTGTATAGCATAGTAAACCATACCAATTATCGTTAGAGTTTGCAGCTTCAATAAAACGCTGCAATGCGCCTTCGCTTTCAAGTTCTCCAATGTGGACAATATCAATAGCAATATTATTTTTCTTCATTCTCTTTGCCAAGCGTATTAAATTCTTTTCATCTTCAACGACAGGAGATCCAACGAACGCAACAATTCTAGGCCTTTGAGTCTTGTTTTCTCGATGCTTCAGGGCAAGCTGAGCAATTTGAATAGCGTCTCCGAACTTTGAGTCTCCACGAACAGGTAAATCGTGCATTGCTGACAAAAATTTACCATAATCTCTTGTCAACGTACTCAACACCTGAGGACTAAGACGCACAATGCTGTTAATAGACATGGATTTTACCAAATTATGAAATCCTTACTTATTGTCACCCATCGTCATCAAACCGCACATGGTTTCTGGATTATCATTGATTTTTTGATTAAAAATCAAATGCACACTGTCTTTTTGAGCTTCAAATCTATTGGGTATATAGTCTCCATTAATCATCCATTCAGAGTTATCAATTCTATAATTGTTAGAGTCAAAAATTCCTTGATTTTTGCATACAATAACATAGTAGCCTCCAGCACCATCTTGAATAGCTTCTATTTAAGATAACTTTAAAAAAATTTGGAAAAGTACAAGTAAGCTATGCTTGGTTAATAACAAAAGTGTGTCGCTGCTTCCATACAGGATTCTGGTATAACGACCAGGAGCGTGTTGCTATAATAAATCCACCGAGCTGTGTTGGGGTATGCTACCGTCCAATACATGTAAACAGTACATTTTGTTTTGTACTGTCTTTGTAGGTGCAGTTGCCGTGGAATTAATATTTTTTTTGTTTTTCATGGTATAAACTTAAATATATTCAAAGTTAAAAAAAGGGAACCGATGAAATACTCGCTACATAATTAGAAAAAGATCTGTAAGTGTTTTTATCAAAAAGTGTTTTAGTTGAACGCGATTGTAACGGCATTGAACGCGAAAAATACGAAATTTCATTCAGAAATTTTCAAATTTATGATATTGTGTGGATAAGGCTCCAATTTTTGGCTCAGTTCGCGTGTTAATTGACACTCTTTTTTGGGGATCTCAAATCAACCGTATTGAAATGAAATTTCCTTTCTTAATCAGCAAATTTCAATTTGGACGATGTTTTTCTTTTAAAAAGCTCTACAGCACTGTTCCGGGTAAGATACACAAACCAAATTTCTTGGCATATGACTCGCCAGGCAATATATTATGGAGGGTGGCATTGAAAGGAATGGAGACATATTTTACAAAGCAAAAGATTGAATATCCGACACAATACCTGCCATCGTTTCTAGAACGTTGCCGAAATGCAAAAGTAAATCAAGAGATTCCTTACTTTGAATTAAAAAAGAAGGTGCTAAGATCGTTAATCAAGTCTGGAAGTGGATTCTCGTCGGAGATTTACTACAGTAATCCTGAATACTTGGAGAAACCTGTGCATCGAAAAAATTTCACTTTTTATGTATCTCATCTTCAAGAAATCATTGCAGCTGAGTTTTTCAAATACGCAAGATACAAAGATATATTAGCAAACACCAATGTTGATCTACAGAGACAGCTTACTAAATTTACTAACCCTGGGGAGCTATATCCTGCTGCACGAAGCCAGAAGCGACACATCATTATGCACGTCGGTCCCACGAATAGTGGAAAAACCTATCATGCTTTGCAGCGCTTGAAACAGTCTAAAAGAGGTGTTTATGCAGGTCCATTGCGCCTCTTGGCTCATGAAGTTTATAATCGATTAAATGCGGATGGCATCAGGTGCAACTTGCTTACCGGTGAGGAAATCAGAGAACCACATATAGTTCCACATGTTGTATCATGTACTGTTGAGATGTGTAGCATTTACGATTCCTTTGAAGTTGCAGTTATTGATGAAATCCAGATGATTGCTGATCCCGACAGAGGTTTCGCCTGGACGAATTGTTTACTGGGGCTCCAGGCTAAAGAAATCCATCTTTGTGGAGAGGAAAGTGCTGTGAATTTGGTTAAATCTATCGCAAAGTTGACCAGGGATGATTTTACGGTCTATCGCTATAATCGTCTTAATCGTCTCAAAGTTGCCAAAGCTAGTTTGCGTGGCAAACTGAAGTTACAAGAGGGTGACTGTTTGGTAGCTTTCTCACGTAAAGATATTTTTGCTTTAAAAGAAAAGGTTGAGGAAAAAATGGGGAGAAGAGCTGCTGTGATATACGGCTCCTTACCTCCTGAGGTGCGCAATCAACAAGCCAGTTTGTTCAATTCTGAGGATCATGAAGAAAAAATATTGTTGGCATCAGATGCCATTGGAATGGGATTAAACCTAACGGTCAAACGGATCATTTTTCATAAACTTAAGAAGTTTAGTGGCACAGAGATGATTGACATTCCTATTCCTCAAGTGAAACAGATAGCTGGAAGAGCCGGCAGACACCAGGCAAATACGGATTCGGAACAATCGCCGGGTGTTGTCACAACTCTATATGACGAAGATTATGAAGCTTTAAAGCGCGCAATGAAGTTTCCTATAAAAAATTTAACTCGAGCTAGCATAAAACCGCCGGATTTTGTTTTTGAAAAGTTCTGCTCTCTCTTCCCGAATGAGGTTCCCGTACGCATGATTTTGGAACGCTATGCGAAACTTTTTAAAGTACAAGGTCCCTTTTCCGCATCCAATTTTAATGTGAATTTTTTCACTTTAGATTTGCTTGATACTGTGAAAGAATTAACGATAGAAGATAAAATTTCTTTGTTAGGAATACCAATTGCAAAACAAATGCCACAGGTTACTGAATTTGCTTACGAGATCGGAAAACACATTGCAAGTGGTAAGCGCATGCAGATATACGATCATCCTTATCTGCCACTGGATATAATTGATCGGGGGATTCCACGTACTAATGAAGCATTAATTGACCTAGAAAGACTTCATAAAAAGATTGTGGTATACCTTTGGGTTAGTCTTCGCTATCCAAATATAATATTACCAGAGGCGGCCTTAATGGCGAAAAAAATTACTGAAGAGTTGCTAGCAAGGGGTTTAGCACATATGAAGAGCTCTACTGAATCCTCTTCATCATCGGTAGTAGCTGTCGATAATTAGAAACAAAGAGAATTTTGTTTTTTTGTTTTATAGAAAAATGAAACTTCGATATTAGGAAACGTTTTCTTGGCTTTTTTTAAATGGTAACGTTTGTATTCATCTTTTGACAATATTCCTATCCCCAAACTTTCTAACTTTTTGAAAGTAAGCAAAAGTAAGTTGTGCTTTGGATTTTAGAGTCAAATACGAATATGTCTCTTATCCAATGATTCCGTTTGGTTTCGTTGATTTTCTTTTTAGGAATCCTCAGTCAACCAAAAATTTTCATGATCAAACGAAACATAACGGAAACCATATAAAAAGATAGTGAAAAGAAGGAAATACAAGTCTAAGCTATTTTAAAAGGAAAGGACATGGAATTTCAAACTTCTTTTTATTTCCTTTTGTTTATTTATTTACAGACAAAAGTTCGATGACACAATGTCACTGTTAGGAAGCAATCTATGTAGGGTGGGATGAGTCTTAGGTGGGGTATTCAAGGAATCATTGCCAAACAAAGGCACTTCAAGTAATTAAAGATCATAAAATAACGAAGCTTACCTTATACTGTGTTAATTTCCATTTACTCTTTTGTCTAAATTTTCCTATTTTCGTTTTAGGCGCTTGTGTGCAGTTTGTTGTTGCGTATGAAGGATGTATAGAAAATAAAAATGTACCATTATTCTGCAGATGTTACGCAACTTTTCAACAAGGCGCAAACTGCCATAGTAAACAGTCATAATCCCAAAAAATAAACAATAAGTTTGAATTTAAAGTAAGGAAGAGAGTACTGAGGATGCGAATTAGCCTGACGAGCGATTACGTAGAATGTGTTAATTATTGGCATTTTTTGCATTTTTCTGAACGCAGAAGCACGTGGTAAACAAAACGAACGGCATTTATTCGTGATTAGGCAGGTGGATGTTCTCATTTTAGGCGAAAATTAATCGTCTATCACGCATCCATCTCTATTGGTAACGCAAAAGTAACAAAACGTGCTCGGGTAGCAAACAAAGCAAAAAATGGTGTCAGTGCCGAGACGGAATTTTTAGAAAGAAGTATATATAGACGTGTACCACTGAACTTATTCCAGTGAAAACGTATAGAGATAATCAGTGTAAGGGGACTGTTATATTCTCGTTAAAACCTGTCAAAGGGAGTGAAAGCGTAATCGTGTTTCACATTAATAAATAGATATCTAGTGGGATCTATCGCTACTGTATTTTAATTATTTATCTATTTATAATACTTAAAAAAGAATCTCTACTTTGGCTTAGACACTGCTTGTCTCTTTCTTTCTTTCTTTCTTTCGTGTCTGTCTTTTCCTTTAAAACTTTGGTTTTAAATTCATGATTAGGCCTACAATTATTCTTAGTGTTGGATATGCCAATCATCTTCCATTGTACGTTGAAGCAATCGTCAAAGCGGGTGGTACTCCCATCGTCATCTATCCCGGCTTGCCCAAAAGCAAAATCCCCACCCAGGTGGACGGAGTCATCCTAGCGGGAGGAGAGTCTGTTCATCCTAGTCGGTATGGCGAAGAGTATAAGCCTAATGTGCCAATTAGTATGGATCTGGTCAGAGATGACCTCGAATGGGCCATTGTTGACTTTGCCATGAAACGTCATCTTCCTATCTTGGGCATTTGCCGTGGATGCCAGCTACTTAATGTCTACTTTGGTGGCTCGTTGCATCAGCAAGTCTCACATGCGGGCTACAATGATGTTCATCGCCCTGAGAAAGGCAAGGATTATTTGGCCCATAAGGTTGTTGCCCACTCCGGTCACCTCCTTTCTATTTTAGGACCTAAGCCAGTTTTCGTAAACAGCATTCATGATCAAGGTATTCATACGGTTGGAATGGGTCTCAAACCAACTGTATTTGCGGAAGACGGTCTTTGTGAAGGCCTTGAATCAGTTGACGGTAATGTCCTTGGCATCCAATGGCATCCTGAAGCTATTCTCGAAAAACAGCCTCATGCTCCTTCAGTATTTCGCTATGTTGTCGAAGTCGCTAAATCTAAGATGATCCAAAAATCTACTATATCCAATGTTTTGCCGCTCTGCTCCCCTGCTGTTCCTCAACCCAGTGCCATTCGTACTGGTCCTTAGGTGCTTGCCTTGCCTTTTCTCTCTTTCATCTGATCTCATGATTTTTGGCTTTGTTGTATATTTATCCATTTCGTTTTATTTATTGAGTCCTCAGCCTGTTAAGGATTTATGATAATGCCATTCTCTATGAATGTGTAACTATTAAATTTTCGTTGTTCAATCAAAAAAGTTGGGTTTACTTATTTTCCTGCATAATATAGGAATGCTAGTGTACTATTAAATATTTATATAATCTTTATTACAAAAGGGCCGTACAAGAAAGGCAGTTTGCAAGCTTGTGACGATGTCTGTTTAAGTAAAAATTTGAGTTATAAAATTTACAAAGTTTAATAATTTTCATTGAACCCCTTGTTTGGTATCAATTTATGTCTACTTTACGAATCTATTCTTCCTCAAGAAACTGACAGTTAACCGTCCAAACACCTCTCATACAAAGAGCTTATAAATATCCGCTGATAATCACTTTGAAAGGTTCAAAGCTGGATTTTCTTAGTCTAATGTATTGATAAAGTTTCTATTTTGACTTCTCTAAATCAAAACCAGCTTCCAATGTTGACGTTTTGTATGGAATATTCATCACCAGTGAGCTTCATAATACTGAAATGAATTTTTAATAGGAAGGCTTATGAAGTTGCAATTCACTTGAAGATGCTACAATTGGTCCTTATATTATCTAGACAACATATGTATGAGATCTCTTCAATATTCTTTTTAGAAGAAGAGATGGCTTTTTTTAAATTGGTAACTTTTATTTCTCGATAAATTAGCTATGGAATTCTACGTATAGAAGCCGACTTTATCAGTTTTAGCCTCCATTGTATGTTTGCCTTTACGCTTCCAAAGAAGTCAGTACTAATATCAAGTACTATATGGTAGGGATTATCCATGTAGTCGTTGAAAAGTGTTTCTATCCTTTATCAGGAATCTCGCAAGCAATTCATCGTTTCGAATTGAGAAGCGGAGGAGTGAAGAAATCACGAAGTATCTAAAATTCAGATCGTTCGACTACTGGAAATATGGTAGACTTGTGCTGCCGAATGAATCTGGAATAGAACAGGAACTTGAGAAAAGTAACCAATGAATGTGCTAGCAGATTACATTTATTGTGCGAGAGATCTGTTGCCAAAATCAGAAGCCACCCACTATCCAGCACATAGCTATGCGTATCATTGCTGTGTTCTTGATGTTAATATTCACTCCCACCCAAGGACTTTATTGCACATTCTTATAGCTCTTGTGAAAATCAATAATTCATTAACCTGGGAAAGGAAAAAAAATAGTTATTTTAATTTCTCGATATTCTTTCAATCTCTTATAACGTTAAAGACGAGTGGAAGAAATGATATAATATGCTACTATCCAAAAGGGTTCGTCGATAGTCTTTGAGAAATATCCTTGCTCTGTCAAGTTCTTTCGGGTTGATCCTTAAATATTGATCTCATTGTTTGTCTCAAATTGGCTTATGCGGTTGCACTTATGGTTGCTGAAAGTACTTTAATCTGCAAGTACGATGAGCTTGGTACAACTTATCTCTTCACTGATATCGAGCGTTTATGTCCCCTACTACTTTTTTTTTTGAATTACCTATACTTCCGGTGCTTCACAGCCTTATCGTTTTTTTGGATAGTTCCATGCTTTATATAAAAGGTGTGTTATATATGAAGTGCCTTGACATTGCATTTCATGTTGGACAATTAAGACAGATAATTTCGTGAAGCTAATAATGAGTTTCAGAGAATCTCTTTTAAGAAATCCATCAAAAATGACGACAAGAAGCCGGTTTCGAACGTTTGTGAAACAAGGTCAAGCAATTTTATGATACCTTCCATTCATAGACTAGACCGGTTGTTTAGAGAGTATATTCCATCAAGTTAGAATCATATTGGATAGATAAAGTTGCAAAGTTGGCGACAAGGACCTCTATATCCCCAAGGGCGTACAAGAGAATTCGCTCATGCTCTAGAACTTTTACTAGATATTTCTTATCGAGTTCATCCGGACGGCAGTTTCACTCATTTAAGAGAATGTGGATATTCCTTTTCATAAACTTCTATTGTTTGTCTAACCTTCCTCGCCAGTGTTTTTATAGAAGTTTCATTTCTGAGTTAAATAAAAAATAACTTTTATTGAAAACTTAAGCTATTTCCGACCTTTATACTCGAAACTTTGTGTTGATGCTGAATGGAAGAGTTCTAGGTCGTAGCTTAGATATTCTAAGCGCATCCTGTATTCTAAATCAACGAAGATGGTATGTTCATTTACAATTCATTAGAAAGACAATCTCTGTCTTTGAGTATGAATGTTCTTACTGAAAAAAAAAAAAAAAAAAAAAAAAAAAAAAAAAAAAAAAATTTAACTCGACGTTTTCAAATAAAAAATAGATGAAGAGTAGCCAACGTCAAGCTCTTAGGATTCTAATGATTTCATTCATTTCAGGTTTTTCCATGGAAAATGAACCAAAACTATCTGTTATGAGCCGAAAGCTCCAAGGGTCTTAAGTAGCTCATAAAGAGAATATAAAAAGAGCAAACGCTTGTAGAGTTTGAACATGAACTCAACATCGTTCTTCATGATTGATGAGACTGATTGCAGCGAGAAGACCATGGCCAAAACTATGTAGTTCTTCAGCCTTGCTTCCTCTAAACTTTTCATTCCTTTTGCCCGAATCTTTTTTACTGGTCAACATAATTTTCCCGTGTCATATCACCATACTAAGCAAAAATGAAAAGAGATAGACCCAATGGAACATGGATTCCCAGTGTGCTTATTCCCATTAAGGAATTCCGAGAGCAGAATCCCTTTCTAAGAAGGAGCTATGTCCTGAAACTTTCAATCAGTCATTGGAAACTCGGATGGCTGCAAAGGCTCTAGGTAAGGATTTTAATCGTTCAACGTACAAAAACCACTCGCCGTTTTTTCACCACCTTAGTTGTACCTTGAAAGCCATCGACCGAGCATAATCAAAGGGATAGGGAGAATACTTACCTGTCAAATACTTTTCTCGGTCATGTATAGCATCCTCCATCGTATGGATTTTTTTCTTTCATTGTATTATACTTACTAGGCAGTGTTTTCATGAAGCAAAATTGAAACCAAATCAGGAATGCGACCCCTTCGCTATTGAAAACTCAAGCCTTCATTTTCTTTTCTTTCAATCCATTTCTATTTATTCCATATCCTCCTCATTTCGTTTATCGTAGCTGTTGCGTATGATAAGCCAATGTTTCTCCAGGTCAAACAAACATGTCCTTATTTTTTATTTCAAAGAGGTGATTAAAACGCAAGAAAGAAATTAGTAAATAAAAAAATTATATATATATATAAGCAATCCAAGCCTGCGACTTAAAACTCCTGGTGTTTTGGCATGATGTTTTGGGGGCATTTATGCGAAATGTGGGGCTTAGGTTAAATCTGATCTGATTAGAGCTAAAAATCATCTTATCTGATGACTACGAAATGTTTATCAGATCAATAGCCATTGGCTAACGCTTCCGCTTAAATTTGCAAGTTTCTCTCTTCATGGGAAATTCGGGAATAACCTTGCGTTATCGAATGAGTTATCTTCAATGAAACAAAGGTTCAAAGATCCCTCGAACATTCCGAATCCACGTTCTGGTATCATCTTATTTCACCACAAAGTCTCAAACGATCAACGTCATTTAAGTTTCCACCGATTGCAATAAAAAAGGTATAAAAAGGGCTCCATTCACGACTTCGGTCTTCATACAATTGGGACTCTTTTTACTTTTTTTATCTGATTTTTCTGTAACAAAATGACTGGTGAATACGGAAAAGAAAAAGCTCTTATTAACCATCTATTCTCTTTGCCTCCTGAGAAATTGGATGCAATTCGTGGAAAACCTGACTTGGTTTTAAATGCCATTGATGATTTTCAGGAAAGTACAAAGACCCATTACATGGATATTGGCCAAGTAAAGGGTCAGATTATTGTGAATAAAATCCAAGAAAAAAAGCCGAAAGTTACGGTTGAATTAGGGGGCTATCTTGGCTACTCTGCTATTTTATTCGGTAAAGAGCTTTTACAAGATCCTGCTGCTCATTACTATAGCCTTGAAGTGAACCCTACTTTCGCCGAAATGGCTTTCAAGGTGATTGATTTAGCGGGACTTTCTCATAAAGTGACGGTCCTTGTAGGCTCTGCGACGGAATCTTTGGTTGCTTTGCAACAAAAACTTCGTAAAGATGTCTCTGGTTCCCATGCATTTGATTTTGTTTTTATTGACCACTGGAAAGATCTATATGTTCCTGACTTGCGAGTGATGGAATCCTTGAATTTAGTCGCACCAGGAACTATTTTGGTAGCAGACAACATCTACATCCCTGGGGCTCCAGAGTATGTCGAGTATGTACAAGGCAGTTCAGACTACAAGCATGAGCACAATGCCAGAGTTCGCAATGTAAATGGATATGACTATATTGGAAGATGGGATATCTTGTATGACTCGAAGACCGTACCTGTCGAACTTCATGGAAGAAAGGATGCTCTTGAAATCACATACTGCACTGGATATACTGAAAAGTGATAAAATGAACCCTTCGAAGTGAGCTATTTAGACTCTTACTACACTCATTCTTTTGCTTTGTTACGTTTGTTTTGAGACATGTATAACATTTTTAATATAGTTTAAAACGATTTCTCTTTAAATGGATTATCCTAAAAAAGCTTGTTTGATATATAAAACATATGCTCATCAGTAGTCATGTTCATAGGTAGCTTTTGGCTTTCAGGACCTTTGTTGCGTAGACGATACCATATTCATCATTTTGGTTAACCTTTCATATATGCCCATTGCGAGTTTCTATATGCTCATCAGCTAGAAATGAATTGCAGCAAAGAGCAAAATTTGAAAATGAAAAAACAACCACGTACAGCACTATACATCTACCTATTCCTAAATGAAAAGCAATAGAAAGTCGACGTAAAAATGGCATAGTTGATAATATTTCTACAGTTCTTTCTTCTCTTTTCCTACGGGGATACTTGCGAGTACAACACTAACTACATGTTCCTTTTATAAAAAGATTTTATTTATGAATGCCAATAATTAAAAGTACAGAGATTCCATACTCGCTATGCTAGCTATAAACTTAAACTATGCAGAAAACCGACGAACTTCTTTGCTGATATTGCGTCAAAGGGCTGTATAATCTGTGCCGTTTTGCTTACTAAGCATAACGACATATCTAATCACATGACCATTCCTTTGTCCAGTTTGAAAGATAAGCTAGCTCGCAGTAGATACCATTGTTTTATATACATATGTAGTTCTTTGCTACTAATCCACCACCAACAACAAATTGTCATCACCCTTACTATGGCTTCCAACTATAAAACAGTTCATTTTGATCCCAAAAACATGCAGTTTCGCTTCCTTGGTCCTTCTGGATTGCGAGTTTCTGCTTTTTCTTTAGGAGGTTGGTTGACTTATGGTAATACTGGATATGATATTGAACATACAAAAAAGTGTCTCAAGCAAGCATGGGATTTGGGTATTAATACCTTTGATACTGCAGAGGTTTATAGTCAGGGAAACTCGGAAATTGTTATGGGAAAAGCCATTCAAGAGCTAGGATGGAATCGTTCTGAATACGTACTGATTACAAAAGTATACTTCGGAGCTGGTCCAAAACTCCCCAATACCACCGGTCTTTCTAGAAAACATATCATCGAAGGTGTTTATGGTTCATTGAAGAGACTCGATACGGACTATGTGGATGTGGTAATGGCTCATCGTTATGATCCTTCCGTACCCATGGAAGAGATTGTCCGAGCTTTTACACATCTCATCCATGAGGGTAAAACTTTCTACTGGGGTACCTCTGAATGGAGCGCTTTTGAAATCGAGCATGCTCACCACATTGCTACCAAGTACAGCTTGATTGCCCCCATTGCTGATCAACCTCAATACAACTATGTGACTCGGGATCATCTTGAAAAGGATCTACTTCCTCTTCAACAGATCTATGGCTACGGTTCTACTGTTTGGAGTCCATTGAAATTTGGCATCCTGACTGGTAAGTACAACGATGGAATTCCCGAAAATTCTCGTCTTAATACAACTGGTAAACAGTTCGCAGCGCACGTGGATTCACAGGAAGGAAAGACGCAAATTCAACAAGTTCGCCAAGTTAGTAAAATTGCAGAGAGAATTGGTGCGACTCCTGCTCAATTTGCCCTTGCATGGACTTTGAAAAATCCTCATGTGTCTACTACTATCTTGGGTGCTAGCAAGCCAGAGCAAATTATTGAGAATGTCAAGGCCTTGGAATTTGTCGATAAGTTGACTCCTGAAATCTTGAAGGAATTGGACGAAATTTTGAACTTTACACCTTTGGATGTCCAATATCGCCATTAGCTATGTCGATGGTATATGAACGATTGACGATTCATAGTTTTTATATAGAAAATTTGAAGTTCTTACCAAAACGAGGGTGTTTGCAATATCCATACTAGACGTATTACAAAAGTATTCTTAGTTTCTGAAAGGTTTACCATTTTTCTGAAATGCGATGGTTTTAAATCAATAAAACGGTTCCTATAGAGAAAATTCCCGATTGTGTGAATCTTGTTGGTTTTGTTTACATTTCTAACGATCTTGCAGACGATAGAATCACTTTCATTTCATCTTGTTTGTTGTTGAAATTTTTGCTAACGGAAACATCCTTCATTTCTTCTGACCCTTGAAAGATTATGTAGATGCTCTATAATAAAATTGACAAATTTACCGTTAGAATTTTGAAAGAGAATAACTACAAAGTCCTATAGCGTTTCTTCTAGTTTTACTTGGCTGCTAATCGGACGTCTGAATATAAAGGAATTCAGTTCTTGTATTTAAACTTGTGTTTACCCCCTTTTGCTCATGAACTAACTTTTTTTTTTGATTTCTGAAACAAAACGAGATTTTATTTTTATCTGATAAAATTCCGTCCCTAATCATACCTTTCCGACTCACTACCTTAAGTCTTGATTCTGATGGTTAGTGAAAATCTTATTTTGCTTTATCAAACAAACAAAAGACTAAATTTCGATAAACCTGTTCCAAGGTCGTCATATATAGAAACAAGACACGTCTAGCATACAAATTGGAATATTAATTTCGCTAACGTGAGTTTGAAATTGTACCGTCATATGATAAGCCATACTAGGTAATTTACAAATAGAAAATCCGTCATAATAAAACAGCCCTTCATTTAAGGTAGAATCCCCTTTCTAAGATACTTTTAGTTCCTTCATAGAAAACGAAACCAAGTACCCTGTAAAGTTGAGAAAGTCAAAAGAATGTTTTCTAGTTATGATAAATAGACCGTAAACTACTATGCTTTAAACCAGACAAGCTTTTGTTTACGATTAAGATATGTAAAAATTAAGCACGCAGGCCGATAGTGACCTTTAAGGAACTATCTTAAATAGTCAGAATGGAACGATGCAAATTTGGACTTTTGTATTTTCCTTTTACATTCCAATCATAAGTTTCAAAGGCCCCTCAATTGCGAAATGAAAACTTTTTACTGTTTCATGATTTTTCCGAAACTTGATAATCAGATAAATAATGGCCAAACATCTGATTACTTGTATCTGATAAAACCACATCTGATAACTATATATACAAAGTTGTCGCTGTTTTGTTTTGCTTAGAAAATATAAATATATACGCTCAGAGTTCACACAAGGATGAAACAAAGCAGTGAAACGGAAGATCCTCTAAGAAAAGGTAAAGAGATAGAGACTGAAAAGTTTCCGCTTAATTCCGTAACCCTTCTTGCTCAAGGGTATAAAGATGACAAGGAAACTTACTTTCAAAAGCGCGGTGTCATCAAGATTGAAGAAACCAGAAAATACATAAATCGCAGCAAAAAAGGGAAATTATTGGCTTATACTTTTGGATTTTCAATCTTGGTATGTGCTTGGGCTTATGCTATTCAGTCTTCGACAACCAGCAGTTATCAAGTTTATGCGACTTCCTCTTTTAATCGTCAGTCTCTAGTGTCTACTCTCGAGATTGCAACATCCGTTATTTCTGCAGTATGCAAGCCAATTTTGGGCAAAATTTCAGATGTTACATCTCGACCCCTGACATATGCGTTCGTTTTGATGCTATATGCGATAGGCTTCACTGTAATTGCTTCCAGTAAAACTATCTCAGCTTACGTTATTGGTACTGTGTTCGTTGCAATTGGTGGTTCAGGATTGGACTTTTTAAACAGTGTCATCGTTGGCGACTTAACACCTCTAAAATGGAGAGGATTTGCAACTTCAATCCTTTCTACTCCCTTCATCTTTACTGTATGGTTTTCCGGACTTATTGTTCAAGGAATTTTGGATCATAATTGGAGATGGGGTTACGGAATGTTTGCTATCATCATGCCGGTTGTTCTTGTTCCAGCAATTGTTATCCTGTCGTATCTCGAACGTTCTGCTGTTGCGGAATTCAAGTCAAAAAAAGAAGAGTGCCCTACCGAGAATATTACAAAGTCTTCTAAACTCCGAAATGTTTATCAGGCGCTTCTTGAAGTCGATGTTTTTGGTTTAATCCTTCTTGGTTTTGGTTTTTCTTTATTGCTCCTACCATTTTCATTAGTTAGCTATGCAAAGAATGGATGGAGAAATCCAAGTATGATTGCAATGATAATCGTTGGTGGAATTATCTTAATTATTTTCGGTCTATATGAGCTGTTCTTGGCCCCTTATCCCTTATGCCCTCGTCGTATTCTTTTCAATAAAACATTTATGATGGCAGTTGTAATCGATTTCTTTTATTATTTTGGTGGTTACATTCAATCCTTGTACCAAAACACTTACATTTGGATTATCAAAGATTGGTCATACAGAGACTTGTCTTACTTTTCCAATATAATGACGGTTGCATTATGCCTTTTCGGTTTACTTGCTGGTGTCATTCATAGATCAACGCATCGTTATAAATTCCTACAAATTATTGGTTTAGCAATTAAGATCGTTGGCTATGCAATTTTGGTAAGACCTGGACGTGCAACAACGAATACTGTAAGCTTGGCATTTTCGGAAGCTTTAATAGGTTTGGGCGGTTCATTCAGTGTCGTTGGAACCAGTGTTGCTTCCCAAGCTAGTGTCCCTCATCAAGACCTAGCTACAGTCATTTCAACGCTTAATTTATGGACACAAATTGGTGGCGCGATTGGATCTGCAATCGCTGCCCCTATATATTCCAGCAAAGTACCAAAGTATTTACGTGAATACATGCCCTCTAACGTTACTCAAGCTAATATCACATCTTTCTACAGCAATACAGACCTTATACGAGAATATCCAATGAATAGCGATATTCGTCAAGGTGCCATTAATGCTTATTCCAAGTCTATGTTCTATTTATATGCACCGGCCTTAGGAATATCCTTTATATCTTTCATAGCAGCATTTTTTCAAACTAATTATTTCCTTGGTAATCAACAAAATGCAGTTGAAGATTCTGAAGAACCTGACGAGAGAAGAAGGGATCATAAGATCGAGCAACTGTTGGTTTAATAAACTTTATGGCAAATGGGGAAATCTGTTGGTTTTTATATAACTTATACACAAAGCTTAATCTAATAACCAAATAATAAAGTGACTAATTTTTTTTGATATAAGTAAACTTCTAAACTGTCATGAAAGCCGGAAGAATTTGAGCTTTTTGAAAAAGGCTTAATGTACTATAATACGGAAATTTTCCTATTTATTTATTTTTGCAAACAGGTTCCAATGTCAAATGACGAGAAGAGTTGTTTTTCATGAGATTCTTCAAGTAACCACATCAAATCAGATTAAGTAACATTACGTTATCTGATGGCTTATCTGATCGGAATTATCTGATCGGATTAACACCGTTGACTGTGAGTATATAAACAATATAAGCTGCATTTTCATAAAAAAACGAAACCCAAGTGTTTCTTCTTTAAATGCGAACGAACTAAAGCGTCAGGTATTGCAATTAAATTTATAGAAACAGTACTAAAAACAACTTACCTTGTACATTGGGTTCTATAAAGATATTATGACTATTTCAATTCATGACAGATGGACTGTTGGAGCAATCATTTTAATTATTTCACTCTATTTTATTTTTGTATTATTTTTCTCTATTGAATATGTGAGAGCTTATCGAAAGTCTAATAGTTTTCAAAAAACCTTAGATTGTCAAATTACTGAAGGTGTTCGCGAGAAAATATATCTCTCCATACGAAATGTTTATGGCTACCTACTTACCCATAAAAGTTTATTAAATGTTCTTATGTATATCTTTGTTATTTTAGTTTCCATTCCTTTTGTTGGGTTACAAACCAGAAATGAGATAAGCCCAAAAGACTGGAATTTAATCGGCATAGCCGCTAGATTGGGGTTTCTTGCGTCGGGATTGTTTTTCATATCATTCTTTTTCAGCTTAAAAAACAACCCTTTTTCTTTGATGCTTTTTTCGTCTCATGAAAAGATGAATTACTTACATAGACAATTGTCAGTTATCGCACTATTTATTGGCATAATTCATGGGATTTTGTTTGTTGTATGGTCAGCTCGAAACTTCAAGCCATTACTTACAGACAGAATTACTTTGTACGGATATGCGATTGGCTGTTTGATTATTGTCATCTTTGTTAGCAGTCTTCCTTATTATAGAAAGCGATATTATGAATTTTTCTTTGCGATTCACCATTTTTGCAGTGCTGGCTTCATAATATTGATTTGGCGGCATCACCCAGCGTCAATCAAATATATGAGACTCTGTATGTTTATGTATCTCTTTGACCGATGCTGTCGAATCTTTCGTAGCATCTTAAATCGGTGTCAATTTGAGTCTTTTATTATAGACGACGATTTAATTTACATGAAAGCACAGAAACCAAAGCATTCTTTATTTTCTTTGCCTTGGGCCGCCGGAAATCATATTTATATCAATATACCTTTCTTAAGCTATTGGCAAGTACATCCTTTCACAATGGTCAATGTCCCTACGGATGATTGCATTGAGCTTATTGTCGTCGTTCGTTCAGGTTTCACAAAACGTTTAGCTGATTACCTTCAATCGGCCAACTGTGCTAATCTTGAATCTAACCAGGATTATGTGGCTCTACAGGTTAGCAAGTTCCGGAATTACTCAACAATTATAGAGCCAGAGAGGCAACGAAATATTGATTGCTTAATTCACTTACCATCAAATAATTCCCATATGAGTTTAACGGCTTTAGTCGATGGACCTTACGGACCAATAAGTAATCCTTGTACAATCTACTCTTACGTTTTGCTAATATCAGGAGGTGTTGGTGTATCATATTCTATGCCAATCTTACGAGATTTACTAACTCGAAAATCGAGAGCCATATCAATTAAATTTGTTTGGAGTTGCCGTTCTGTGAAGTTATTAGAACTCTTGTATAGGATACTTGAATACTCTTTGCATCAAATCCATATTAAATTGGAGATAATTTGTCATTTGACATCTAGCATTCCTCATCGTGAACTTTCAACACTATCCTCAAAACAATTTGGTCATTCCAGACTCGAAATTATTGATGAAAGACCAGACTTCAATTTGTACATTAAGAGATTCGCAGAAGAAGTCAAAAATCAAACATCCTGCTTGGCTGCATGCGGATCAAATACCTTGCTAAAGACTGTTAAAAGCTCTGTTACTGGAAACCTTTCCTCGACAAGCGATATATTCCAGCATTATGAAGAGTTATAAGATGATCACGATGCGAAGGAAAATTCCACAAGAATAAGCTATATCTTTATTCATTTATGAAGACACTTTAATGTATTTTCTGATTGTATTTCTTTGGATATTTTCGACATTCATCATCATGCTGATTTAATAATTTTGCATAATTAATTGATAGAAAATCATTTACTATCATATATTGGGGTTTGTGGTATATATATTTTGCGAGACGGCTATAGCTAAAAGTATTGTGTCTCAAATTCAGTAGGAAGTAAGCTTACGTTGTTTATCTGATCCTCAAAGATATAAGTTTAAGTTAAAATTATAAAAGTGATATTTGGCTATTGAGCCTTTTACTCTTACTTCGAAGTAGCATTAGGATTATACATCAAAATCTAGAGAGACCAATTATCAAGCAATACATCCTTTTCCATGCCAACATTACATTAAAAAATTGCAATTGTAATAACGACTGATATTAATAAATCGAATACTAACAATAGGAAAAAAAAAAGTTCATCATCAGATTAATTTAGTCATGGCAAATATATACTGATTGTTAGGAAAATAGCTTTTAATATTTAGCTGGGTCGAAAGCTTCCAAATTGCGGACCCTCTTTCCGTAAAAAAACAAAAGTGGAAGACTTACAGTACAAAATAATAAAATAAAAGCAAGTAGAGTACAGCCCCATCCATATCCAAGTCGAAGGTATAAAGATTGTGCAAACAAAGGAAATATGGCACCACAGGTGAGTTGTAAGACTTTCACTGCTGCTGATGCGCTAGCGGAATAAATTCCATAAGCATCCACGACATACATGTTTAAAGGATTTGAAGTCATAATGTATCCAGCACCAAGTATTGTTGAACCTATCAAGGGCACAAACCAGAATACTCTGTACTCTGCAGTCCAACCAAAAACCACAATACCAATTTCGAAAAGAAGGCATCCAAGAATACTCATGGGAAGCCGGAATTCGGGCTCACTTTCACCATGATTCTGGTTTAGTAAATGGACGTAGAATTTTTGATTTAAAGGTAAGGCTATAAAAACAGCCATTAAAAGACCTAGAGTTATGGAAATATACATGAGTCCACTAATACCAACGCTGAAGTTGTATAATAGTTCCCAGGCTTGAGAAAAAGCCATGAGCACCAAGTTTAGTATCCCAAAAATGGTGCCTATTGTGAAAGCAACACAAATCAGAATTGGTTGCGTTATAAGCATATGGAGCGGCTTCTTCATACTTAATAATACAAGCCACCTTTTTAAGAGTTCAGTACCAGTGAAGCGTTTAGCGACTGGTTCATTTTCTCCAATATGACCAGTCTTTTCAAGCTTTTCTCGATTGAGTATTGGTGGGTAAGTCTCTTTTAACAAAAGAAAAGCAGATAACACTAATACACCTGAAAGGATTAACAAAATCCAAAACTCCCAACGCCAACCAATAGAGCTTTGAGTAATAAATCCGGATATAATTGGCGCGATGCCGGGTCCCAATGAAAGGAGAGTAAAGTAAACGATCATATATTTTCCTCGATCTTTTTTTTCAAAAAGGTCCGCAAGAGTGCCCGATCCATTGGAAATGCCAACCGAGCCAAAAACCCCAGAAAAAAATCGAAAAATCAAAAACATCTCCAAGTTAACCGACAACGCTATAGGAATTTGTAATAATGCGAAAATGGAATACCCTACTAAATAGACCGGCCTTCTGCCAAACTGTTCGCTAAGTGGTGCGCAAACTAATGTCCCAAACAAGATTCCAAAACTATAAAGGGTTGCACCAAGAGTAACAACAGTCTTCGAAGACTGAAACTGCTCCGCAATTCTTGGGATACTGGGTGCAAAAACGCTTGATCCATATTGATTAAGAAAAGTCATTGTAGAAATAACAATTACATTCCTAACCTTGATTTTCAACGGCCATTCTTTTGGTTTGTATGGATCCCAACTTTGCAAATTCGAGAGAGCGCGTGCATTGTAAATAGGTTCGTCCGAATGAAAGGATGAGACTTCCTTTAACATAAGAATTGAAGAGATATGATTTGTAATGCAAAATATGTAAATTTGACTTGTTTCATATACGCCAACCCTTGTTTTTACCTTTCGTCTTTAGAGACAATAAATATTTGCAAATGATCCTACAAATAATAGGGAACAATTAGCTGGTATCTAGTTTCACAAACTTAAGAAGAAGAACCTTGTAATGAGAGCATGAATCATCATCTTTTATACATTGAATTTTTTGATACCATGATAATAGTTCCGCGGAGCTTTCTCCGCGGATGCTGTCGCAAGCATATACTATAGAGTATATAACGTTGACAATACCTTTGATTCTTATATATTCCATTCAGTTTACAAGATCCTTCGTGTTGAAAAAATCTTTTATCATGCCTTGATGCTTTCAAGGTCATTCAGTAATGCATCCTGGTTGTGCTTACTCATTTCCAGGTAGAACTCTTGAAAACTATGACGGACTGCCAACATACACAGTTGGAAAAATAGAAACGAAGAAGATCTTGAATTGGCTTATTAACGTTTTTTATCAAGTGAGGGACGGTGCTGGTAATTTGGCCGATGCTTGTTTCACTACTTCTATTCCTGGCGTTCAACCAGGTAAAACTGTCCAAGCGATGCGATATAGAACAAAAATAGAGCAAGAATATATTTCGCGGATTCTACCAAATCTTCACTGATGAAGGTGATGCATGGACCCAAGTATACATTGGTGCATATCGAAGTTACTGTCTTACCGATGTATTTGTAACATTTCCTTAGAGGATTGGCTTTTCTGGAATTGGTTGGGCTCATCCACTGTTGGCATTACCCTCAGACACTTTCAAACTTTTCTCCCTGTCGTTCGAGCTTTGGAAAAGAATTTACAAGCAATGGATCATCAGAAAATTTTGTTCATTCAAATTATCTTTTCTGTCTTTGAAAGATTCAACACATATCGTCACGAATAGATGAGGCTATTGTGGTTTTAGACAGAAAAAGAAAAGGGGTCCCTTTTTTTCGATACATAAACTCGTTAGTTTCTCTCAATCATTCCGTTTTTTTTTTGTATCAAATCAAATTAGAAACATTCATTTCATGAATGCTTGTTAGTAAAAGAATGCAGCAGCTGATAAACAGTGCGTTATTTCCAAATTTCATCAAGCTTTTATTAAAAAAAAAGAAAAGTTAAAGAAAAGAAAGGAAACGAAAAAGAGAAAATAAGTATAAGTATATAACGAAAAGAAAAAGCTTTAGAAAATCTCAAAGCCATAACGGTAACGGTCAACCATATATGTGTCAGAACAATCCCTAATATTATTATAAACCATTTGGCAAAAATTATGCTATGGAGTACATCACTGTACATCAACGTTAATAAACAAACAAACTGAGAAAACAGGAAAGATTAAACAATCAGCAAGGATTAGTTATTGACATTTAAAGCAATTACAATTGTATTCCACTCATACTATACGGAGTATTTTCCCGTGACGATATGAAACTCGCAAATAATATCATTGCAGACTACATTTGCTACGCACCCATCCTACAACCGATTAATATGGAAGCATCGTTTAACCTTCCTACTGAAAAGAAAAACAAATAGTAACTATAAGAAAAATTCCATCTTGTGAATGTACACTCGGGTGATAAGCAAATCAATCATTTTTGGCGAACAAACAATCGTACACTTCTCATAACTGAGGCCGTAAGGAACATAAAATAAGAAGACGTTTAGTCGATTCGTCTCATATGACGATTTTTTTTATGTATCATTTGTTCCATAAACACCAATCGTTCAAAATAGTGCAGTCAGAAATGATCAAAAGGAGGAGAACCTGCCAATATATGCATTTTAAGGAAGAAACTACCAACGTCATCTATATGACTCGAGCGGGGTTAAAATGTTTATGTCTTGATCAAATACATGAAAGATCGTTCAATTGTGGTTTAATAGTTCTTTAATATTTCCAATTATTTATGTTTTAAGTATTCAAAAGAGTTCTCGTATAAAAATAACAAATTCTGTCGATATTCTTTCCGCATCGCATAACCTTATTACGGTTTAAGTTGTGTCGGCAATATAAGCGCGATAACAATCGCAGATTCAAAACACAAAGGGGTGAGTAGCGCCACCAACACTACCCGCATTTGTTTGTTCACAGCATTGCCAAATGAAGAGTGTTCCTTTTGGGTAAGAGTGAAAATGAGTGGGTTCTTTTTCCGTAGCTGTTCTGCTAAGATAAGCCGGATGTTACCCTTCGTTTTCGTAATTCTTAATCATCGGATAGATACCTTGTTATGTCCAGGTATTAAAAAGGGGATCAGTAAGCTTCAGTCTGTAATGAGCTAAAAAGCTTGTTTTTTCTTGTTATCATTTTTAGTTACTGTTATATTTAATACTAATTCAAAATATTTAGTTGTATAAATCTTTAGCCTTTTTTATTCTGAAAATCAAAAAACCCTGATTTTGTATTTATCACAAGAGCATACGTGATTCATTCATTACTCTGACTAAATGGACTTGAATGTTTGTTTAAACTGTGGTGGTTTGACGCATGAAGATGAGCTGTATTGTTCTCATGAATGTCGTTTACTTGATAATGCCACAACGGAGCTTTGGGTAAATCCTACAAAGGACCTATTATCGTCAAATCCAATACTGGCTTACCTTTTTTCGCATTACTTTCAACTCTTTCATCAACGATCATCTGTTTGCTCTTACACCAGATCTCCAATTCCAACCTCTTCCATCTCTTCTGAAATCCGAAATTACAGCTTCAATAAACCATGACTTTTCTTTTTACTCACTTTTCCGTTTAAACTTGTACCTTTCTATGAAATAAAGACATTTTCATTCGTTAACTGTATAACATTTGATTTTCAGCTTTATTACCCTTATTTTCAGTCTAAAAATTCCTTACGATTTTTTTTTTCTTTAACCTTTCTTTGAAACTCTCAACCTTGTTCCTTCTTTTTTAATGGCCTCTTTTCGAATTATTTCCTTTTCTGGGCATGTTTGCCGTGTTTTACAGAACTTTGTTCTACTTTATGACCCTGCTTTCCATTTTTTCGAAGTAGTTTTGTTAAAATATATATGATTCGTTCTTTTCTTTCATTTAATAAAATCAACCTTTGTTCAAAACAATGTCAAAATTTATAGGACGTTATATATAAGCAACTCGAATTGTAGGTATTTTTATTTCAAGGGAAAAGGTAATCTGGAATAAACATGAGTAAGCAAATTCAAAAATAAAAACGATCCTTTTTTTCTATTATAAATGAAAAAGTTGCTTAACGAAATCAAGTTCAAGTCTTGTATTTAGCAAAAGCATTTCTAGCAACACAATTTTTAGTCAAAGCCAAAACGCTCGATGTTATAAATCTCTATATGAAACTAAAACAAAAGTTTAATTACCTGTATCTTATTCAATTAAAAACAAAAGGAACAAGCAGGACCCACTAGAATATCTTCCGAGATCGCTCTGGGTTACGTGACAAAGATGTGAATGAATTCTAAGTTCTCCTCGTAAATATACAATACTCTGCATTTCCATCTGTGGTTCACAAAAAAAATAAAAAAATAAAAAAAAATGGGAAAGCACAACCCATCTAAAACTCAGACCGCGAAATCATTTTCAAAGTAAGAAACGACTAAATGAGAACATTTCTCCATGCTTTACTCCTTTGGTATTTCGTAATCGGATAACCTTATTTAGTTAAAGTAACAGGTACATAGAAAAAGAGCACGAATCATAGCTATTACCTTACTAGAGCAGCACAAACGCAAAGATACTCCGCAAATTCGGGTTGCATCAGCTTCGGCTTGCAACAGCGAACCACTGTAGGCAAAACCAGTAAACAAGTTTATTAACAAACCTAATTGTAGCCATACGTCATGTTTTAAGAGATTCTCGTCTGTGATCTCCTGAAGAGAAACGAGGTTAATACATCCCCATATCGAGCGAGATTTGTAATTTTTCACAAATCAAATGTTTATCAGTGTAGGTTATTTAATTTACTGTGGTTCAACCCTTCTTCAAATGAAAATTAAATCTAAAAATAACTATAAAAGTATATTTGGAGTATTGAACATTAAATCGTTTAGTTGAAAATTTGGTTTCTTCAATGAAGGTAAACACCCATTTTTACTTACTTATTATTCGTTCATACTCAACTTTTTCTCCGCATTTCCTCTAATTTTCTAACTTTGCGAAAATAAGTATGGAGATTTATGGGATATAATCATTACGGGTTGCACAATACTTTCAATTTAACTTTTTTTCATCTGCGAATCTTGAAAAGTAGTGGTTTTATTCGCGAATGATGTAGTCTCTTAATAACCTTATTTATTTTCAGAAAGTCACTACGCGCATGTGTAAATAATATTTATATGTCGTCGTTTACTATTTAATGCGAGCCTTTTCCCTTCTTTTAGACTATTATCATTTCAGTTATTCCCTAGTTTTTACATTTATTTTATTTCAGATATCCATAATAATCTCTCTTTCATTCAAATTCGTCGATTCCGAAAGTTTCTCCCGTGATAAATGGAAGAAAGTCCATATTCTTTATCACATTTTTTAAAGTTTTGTTATACAATCTCTTTCTCATAAGCTTTTCTTCGACTTCTTTAATTTTTTATTTTTCATCATGGCGAAAATTATTCTCATCGTAATGCTCGTGTTTGTGTCGATGGCCGGTTGGATGAACGGTGCTGATACTGGCTCTATTTCTGGTATCACTCACATGCGTGATTTCCAAGCCAAATTTGCTGATCGGTATGACAAAAAAACAGATACCTATAGCTACTCTTCTGCTCGTCAGAGTCTTATCACTGGTATGATTAACGTTGGCTCGTTTACTGGCTGTTTTATGTCGGCTCCGCTGGCAGACGCTGCCGGCAAACGTATTTCTATATTTATTTGGTGCATTGTTTACCTTATTGGTGTTATTGTGCAGATGACTGCTTCCCCTTCATGGATTCAAATTGTCATTGCTAAAGTTTGGACTGGTTTCGCAGTCGGCGCAACCTCAGTCATTGCTCCTGGTTACCAATCTGAAGTTGCTCCAGCTTCTATGCGAGGAGCTATTGTTACGACTTACCAGCTGTTTATTACAGCTGGTATTTTTGTTGCTGCTTGTATCAACATGGGTACTCATAAATACAAGCATCACAAGTCAGCTACATGGAGAGTATCGATGGGAATGAATTTACTATGGGGTTTAATTACTCTAATTGGAATTACCTTCCTTCCTGAATCTCCTCGTTATTTGATAGCTGTTGGGAGGGATGAAGAGGCTATAAAAGTTATGAGCAAAAATAACGACCTTCCTCCAGACCATGAAAGTATTCAAGCTGAATATCACCTCATTAAGTCTGACTGTGAAGTCGAGTTGGCTGGTGGACCAGCCAAATGGCATGAAATTTTTGGAAAAGATATTCGCTTCCGTACTTTTCTTGGAATTGCCGTCATGTCTTTCCAGCAACTCACAGGTGCTAACTATTACTTTTACTATTGCACTCAAGTATTTAAGAATAGTGGCGTAAGCTCGCCCTACGCTGCAGCATGTATCTTAGATGGAGTCAACGTCTTTTGCACAGCCTTTGCCATGTTTATTCTTGAAAAATTTGGTCGTCGTATGCCTTTAATAGTAGGGGGTATTTGGCAATCCATTTGTTTTTTTATTTACTCTGCAGTTGGTGACAAAGCTTTGTATCGTGAAGATGGTAGTTCAAATGAACAAGCTGGTGCAGTGTTAATTGCATTTTCTTGTTTTTTTGTCGCTAGTTTTGCTGTAACTTGGGCTCCGGCTGCGTACGTTATTGTTGGTGAATCATATCCTGTTCGCTACCGCTCCAAGTGCGCTGCAATTGCTACCTCAGGAAACTGGGGCTGTGACTTTTTGGTTTCGTTTTTCACTCCGTTTATTACAAACATAATTGGGTTTAAATACGGATATGTCTTTGCAGTTTGTAATTTGGTTGGTTCAGTTATCATTTTTCTCTTTGCTCATGAGACCAAAGGTCTGACTTTAGAAGAAGTCAATCTTGTTTACTCTTCAAATATAAAACCATGGATGCCACGTCCAAAAGACTTCGGTGACTACTCAAAGGATCAGGCAGAAGCTATAAATAAGTCTAATACCGGAGTCCATGGGGAGACATTCGACCACATTGAGAATACCTCCCCTACCGATTCTTCTTCTCTATCGAAGATAAAAGAGTTAGAGGCAACATATACAAATGAGCATATTGAAAAGGGAGGAGAGCGAATTGAACATACTACTGAAATTCACTAAAAAAAAAAGAAAAAAAAGAAAAACTAAATAAGGAAGCACAACAAAGAATAGTACATTGAAGGTGACGTTACGAATATATGGATTGCTGATGACGAACTTTTTGCTTTAAACTCATGATAGGATTCTTAAGGTTTTTATGAATATAATGAAAGAAAGTGCCAATCATTATTTTTCCGTTGTAAGCTTTAATTTTGCGTTTTACAAATAAGCAGTCTATTTTGTGTAATGTTACTTTAGCCTTGTTTTTAAGAAGGTCTCATACTTTTTTAACTTTATAATTGAGTTTAAAAAAAATGACTATTTAAAAGTTTACTTTACTGAATGCTTGCTTTTATTACTTCTATTTTCAGTATAAGGAACTGATCGTTTCGTTTATTAAAGATGATCGCTTTATAATATATATGATGCAGAGAAGATGTAAGTTATTTTATTCAATCGTATTCTTTTAAGCTTTGAATGTTTATATATTTGTCACGTTAAAAATTCTCGGGGTTTATGAGAATAAAATCAAGTGGAATTAAAATCTACGAAGACTTAGTTGTACTACGTATCTAGATGGTAGTAATGTCCAGGGATCTGGCTAATTGAAAGAAAAGTGTGAAGACAATCTTATTTAGCCACACCAGTCGAATCTTCCAATCTGAAGAATTCGACTGTGGATTCATAGTTTATATATCTTCGCTGAGACAACTAACGTAATCTATCTCTTTGTATAACAAACTTTCTTTGTATATAAGACTTCCGTTCCGAAAGGCTGCCCGATTTGTTGAAATCGTATTTTCTCTGTTTTGTTTACCATTTGTAATATCTCATCCTTTAGTCTTATCACAAAATTATAATATTTACCAATATGCTCTTATAATGGTGTATGTTTATGTATATTATATAAACAAGACACCTATCGTGACAATGACATATGTACTATAATACTTATAAACTTTCGTAATACCGACACCAACGTACCGTCGTCTACTATTGAGGCGTTAACAATCGTTAACCGTTTAACGAAGCTGAAGACATCCCTAATTCCTCTTATCTTTTCGCCTCGCAACTTAAAATACAAACAAAGCAACTACCAACACCTTTTCATTGTGATTAATAGTTGCTACACACTTCGCTTTCGCTGACCCTTTTCAAGAATGAATCAAGATTTATTTACGAACCCATTTGGAATTCCTCCACCATCTGATGATTCTTATGCAGCCTTACATCGTTTCATAACTGAATTCTCGCAGGCAATTCCTGGTGATCAGTTTGATTCGTTTAGAAGCAAGTTGACGAGCCTTTATGAAGCAGTTGCATCCAAACTTCGAGGAGAGACTCGTCCACAAGATGACATGTCTGAAATTCGTGGGATGCTTCAAGAGCTTAGAGAAGGACAAAATAGCCTTAGAGAAGATATGATTCAAGGACAAAATAGCCTCAGAGAAGATATGATTCAAGGACAAAATAGCCTCAGAGAAGAAATAGAAAGACAACTTGGACTTATTCAAAGATCTTTTACTGTCAATATGAGTGATCTTATCAAAAGCATCGATTAAACGAATTCCAAAATTAACAAGACAATGACCTCAGCACAGAGATCTGAAAACATAATTAATAGAAAAGCTGACAAGGATACAAAGCCGATTCCATTTGTAAATGGACAGGAACCTCCTGCTGAGCTACCTGAGTTAAAAACCATCTCCGACGTTGACAATTTGAATCCACAGCAACTGAAAACGTATGCGGAGGGATATGGCTGTAGGTCTGACGGGAATGAGCCTCAAACGTCTCTTAAAAGAAAGGTCTCAGATGTGGCTGGTTTTGTTGAATTTCCTCATGAATATAAATACGGGTTTTCGGATGGAAGTGAAACCCTTCAGGATGTAGAAAATCAAACTAGTACACCAAACCGAAGGACAGGAAGACGCAGGTCTCGTCAATAAATATTACGAGAAGAGTTGGATTTTCCTTTTCTTCTTATTATGTAGCTTATTAAATGCTTTTCAACTCTCGCAATTGAAGTAAATGATTCAGGTATTTCAGTTTTTCCTATATTATTTTAAGTAATTCTATTAACCATATTATGCTTTGTAGGATTACATAATTGACCTGTAAATGCTTTAACAAAGAACAATCCTCTCTGTCTGGTTTTCCCAGTTCTGTGAAAGGTGAGAATTATCCTTTATCATTGAAGATTCATAAGAGTGACCTATACAAACTATATAAACTATGTATTGAAAAGATTCTATTTATTTTTCTAAAATCCAAAAAGTTGGCAAAGTCAGAAGCAATTCTTTGTTATTTTAATCGAGTCTCTGTTTGCTGCCTAGCCATACGTAAGCTAAGATTAATAATCATTGAAATGGTTTTTTAGTTGTATGCAAACATTGAAACGCTTATAAAAGAGGTTTCAATTGTACTTGTCAGTACTTTCCGTACAGGAATCAAAGGAAACAAAAACAAACGTAAATAATTCTATTAAAAATGAGTGTACTTTACTTTAAGGATAAATTAAAGATGAAAAAAAACAAAAAAAAGAAATTTGAACCAAAAAACCTTTCCATCTACATCTAAAATGAAATCAATCTAGTCATTATTGTCCGAGACAAACTGCTCATAACGTAGACCCTTATTATAGTCATTCGATAACCAATAACATAAAACGATCAATTAGATAACTTCATATTGCTGGAAAATATCAGCACTCCATCCTTGTTGAGAAACCAAATGCTTTTTAAAACGCTCCAAAAAGGTACCAGAGCCACATGCACTTATTGCGCTGGTTCTAGTATTAGAAATATCAAGATAATTTTTTATATGTTCTTCTAAATTAGGTCTTCCATCACAATACTTTATCAAATTTGAACCATTCGATTGAGACAATAGATGCTCTTTCACCGAATAGCTTGCAGTTAAGTAACAGTACATATGGACACAGACCTGATTTTGGTTCAAACAATCATCCAAAATTCTCTGAAAAAGACTTAGTACTTTCAATGATCTACTGGACCATAAAAAAGTGATGTGAACAGTATTACCAGGCTTCAAAAGGAGGTCCCTTAATCTAGGTAAGGCGTAGGTAATGCCACAACCACCAGAAGCGATAAAAACATAAGAGTAATTCCTGAAGGGGTTTACGACCGATCCATAAGGTCCATCCAGTAAAATAGTCATTTCTTTAGTTCTTATTGCGGAATTAGAACCAAAGTGACTGTCAAGGCTAGATGAACTTTTTTCAAAGCTTATGTCAGATATAGCGACATTAGAATTGGCTTTTTCATTAGCTTTCACCATGTCGTTTCTCTTTTTATTGCTCGTGGAACACACATAGTTCGCCAAGCGGCGAGTGAATCCTTTTCGAACGACAACCAAAAGCTCAATATAATCGTCTGAAGGACAGCTAGCAAGCGTGAAAGGGTGAAGTTGCCAGAAACTTAAACGAGGAATGTTAATATAAACATGATTTCCTGACGACCACGGCAATGAAAAGAAAGAGACTTTAGGTTTTTTTCCGCGCAAATATATAAACTCACCATCCAGCATATGTATTTCAAATTTTGTTCTATTGATGAAACTACGCAGGAATCTACATCCACGATCGAATGCATAAAGAGCAATAGCTGTTTTCATATAAGGAACACATCGGGGATGATGTAAATATATACAAACAATAAAACCGATGCTACAAGCATGATGGATAAGGAAGAACCATTCATAAAACCTGCGTCGGAAAGGTGGTAGAGTAGTGACAAGTATTATGGCTGTGAATACACACATAGTATATCCTGTATTGTATGGAAGGTTGATTAAACTTAGGCCTTGTTCAGCATCCAAGGCAAGGCGTGCAAACCCGTGTATTATACCCATAATAATGGCGAACTGTGATAAGCGACGATGAATAAAATTCATCTTTTCATGTGAGGTGCAAAGCATCAAAGCAAATGGATTGTTTTTTAGACTGAAAAAGAAAGATAAAACGAAAAGAGCTGTTGATAGAAAGCCGATTCTAGCACACACTATTAATGCAAACCAATTGTTTTTTCCATTTGGTGGAGATGTTTCTGTTCCCATGAAGGGAACGGTAATTGCAAAGACAAGAGGCGTGACGAAGAATGTTAAAAAAGTTTTGTTGGTTGTTAAATACAAATAAATGTTTCTTATCACTAAATATATGTGCTCTAGAGGCAATGGTTTATACTTACAAGAATCATCTTTCTTATAAGACTTGAGATAAACCCTTGCTGTTTCTATTAAATAAAGACCAGAGAGACCAAATAAGCACCCAATAAATAAAAACAGGAAGATGACCGCCCATTTGTCATGTGAATCTCGAGAGTTTTGAATAATGTCTCGAAGATTTTCCATGATCACCCAAAATCAAATTTGACCACTTTTGTTTATTTACCAGGATACCCCCAATCAAAAGCATTTAAGAATGTCTTCGGCTTTCAACCTTCTAATGGACGTAATCGTTCGAAAGCGAAGTAAATCTACGTCTATACATACCCTTTTTTATTATTCAGAAAAAGCGCATTTTTATTCGTAAATTTTTTGCATATCGCCACTTTTTGCCTATCACGACTTTATCAAACACCAATCACATGTAATAAAACCATCAGTTGATAAAAATTCACAATCAAGAATTATCAGATTTACCAAACATTTCTCCAATAAACAAAGCATAAGAATTCAGGGAATGAAAATAGCCAAAACAAAATAAATACAGGCCCTGAATCGTAAAAAAACAGCAATAACATTATTTTTACTGTATTAATGCTCAACTCAGTAGGGAACTTTTGAGCGTACGAAAAGTTTGTGTTTGTCACGATAGGTATTCATTGCCACCTAACTAACGAATTTAGTAATATCAAACGATCGGGTACGCTAGAAAAACAAGGCGTTTACATCATTTTATCTTATGATATGGACGGAAATTTTGTACTAACGGTACTTAACAAAATCATGAGAAATTAACATTGCCACATACAAACGAGTTCCTTACGAATTATATATCAATTTAAAACGATAAGGCACCTTGCATTGATAAAGGATGACCATGACTTTTCAGTCTACGTACATTACAGAAAAAATTCTGGGGTTTTTAGACTAAGCATGTAACGTCGGCTTGCGTTCACTAAATAATCATCGTCGGCAATGTATTATTGTTCAGAAAAGGAAAGAATGCTATTGGATACATATAAAGGGATGAACAGCTTAATTAATACGCGAAATAGAAACGGGGAAGATTTGAATTTTACAATAAAAGCTAGTCGAGACAATAGAAGATTATAAATATCAGGTTAATCAGCCGTAGAAATAAGAGTTATGTCAAGATTTTTGTATCACTCTTTTCTTCTAGTCTGCCTGAAAAGATAAATGTAATGAGACTTTCCTAAATAAAACAAGGGAAATGGACAATTTGGATTATTCCTTCCAAACATGTTTGAACTTCCAATAACTTTCCTACTAAAGAAGTCAATGCCAATAGCTAAAAGAGCTAAACCGGCGACTCTGAATATAGCTCTCATTTTGTTAGCACCTCCAAAGTACCGGCCAATCCCAGAATGCGAGGGAAAAAAAATCGAAAAAGTTAAAATTACGGTGAAATGTTGTACAGGAATTTAACGAGAGGTTATTTAAGGTAAAATTGCACCGGTGAAAATACTGTAGCGGATGAAACTGTTGCTTGTGTACATGTTGATGCTCACCTCGTCACGAGAATAAGCCTCTAAAGCATCGTGCTCTAATAGCTTGACGGAGACTCAGCGCGCTGAGTCTTCTTCTAAACCTCTGGTAATGTAGACATGAGATAACTCGTCCACCTCTTCATCCCAGCGTTGCTCCATTCCTTGTCTCTCCAAGTCGCCTGAGAAGTAACAGAAACATATTCGCCGACAGCCATAGACATGGCGTCAGCTATCAAACTAGAAAATATTCTGCCAAGATGATGCTTCGTCTAGAAACTTTCAATCAATAAGCCAGATATAGGTAAAATACCATCGTTTGCACCTTTAATAAGTCGACATGGTCCATTGCATGCGTTTCAAATTTGGTTTAGACTGCAGCAAGCAATCTTTTTTAGCGAATAACAATCAGAATCCAAGCTATGTAAGGAAATTAAAATAAACGTTTCATAATATTAAACCCAATTGGGAGTGCTTTTTATAAGAATGCACGAGAAGCTACAAGTTGAATTTTGAAAACTGCTGCTTCAAATGTTTATGAAAACAATATATATTAGCTCAACAAGCAAAACCTTTCTAACTGAAAATTGACTGGGAACAATTAAAATTTAGAATGTTAACAAAAACGCATATCACGACTGTGACAATCGGCAGATTCATTATTGCATTATAAGATAAAATTCGTCAAAATATCATTACTATAACTTAGAAACTAAAGTTTCTGAAAAATTTTGTTCCTGTACAAATAGTAGAATCTATTTCGCTGCTTGTCGGTAAGAGCCTTTACCATGATGGACATAACTTCAAACAAGACACCTGCAGCAGCTAATGTAGTAATTTCAGCGAAATCATAAGCAGGTGCTACCTCTACAATATCGGCACCTAAGATTTAATTCCATCCAAGCCGCGGAGAATTGTACGTAATTCCCTAGTGGTTTGTCCCGCGCTTTCAGGGGTACCCGTATTGGGAGCATAAGCGGGGTCAAGGACGTCAATGTCAGTAGCCAAATAAGCTACGCCATCCCCTACTCTGCACGAATTCTTTTAATAATAGCATAAATTCCAATGGTTGGCGATTTCATGAGCTTCGATGATTTCAAACCCGCAATCGGCATCATCATCATAATCTGACAATCCAGAAAGAGTTGTACGAATTCCAGCATGAATGTTTGAGTCATTGGAGACCAATCCTTCTTGACTAGCATGGTAGAAGTAAGTACCGTGATTTGTGCTACCAACGTTCGATTAATCGCCTCCAAACACATTTAATAGCAATTGGGTATCATCAAAATATGTTCTAATAACATTAAATTTTCATGAATAACAACTTCTGATTATGGACAACTACCACGAAGGAAAATATACCTTAGATAAGGTTGTTAAATGCGACATTTAGATTTCGTATTCTGGTCCAATTGAGCTCTGTATATCCCCCGACTGATATATATCTACCTTTAATAGTCGCCCTTCTTCCTCTATATGGTCGAATTTCTTAGTTCCTTTTTACTGAAGCATATGAAAGGTTTGATGATCTTTTCTTTCCAATAAATAAAGGAATTAACTGTAGTATTACCCTCAGAATATGTTAGTGAATCATGGAAGCAAAAGTGAACTGAGTCATGCAAATAGTAATGTGAATTTAATGAACATGTTCTTATATATTTTAGATACTAACTACATTGGAATAGGTAACACAGGGAAGCATAGAGAAATAGTCTTTGATTGAAAATAAATACTGGCAGTTTTTCGAAGGATGTATACATAATCAGTAAAAGTCACACAATCAAAGCTAGTAATAAATTGAATGGAAAAAAGGAAAGAAATTCCAACATTTTTCAATTGAGCAAGTTTTCACTGTTATAATGTAATAAACTATGACTAAAGCTGTTGTTTAAAAAAAGATTGTAGAAATTTTTCATGCGCATGTTATTAAGTGTTAGTTTATTAGAGTGGTCGCTAAACATGAATCCTGCTGGAAGCTCAATTGCTCATTTATTTTGTGTCTTTCTTTTGTATTTACTTTATTGTTTTTCTTTTTTCTACTGTTCATTGGAGATTGATATTAAGCTTGGCTTCTCTGAAGTTACTTGCATACAATTATTCCCTTGGTATATCGGTAGTCAACAACTATTAAGAAAACCTTTCTCTCCTTTTTTCCACAAAATCATTCTTTAAGCAAGGTTTGCTATAGACACGAATATAGAAGTTTAAAACATATGAAGGATGGTGTTACTATCCTAAAGTCACTTTTCATTCATCTCAAAGACTAATGATTTTATCAGCGAGGGAAAATTAATTATCTAATTCGGTTTAACAATTTGGGTGGAAATTATCACCTCTAGCAGCCGTAAATTCATAACGAAACAAAATGCCAATATATTGAAAATTTGTACACATTTTATTGATTACTTTTGTTACTTTAGGAAATGAGTTATACACCGACAAGCATAGGTTATACAATAATTTGCTTGATTAAATAACAGAGGAAGGATAGCAGATAGAACTGTTGAATGTACTTGTAGGCTACTGTCTGCTAGTAAACGTACTATATAAAGGTTAGGTTATACTTCATACAATAATCCTTCAGGATCAATAATTTTCTCAGAGTTATCATCGAAGAAATCATTTCATGCGATTTAAAGTACCCAACAGCTGGGTTATTTTTAAAATCAAGATCATGTTCAGATAAAATTGGACGCAACCCATTCAAACACCCAAGGTCCAAGAGCATTTTCGATTTGAGTGAAAAATCCATCACCTATGTGACCAAATTCTACGACGTCCACGATTGGCTGTTTAGCAGCTTCATCAATCATATTTAAATCAATATTTTCCCTTCGCAGCAGGCATTACATCATATAAAACTCTCAAAGGTAAGAAAAGTCGTATTTATGAAAACCAGAACTAACTTCCTGTAGACATTAGGCGGTGCCCTCTCGACGCGTCATATTTTCACTTAATCGATTGTCATCTTGAGCAAGCACACCTTTGCTAAATTACGTTTTCTCCAATTAAACCTTCACCTAATTTATTAAGCTTTTAAAAGTGGTATCCTTTATTGGATTCTTGCGTTTTAACGCGAATATAAAAAGTCGTTCTTCTTTAACAGGGCAAGAGGTTGAATTGTGAGCATCAACTTAACGTTTTGAAGTTTTGTTCATTATTAAAAGAAGAAAGAAATTCCGAGTTATGGTATTTAGCCATAGAAAAGGATTTCAGTATATTTTCGTAACAGGATACGCCAAAGAAAGCCATGTTCAAAAAACGGCACCTTTGAGGAAAGCTAAACTTAATGGAAATGATAATTCCTAAATAGCCCTTGCTTCCTATGAAAAGCTGCTTGACATCTAAGCCAGTGTTATCTTACGTACTTCCACCAAGTTGTTTTAGATGGTACCATCAGGTACAACAACTTTATACCAATAATTTTTCCTTGAAGATCACATATCGCATTAAACGAAGACACCTGCTGAAATCGCAGCGCAATTACCGACTTGACAACTTTTTTTTTTGCATTAATATAATGTGAAAAAATATGTTCTTTTTCAGTCAAATTATTGCTCCTCCAAAATGACACCAGTGCTTAAGTTGAGAATGCTAGAAAGTTCCTCAAAATAATGAGTATTATTCATATAGCCCAAGCTTAAAACGATTTCATCAAAAATAGGGATAGAGCCACCAATGAAACATGTGTTTCCTTCTTAAGGAACAACAGCAGGTTGACGAAAATAACAATATTTGAGTGCCTGACTCATTTTTTCTTTCGTTTTAGGCTTGATAGCTGGCTCGGACTTACCCCGATATTTATAGGCCCAATCAATATTGAAAGCATCCAATTAAGAAGGGTCTGTAAATTCATCAAAATCAATGACAATGGATCCTCCGTCCTTTGCAAGGATATCTCTAGGGAGGTCAGTATCTGCTTAATTTTAAAGAGCATAACTGTGATTTCGTTGAAAAGGATAAGAATCTGTAGTGAATGGCTTAAACGAAGATCATGAGGTACTTGCGATGTAATTTACATATTTTCGGTTGCCTTTGTCTTCCATAGCGAATCGCATCGTCAGTCTCCAGGTGTATAGTAAAAACAAAACGTGGGATTAGCTATCCCAAAGATCGCTCGGTACTTTTCAAATCATATCCCATACGATGGAGCGTGAGCATCGTTCGCTTTCGAATAATTCAGTAGCGTAAGGAACAACATGAGTAACTACCAAGTTGCGAATAGGAGGAATGTATACAAGAGATATCCCGAACATGATGGCTTGTATTCAACGCTTACTTAGCCAGTATTTGAAGAGGTCAATGATCATCAAACATATTTAATTCAATTAAGCGCTTCATTGGTGTTGATGATTCTGTTCGTGACCCGGGAGGTCATACATAACGCATTTTCGCAATGGAGGACATTAAAACACTTATAATTAAAAATTTAATTAAAGTTAGATATCTTTTTGATGAATACTTGACTCAAGGTAAGTATATAGAAAAACAGATCAACATAAATAAGGACGAACCATTAATCAAGTAATTTCAGGGAAGAGTCCTCAAAAAGAGATCTATATTTAGACCGACGTAACAACTTTCTTTTCATCAGTTGATTTTAAACTTTCAACTCCGACACTTTGTCTTTTAGATTTTGAGAATATAAAAACAGCTGCAATTAGAGAAACGCCGACACCAAGACCACCAAACCCAATTCCCATATACCAAGCACTTCTGTATCCCCTCAAAACATTGGATCCCTTATGGTTAAGATGCGTTTCAATAGTACCGGCAATGCCGAGTCCTATTGAAATTGAATAATTTACAACGGTACTCACAAGAGACGCGGCAATACCTTGATTATCTTTAGAAACAAAGTCACTGATTACTAAGGTTGCAGCTGGAAAACTCATATCCATACCCCAAGGAGTTACAATAGTGGAAACAAAAGTTTGTGCCCAATATGTTTGATGTATAGGCGCCGTTGCCAACAAAATAGTTCCAACAGTAAATGCAATCATAGAAATGATCATACAGACTATGGGTCTGAAGCGGGATAATAATTTACCTGTAGTAGCAGCAGCGAGACAGCCACTAATACCGACGGGCGTTATTTGAGCGACTGTTAATAATGGGGAGTTACTTCGCAATACTTCAAGAAAATTCCATAAATAGTATATCCAGATCCCAAAGCAAGCCCAGCCAGCTGCTACACATATAAGAATAAACCCAATTTCCCCGGAAAATGCATCTGGTGGTAAGAGGGGTTGGATTGCTTTATGTTCAACATATACAAAAACTATTATAGACAAAACTCCAACAATCAATAATACATATACATAGGGTACTTGCCAGCCAACGACAGGGCCTTGATTCCATGCAAAATTGATAAGCACCAAACCCGCAATACCAAAGAATGACCCGAGAAAATCGAAATGCTTCATTCCGGATGTTTCCTTATGCTCATCTTCTTCCTTGATGTCCGGAATAATGAAATAACTCGCGAAACAAAAAGCAACGCATATAATACACGTAGACCAATATGCCCAAGGCCACCACGACAGTTGTGCAAAAATTCCCGAGAACACTGCACCCAAAAGAAATCCATTCGGTGCTGTAGCTCCAAAAGCGCAAAACGCTAATTGTTTTCTTTTTCCAGGAGGATAAACCCTACCAAGGATAGCTAAACCATTGGGTAATAAGAATGCAGGAGCAATTCCAGTGAATGCTCGACAAACATCGTACATTATAATTGATTTAGCGTAAACACTAAATCCCGATATTAAGGACCATAAACTATACCAGGCGTATCCACAAATAAATATTTTCTTGTGGCCAAACATATCACCGAGCTTTCCAGCAATTAATATAAATGTACCTACAGTCAAGCTGTAAGAAGCCGGAAACCAACTCAATTGACCGCTATTCGTTGTCCCTAATGCTTTCCCAATTATATGGCTTGGAGCAATTGATTGACCCAATCCAGCCTGAGTCATGAGTTGAGCACTAGTAGTAATAAATACAAATAACACTTCGTGAATTAAAGACATTGGGGGATTGCTACGCGGCGGTTTCCCGCTTGCTTTTAAAGCAGGGATCTCAGAGGTTGGATTACTCATTTGGTATATTTCCAATTTCTTTAGCTAGTTTAAAGTAAATTTTTGCTCTTCCTATCGATACCCAGTATTTAAAAGATCCAAACAGTATTAACCACGAAAATTGATAGAGTCAAATTATATATAAATACCGCCTTACCACAGTAGAACTATCACCTCATTATCCTGAGCTGAGTAAGCACGGCACGAAATTCAGAGTATTATTCGTTAGAAACTTTCTCATGAAGTTAGAATTGTTTTTTCTTACATAATAAACATCTTTTGAGAACAAATGCCCACTTTTAAGGGTACATTGTGTTAAAGTCTCATCACGGATATTAATCAGGGTAGCGTAGTTTTGTCGACTGAAACTATGTTGGTCTTTTACCCATAATCCTTTTGTACTAAATTTATGTTCATACACGAGAAGAAAAAAAGAAAAAAAAATTCAAAAAGATTTATTCTCCCATACAAAATCCATTCGGCAGTGTTAAGATTGAAGTGACTATGAAATCGTTAACGAATTTATTGAGAATATAATTGATTTCAATTGGACTTAATCTAAAACAAGGAGAATGAAGTATAGATTTTTATTTATTTATTTATTTTTTTACATTAACGAATATCGCTAATTTACTACCCGACTATTAAAGGATTTCAGAACTTAACGACATTAGAAGGCCTAAAGAAAGAAATGAAAATTTAGTATTAAGCAAAATCCGATCCTTTTTAGGTCATTTGAATTAAAGCCCATCAATCGCACGAGAATTCGGATCAAAGTATGGTTTTTCACCAATACCAACTACCCTAATACCAACACGCTCAGGACCCACCGCATCATAAGTAGCTGTGTGATAAACGCTACGATTATCCCAAATAGCCAAATCGTTTTTCTTCCATTTAAAGCGAACCTGAAGATCATGATTATGAGCAATTAATTCAATAAATCGATTAAGCAAATATTCACTTTCTTCACTTGTCACATCATTAATCTTTTCCACATGATGACCTACGGCAAACACGCTCTTTAGTCCGGTTATGGGATTGGTTCGAATCACTGGGTGAACAGCCTCTAGCTTTTCACCAGTGTTGTGCGGAGATCCACGAGGGCCATCATAAATGCTAAATCCGCCTGCATTGGCATACTGATTAAATCTTGGTTGTGCATAAGTAGCAGTTAAACCATCTAAGAACCTACGAAAATGAGGAGAAAATCGTGTATAAAGCTCATGTCCAGATGCCCATAATGTGTCACCACCATTTTTCGAAGGTATCTGCATCTTCAAAATTGTATAGTCAGCGGGAACAGGCTCGAACGTTATGTCGCTATGCCATCCTGCACTTGCTTTCGGACGAAATGCTTTTGCTTCAGCTTTGGGAGGATAAATCGTTTTTTGTTGTGATTTTGAAAGAATCGAAACCTCGTTATCATTGTTATCTACTTCACCTGTGGAATCAACGCCTTCACGTCCAGCATTAATCACTGGATGAATATGTAACGAAGATTCTTTGGGCTTTCCTGTTAATTCCCCGAGTCTTTGTCCAAGGATCTTTTGCTCTTCGATGCTTAAATTTTGATTTCGGAAGAAAACAACTCCTCTATTTGAAACCGTGATCGCCAACTCTTTAAGTAGTTCATCTGAGTCTTCTGCCGTAATCCAGTCGGAAAGTTGTGCTTGTGGGTACTCTCTACCTATGCTAGGAGTTAAATCAAAAAATTCCTCCCGATTTAGAGAATTATGCGATTCAAAATTGATTTTGCTAAGTAACCTATTTCGTTGTTGGCCTGCAGTCGCATCAGTAGCATTTCCTGTTTCAATTACGTTAGTTACTGAGACATTATTATCGAGCGCTAATATACCGTTTATAGTCTGAGGTTCGGTAATGATAGACATAATAAATCGCAATGTACAATCGAGAAGTTGAAAGTAACTATATAGATTCTAGTAATTTGTATGCATTTTAGAGGCTTTATATATACATTTTTTTCGACGATTCCACTTGTAGATCAAAGTCCACTGTCTAATCTCTTTGGTGTAATGTTGCTTATGTATCTATAAGTATTAGTCATAAATTAGAGCAATTTGGTATTTCTCACATAAATGAGCCAGTGTTTTTCGTTTTAAGGAAAACATTTGTGAATCTTCACATATTAGCTATCAGTATGATTCTCTACGATTGTGACGAATTAATTATCATTTGTTTGGATTGCGAAATTGTAATTGATCTCGATTCACTTTCAACACACTTTGGCAAGGTTTTGAGATTAGCGATTGAAAATAATATGCTAGTTGAAAGAAAAAAAAAAATACGCTACACACGTACGGGCAGGCTTAGGTTAGACGTTAGTTCAGTCGAGATAACCTAGCTCTGTGAGATCAAGTAGTAAGCGAAAACTAAAGACAAAGTACAATAATAAAGATGAAAACTTTAGAAAGCTGTTGAAACTTTTCACAAAACATTTCAATATGAAGAGACCATATGTAAACTTACAATCATTTATTAACGATATTCCTATGAGTTGTAAATCATTCAAGATTATTATGTGTTTTTAGTCGTGAAATTTTGCAACAAAGACTTATTGAAGCAGGTTCCTTCATCTTCACATTATTGACTAAAGAAGTTATATCAGAGAAATCAATTCACCATCCCTTCCAAGGAATCCAGATATCAACGACAGTATCAGATCCATTGATCACATAGTACCAAGGGAAGGCTGAGGCTGTAATGCAAGAATGATTAGGAATAATACGAAGAATTTCACCAACAGTAGAAAGTACAGCGTTCGGATCTTTTGACCTCAAAATGCCATGCTCTTGGCTGAGACGGTCTACATAAAAGCTTTCATATCCAGAAGTTGTGATTATTCCGAATCCTCCTTCTGGAGAGGGCTCACGAGATAAAGCAATAACACCCGCATTGATTAAAACTTCACCAGGCTGACCGTTTCTTGATGGATAGACACTTAGAACCTCGGCAACAACGCTACCTGATATGTTTTCTTGTTTGATACAATTGGTAAACATTTGTTGGACGTCACAGATAGGATAATTTCCAGCATGAACTTCGAGTTTGCCCTTTAATTTAGGAAATAGCTTTTTTAATTGAGGACTTACGGAATGAGCAGTGGGTGTAGCACCAACCGACATGGTTAAAGAAAGGGTTGAATCAATAGACATAGCAAATTCTGTAGCTTTATTAGCAGCATCTACTTCACAAAAAAGATATTCTGATGCTTTCTCAATGTTTTTACAAGCATACGAGTGTCCAGCATGACAGTAAAATCCGAAAAGATGGAGAGTTTCCCGGTCAGCTAAGATACTTTGGATAATTTGATGAAGAGTCTCAGAGTCCGTTGTTACGCCAGCACGTTTGGTACCCATATCTAATTTTATAAAAATGGACCATGGCTTTCGGAGAGAAACACCTTTAGAGAAGGTTTTCAAAAGTGCTAGCTGATCCGGGTGATCTATCATGAGACGTAAGTGTGGGACGATCTTGCTCAATTCATACAGTTCTTGAAGACGTGATTTAGCAATTGGCAAGCCATAGAGTACATCTTCAAGCATGCCTTGTTGAAAGAGAGGGATTAAAGCAAAAGCTTCTCGCAAAGTGGAAACGACGACGGCTTTGCTTCTACCATTACCAAGTTGGATTAGTGTTCCTTCGAGAGTTTTGTGTGTTTTCACATGAGGACGGAAAGTTAAGCCTATTTCATCAACTCGGTCTAGCATGCGATTGCAATTGTTGGTAAAAATTTTTCTGTCCAAAACAAAAGCAGGAAAAGGGAGTTCATTAATTTCTTTTCCAACGTATTCTTTCTTTAAGTCCTCCTTGGTAGGACACTCATAATACCTAGAACTAAAGGATTCCAAGCTCATTTATTAAGTAGGAGATTTTATAGACAATATTACGCCGGATCAGTAGAAGTTTCAACGCTCTCCCTTAGACTCACAGGAAGATGAAGAAATAGGCGTCCGATGCCTTTTGACGTATATACTTTATCTATCATAAAGCAATAAGAAAACAAGTCATGTGAAAAGTCCCGTCATAACTCTTAAAATTAAACGACTTCTTTGTATTTATACTTTCGCTTACATTGACAACTATGCGCTGCTGCTGTATTATTACTGCACTTTGCTAAGCAAAGCACTCCCCCATATCGGCAATACGGAGCACCAAGCAACTCACTACTACCCGCACTACGAAGCGGAGGTGGGTACCTTTGAAAATGAAATCTTTTTAACCAGATTTCTAATCTGTATTCTCATACTTCAAATGCAGTTTAATTGTTATTTAGGTAATTCATTTTTTGTTGAATTATATTTACTTTATGAAGGCTTTTTTCTTGGTAGACATATTTAAAGGCAGAGTAAAGTGTATAAAATAGTGATTACGGTAATTTTTGTTTAAACTGGTCAACTTTTGAAATTGAAAATAACCAAGATCCCCAACTTTCAGTCATCGGCTTTGAACGTACTGTTACCAAGGATCATTGAATTCACGTTTTGTATTACTTGAATAACTTTTCTGTATAATAATGCTAAATTTTTTTTTTTTTTTTTTTTTTTTTTTTTTTTTTTTTTTTTTTTTTTTTTTTTTTCTTTTTTTTTTTTTTTTATATATAGTAGTAGTAGTAGTAGTAGTATATATATATACTTCTTACGTTACGTTTACGTTTACTTACTTACTACTACTACTACTACT